CCTAGGCAGATCTTTCAACACCTTAGGACTGGTATGTTACTTCCCCAAGGAAGGATTCCTCACCTGCCTCACAGGTGAACCCAGATCAGAGTGCAATCGCGGATCACTTCAGCTTTTGAGCTTCCCCTGTACACAAATGTACAAGAACGTTGCTGCAGATGAAGTTCGATTGAAGGATAATTTGCCAAAAGTTCTGTATATGCATGCAATGCTTAAATTAGAAGGATATGCAGATCTCAAGAATGGCCAGATGTAGATCAGCTTGAAGAATGACATTTTGTTGATTTTTCTTCTGTTTCAGCTATTTATGAAATACTATCAGGAAAACGAGAATTAAATTCTCTAAATTCTAGAATATTTCTATTGTGGCTGCTTGACTTGCTGGGCATGGTTTGGATTGATATGGGTAGTGCTGCAATGTATTCTGTTTTGTATTGCGTTTATTAGTTAGGGTAATAAATAATCAGTGAAGCCTATAGGGGGCAGTCCAAGCCTCATTCAGCTATCTTTTGCTTATTGTCTTTGATAGAGCTGGGATTTTTAGTATTCGCAATATGTTTTAACTGCAACACCAAGTTCTTATTTTTTTAAAAAGTATATATGTTTATCTGAAAACTACAAGGAGATGCACATATTTTTAAAAAGATTTGCCTCTTCACCACAAGAGTCACTCATTTCTCTAAGTCATCGTGTCTGTGTACTGACCCGTTCAGAAACTGAAGGTGCCGTGGAGGCGATGCCTTGAGATTCTCTGCGGGACCCAAAATAATTAAGGCAAACACTTAACAAGAAGAAATAGAATAAAGCCCCAAGTCTGCACTTGCTTCAGGGCTACTGGAAGATGCTTGTGTGCTTCCAGTAGAATGTGGAAGTAATTACTCATCCAATATGCACTGTGGAATTTGGCTGAGGTGCTGTGTAACTGAATTTGTGTGGCAACTATGAGCAGTCTGACTTGTTCTGCTAAAATCCTTTCCAGAGCTTGTGGGTGTTCCGTACTCCACAGGTCTACCAAGCCAGAGTGCACGGAAACAGCATTTACCTTCCCACCACAGCGGTACCTATTTATCTACTTGCACTGGTGTGCTTTCAAACTGCTAGATTGGCAGCAGCTGGGACAGAGCAACAAGAGCTCACTCCGCCGCGGGGATTCAAACCGTCGACCTTCCGATCAGCAAGCCCAATAGGCTCAATGGCTTAGACCACAGCGCCACCCACGTCACGACGTTTCTGTGCGCTCTGGCTTTGTGGTTTCAATGCATGGAAGACATTAGCTCAATCCCTGTTTCTGTGTAAGGCGTACACAGCAGGCCTTTCAGATATAATTGATGAAAGGTGCTTTCAAGCTGCCCAACTCCTTTCAAAGAACAGAACTAGGTTCAAGAGTAAGGATATAAGAATGTAAGAAGAACCCTGCTGGATCAGACCAAAGACCCATCTGGACCAGCATCCTGCTCTTACAGTGACCAACCTGATGCTTATGGGGAGCCCACAAGCAGGACTGAGGGAAACATCACTTTCCCCGCTCATAATTTCCGGCAACTGATATTCAGAAGAGGTACAACATAGTCACAATGACAAGAAATCCCACGCTGAGAATCTGCTTTAACAGGGTCACTGTAACATGATGCAGTTTGCTAAATAAAACAGTTTTCTTGACTTAATGTGTATACCATGCCTCAGCAAAGCTCACAGGGTGGTTTACAAAAGCACAAAACATTGAAATAAAATAAATTGCATGTTAAAATCCCAAAACACACTTGATTGGTCTGAATTTCTTACATAAGTAGTCTAGAAACCCATTTTGGGGAGAACTATGCATTATCTAATTTATGCTCTGTTTCTTCCCAATAAGTTTAGTTTAATGACAGTACTGAACTTTTCCAACCCATCTTCCAGCACGAATTGTCTCACATGCCAGCCTCTCTGTTTCTTTGTGCAATGCCTCTGGACTCATTGATAAATAACACAAGGTATTCTCTCTTCAGCCGTAGGACCAAGCAGGCAGCGTGGCTTCTTAGGATACCATTCTTCTCCAGTACTGCACTTTCACACTCTAGCAGAGAAGGTACTGCCGTACATGCAGACTTGGCAAGCATACTGTGTTGGGCAGTAGCCAGTGCATAATAGATCTAATTTACCACCCTGTTACCTTCGAATCCTATGAGTAAGCATACTGCTTAGGCACCTTAGTAATTGCCAACTGATGTTTTTATCCAACATCTAAGCTTCTGAAGCTTATGGGACTAGCAACTTAGTCCTAACTATGTCTACACAGAATTGAATCCAGCCAAATTCACTGGAACTTACTCCCAGTTACATGTGTGGATACTGAGTGACTCCTTGAGTTTTTAGGCAACAACACAGGGATGGAAGAATAAGGGTCCTAATAGATGAAAAACGAAATAGGGTGTTGGGAGGGTAAGCAAAAACAGGCTGCTTTCTCTTTCTTTGGAGAAGGCAAAGCATGCAACATGGCATTATTGCAGTATCTTCCTTCTTCTTTGGCAATCACTCGTTGTTATGTACTGAAGTTCTCACCCTGGGCCAGCAGGGGGATACTGTAGATAGTTATGCAAATGAAGGATCGAAAGTGACGTTCAGTGATTGGATAGTGTTAGAAAGTTGCTACAGTTACGTTGTTCTGGAGCTCTATATAAGCAGGCTGACTGAGCTCTTCAGTTCAGTTCTGTTCCAGCTTACAAATAAAGAGCTGCTTTGGAAGAATCGCTGTGTCGTCTGATATGTTCGCCCACAACTTAACACTCGTAGCCGAGTAAGATGGTCTTCCATGAATATGGCCTTAACAGTGTGTCCGTAGATGACTGTGGAGGCCAATTCTGGATCTGCACGTCCTTCCACAATGGGGACATAGGTTTCTGGGCAGGAGTTGATCATGGTGAGGGTTTGCCAAATGTGGGGTAGCGATGGCTGCACAAATGCTGCTTAATATTCACTTACATCTGACTGCACTAAGCACGGGATTCCATGAAAAAGGTCAATTAATTTGTAACGTTTTGAAGTGCAGCCAGCATACCTGGGGAATTTCCAGTCTCCCATCTCAGTGTGATTTTTATATCATTCACAGGAAGTGAGGCTCCAAGGCAAGTAGTTGCATGCTATTACCATTGAACAGGAACCGAGAGGTGTATTGAGTAAAGTCTGAAATCCCAGCTAGGATACGATGACTCTTGGTCAGATCCAAATTTGCACTCTGCCTCGGTACTGTATTGTGTTTCTGGCTTCCTTTTGAGGTACATGACACAGGCCCCCAACCTGAAGTAATACTGCAACTACTGACCCTTTATTTCAGGATTCTGCAGCCTACTTTTATGGTGACTTTGTTGAGTTGTTGCTTTTTCCTTCTGCAGTTCAGGTCACGTCAACCACCTGCATGACATTAATACAGTTACGGATAGGAGTGGTGTCAGTCCTGGAAAACCAGCTAGGTACCCTTTTTCCTCACCTTCTGCCCCCACACCATATTTGGGTTCCTGTTTCTTGGGCATGCTTCCTGGTGTGCTTGCACACAGCTTATGTGGCAGTTAGGTGATGTCAGGATTCCCCCCCTCCCCATGTTCCTTCTGATTTGTTTGCAGGTTGACTATATGACAATGAACATTCATCCTGATTTCCTTTCATAAGTGGTTATACATCTTCCCATTAATCAATCATTTCCCCCACACTTTTTAGTGCATTATCCATCACTTTCCTAACAGCAAAAAGTTTGGCGCTATTTAAAGTAGATTTCTTGTGTCAAACTACTTTAGTTTTTTTTTGGGGGGGGGAGGATAAATCCCCAGCACAGTGGTACCTCTGGTTACGTACTTAATTCGTTCCGGAGGTCCGTTCTTAATCTGAAACTGTTCTTAACCTGAAGCACCATTTTAGCTAATGGGGCCTCCCGCTGCTGCCATGCAATTTCTGTTCTCATCCTGAAGCAAGGTTCTTAACCCGAGGTACTATTTCTGGCTTAGCGGAGTCTGTAACCTCAAGCGTATGTAACCCGAGGTACCACTGTATTCAACCAATTTCCTTTTTGCAAAATAGGCAGCTTGAAATTGACTTTTAACCTTTAATCTCAGCTAGCTGGATGGTTCTAAGAATGAAGTTTTATACTTCATTTTATTCTCAATAACCAAATGGCTATATATTTTTTTAAAATGAGCAGCGATTGCATTTGTAAGAAACAACAACAACAACAACAACCTAGTACAGCAATACCTTGCAACTGTAAGGGGCTGCAGTGTTGAGCCAGCCATTGCGTGGAAGAGCCTTTAGACTGTGGCTGGTCAAACAGGAAGTTGATGAGTAAAAGGTTTAAATTTCTTCTTGGACTGCTAAGCAGATGAGCAGCATAATTCCACAAGAGCTGCGCAACTTCAAAAGCTACCTATTGGTAGTTGATGCGCAACTGAACCGGTTGTTGGTGCCAGTCCCATTGGTGCATCCTTACATGCCAGAGCCACAAATATATTTGGCAAACTTGGATCATGGCAAAGCTGAATGGTAGTTCTTTGTGCCCTGTTAGATTCCCCCCCACCCCAGCAATGTAATGTGGATGTAATGTGGATGTGGATGTTTTAAATAAACTGTGAACATGAAACAAAGATTAGAGAGTCTTGTCTTCTTTCTTTCTAGATGCTTTATTTGTTTTTGCCAAATGATAAAACAGGATCAAACCCGGTACAGAGCAGGCAGGCAGCTTAAACATTCCAAGACTGTCCCTTTGTTTTGTTTTGGAGGGCAGATATATAAGTCATTTATCTCCCCCTCCCCACACCATCTCTCTTTCTTCTTTCCTACTTTAGTGCTTTCCTTCTTCTACCTCTGATATGGATAAATACCACAGCAAAGATACATTTGAGAACCTAGTGGGAACTTGGCTGTTCTAAGGACAAAGATTAGGAATCTCTGGGACTGGAAGTGCATTTTTCAGCTCCTTGTAACAGACTTGCATGTGGGCAGATGCAGAAAGGATGGGGCGGGAAAGGAAGGTTCTATAATTCTTCTGTTTCACCTGCAACTGGCACGTTCACTTCAATGGTGTATTCAGTAGGCTCTCCAGACCCCAGCCAGGGTACCGGGGTTCTGTTGAAAGATGGTCTATTGGTGACTTCTTGGTTGCACACAATGATAGGTTCGGGTACCAAAGGGCCAGCATCAAATTCGGGCATTTGGAAGGTCATCAGCTTGGCTGCCTTCTCATATCCCCCATACGGCATTGCAGTCCTAGGGAGAAGTAGAATTGGCAATCAAGGTTTTGGCCTCAGCACCAGGGACAGTTCAGTGCATAGGGAAGCCGTAGCTCAGGCACAGGTAAACTCTGGCCCTCCAGATGTTTGGGACTACAATTCCCATCATCCTTAGCTAACAGGACCAGTGGTCAGGGATGATGGGAATTATAGTCCCAAACAACTGGAGGGCTGGAGTTTGCCTATGCCTGCCCTAGCTATACGTGACCCGGGGACAAAGCCAACCCAGCCACTACTTTGATAATGAAGATGCTTAGCTTTATTTCCCAGCTATCCAAAGCAAAACACGTCTGAACCCTGGAAAGGAAAGGAAGGGCAGGGGAATGAGAAACAGCTACGCATAATCGGGTGATTTGGAATGGAGACACGGTGGGCAGAAAAACACCTTCTCTGTTCCACACTACCAAAAAAAGAAGACAAAAAAGACATTCCAAAACAGGGAAGTATGAACAAATCAACATGGAGACAAAATCTTTGTTAATAAATGTATTGAGACCGGGTTTGCAGGCTTCATCTCAAAGTGTTGAAGAAAACAATAATCAGAAAATAATAACGTCACAATACAGATTGTGTTTGATCATAATGTCTAACAATCAGAATTTTATTTAAAAGGGAAGGTGGTTGTGCCCAGTAGAACACCAGTCTGGCTTACCCCATATCTTCTACATGACTGCATCCTAGAAGACCAGAGCTTTGTAACAAATATAAACTGATTTGCCCCTTCATTCACTCACCTTTTACAGAGAAGTCTGATGATGCTATTGTCAACCCTTAGCATTCCAGTCTTTTTGTGTCTCTCTCTCTGTGTGGTCCTGCTATCTTTTTACAGACCCAATTCGTGGCAAACTTCCCCCCACTTAAAATGCAGTTGTGGCACCAGCTGGTCTAGTCTGATAATAATAATATAATAATAATTTATTATTTGTACCCCACCCATCTGGCTGGGTTTCCCCAGCCACTCTGGGCAGCTTCCATAGAAACCAAAAATACACTAAAATATCACACATTAAAAACTTCCCTGAACAGGGCTGCCTTAAGATGTCTTCTGAATGTCAGGTAGTTGTTTATCGCTTTGACATCTGATGGGAGGGTGTTCCACAGGGTGGGTGCCACTACCGAGAAGGCCCTCTGCCTGGTTCCCTGTAGCTTTGCTTCTCGCAGTGAGGGAACTGCCAGAAGGCCCTCGGCGCTGGACCTCAGCGTCCGGGCAGAACCATGGGGGTGGAGACGCTCCTTCAGGTATACTGGGCCGAGGCCGTTTAGGGCTTTAAAGGTCAACACCAGCACTTTGAATTGTGCTCGGAAACGTACTGGGAGCCAATGTAGGTCTTTCAAGACCGGTCTGAATTGGCAAAGTGCTGTTGAGGCCTTTCAGGGCTACTGTACCTTTCATTAGAAGTGTCCTCATTGAGTTCCTCTCTCTCTCATTGCTTTCTAGGTCGCTCAAGATGTGTGCAGTGATGAGCTTCCCCTTAATTACATAGAAATGAAAGCCTCCCCTGCCCCATGAAAAAGGGAAACAAATGCTTTGTGAGCAATTAATTACTACTGCTGTACGGTGCTGAACAGAAAGCAACTAGAGGTTGAAACTGGAAATGAGAAGCAGAGGACTTCTTCTGAATGGGAATTACTTTTGAGTACACATGATAGAGTGGGACGCGGGTGGCGCTGTGGTTAAAACCTCAGTGCCTAGGACTTGCTGATCGTAAGGTCGGCGGTTCGAATCCCCCTGGCGGGGTGAGCTGCCGTCGTTCGGTCCCAGCTCCTGCCCACCTAGCAGTTTGAAAGCACCCCTAAGTGCAAGTAGATAAATAGGGACCGCTTTATAGCGGGAAGGTAAACGGCGTTTCCGTGTGCTGTGCTGGTGCAGGCTCGCCAGATGCAGCTTCGTCACGCTGGCCACGTGACCCGGAAGTGTCTTCGGACAGCGCTGGCTCCCGGCCTCTTGAGCGAGATGAGCGCGCAACCCTAGAGTCGGACACGACTGGCCCGTACGGGCAGGGGTACGTTTACCTTTTTACACATGATAGAAGGATCTTGGTCAAGGGGACAAGCCTTGCCAGATAATATAACATAGTATCGTGCCCTGTGGAATCATTGTTTTAATTCTGCTTCCGGCTAATTGAGGAAAAGCAACGCCTCACAATGCTCTCCCAAGGGAAAGTCGCTTGGCGCCTTTGGTTTTTTTGGGGGGGGGGGACTTCATCTTCCCCTTTGTCTAATTAAACTGTTTGTGGTGGTTGAGCGCAGCAACCCCAGAGTCGGTCACGACTGGACCTAATGGTCAGGGGTCCCTTTACCTTTATGTTGGGACGCAGGCGGCGCTGTGGGTTAAACCACAGAGCCTAGGGCTTGCTGATCAGAAGGTCGGCGGTTCGAATCCCTGCGACGGGGTGAGCTCCCATTGCTCGGTCCCTGCTCCTGCCAACCTAGCAGTTTGAAAGCACATCAAAGTGCAAGTAGATAAATAGGTACCGCTCTGGCAGGAAGGTAAACGGCGTTTCCGTGCGCTGCTCTGGTTCACCAGAAGCCGCTTTGTCATGCTGGTCATATGACCCGGAAGCTGTACGCCGGCCAATAAAGCGAGATGAGCGCTGCAACCCCAGAGTCGGCCACGACTAGACCTAATGGTCAGGGGTCCTTTTACCTTTACCTTTATGTTACGTATTTTTGTGTTTTTATACTGTTAACCACCAGAGGTGTACCTAGGGTCTTTTGCAACCTTGGCAAGGGGCTGTATCGGCACTCTCTCCCTTAAAAAAATCACTTTACCACACGCCTTTGTGCCACAGTGTGAGACAAACGGGAACCTTATCTTGTGTTTGATCTTGCCACAACAGCACACACACATATGCGTCACACTCTCCACAGTCTGATAGGTGACTCCTTGGAGGGGGGCCTGGGCCTACGCCCCCAGTGGAGGCCAGTTTCGTGTGCGCCCCCCCCAAGTACGCCTCTGTAATCAGCCCTGTGATCCCCAGATGAAAGGCAGTATAGAAACTGAATAAACAAACAATCAAATATCTTTCCCCGCTGTTGTACTGTCCACATTCAATGTACCCTCCCCTCCCCTGCCACTTTGTCGCGCAGTTTTCCTCGTAACAACTCTCTGTCAGTTTCCATCTTTCTTCGTGTGTGTACTCTCTGCATCTTCTCTGCTCAGCCCTTCACAGTTTATAGGATCATCGATTTGGAAGAAACCAAAATGCCATTTTGCATGGGGTTCAGGTCTACCCCTTAGCTTCTCACAATGGGCGGAACCGGAGCCTGTTTCAGTCTTGGCAGGAAACAGGGACTTCCAGTATCGACAGACCTTGGCTATTTTGTCTTGTACTCACAGCTTCCCTAATAACCAAAGAACTCATCTCCCTTGCATTTAAGGGGAAAGGGTCTTTTTCCTAATACAAGGGTCTTACTTCCTTTTGCTGAAGCTCCAGATCAAATCCATTTTCCGTTTAACTCACAACAATCTTACTTACCATCCACTGTCAGCCTCCACCAATATATCAAAAGTTTCCCCTTACCTGTTGAAAGATTTATAATGGCAGAGGTCTGCTTTGGAGCCATAAGAAAGGAGGTCAATTGTGAATTCACTTTTCTCTTGTGGGGTCATGCCTAGAGCTCTTTCCCATGGAGAGATGTAGGTCTTAAAAATGGAGACATGTTTCCCACTTCCACCTTTGCTGTCACCTGAAATATAACAACAACAACAACAACAACAGATTATTTAGGTCATTTTTTAAAGGCAAAACAGAGGAACACATAAAAGAATGCCAGTGGGGCAGATAAATGTTATGAATTATAAAGTCAAAAGGTGACAGTAGGTTGCTTCAAACAAAATCCAAATTCTGTACCAAAGAATCAGGAAGCCTCCATTCAGAATAAATTACGCAAGTTGTGCCATTCTGCGTGAATTTACCAGAGTGCCACATTGTCATTTATTTGGATGCAGCTGGAATAAGTTAGTAGTAGGAATAATAATACTGTAATAATAATAATAATAATTTTATTTTTTATACCCAACCCATCTTTCCATGGTGCTGAAATGGACCAGGAAGCATAATCAATTGAATGTTTTATGACTGTCAGGGGTATCCAGATTTTGGGAAAGATAATGCAAAAGGCAGGATGTGGATTGCTTCTTGCTCAACTGAAACACGTATTTCGATCTCTGGAGCAATAGCCCCAAAACCCTGGCATCTTTCCTCGCTTAAACTTGTATGTGTGTGTGTGTATGTGCTCACAGATACTTGCCTTTCCCGCCAGTGGTGTCACTTCCTCCGCTACCATCCCCGCCTCCTCCTGTGCCGGCAGATCCCTCGGTGTGGCCTCCTCCTGTTCCTCCTGTTCCTCCAGCTCCACCTTTGCTCCCAGGCTTTGGAGGAGGAGCAGGAGGGTATTGCAGTTTACTGGATCCATACTGCCCTACAGTTACACCGCCCACCATCCTCCCACTGCTGTGTGAATAACCGTGAGAATCAACTCCGTAGTGTCCCCCAGATGGGATGAATCTCTGAAAATGATCCTGGAAGGGAAGAGGGGGAGAGAGAGAGAGGAAAGAAAGAAAGAAAGAAAGAAAGAAAGAAAGAAAGAAAGAAAGAAAGAAAGTGTGAATGTCAAGGTGACGATTCATTACACCTATTTCCAGCTAACAAAAATCAATCCAATTTTTTTTAATGTAAATTGGATTTTCAAAATAAAATGCTTTTGAAAGAAAAATCTTTCTAAAGAAAGTTTTCTATTTAAGTTACATTATAGTCCAAATACTATTCATCAGGAAATAGGGATTTGTTCAAGTTGCTCATATGTGCTAAAACTCAGTCTAGCTTTTTTTTTTTAATTGCTTAACCACATCAGTTAACAAACATGGATACATATGCTATAATGTTATTGCTTTAGTTAAATAAATTGTTTAAATTGTTATTAAGGAAATGATTGTTTTTCTCTCCTTCCAATGAAGTACAGCAGAAAAGTTGTTCAATGATAAACAGTTAACTTATTAAACCTCCCAATAATTTCATAATTATCAGTCTATGTATTTCTAATAGTATAACCAAATCAGTAATTTTTATATAACTGTAAAAACTACTCTGAAAATTTATTATTCCAAAAATGAAACCTTAATCTGGTTGTAAATATCAAGATTATACCAGAAAGAATGAGTCTTTCTGTAAAAAATTATTTAAATCAAGTCTTACTAGCTAGTGATTTAAATCGTGATTTAAATTGATTTGATTTAAATCAAATCCACCCTGTGAGCAGTTATGCCATAGGTGTACATGCGTTGGCAGGGATGGTTGGGTGGCCTCAAGGTTTTCTTTGTAAACCGCTTAGAGAGTGTTGTAGTTAAGCAGCATATAAAATCTTTAGATAAAACAAAATATTAGAAAGGTGCAATAGTGAGAATTGCCGCTGGTAAGAGTCTCTGTATCTTTGCTAGGTTTACTTACATTGTGAACCACCCTGTAATATTCAGATGATACAAATTTAATTGATAATAATAATGATAATTAAAAAATAATAATAATTTAGGTTCTGAGAACTAGATTGTTAGGACAAAGTGCCCCTTGATGCAATACTAGGGTGGCACTCAAGATGTAATGGGCGGTAAAAGGCACAACTAAGACACAAACAATGCATAGCAGCAGGAGGAGACCTGCTAGAAAAGGAACAAAAATTACCAAGCCTACCTGCAATTTTTGGGAAGAAATGGAGGCAGTGAGAGATTTTACTTTCTTGGGCTCCATGATCACTGCAGATGGTGACAGCAGTCACGAAATTAAAAGACGCCTGATCCTTGGGAGAAAGGCGATGGCAAACCTAGACAGCATCTTAAAAAGCAGAGACATCACCTTGCCAACAAAGGTCCGTATAGTAAAAGCTATGGTTTTCCCGGTAGTGATGTATGGAAGTGAGAGCTGGACCATAAAGAAGGCTGATCGCCGAAGAATTGATGCTTTTGTATTATGGTGCTGGAGGAGACTCTTGAGAGTCCCATGGACTGCAAGAAGATCAAACCTATCCATTCGCAAGGAAATCAGCCCTGAGTGCTCACTGGAAGGACAGATCGTGAAGCTGAGGCTCCAATACTTTGGCCACCTCATGAGAAGAGAAGTCTCCCTGGAAAAGACCCTGATGTTGGGAAAGATGGAGGGCACAAGAAGAAGGGGACGACAGAGGACGAAATGTTTGGACAGTGTTCTTGAAGCTACAAACATGAGTCTGACCAAACTGCGGGAGGCAATAGAAGACAGGAGTGCCTGGCGTGCTCTGGTCCATGGGGTCACGAAGAGTCGGACACGACTAAACGACTAAACAACAACAACCTGCAATTTTAAACTTGACTTAGTCAAGTTTACCTACAAACTTAGAGTTGGGTATGGGAAGAAAATCCATACGTGTATGACATTGATTGGTTGGTAGCTTAATTGACATCTAAGGGAACCTCCTCCACCAATTCTTAAAATTGTAGAAATAGCATGGAGAGAGGTTGATCAGCAGGGTGCCCTTCTTCACCCCATGATTAAAAACAAACACCTCTGCTATGCCATCTGCGTGCAGATTTGTCGGGCGTTTTTTCCTGCAGGTTTTTTTCCTTCTCCATGTAGCTAATCCCAGCAAGTCATTTTGACTTTTGCCAACAACAGGCAATCTGTGCACTAACTAGATGATGTTCATATTATCCAGCTATTTGCCTTCACTAAATACATTTTGCGGGGGGAAATTAAGGAATCACATAGGCAGCCTGTGCAAATCATAAAACAGAGAGATAACAGCAACTACACAGGTTCTGTTGAGCAAAGGCACACGGTTGCAGAATTGCAAGGCCCGCTGGGTCCACCTGCAAAATCACCTCTGAGGGATCCTAGCAAAACCCCACATTGGTTTTTTTTAAAGGGTCAAGCACTTTGCTTGCTTGTTACATGCAGCACTGTTTGGTGATGAGAAGCTTTCCAGGCTGTAAACAGGCTTCCAAGGCCAGCTGTTCGGTCAGCTAAATATAGGAGAGAAGAAGTGAAAACCCCACAAGGCTGAGTGTAGAATTATCTAACACTCCACTCCATGTATTCAGCTGCAGTCGCCAGGGCTTCACGGCAGGTCATCCAATCTGCAGTCTGGGCACAGAGCCATCAGCAAACTAAACTGACAGAGCTCTGGGGAATCTCCTTCCCTTGCCTATATAAATTTCCCATTTTAAGAACAAGGAGAATGAACTCCCTCTGAATGTTAGGGAATATGGGATTGGGGGTTGAGAGGGGGAGAGAGGAAAAGAGGAAGAGAATCTGAGTCATGGAAGGTTTCATCTCTGATGCTGCCTGGAGCTGGAGGCTGTGGCTGGTAGGGCTGTCTGTTCCCGTACTAAACAGGGAAGCATGGAGCGGCACAAATGCGAACTGAAATCCGCAACTGGTTTCTGAGTTCAGGAGGCCAGACTGCTTGAAGGGTGAGCATGTGACGATGATGCCTACGTCTGCAGGTGGGCAATTCCTCAACACAGCTTCTCACTAAACTCCAGCCGCCAACAACCATCTGGGCTGCTTCCCTCCCTCGCATCTGCTTCCTCTTCTGCCAGGCTAAAGTCCCTGTGAGTGCTTACCAAAATTGTGGGCGCCCCAGCCTTGTGTTTATCCAGCAAAGGTAAAGGTAAAGGGACCCCTGACCATTAGGTCCAGTCGTTACCGACTCTGGGGTTGCGGTGCTCATCTCGCTTTAGTGGCCGAGGGAGCCGGCATACAGCTTCCGGGTCATGTGGCCAGCATGACTGAGCCGCTTCTGGCGAACCAGAGCAGCGCACGGAAACACTGTTTACCTTCCTGCAGGAGTGGTACCTATTTATCTACTTGCACTTTAACGTGCTTTCGAACTGCTAGGTTGGCAGGAGCTGGGACCGAGCAACGGGAGCTCACCCTGTTGTGGGGATTCGAATCTCCGACCTTCTGATCGGCAAGCACTAGGCTCTGTGGTTTAACCCACAGCGCCACCCGCATCCCATTATCCAGCAAAAGGAGCTAGCAAAAAGCACCCACTCTTAACAAAGCCACAATTGATCCTCTGAAATGCCGAGCTGTTCTAAGAATGGCTACGCCCACAATTTGAAACAATCGCATGCACGTAAACTGGTGGTATTTAGTGGTGCTTGCAGTACAAAATAGAAAGTGTGCATGCAGCGAGATGCATCCAGTGCATTTCAGTTACTGAGATCCAGTCATGCACCACCTGGATTTTCTACAGACAGCTCAAAAGTTTGGTGGATGCCTTCAACAAGGAGAATGGAAAGCCAGACTGAGCAGGGGATGTGGGAAGATAAGAGTGAAGAAGAGGAAATCCCTGGGCACTGATCTAACTTAGCTGCACAATAACATCAATACTGTAGCCTCTGTCTAGCCCAATCACAAAACGTCCCATACACAACAATCCTAATTCCTAGGTACATAGTAAAGAAACTCTTTTGACCACATATTCCTACCAAAAGAGGGCACAGAGCAGCATCAGTCAGCACGGCCAGTGGTCAAGGAGGATGGAAGGTGAAGTCTATTTGAAGGGTGACAAGTTTACCAGCCTTGTCACAAGAGGATCAAAATATATGGAAGGATGGCGGTGATCAAACAAATGGAGATGCCCACATAATTCTGCTCCTAAGTCATTGGGGATATCATATGGTAGTTGGAGGTCTCATTCAGTGAGATATACTGTATATGGCTTGGTAAACAACTTCCTTAATTTTGTTCTCTGCATCTTTGCATGGACGCAGTCCTGTTCCCCCGCCCTTGAAACAGTTGTTTAGTTTCTGGCCTGTGGGATATTTAAAAGAACATATTCTTTGCTTGCATACCCTCCAGCATTTATCCAATGAAAATAGGGATGGTTGATTCAATAATAGTATATTATTATTATTATTAATACCCCCGCCGCCCATCGGGCTGCCCCAGCCACTCTGGGGGGGACTTCCAACAGATATAAAAACATAATGAATAATTAAACATTAAAAAACCCCACTTCCTTATACAGGGTTGCCTTCAGATGTCTTCATACCCTCCAACATTTCTCTGATTAAAATAGGGACATCCTAAGGGAAAGCGGGACATTCCGGGATCATATCAGAAACTGGCTTCTGTAAATCCAGGACTGCCCCTGGAAAATAGGGACACTTGGAGGGTCTGCAACTACTATGTTAGTAGGATAGTCTGAGAGCTGGTGACTGCCCCAGAGCTTCATAATTGAGCAGGGATTTAAACGTGGGTCATCCTGCTCGAAATCTGACACGCTTATCTGGTACACTAAACTGGAACATTGCCTTCCACTGGGGCCTTTCTACAGCTGCACACACACACACACACACACACACACACACACACACCCATACATTTGAAGCACGCCCCAGAAAGAATCCTGGGAACTGTAGTTTGTTAAGCAACGTGTTGTGCTTTAAATAGCTAGTGTGGATGTGACCCAAGAGCTGCTGTTCAGGAAGAGACCAAGAGTTCTGGGGACAGATGAGCTCCACCTGAGTACAATTAGGAAGGGACTCTTTGGATGGTGACTCGAAAAGGCCGAGCGAAGAAGGGTTAACAAAACCAAACACCAGGCTTGGTGGAAGGGAGAGACAAAAGTCCAAAGAGGAGTCTTCTCTGTGCTTTAGGCAAAGTCTGCAAAATCATGAGCGAACGATGCCAATCAGAAAATAGCCAAAGGGAAAAAATGGGTATTGTTTTAGATGTTTGTACATAGAAAAATGCATTTATTATGAAAAATGATTGGGAGAGACTGGTTTTGGGGGACACCAGCAGGATTATGACCCATATTGGCATTATGAAGACATAATGGGGTGAGACATATGGATGTGTGTTGTCTGCAATAGCTATAGGTATGTTTTGTTCAGAGGCAACAGAAAAGGGATAAAATGATGGGCTGTTCACCAAGATATTCACTGAAGGACCAATTGATCATGGATACAACAGCTGTTGCGAGACCTATCTTTCACAAATTTATATAATAATAAAAGTCATCCAAACTATTCGCTACATCTTGGGACAATGGATTGCATACATTGATTGTGCAAATAAGTCCTTACTTTTGTCTTTCCTGAATTTACACCTGCCGACTAACACTCCTAGCCATCGTGTCAGGGCTCCCGCCACATTTTGGAACCTAGAGTTCCCTAGGTTCCTCAGTTCACAGGTTTGCCCTCCCACTCAAAGAGAGTTATGGGGAGAGTGATGCAGGTGCAGACAATGCGCTGGTTCCCAAGGCTCCCCCTTGCATGTTTATTTAACCCTAATATGAAGTGGCTGAAAGGGGCTCTTGAGTTCTAGCATTGTGTGAAGGCAAGGGAAATGTTACCCATTTCTTCTTTCCACACTGTTCATCATCTTACACCGAGTTCTCATTCCCCCAACAATCCAATAACACCTGGTTCTAATTCTTGAACAGACAGGTGAACAGAAACCCTATTTAAAGTATTATTTCTTTGAAAGCCAAAAAGTCAGTTCTTCGGGTTAATACCGGAAGTGCAATTGGTGTCCCCATTAATAAATATCTGGGTATAATAATAAGAGATACTGATGAATCTTGAAAGGTTTCCCCCCCTTCATAATATCTTGAATACAGGCAAATGGTATGGAAATGAGCAAATGAGTACTTCCATCCACAGAACATGAAACCAAGGGGAGAAATGTTTGTGACACACACAAAAAAACCAATATATGTGCAAAACAACTATATTTCTGCAAGCTTGGGAGGCTGATGAATGATGGAATGGTAGAGATGAGGTATGAGATATCTAGTGAAGAAGACAAGTGAGAAGGTAGATGTGTGCACATTCTATTTACACACACACACACACACACACACACACACACACACAAAGGTAGAAGAGATGGGGAGGGCAACGGTTTGGTGGGGGCATTAGAAAAATGTTTGTCCCGGCAAAGTGACAATGTGGTATGGCTCATTGCTGTTCTGTGAGGTACAGTGCTCATTGCAGTGGGACACAGGGCCAAGTGTGGTGCAGCTCATGTAAAAAGTAGTTGCTTCAGACATCAGGAAAGGGCATTTCCATACATTTCACTTTTGTTTTTGTTGTTACTTTCAATGCCATTTTAATATAGGACCAAAATAACCCCAAGGCACAGGAGCTGAATGTCTACTGCACACTAAAGGCTGGCATACTGATGTCCTTTGGACATTTGCCCAAAGTGGCTTGAGTTAGTCACCAAATAGCCTGGCTAGCCCAGAGGGCACCTTCAAGTTTGGTGCAATCCAAGCCTTCTGTTTCAACGAGAGAGAACTCCACTTGTGTGCCCTTCAGCTGCCTCACATGGAAGTCCCAATAGCGGCAACTTTCCTGATGCCGCAAGGCACTCTGGCTCTCTTTAGTTCCAGCATTTCTATATGTGCTTCAGGAGAACTAGGCAATGAAAAACGATCCACCTCAGGGAGATGGAACTGCTAGGCATCTCAAGGTCCTGACGTCACTGGGGGAGGAGGCCTGCTGAGTTGGGGAGATGCCATGAAGCTCTTTTCAGTGTGCCCTAAAGGGAATGATTGAGACCACCATGTGTGTTTCTATTTCCACCTCCCTGATGAAGAGCTTCCCAAAATGCTTACAGTCTATGTTATTAACAACACGTCTGGAGTTACAGTCACTCGCCTTCAGTCACTGTCCTCAGCCCTCGTAGAAAGGAGCCTTTAGTTTGAAACGGGGGAAGTTAAGACCTCTCCAAATCCATGTTGTGTTGTACATGAAAGCTGAAATCCTCTGTAATTAGTCAGTTGTTATAAGGGAGTCAAACGCCTTTCCTCAAATAGCCTGCCAGATTGTTTGGGAACTACATTTCCCCAGTACTCAAACCACTATTCACAGTTGCTGGCAAAGTAATGAAAACCTCAATATATCCATGACAAGCAATGAATGCTACAAGGATCTGGGGTTTTTTGCATGTCACGGGTCGCTAACGGCTGGAATCTGCGATACTGCTGATGATGAGCAACCCTGCGCTTACTTGTGCAGGTAATATTTCTATAAAAAGTTAAAATAAAACCTGTGAGGTGCTTCGTTGTAATTCTGTACATGTTTATTTAGAAGTAAATCTCCCTATGCTCATTGGGACAGAATTGCTGCCTGCATCTCCTATGTCAGGAGTGAGAAGCCACCTAAGATTCTGAACCCTGAACCCTTCTCCACACCCTCCAGGTGTCCCTATTTTCCAGGGACAGTCTTTACAGAAGCTGCTCTGGTTTCTGATTTGATCCCGGAAAGTCCTGCTTTTCCTTAGAACGTTCCTATTTTCATTGGAGAAATATTGGGAAGCTATGGTAGGATGTCTCTATTTTCATTGGAGAAATGTGGGAGCGTATGGAGTTATGTGACCCCTGAGCTGAGGAGATAAGTAACTATACAGCCTTTAGAAGACATCTGAAGGCAGCCCTGTATTGTGAAGTTTTTTAATGTCTGATGTTTTATTATGTTTTTATATATGTTGGAAGCCACCCAGAGTGGCTGGGGCAACCCAGTCATATGGGCAGGGTATAAATATTCTTATTATTCTTATTTAGAACATACCTATTTTTATTGGGGAAATGTTGGAGGGTATGCACCCCAACATTGCTAAAAACAACAGCCACTGAAAATAAAGCCAATCATATTTCATGTCTGCGACCTACATGCACCGCTAACGGTGTCTGCATGGTGTTGGGGGTCCTGAATTAGGAGCTCCAGCCTCTGGCACTGCCCTGGAGCCAAAAGCCCTGTGGGAGTCCAGGGGCGGTCTGCAACATAGCGTGGGTTACCAGCATCCGGGGCCTTGCAGCTGCGGAGGGGGGATGGGAGGGAAGGAAATGGACAGGGTATGCATGCACATTCAACTGCCTAACAGCATCTGTGTCACCCAAGAGATTGCAGCCACAGAGGAGAGTCGTTCTGTTGTCTGGAAAGGCCACTTCCTGGTTCGCATGGAGAAGCTGTTTACAACAGAGTCCAGCGACGGAAGCGCACAGCTGTATTGAGGCAGCACCGGGTGTTTAAATTTTGCGCCCCTAACAATGTTGCACCCAAGACAATTGCCCCTGAGCCCCTGCACACTACGCCACTGGCCTGTGGGCAGGCCAGCAATTATTGGTCGGCACGTAGCTTGAAAAAGCTGCCCTTGTCCAAGGCCCAGCACTTAGATATGGAGGAAAGACTAGGACCTTCTTTGCTTGCCACATGGAATTCAGTGGCCTGAGAAGCAGCAGCGAAGCTTTGCCTCTGCCTGCCACTATCTCTTGCTTCCTTAGTTTGACTGCAAAACTTAGGGAGGGTCTAGGAAATATAATGAGATATCACACTATGAAGAACAGGGCAACATGTGAATCCAGGACATGCTTTGGATTTCCCCCTGGCATGCAGCCCCTGGAAGGCTCCCCACAAGGAATTACAACCCTTTGGGTTGAAAAACAGACCCCTGGTCTATTAAACTATTTCGGCTATATTTAAAAATGGTAGGAAGGGTCATTTGCTTCATTATAACCTATGTGCTTCTCTTTGTATGCTTCGAAAAGCAACTTCAAACACAGTGAGTCAAATTCAAGAATAAAAGCAATCTTTTATAGCATCACGTATATTAACAATGTATAATAAAATATATATGTATGATGTAAATTTTCCCTCTTGTTGTTCTTAAGTGATGTGGCTTTCTTGCTTCTGGATGGTATTCATCCTCTGCAGTTGCAGTGCCAGCCCTAACATTTGGCAGAGTGGGGCAACTAATTTTGAGAGTCACGAAAGATCAGCAAATTGTTCCTGCTGTTGTATTTCTACTCCCAAGGAGAAACACTCGCAGGATTTTCTGCCTCAGATGCTAAAATAACTTGCCTAGCCTTAGGCTCTATGCACCTTGCCTGAGAGCAAGGGAAATCATTTGTAGTTCAGCCACAGGCAGCAATCTGGGTCTGTTCTTAGCAGGGGCAGGACAGCAGGTAGATTATATTTGCTTTTGGGTCCCTTGCACTGTTTTAGACTCCTATGTGGGAACACAGTTGTCAGATCTCTGTGCACATTTTGTATATTTATAAATAAACATATATCACCAAAAAATGCCACACATCTCCAGTACTTTCTCCTCACAAGGAAATAGCTCCTGTAGCGACTGCTGCTGGAACTTCAAACAATTTGTAGAAGTAGGTGAAACAATATTATTGGAACATTAATATACGAGGGAGATAGTAAGGTGACCTGCTTTTCTGCCTCATCCTCTAGACAAGAGGTCCTTGTTCCATTTTGTCCTCAAAGGATCAGGTACCATAGGCTAGGATGAGAGGGACAGACCAGCTTGAGTCTGTCCAAATGAGCTTGATAGCAGGAATTTGAATGTCTTATATCTCAATCCAACCTACTAACCCAAAACCGCTCTGGTGAGCTGTGGGCCTCATCTTGCTTCCCAAATGATTTCAAATGCCCCCTCCCGAATATATCCAATCATTCAGCAGCAGTGCTGCCAAAATTAAAATTATTATTAACTACCATGCATTTGTATGGAGGTATACACCGAATTTGAAGATCAGTATTTGTATTAGGGCCAGCTTTTATATAGGCACAAAAACAAACTTCACCAAGAACCACAGCCGGTCCTGCCTTTGGGCACTTTTGACAGCATACAACCATCTAGGTATCCTTTTTCGTCTATGATCACCATGGACAAATGCAATTGACCACACATTTCTATACTTTTCTATACTTACCACAGAATTGTCGGTGAACACATCTGGGTTGTTCTCATATATGAACTTCTCTACCCTTAGTTGACGAAGTTTGAACATCTTGGATCCCTTGTTGGTGAGGAGAGAGAGTTCTTCTAGCATCACGTCCCTGGGGATGCTGATCTTCTTCCCCAGGTTCAGCTTGGACCCTTCTTGTGGCATGACTGAAGGTGTACAACAAGGACAACGTTACAACTACAAGAAACCTACATTTTGACCTCTTTCTTCATTCCTCCAAACCAGAGCAGTTAAAAAACAAAAAGCCTATAAAGTAGGACTGGTGGAATTGGCCTTCTCTGAAGGGAAATTATGGGCCCTTGATAATTTAATAATAGGTAAGAAGAACTTAAATGACCTGGGTGGTAGGATTGTAAGGTAAGAGAGAATCCCCATGTGCTGGTGGGGGTAAGCACCCTTCTTTCCTTTCTGTAAATATTGTTTAATTGATTCCATTCCCATTATATTGGCAAAATGTAGGCTTGGGAACACACATTTGCACAGTGCCAAGCAGCTGACGTTTTTCAGAGTGGTGAAGGTTTTATTGCAGCCAAGCCCAAGGGAGCAGCTGATGGAGCTATCAGTGGCCTGTTGTGACAGGTTTTCGATACTTTTTGCAGAGAAAAATCATTCGAGTCCACTCTGACTTTGATTTCACCTGTATCAGGAGTGTATATGGTATACCGCCCAGTTAGGTTTCAAGCGTTCGCTTCCTGAGGAGACTGCTTGAAGGTTTGCGGCCTACCAACTGCGTTGTTGCCCTAACCTGTGTTGTTTCTAACAGGGTATGATCCCCACAGCCTTTTAAAGAAATCTGCAGTAGGTGGAACCAGAGCCAATGACGGTCAAGATTTAGTCACCTTACTCCTCCTTGTTGAGTTACATAAAGGTGGTACTGAGACTAAGGAGGAGCAGGAAGCAGACAGGCAGTGCCATCCCTTGGAGTGGTTGGAAGAAACTGGTAGCAGCTGGCTGAGAGCAAGACTGATGGAGCAGTGCCCCCATTCACCCAAATGGACCAGCCTCCACAGTGCACAGGTCGCATCTAGACTGGGCTACAATTATGCTTTCCAAGTGGAGCTGCTTTTAAAGACAGTTTGGAGAGCGCAGTTGGTTCAAACTCCGGCTCTCCAACTTGCTGAGATGAACAAGGCAGTTAGTGATTCTGTACCACAACTATGCTGGTTAACAACGAGTCATTTCAGTGCTGGTTTTAACCTTTCAAAAGTTATTTGAAGGATCTCCTCCGCAAACACAAACTTACCTCAGCCATTAAAATCAGCTGCTGAGGCCTTGCTCTCTGACCCATTTTTAGCAAAGATTAGATGAATGGACACAGGGGCAAGGATTTTTCAGGAGCAGCTCTGCTATGGTTGAATCCCCTTCTGTGAGAACTCTCATTGCTTTTAAATAGATTCTGAATAGGTTATTAATGACTTTTTTTTCAGCCGGAACTCTCCAGAACTCAGTTCTGGCACCTGTCAGGTGGGCGCCATTGCCATTCTGAGAGAATGAGGGAAGTGTTCATTGTAAGTTTCAACACCTCTTTTTCTAGAAAAATAACACCGATGTCATCTATTTTACAATACTTTTGTGCATGTTTTCTCCTGACTCAAGCATATATTACTATGTCGGTATGTTTCTTTTGATTAATTTGATTTCAATTATAGTTTTATTGTTATTTTATTGGTAGCATTGTTATTTTGGTTTGTAGACTACCTTGCAAGTATTATTGCTAAAGGAAATGAGTGAAATAAGTAAATAAATGAAGAAACAAATAGTGGTCTTGAATGGCCACCATCTTGTTACTAATCACCAAAAAGACACACACAAAAAGCCTCAATCTTGCCCTGTAAAAATTCCTACATTATTGACATCAAATTGTGTGTCCTTGCAAACAGTTTGTTACTGTACATGTAATGCACACAATGGTACCTTTTCTAGTCATGTTTCTTTCATGTAAGAAGTATGACCAGAAAAGCCACATGTTGTCATATCAAAAGCAGTTGTTATGATCTTCCAACGAAGGGGGAAATAACAGACAAGGTTTTGTTATCTGCTATTTCCTCAGCAACTGTGTGTTGTTTTCTCCCTGTGGAAGACCATGCTGGCCATGGTTGCGTTCCAGAAGCAGTGGGGATGGAGGGCAAGTGGAGGACCACAAGGAGTCAAGATGAGGGATAGACCAAGCCAGGAGAGAACAGGGAAGCCCAGAGCCAAGGGGATGAGGGACCCTGGCAGGCCCAGAACAGCTGGAGTGACAGGAATACCAAACAGTTGACCGAGGAGAGAGCAAGGGTGGGACCCCTGGATCCAGGCTATCAGAGTTAATGGGTGTGAAAGGGACAAAGGAGGTCATAAAAGGAATGAGGCTGAGAAAATTTTGCAGGAGGAAGAAGTAGAAAGGGAGTGAGATTACCTGAGAGCTAGAGAGGAGGAGGAAGAGCAGCAGCAAAGAAGCCATCGCCAGCCAAGCTTAAGCAATAAGTTTGACGTGGTAGGAAGGGGCTGTGTAATGGGTGGTATTATGTGGAGAGCAGAGATAGCCCCACAATGGAAGAAAGTATCTGTACAATGTGACATTTCCTCTGGCTATCCCGGAAGTGACATTTAGAGTCTTAACCATGTTTACTTCTATCTGTCCTGCTTAGCAAGCACCACTGAGTTTTGAACATGTTCAGTTTTTTGTTCTACTCACCCTGCAACTTCACCCATCTTTACACACTACCAGCTATCACAGACAAATGGTTCTTTCTCAGTTAATGGCAATATCACTCAGGTGGCATCAAGCAGGGTTGGCGGTACCTTTGAGAAGCAATAACACTAGCCTACAAACTAAAATTACTTCATGCCAACCTGTCGTCCTCAGTTGCTTATTCTATGAAGTGGAGATCGGAACTCTCTCGCCATGTCCACTTCCACCGTTTACAGCAGATATCGGGTGTCAAAAGACAGAGCAAAAGGACTGATCTCTATGGGTCATTGTCAGAACAGATGTTTGACTCAGGCAAGTGGAAATGGGCATGGCATTTGCACACCTGACAGCAGAATTCTTAGTCTCTGTATCTCTGGGTTTTTTTTTACTTTTGATGATTTCCATCCTAATCCAAACAGAAATTGGCAGATTATGCTCATTAGAAATTCTAATGTACGCTAGCCCTGACACCAAGGAAGCCAGCAGAAGCCAATTTTTGGTCTTCGCCATTTTTTAAAAGGAAATATTTTTATTTAATTTTCCCAACCACATACAAACATAAACAAACAAAACAGGCTGTTAACATTTCATTTCTAAGGCAGCAATCCCGGTTGCCTCTCATGGATTCCATTGTTGCTTCCTCAGCAGGAATCCACCATGAGAACTGTAACAACGGAACCTCTGTGATTTTGTTGATGTTTCCGCAGTACAGAGCTGGGATGAGCCCAGTTATACGCCACACAATCGGAGCAACACCATTTTGCTCACCTTGCAGGGTCTGAGCTCTGCATATGTTTGAGGCCCTAAACTTGAAGGCCACCTGGTCCTAAAACGTGTGCCACCGTTAACATCCCTCATGGTTCTTAGGTCACAGCTGTTCATATCCCAACCCCAGCAGTCACTTGCTGTGGCTGCTGTGCTGATAAACTATGTGCACAGCATGCTGGAGGCCATGCGACAAGGTTTCAAGCAATACTGAAGCATTTCAGCCAAGGCGCTGCCATTCATTTACTATACTGAATCAGAGCTTCGTGCGGCTTGCTTGTGCAAGTATATTTATGCACCCCCCCCCCATAAACAAGTCAAAGAACTAGCGATTCAGAATCAAGCCATGCCTGTTTTCCAGTCAAAGCAAGATAATTAAACAATTAACTTCTTTCCCGACTCTTTACCACCCTGTCTGTACTGTACCTCTAACGCTTTACAGTGGTACCTCGGGTTACAGATGCTTCAGGTTGCAGACTCCTCTAACCCAGAAATAGTACCTCAGGTTAAGAACTTTGCTTCAGGATGAGAACAGAAATCACGCAGCAGCGGCGTGGCGGCAGCGGGAGGCCCCATTAGCTAAAGTGATGCTTCAGGTTAAGAACAGTTTCAGATTAAGAATGGACCTCCAGAACGAATTAAGTTCTTAACCCGAGGTACCACTGTACGTATTATAACTTTAAACAGACATGGATGCCCTCAAAGGATCCTGGGGATTGTAGTTTGTTAACCATGCTGAGCATTGTGAGGAGACCACTATTCCCTTTACAGAGCTATAATTTTCTAGAGTTCTCTGAGTTGCAATCCCGAGAGTGGCTTAACACTCAATCCCTCCTCCCAGTGAACTCTGGGAATTGTGGTTCTGTGAGGTAAATAAGGAATCTCCTTTCAGCTCTCAAAACCCTTAACCAACTACAGTTCCCAGGATTCTTTGTGGCGAGACACGACTGTTTAAAGTGGCATAAAACTGTTTTCAATGTGTAGTGCAGGAGGGGCACATATGTCAGTGTCAGGGCCGGATTTAGGTTTGATGAGGCCCTAAACCACTGAAGATAATGAGGCCCTTTATATGTCCAGCTGTCCTTTGTCAACAACAAATTGTCACTGTTTTTTGTGTTGAATATATGCTATATGGACCTAATAGGTATCTAAAGCCATTTGCACATAACAAAATATGTATTTTATCAAAGTTATTGTTGAACTGAAATACAATTAAGAAGACATATATTAATAGTGAACTTTTTTGCGGGGGCCCAAGAAAGTGGGGCCCTAAGCTATAGCTTGTTTAGCTTATACGTAAATCTGCCACTGGTCAGTGTATATCTAAGTAACATTTGCTGCTGCAGTGCTACTTGAAATCTAAGGACTTAACATCAGTGACAGTGAGAGATTGAAATAAATATCCATATTTTCTCCTCAGCTGGGAAAATATGGGTAGCCATTGTGTCCCTCACTGTGCCATTCTTCTGCTTGTGGGTTCCATCTTGTAAAAGAAAAAGAAAAAACTTGAGACGAACTGCATCACATACAGTTTGGCTCTTTGGGGTGAGCCCTTTGGCTCTGTAAATATTCTAGAAAGCAGGAGACTGTTGTGGTCCTTCTACATAAGCCGTAACCTAACCACTCATGACTCTTCATTTTCATAGAAGCTTCTGTGCTTGTTCTCTGTTTGGCACTCCACAGATACTCTAGGGAGGAAGTGCTCAGAGAGGATTTTATGTCTGCGTTCAGGTGCACATACATCTTACCTTCTTGGGTTAGTTCTAAAATGAGTTTAGTAGGCTTTCTCTTCTTATTGGGAGCCGGGGTTCCTGCAAGAGGCATGCTGTTTCTGTACGAGAATAGAATAGTGTAAATGAACTTCTCATTCGTGTTAGGTTAAATACAGAGAGCTGTTGCCTCTTTCACAGTGGAGTTTTCTTTCGTTTGCTAATCCCTTCCCCCTTCTGGCATATATAGAAAAGGTGTCTACCAACTTCCTCTCTCAAGACAAAAGGGGCCAGTCCACACAGATGCTTCTGGAATCTTTCGCAGCCCCAGCAAACCCTAAGGAACAATGATGGCACATGACCTGTTTTTCATTCTGGCTGCATATTTTGCAGTTTTGGCCAGTTTCAGCAATCACTTCTGGCAGTTCCCCAACTGCGAGAAGTGAAGTTTCAGGGAACCAGGCAGAGAGCCTTCCCGGTAGTGGCACCTGTCTTATGGAACACCCTCCCATCAGATATCAAACAGATAAATAGCTATATGACTTTTGGAAGACATCTGAAGGCAGTTAATGGTTAGTATTTTATTGCATTTTTAATATTTTGTTAGGAGTCACCCAGAGTGGCTGGGGCAACCCAGTCAGATGGGTGACTAATAATAATAATAATAATAAGTGCCAGCAGGAAATTTCATGACCTGGTACCCAGCTGTTCAGTATGTTTGAGGTTCATTGAGGTTCTGAGATCTTTGGTCTACAGACGAGTCACCTCAGTACAGAGAACTATATTTGTTAATTATGATAATATACAGAAGGATGTAGCAAAACAACAAATGAAATTGAGTGATGAATAAGCTGTGCAGGAGATTTTATTCAGTAAGATAACTGTGTAGGCTGCAGATTTGGAAAGTAAATCAAAACAAATAATTTGATAATGTGGCATGTCCCTGAGGAGGACAGAAAGGACCAGGAAGCTTCTTTATTAATTTCTAGGCTGAAGAAGCTAAGGAAGATTCTCTGCTAACACTGGACCATATAAATGTTCCAGATATATTGTTAGAAACCTGTTCAACAATGTTCAATAGAAGTTGATACAACATGCTGTATGGCAGAAACGTAATCTGATGATTAGTTTACATATTATCAGATTACTTAAATCTATTACTTAAAAGCATAGCTTTTTTTTAAAGGTCACATCTATACTGCAACAGAATGACATTAGTTATTCATAGTGCTTTTCTCGGAGGTGTTTTGTTTTGTTTTTAACAATGGGAGTATCTATCGGTATATTGTGCTCATGAAAATGTATGTTGGTAAATGGGCAGATTTGACTTGAGCAAAAAAATTAGTTCTGCCACTAACGATTTCTGGCTGTTTCAGGTATTCCAGAGATGCAGGTTAGTCTGCAGTATGTATCCCCATGTGTTTCTCGCTTAAGTTATCAATGTTCTATTCTTCCTGGTTTCAGTTATCAATAACGATGCGATTTGTAATGTTGTCTTATTTCATTCATTTTTCTCACGTTATTGAACCCATCCCACTTTACACCTTGTTCTCTTTCATAAATGTGATACATCTGATGTAAAAAGAGTAAAAAAAAATTGTACAAAATTCATAATTGTTTTCAAAAACTTTGACAGACTGTATGTTTCTCAACATGAATTCCAGCCACAAATTCTAGCATGGTTTTGGTTTACGTAATCTTGCATATTTGTTGGGCTGCTATATCCCCCAAAGTGGAAATCCAGACAAAGTTGGGGGTCAAAGTTGTTTAGCTTTCTTTGGGAACACCCCCCCAAAAAAGGGGGGAGCTTTTCTGGGAATTTTAACAGGTTTTCTTTAAAAATAATAATAATAACCACCCTACTTGCCATATGTCCAGGAGATTACTTGTATAACGGGAAGCTAGAATAGCAGAATTCATTATGGAAAAAAAGATTTTTCATTTTAAAAAGCACCACCACCACGCAGAGCACTATAATCCTGCGATTTCTCGAAGAATCTCACTCACTGTGCTTGGGGGCACAAAACAGCGAATTGCGTGACATTTTGTAAGCGATTTCAAAAAGTGCAAACTCTGTCCACATCCCCAGTCAAAGGCACAGCTGGCAGCTGGTAAGACATATACCCTCCCTACCCTCAAAATACCCTAAGCTGAGGCCAAGACAAATAAAGACGAACATGGGACAGGATTAGCCCCCTACTGCAACAGTTAAGTGATTTCCATTCTTCCATTGGACTGCCTATGCGTAGCCATATGTGTAGATTACACAAGAGGGAAATGAGTGAAATCTGCTCCTTACAAGTGGAGCTACAAGGGGAAAATATATATTGGGGTGGGAACAGAAGGGGCAAAGAGCATGGTATATGTATAGCATGTTAAATTTATGATTAGGTTGTGCTTAAAAAGGCAAAGGTAAAGGTACCCCTGACCGTTAGGTCCAGACTCTGGGGTTGTGGCGCTCATCTAGCTCTATAGGCCGAGGGAGCCGGCGCTTGTCCGCAGTTTCCAGGTCATGTGACCAGCATGACTAAGCCGCTTCTGGCGAACCAGAGCAGCGCACGGAAATGCCGTTTACCTTCCCGCCAGAGCAGTACCTATTTATCTACTTGCACTTTGACGTGCTTTCGAACTGCTAGGTTGGCAGGATCAGGGACCGAACAACGGGAGCGCACTCCATCGTGGGGATTCGAACCACCGACTTTTTGATCGGCAAGCCCTAGGCTCAGTGGTTTGCACCACAGCGCCACCCACGTCCCGTTAGGTTGTTCTTAGGGGAAAGCAAATGGAAGCAAGGGTGTGGCAAAAGGGACCACCCACTGAAATACCACCACACACATGACAAGCCAGCCACCAGAAAAAAAATGCACCAATAAACTTCCACATTTAGTAGCCCAATGGCAAAGGTCCAGCATATGTCCACTTTCCTTTCTGTTACATTGATTTAAAAAACAACAGCACATAGAGCTTATTTTGGTTAGGCCTATTCCTCATAATCACCTCACTAACGTTTGGGTACCCTATTAAGACTACATTAGTTACACCTCAGTTTTTGACAGTTGTCAAACTTCTGCGTTGGCATCACAATCCTATATTTCTACTCAAATGTAATTTTGCTTGTTTTCCACTGAAATACTCTTTGCCTGCATTGCTATAGCGGACCTACTCACAGTGACCCCCAATCCAGGCAGCAAAGGCCTAGGCAATGTTTATGTGTAACAAACTGAACAAGAAAACATTCTGGGATTTTAAAACTCGCCATAACTTTTATAGTTGTAGGTAGGCTTTGGCTCAGTCATTGGGTGCATATGCAATTTCAGCCTCCAGATGGGTGACAGATGTTTGAGTGGGGTCGTGCCTGAGATTATGGGACTTCCTCAAAACATGGGTCTACATAGGTGCCCCATGCTTGGCTTCTGGACAGAGCTCTCACTAGACCCCTCTAATGGAGTACCCTGCGATTGCTCCAGTTTGGATTAGAGGTGATGCACCACTTCACACCAACCCGATATTAGACTAAAGGATTCCACCCAAAGCCTTATCTGCCAAAAGTTGTGACTATTTGTTATCAGGAAGGCAAAACCTCCAAACAGGGTCAATCTTGTTTGCAGGAAATTCCTTCTCGGATCTGAATACGGTCCGAAACTTGGATGCAGCTGGCCTTTATAGCTGGGCCCTCTCGCTACCTGATGGCCAATTTGAAATCTAGGGGTGGTGGATCATCCCACCATTCTTTGCAGCTGGCTGGCGGAATTCCGCAACTGCTGCCCACCCAGAGACTGAGTAAGCGGCCATTTTCTTACACTTGCATTTTACCCATCCTTCTGTAATGGAGCCCGAAGTGTCATACATGTGGTTCCCAGGAGGTTAGATCTGCTTAGCTTCAGGAAAGTGGTGGCCTCATAGATTAGACAGAGAAGGTGATGATTTGACCAGAAGTCCCCAGGGAGTTTAATTGTTAAGAGACATTTTTAATCTCGCTCTCCCTGTCCAAGAGCCAAATTAGGTTTCAGCAGAACCATAATTTAGATCTACCCCCTTCCCCCCCCCAACTTCAAGGCAGCTATAGGGGGCTGCCAATTTATTCAAGGAAATGGCACTGTGGGAATTTTTGTGTGACCTCCAGGGCCTGCTTAGATTTAACAATTTCGTCGTGAGTCCCCCCCCCCCCCGCAAAATCTGTTCATGTCCACACCACTCTCTAATTTGCAACTACTTCTTCAAGTGTTTCAGTATCATAATGCCCAGTTCCATTCTGTTTTAGTTCTAAATTCATTGCTGGCTTGTAATCTCTTTCCTGCACAGAATATTCCTTTGTTAATAGCGGAAAAAAATGTACTTGTTAGAACTACTGGTTTCTTGTTAATCCGTTGATCATCAGAACCTCTGCTTGCCCTACTGCTCCTATTTGGGAACAGGAGGTCTATTTAGAGAAAGCCACCATGGAGGTCCCAAATTTCTTACCGAACAGCCTAAATTTAGCACCCAGGTCATCCCTCTGACATTTCCCTATGCCAATGGTACCCACACTTCTACAGGCCTATTCCTGCTGCTCCCTATATGGCTGCCTAAAGAGACTGGCCAACTTCATACCTGGGCAAAAAACTCTTCTTGTGATCCTCCCAGCCATCACACTCCTTCCTATATTTTTCACATCCTTTCAGAAATTGTGTCTCATCTCCCATGAAGCAAGCAGCCACCATATTAGCCAAAGGTTTTGTGCAGGGGTTCCTCCATTAAAGTAAGCAAATCATTGCCCCCAAATCATGATCATCACAAGCATTCGTTGGAAATTTAAATTTTCTTATATGTTTCCCAGAATCTCACCAATCAGTGTTCTCTGCTTTCCTTAGCAGCTGCTCTGGTCTCTGTATACTGCATTTTGCCTTTGAGAACCTCAACATTTTTGAAAGACTGTGTAGAAATGGATCTATTTACCTATGTGCCACATTCCTACAAGGTAGGTATAGGTTCAATTCAGTTCACAAACAAAGGCGAATCTGCCTAATTCACATTTTACAAAACAATATGTGAACGGAAATGCAACTGTTCAAAATTCACACGTCTCTGAATTTTGCAGTGCAGTTTGCCAGCCAAGCAATGTGTACAAAAGTGCACATACTGAGATAAAATATGCATGAAAATGGATATATCAGTGAAAATAACATTCAAAAATGCATTATTTTTGGAGAAATAGAACTATTAGGGAAAATAAAATGCTTTGCAAAAATGCCTTAGGCAAAAATTGCATACAAAAATGTGTATACGAGGAGAAATTTGCACTAAAATGCTGATGAATGTTCATGAGATTTTTTTAAAAATGGAAACTGATGTGGAAATGTCGAGAACTGTGCTCAGATTGGAAAAATGAGACACTGACAAAAACCAAAATGGAATTATTCACCCACTCCTAATCATAATCAATGCAATAAAATGATAATTAATCTGCTGTTGTATTTTGTTGTACACTTTGAAGGTTGAATATAGATAGAGGACAATCTCTTGAAACTTAGAAAGTTCTTTTCTCAAAAAAACGATTGCTTAGGAAAACCCCTTCCATTACTTTTGTTTTTGCTAATGCAGAAGTTACTTGCACCAGTAGGAACAAAAGCACAGGGATATTATTTCACCACACAATCCTAATTCACCCTTTTGTCTCCCAGTTTTTCCCTTGGCAAGATGAGGAATGTCTGAGACAAGGAATTCAACAGATGAATTTGTTACATTCATTTGCTAGCCATCATTAAAATTAATTGCTTCTACATTTATGTGGGAGAGTTCTGGCAATTGCACCCCAAACTCTCAGCCATGACAAAATAGGTAGGACTTCTTTGACAGATGGCATAACTGGTAGAATCTAGCTGTCCAGGGAGCTGATTGCACCTTCTATTTAAAGCAGAAGAAGAATCAGCTAGCTGGACATCTAAATTCTGCTGTTTCTGCCATCTGTTCTCCAGTCTCTGATTAAAAGTACAGAATTGCAGGCATTAAACTGAGAGGATTTGTGAAATGTATCCATTGCAAGCAAGGTTTTTCATTCATTATTCTTAGATTTCAAGGGCAAAGGACAGCATTACTCTTGTATCAAAAGACAAAACACATTTCACCCTGTAATTCCTCATTTGAGCCCAAGAGCTCAGGCTGGGCTAGAGCTCCTTCATCTTAAAACTGTTTTTACGGTATTTTTTAAAATTCCATTTTGAACAGTTGGAGGTGAGAAGTGAAGGCTGATTGTTGCTGTGTAGCACCTTGGCCAGAGCAAATGAGAACCCTACAGGTCAACAAAATGTCTTCTGGAATGGAGTTATTTACTGATTTCCACACTTTTCTTTCTAACTGGGATCCATCCGACAAGTGTGAACTCCATGTCATGTAGTTGCCAAATGTGTATATCTCCAAATCAAGGGCAGATGATGTGGCAATTAAATGCCCCGTATGAATACTTTGGCAAGACCCTGGACAGCTGCTCCGGTGATAGAGAAAAGGAGCAGAAACTAGCTGGCAAGGCATTGGTGCTACTACCTGACCTCATGGGGAATGGGAAAGAACTTCTGCTGTAGTATTACTTAGTGAGATAAGTTAGTAAGTGGGGAAACATGGGAGGAAACACCCTTATGTGCAGTATACTGAGATACATCCAAGAGAAAGAGCTGATCTATTTTGACATTTAGTAAGGCCACGAAAGGAACGGGAGAGTTGGCAGCCTTCCCAAATGTCCTGGATGGTAACTTAAGACTGCTGAAGCTGCCAGTGCCGGCGGTGACAATTTTGAGTGGATCGCTTCAAGAAAAAGGGATCTCTGTAATGGTCATTGTCCCCAAGAGCGGGACTTCAGCAGGACTTTGCTTTTCTAGTGTAGGAAAGAGGGTCCACTGGATTTAGTGGTTCCGGGAGCGTTTAGGGAGGAAAGGGGTCTCAGGCTCACAGGTGCAAGTACTTCTTTCCGCCTGCTTTGCCTGTTAACCCCTTACCCCACTGCCAGGCAGCGCACTGCTATGCAATGCAGACTTTCCACCATTTGTTCCGCCCCCTCTCTTAATGTTTCGTCCCTCCTAGCTACCTTTCCCGGCTCCCCATCACCTTGTGGAGGCACTCACCTCAGGCACGCATGCACAGGCCACTCCGCAGAGCCTCCAGCAGCAAGAGCAGACCTTGGTGTGTCTGGCGTTCTTCGCTTGCTTGGTCTTGCAGGAGGCTTAGTAGCTCTTCTTGACCCCCCCTGGGTATCCTGGGGCCCACACGCTCCCTGCTCAGGGTCTGCACGGCACAAAGTGCTGATGTGGAGTGCTGCGAATTTGACTCTTGGAGACACTGCTCACACAGACATCCTGGGGTTATTAATAGTCAACGGGATCTCGGAGTCCAAGAGTCTCAGATAGCACCAGCCCAGGCAAGGCTGGGAAGAGAGAAAAGTGCACCTCAGCACTCCCACGACAGCTACCTCAACCTGGGGCCAGATACCAAGCAGGGGACCAGCTCTGCACATCACTCTCCTTCCTCTGGGTTGTAAGCATTGCTGCTACCTGCATAAAAAGCTACATGGGTTACATGCTTGAAATCGCGCATTTAAGGGCAATCGGCTGCAAGCTAGTAAGAGATGGGTTGGTTGGGGCATGCAGTTCTGCAGAACTTGGCCGGCAGCTCTGTGAGATGAATGGGCGTGGAAAGGTTCTGGGGCTCGGAGGGGAACACAGACGAGCAATATGATCACAGCCCCTCTATGTCGTGCCACGTGTCACTTCTGCTGCCATTGGCATGGTGGTGACTCAGTGTACTTGTTTCAACTCTCCAGTGTGCGAAGCAGGAAGAAAATAGACACTTTGCATTTCAGTTCACATACTTTTACCAACAGAAGTATGAGTACTTGCAGCAGACGGGGAAATTATTTACCTTCTAAATTTACTTTTAACATTTATAAGTTGCCTCTCCATTTAGAAAGCCTCAGAGCAAGGAAGTAAGGCATGAAGCAATCCTGACTCCTTAAGAGGAATGTGGTGTCAAGAAATCTGGAGAAAAGCAGGACTGTGGGAATAGAGGGCTCCCCCTGGATGACCTATTTATTTAACATGCATCCTGGTTTGCTTGCACAAAGCATACACAGAAGTTAGTTTATATCCGGTGTTTATTGAGCATTCATTCTGATTTGTTTGCATGGGTTATGCAAGAACAACGAGCATTTATGTCCTGTCCTGTTCATCATGCATTTATCTTGTTCTTTTCAAAGTGTTTCCCCATCACTTTCCACAGTCCATTTCTTTTTCAAAATGGATTTGTTGTGCTAGAGGGTAGACTGCTTCAATTTTTGCAACCTAAATGTCTCACAAAATATTAAGCAGTCTGGAGGCGCCCTAAGAGAAACACAGGGAAGCAAGGGACTGGAAGCACAAGGCCAAGCAAGAGCTGCAAATGTCAAAGCCATGGTGAAGGTGGTGAAGGTCCTGTGTGAGTACCTGAAGGCGGTTGGAGGATGGATGGTGGCTAACAGATTGGGGTTGAATCCTGACAAGATGGAAGTACGGTTTGGGGGTGGGGACAGGGGGCGGGCAGGTGTGGAAGCCTCCCTGGTCTTGAATGGGGTAACTGTGCCCATTTTGGACTCACAGCTATCCATGGAGGTGCAGGTCAACTCTGTGTCCTGGGCAACTGTCTACCAGCTCCATCTGGTACGCAGGCTGAGACCCTACCTGCCTGTGGACTGTCTCGCCAGAGTGGTGCATGCTCTAGTTATCTCCCGCTTGGACTACTGCAATGCACTCTACGTGGGGCTACCCTTGAAGGTGACCCGGAAACTACAACTAATCCAGCTAGACTGGTGACTGGGAGTGGCCGCCAGGACTACATAACACCAGTCCTAAAAGACCTACATTGTCTCCCAGTACATTTCCAAGCACAATTCAAAGTGTTGGTGCTGACCTTTAAAGCCCTAAACAGCCTCGGCCCAGTATACCTTAAGGAGCATCTCCACCACCACCGTTCAGCCCGGACACTGAGGTCCAGCGCCGAGGGCCTTCTGGCAGTTCCCTCACTGCGAGAAGCGAAGTTATAGGGAACAAGGCAGAGGGCCTTCTTGGTAGTGGTGCCTGCCCTGTGGAATGCCCTCCCACCAGATGTCAAGGAAATAAACAACTATCTGACTTTTAGAAGACATCTGAAGGCAGTTTTTAATGTTTGATGTTTTGTTGTATTTTTAATGTTTTGTTGGAAGTCACCCAGAGTGGCTGGGGAAACCCAGCCAGATGGGCGGTGTGTGTTTGTGTGTGTAATAATTTATTATTATTATTATTAGTAGTAGTAGTAGTAGTAGTAGTAGTATTGAACTGGGTGCAGTGTAGAGGAATTGCTGACAGCAAGATGCAGTCAAGTAAGGTGGTCATATTCAAGGTGTTTCTTCCCAAACACCAAGTGCTGTCAGATTCAGCATTGGTAACTGCTGCAATTCCAGCTTGGGTTATGTGACACCAGGAGCTTTTAGGCTTACCCTCAGCGCTGTTGTGACCCAGCTCCTGACCCCTCAGTTATTGAAACCCTCTAACACGATCTCAGAGTCCCTGAATCCATCAGAAATAGAATTTGAAAGGAAAAGGCCTTTCCGAAGAAGAGGATGCTGTACTCACACTCTGAACCACTGTGGTCAGTTGCAAAAGACGGCAGGGCTCTTGCACTGTTAATAATCGTGCGGAAGAGGGAATGACAGCTTGTTGTGCAAACTACACCTGCTCAATTTTCCTCTTCCACATAACTACTGTCAATTGTGGGACCGTGCTCTGGGAGTCATCAAGACTTGGGATTTGGCTGGCTATTGATGGATCTCAATTCTTTGAAAGTTTCCTTGGATCCTGTGCTGCTGGGGTCTTACCAGCTGCTTGTAGGCAGGCTCTCCATGTCTTGGTTCATACATTCAGCATTCTCCCCTGCAAGTAACCTCATTCCCATAGCCTTGTGCAAGAACGTATGAGTCGTTTCACGTCAGCGCCTGATCTTGCAGAGCATCCACTCTCTGGATTCCCTTTCTTTTTTGAAAGAGAAAACCTTTCCCAAGCAGTCTTTCAGTCTCTCAGTCTCTTGCAATCAGCTATCAGGCCAGAGCATCCTTCTCAGACATGGGCTATCCCATGGGGGCCTCTCCATGTGGGTGCCGGGAGTTGTTAGGGCTACAAATTGAAAAGTTATGTTATTGCACACCCCACCCCCAGATGGTATGTTGTTGAGGTTCCAGGTTGAATGGCTTGCTGAGCTATGATGTCCCTTTAGGCTCTATATTTAAGATAGCTTTACCCACCCAGGCAGTCCATTGGCCTCTCCTCCATGTTGAAGAACTATATGAAGTTTCAGGTCAGGCTGTACTGTGATCCGCAGGGATCCAATAGGGGTGATAGTCCACAAAATTGGAGGTCAGAAGTTCCTGGCTGTACAGGCAAAAGCACCCAAGTTGTGAGTTCAGCATCATAGATAAAGCTGCTAAAGCAACACATCCAAGTTGTTCCAGCAAGAGCTTAGACCAACTGGCTGAATTTTATAGCAGGTCTACATAGCAGTTATTGACTGGAACCCACTAAGTTCTGTCTCCTGTAGTTAAAGGGCCAGAGTCTCCTGCTGCAGTCAAGGTAATGGGGTTCCCAGCTGTGGGGATCTCTCTTCAAGGTTCTCTCACTTTGATCCACTAGGGTGTCTATGGACCAGCCGTCATTCCCTGTGGACTCTGCTTCTGTGGAGTCCTCATGTTGTAGGATTACGGCAGGCTGGGACTATGCCTGAGTGAAAGTACTTTCCACTATGCCTGCTTGACTGAAAGGTCTTCATCCTGACTCTTAGTTCTTTGCTTTGCATGGCCAGTAGTGACAGTGGGATAATTTTAAATGCACGGACCACGTTCTGTCCATGCTTCTCACTATCACATTATATAAAACCTACATGAAAGGTTACATTCAGATTATTATATTTAAATCTGTGTGTGTGTTTTTTAATCTCATGACTGTAAGAAAGAAAGGATGTTTGATGTTTTGTTTCATTTCCTTAGAGTGGTAGCATTGTAAGGATGCTCTGACAAAACTGAAGAATGAATTGGGGAAACCTGAGATTCTTTGGTGCTCTGAAATTAGGGTCCAGGGATAAGCAAATCCCTGCTGAGCAGTGAGGGGCACTGCTTTGGCAAAAGGGTCTCTTGTCATTCCTAAAGGTAAAGGTACCCCTGACCGTTAGGTCCAGTCGCGGCCAACTCTGGGGTTGCGGTGCTCCTCTCGCTCTATAGGCCAAGGGAGCCGGCGTTTGTCTGCAGACAGCTTCCGGGTCATGTGGTCAGCATGACTAAGCCACTTCTGATGAACCAGAGCAGCACATGGAAACGCCGTTTACCTTCCCGCCGGAGCGGTACCTATTTATCTACTTGCACTTGACATGCTTTTGAAATGCTAGGTTGGTAGGAGCTGGGACTGAGCAACGGGAGCTTACCCCGTTGCAGGGATTCGAACCACCGACCTTCTGATCGGCAAGCCCTAGGCTCTGTGGTTTAGACCACAGCACCACCCGTGTCATTCCTACCAAGTTCTAATTTGATATAATGCAGCACCCCCGTTTCTCTGTAGGAACCTGTCCTGGTTTGTATCACCACACATTGCAGAAGTGTCACATTCAGGTCCTGAACATCGTTTTCTGAGTTTGGCTTGCGATGCCCCTCATTATGAAAGTTGATATGGCAACTCTGTTGCTCTGCATACAAATCTATGTACTCTCCAGTCCAGCAGAAGCTATTTTGACCCTCCTTGTCTATATATACAAAAGTCAAAGGAACACACGTTGTTGGCAGTGTGTGTCACTCCTCTTGTAAGTCCACAGCACTTAGAATTGTGTGTGTGTGAGAGAGCTTCAGAAGACAGAACTTCCCTAAATATTCAAAGCCAATGGCATGTGCAGTTCTACTGAAAGGTATAGCAGGCAAAATTCTTGGCTCTGCCCCATGTGTACACACATATAGCTATTGACACTCCCAGCCCTAGACATTTGTGTCATCTTACATTCTTGCAAGATTGAATTAAGGTCACAGATAACAAGCTGCGGTTGCTGGTGCATCTTGTCCATTTCATTGCTGTTGCCAGTTGTCATGTGGTCAGCTCGTAAGGCTACAGGCTCAACGTGTTTAAAAAGGAGATTCTATCACAGCAGCCAACAAACTCAAGTAAGCAGCGTATTGGCATGCAAATTAACACAATTTTCTTCAGGGACCTGGTCAGGTGTTTGGGTCTTCTTGCTGTTAAAGCTATGAACACAGCCAGAAGAAATGTGACTACAAGGTGAACTTTATTTCATTTGCTATATTTATATTCAGGCTTTCCTCCAAGGGGCCCAATGTACTGTATATGATTCCCACTCCACATTTCATTCACAACAACCCTGTGAGGTAGATTAAGCTGAAAGGAGGCTTGAGGTCACTTAGTAGGCCTTTGTTACCCTGTAGTAAGGTAAAGGTAAAGGGACCCCTGACCGTTAGGTCCAGTCGCTGACGACTCTGGGGTTGCGGCGCTCATCTCGCTTTATTGGCCAAGGGAGCCAGCATACAGCTTCCGGGTCATGTGGCCAGCATGACTAAGCCGCTTCTGGCAAACCAGAGCAGCACACGGAAACACCGTTTACCTTCCCGCCGGAGCAGTACCTATTTATCTACTTGCACTTTAACGTGCTTTCGAACTGCTAGGTTGGCAGGAGCAGGGACCAAGCAACGGGAGCTCACCCCGTCGCGGGGATTCGAACCGCCGACCTTCTGATTGGCAAGCCCTAGGCTCTGTGGTTTAGACCACAGCGCCACCCGCATCCCTGTAGTAGAATTGCCTGAATACCGAATGCTTCTGGTTTAAATGTGTGCTTTGTAGTGTATGTCATTTATCCCAATCCAATCATTGTAAGCTGCCTCAAGAAGTCCTTAAATTTCACAACAGAGTCCTAATAGCTCTTCTGCTGTTTGCAGCCAGGTGCTAAACTTTAGCACAATGGAATACCGAAGCAGAAACTGGAACATTGTGAGAAGGGCAAGATGACTTTAGAGTGGTCACTGTACTGAGCCGAAGTAAGGCAGATGCTCTCTTTTCTGGAGCTGGTTCTCTGCTTGGAGGGTTGGTTCCCTTTCGTCCCATTTTTGGAAGGTGCTCTCTTATGAAGTACTTATGAGAAGTACTTTTGATTTTTGTCTTTAAAACAGAATGCGGAGCTTTGGTTCATGTGCTTTGCTTCAAAAGCACACAACAAACCCTCCTCTTCCTCTTTGTGATTACACTTGTCTTCTCATATTATTCATATTCTAAAAGGTAAGCGGCGTTTCCGTGCGCTCTGGCTTTCGTCACGGTGTTCCGTGCGCCAGAAGCGGTTTAGTCATCCTGGCCACATGACCCAGAAAGCTGTCTGTGGACAAATGCCAGCTCCCTTGGCCCGAAAGGGAGATGAGCGGCGCAACCCCAGTCGCCTTTGACTGGACTTAACCGTCCAAGGGTCCTTTACCTTTTACCTTTATTCATATTTTAACCTAAGTAATTGACACCCCCATTTTTTCTTTCTGTTTATCTTCTTTGTTTCAGTATACCTGAAGGAGCATCTCCACCTCCATCGTTCTGCCTGGACACTGAGGTCCAGCACCGAGGGCCTTCTGGTGGTTCCCTTGCTGCGAGAAGCCAAGTTACAGGGAACCAGGCAGAGGGCCTTCTCGGTAGTGGCACCTGCCCTGTGGAACGCCCTCCCACCAGATGTCAAAGAGAAAAATAACTACCAAACTTTTAGAAGACATCTGAAGGCAGCCCTGTTTAGGGAAGCTTTTAATGTTTAATAGGTTATTGTATTTTAGTGTTTTGTTGAAAACCGCCCAGAGTGGCTGGGGAAACCCAGCCAGATGGGCAGGGTATAAATACATTATTATTATATTATTATTATTATTATTATTATTATTATTATTATTAGTTAGTATTATAGATTGAATATTGTGGGCTAGGGTTAGATTCACCCTTTTATTCTGTTGTTGGATGAACTGGTTTAGAAAATTATGCTCTGTTGTATTTCTATTCTGTGTATTTGGTTTTAAACCACTGATGATTTTGTTGCATCTGACGTAGGGAACGCAAAACCTCTAGGCTTTTACAAACCCAGCTATGTGGCCACATGCACAACACACATGAAAAGCACATGACTTCCCCCCAAATAATCCTGAACTGAAGTCTGTGAAGGGTGCATGAATTTGTGGCTCTGTGGGGAGCAAACTAGTTCCCAGGATTCTTTGAGGGAAGCCATGTGCATTAAATATATGGTGTTGATGATGTGACCATATTTTCCTACCACTAAATGCAAAATCATACCTCTAAATAAGACCTCATACATGATGCTTCCATGCTGAGTTGTTATATTTCTGTTTTCCGCAGACCTTTGTTTTTCTTGTAGTTCAGTGGTGTGACGCATCTCACCCTTGCAGAGAGCCTAGGGTAGCAGCAAACAGCAAGCCCTTACTAGTTGTAACCTGCACAAGCAACAAAAGGTTAGCATCATTAGACCACAGCTGCCTGCTGGGCGAAGTGGAAGAATTGTGACGCGGCCTGTGATCCTAACAGCGCAGGTGGAGCAAAATAGATTTTTTTGCAAGCCATCCATTTGCAGAGCCAAGAACGTGCGATCGGTTTGCAACCCTGCAAATATGTGGCACAGAGTAATTGCCAGATGTGATTCTCTGTGAAGTCCAAAGGGCAAAAGATTAAGTGGAGAGGATTTGTAAGTCTGCCATAAGATTTTAAATCCTCCCAACTTATCACTACAGCAGGTGAATGCAGAACCCTGCTAAGCTATGGAAGCACAAGACCACCATCTAGTGGCCGTGTGTGCCTGCCTTATATCCTCTTTGTAAAGGAGGAAGGAATTAGAATCTGGTCACATCCACACCATACATTCAAAGCACATGATTTCTCCCAAAGAATCATGGGGACTTTAGTTTGTTGAGGGTGCTGGGAATTATAGCTTTGTGGGGGTAAACTACAATTCCCAGGATTCTTTGGGGAAAGCCATGAATAGTGTGGATTTGACCTTTCAGTGAAGACATTTGCAAGATGCACAGTGGGCCTAATACATGATAGTAGAAAAGGCACATATTTGCACTGGTTTTTAAAAACCTGCTATATTGTAAACAACTTGCAGAAGGGACCTTGTTTAGGAGCACAATGGAGGTGACTGTAAGAGCTTTTCCTCATTCCCTGCCTTAAAACTCACGCTGAAACCACAAAGGGCAGCCTCAAAAGGGCATAGACCACTGAGAACTCTCCAGGGGGAGATTTGGGGATTTGAGAGGCATCCATCATTTCCTCTGATTGTGAGGGAAGAAGCGTCTTAATGGGTTTAGAGGAACAGAGAGCCACTTTTTCAAGGGGGGAGGGGCAAATGGTCTGGAGAATCCCACAACTTTCACAGATGAGAGCAAGGATGTAGAGTATGGAATCCTGATTTTTTTTCTTGGCTGTTAGGGAGTTTCAGGTTTGGTTCTGACTCTCCAGTGTTTTCTGTGTATTTGTTTCCCACTGAATCTGTTTGCCACTAACAGGATATGTACCAGGAGAAAGGGCTGGATTGCAGGAGTGTGGGAAATATAAGGCAGTCAAGATGTGTACATTATGTGTGTGAGGAGGGGGAGCAATACATTTCTCAGAATCCAACAGGTGAGAGGTTGAAGTCCGTCATTAGAGTTCCCTCCCCATCTCAGGATACACTATGTTTCATTCACTTGCCTTGAAGATTTTGCATCACAAGGATATACTGAAACTGTGGCTGTCCAGTCATTGGTGGACTAAAATGCTCATCATCCCTGACCAGCGGTTCCCTATGCCTAATAAAGCAGCTTATTACATGAGCAGCATCAATGCTACTTAAATGCCGCCTTCTCTCATTATCTTAGACCGGCAGTTTAGTGCAATGCAGAGTCACTTTGACTGAATGTAACAGCATTGGTTCAAGTGTGAAGATGTTTTGGGATCACACTGTGAAAGAAACTGAAAATGAAAGAGGCAAATGAAGGCAACGGTTAAAGTGCGTATCAGAAATTTATTCCTCAGCACAAGCAGTTGTAAAGTGACTTTTAACTTCAAAAATAAAATGAAATAAAAATATTTCCAAAAGAACAGAACAAAGTTTTCTTACTGCTTGAGATGTACAGCCCTGTGTATTTCAGGATGTTGCTGGCAGGTTCGTTTCTTGGATGTGAAATTTGAACACCCTCCCGGAGAAGCAAGAGAGCTGCCGGTCTAAATAGCAAACAATGACAAGGTATCTGACAAAGGGTAATGTGAAAATTTCACTGATGTGGTTTCCAGCTGGGTTGTGTGTGACCGTGAAAACGACAGAAGCCTCATCAAGAGCTCCTCCAAATTCCTTGCTCCCAACTCTTGTTCTGTATTCTAGCTCCCGGTATTGCTTCCTAAGCTGTTCTGAATTCTAGCTCCTGGTTTCACTTCCTAAGCTGTAAGATTGGACTTGGAACCTTTCTAGAGCACAGACTGGCACAACAGGGGCTGTCATGCAGAACAGAGCCACTGGATCCCTTCCTCTAGTGCGTTCTCTTCTCATGCTTCTTGCAAAGAAGCTGCCTCCCTCCACCATTTCACATTTCTTCTTAAACTATGAAAACCTGGGTCAGGATGAAGGAATGGGAAGAGCCTATCTTCGACATTCTCATGGTGCCCAGCACCCGTTTTCAAAGGTAAGCATATCACTACCCTGATCCGTACTTCCTGCCTGTACTAAGCCTTTCCAGGAGGGCTCTTAGTGAAAGGGCACCAAGAGAGCTTTTTTGCCTTCGGTTGCTGCAGAGCAAGCCAGGCCAGGCCAGGGAGGTTCTGCTACCATCACTACAGTGCTTCTCGCAGACAGTCAAGCAGCTGTAAAATACACAGGAGGCTCAGAAGAGTCGGAAACTGGCAACCTGCATTCCACGGCACAGCAACTTCGAGAAGTATATCCCAGTGATCAACCCCACCTCCCCAGGCCTGATTTCGCTAGGTCTCAACACTCAAACTTGGCTGCATAAGGTCAGTAGGACTACACGGAGGCTGAGGCCTCCCAAACTTATTTGACCTTGGGCCTAAGTACATACAGTGGTGCCCCGCAAGACGAATGCCTCGCAAGACGAAAAACTCGCTAGACGAAAGAGTTTTCTGTTTTTTGAGTCGTTCCGCAAGACGAATTTCCCTATGGGCTTGCTTCGCAAGACGAAATGTCTTGCGAGTTCTTGCGAGTTTGTTTCCTTTTTCTTAAAGCCGCTAAGCCGTTAATAGCCGCTAAGCCGCTAAGTCGTTAACAGCCGCTAAGCCGCTAATAGCCGTGCTTCGCAAGACGAAAAAACCGCAAGACGAAGAGACTCGCGGAACGGATTAATTTCGTCTTGCGAGGCACCACTGTATCTGGCTGTGGAAACCGCACATTATAAACCACCCTTGTGCTCCATCTGTCTCCCTCTTGAATGACAGGTTTGCATTCTTCAGACTTAGTATTCTTCAGACAATGTTAACCAGTATTTCAGATCTACTCTTCCTTCAACCTATCCACCCTCTTGCACTTGGAGCCCCACCTCAACCACCCTCGCCTGCTGAAAGGATAACTTCCTGCAACAGACAGCTGAGATCAGGCCTGTGTTCTCCAACATTGCGTCTCAAGATGATGTTGGTCTCCAACACCCATCATCTCTTACAGTTGGCTAAGGTGGCTGGGAATGGTGGGAGTTTGTAGTCCAACAATATCTAGACTCCATCTACAATAAGATAAGAGTGCAGCAAACTGTTACGATAACAGGCAGTGATAGGGCATTGGCTCTTTGCTATCACCTGACTCACAGGATCAGGAGTATTCTCATATATACAGTATATATGTATTTTTGTGTGTGTATCTTCTCCAACTAGCAGGGAGTAAGGAATCGGCATCTCAGCTGCTTTTTGAGCCTCATGATAACTGGCCAAAACATATACATGATGCATTGATTTCAAATGGCAGACATGCTTTTCTCCATGCTACAAGCCTTATTCAGCCGCTCAGTCTCCTCATGTGCAAACACATAGGGCTCTAAATCACATGGGGAGCCTCTCCACTTCAGAACTTCACCCCCCAAACTCACGAATGGCTCTAAACTGTGCAGCAATGATGCACCACAGGAGGTCGTGGGCCTAGTCAATTCACCCTTGCTCACTGCTATTTTTCTAGAAAAAGAGGTGCTGGAACTCACCTCCCATGCTCTCTTATAATGAGCATGGCACCCATCTGAGAGGTGCTGGAACGGAGTTTCAGTGAGCTGGGAAAAAAGCCCTGCCCTCGCTTTTCTCTGAGTAGAGACTGAATGCCCCAAGAGTACAAACAATTAATTAGGCCCCCGTTTCTGCAGGAACAGTGGCCTGCCCTTGTACTTTGGTGTTTTACCTGGGCCTCCATACAAATAATACATTGTGAACTGGCCTGGACTGTGGCCAAGATAAGCCAGGCAAGGTCAAGTTTGTGTGGGAATCAGGTATACACTGTGCAGCATTTTGTTAAAACGGATCTCCCCACCATCATATTAAATATTCGGGGGACAGGGGCTGGGTTTGCTTCATACCTTACATAGTTATTTTCTCATGCAAATGGGTAAAGAGGCCGAACTCAGAAGCTTCAAATTATGTTGACAGAAATTAAAGGTATTACATTGATTAACGCCATCTCTCCTCCCCCCCCCCGCCACTTTCTTGGTTTTAGTATGGCCACCGCCTGCTTCTGAGGATGCAAAAAACACCCCAAGCACATCCAGGGCAGTTCTTCCAGCAAGCTGCCTGTTCTATCCCTTTCTGGCTTTGAGTAGACATATGACTCCTAGCCATCCCTTTCCCCCCTGCTAGCTTTCATTGACCTGGGAGAGTCTACAAAAACCGGCCCTGGACTTGCATTTCCAGTTGCTAGCTTGTCAGACATTGGACCAAGCATCTGAGGTACAGGAACGCCTTAAAACTCTGTCCTGTGGACTCTGAAAACCACTCCCACACTTGCTCACATATTCCTCCCTCCCACTTACAGTGTCCTATTCTAGCAAGAGATTAATGTCAAACCTTGCACTCCAAAATTCCACACTTGGTCTTCCTTTCATTTTTCTGAAAGGGTTCTCCTTCTCTGGTGCTTCGACACACAACATTGTCCGGTTTCTGACCAACGCAAATTGGCTACTAAGCAGAGAGAGATGGAGAGAAGATCTTCCCTGCATTTTCACACACCTTCACCCCACTACTGCCGTAAAGAAGTAGTCATTTGACTGCCTTGCTGCCTCTGTGCCTCTTCCACCTCGAATTCTCATCTCATGCTGCTTTTCAGCCCTTGCAGTCCTGCACAGCCTCTCGTTCAGCTGTTCAGAAGAGGACCAGGAAACTTTGAGGAATTTATGTCTCCTGTCTCATTTAATTACGTAGCAAATGGCACACACATCTGTGTCAACCAGTTGCTTTCAAACTTTCTATCTGACTTATCTGTTGAAGAAGCAGATGATTCTGGGGCACAGTCTTGGGGCATTTCAAGAGAGAACAGCATGTTACAAGGCAAATGCCATGCCTGGCAGTCGCCGTATTTGCTTCGTAATGCTAATGTGGAGACAGAGACATAACACAGGGATACTGAGGAAATGCCTGCCAAGCCTTTCCTGTAAATGCAAAAGAGAAAGTGATTTTCTGTTGTGAGCCACCTTGGGATCTTCAGATGAATGGCCGTATACAAATTTAAGAAATAACAACAACAATTTGCATTTCCTTGGAAAACTTTGGCTGTGCTACAGTATTGCTCTCAGTTAAGGCAGGGCAAAGACTGGGTATCTTACACCTAGCATGAGCGGAAACTTGCAATACATCACTGGCTGCCTCCCCAAGGAACTCACAACAAGCTTCCAAGACAATCCTGTTTGGAAGAGAGTGATGAAAACTTTGAATTTGTGGGCTTTAGCAGGCAGGTGTTGAGAGACAATTAGGAGGGTCCATCCATGCCTCTGCGACTGCTTCTTTTCCACCTTACCACCACGTTCACACTACATGGGGCTTCCGGATGATGAGGCGAGGAGCTGTTCTCAGATATAAAAATGCACTTGTTTACAGATGCACAGTACTGCTTTTCCTAGGGCGGTTATGAATCTTGCCGCTACGTGAATGGCAAACCCTTCTATCGTTGCTACTTTTCTCCTGCTCCGGCCACACACAGTTAAATCCCTTGGAAACGTCGCAAGTCCAAAAAGTGGATAGTTCAGTGATTCGGAAAAGGAGGCTGCTTGCCTCCCCATTTGGCTTCATTGTCCTAATTTACAGGAACTCAACTTAAACAGAAAAGGGAGGGGAGGAGCTAAAGGTAACTATTCTGTTCAAACGCCTGCCTTGCGCGTGTGGGCCATCTCAACACATTACTACACGGCAGCAAACCTGGGTTTGCCACAAAGTGGGAACTCAGCAGTGAGCTGCAGCCAATCGTAGCTCTCTGGTGGGTGCACTTTAAGGATAAACTGCTGCATTTACACTTTAAATCTGAAGATGTACGCGCCCCCCCAACCCTTAGGTGTACACCTAAAAAACCACAACGTGTGAAGAAGCCCATTGATGGGGATGGGGATGCGCTATTTCTCTTTCACTGGTGACCAGAACCTGGTCTCCAGATGTGTGCCTGCATCCCAGTTTGCGCAGCTGAGAACCTGGGTCTCGCTACCTGGAAACTGGAGGATGAGGAGGGTCGGCTTGGGGAAGGCCCCCTGCCTGGCTGGCTGAGGTCAGGGGAGCTTAGATACTGTGGGGGAGCCACCTGGAAGGGCCCTGGGGAAGCGGGGGCAGAGATGGAGGTCATTTCTGTCCTCCACACAGGCTCATCCAGTGTGGTGGCAGAGCGGGGGGCCAGCACTGTAGGGGCCAGGCTGCTGGAAGCCGGCGCTGGAGCAGGTGTGGAGAAGCGGCGGATCTCATAGGTCCGGGCTGTTTTCACGGGCACTTGCTTGGCCGGGGTGAAAGACAGGCTGGACTGCTGGGCTGCCTGGCTTGCGGAGGAGGCCTGGACGTCAGAGCCTGGCACATCCCCGAAGCAGAACATGGCGGACTTCAGCTGGTACGGCTGGTGCCGCATGAAGTCGATGGCCTTGATCCCCGATTTCTGGCTGGGCCCCTTTTTCACTTTGCTCTCTGCCTTGCTGGCCTGCGACCTGCTGGCTGCCAGGGGATAAAACGGAGAGAGCAGTGGGTTGTAACCGATGGGGGGTGGGGCGCGGATGTTGGGGGAGTACTTCCAGGAGGAAGGCAGGGAAGGGGTCGGGGATGGGGTTCTGGCCTTTGGGGCCGGTGTGAGAGCAGACTCCACGACAAACTTGTCCATGCGGCTCTGTCGCTTGGCAAAGAGCTCTGCCCCTTTCCCCTTCAAGTGGGATATGTCGTTGGCAGAGGAGGAGCCGTTCACCAGTCCGCCAGAGGCCTTTGACTGCTGGGGCTTAGGAGCTACTGGGGGCGGGGTCTTGAATTTCCGGCCTGAGGCTTGCATGAAGTTGCAGGCTTCGGCCCCCAGGCTGAGAAAGTCCTCCTCGGGCCCAGACTCAAAGCCTGCCCCGTGGTGGTCTCCTTTGGGCTTTTCGTCCAGGTTCTGCACTAGAGACAGCAACTCGGGGTTGGGGGAATTCTTCTTCTTCTCCTCCGCAGTCTTGAACATGGGCTTCTTGCTGCTCCGCCGGCGAGCTTCCTGCAAGATACCCGTTCTGGGAGCCGGAACTGCAACTCTCTGTTCCCTGGAGGCAAAGGGCTCAGAAGCAGGCCGTGAGATGGGTGGCGCTACAGCAGTGAAGGGCTGGGAGAGGGGCTGCTGTTGGACGGGGCTGATGTACAAAGTCGAAGAAGCCGTCTCTTGGCCTTGGGAAGGCAGCAATGGCGGGGGTGTAGCAGCGACAGCCTCTGCAGCTGGCTTAGAAGGTGCCGATAGGTATATGGAAGCTGTGGAGGTTCGGGCTGTGTTGGAAGGTGGCTTGGCCTCCGCAGAATTTCCAGCCCCTGAGAGTTGCACCAACGATGGAGGGGTTGGGATATACAGAGACACAGAGGCACTTGCTGGGCCACTAGGCTGCACTGCCATGGGAGCGGCAGGAAGCTGAGTGGTCCCTGGAGTGACAGGGGAGAAAGGAGGCGCCGCTGTTCTCTGTCCACCAAAACTCTCACTGCTTTTCCTTGGCGCAGATGGTCTGAACACGACAGAGGAAGTCATAGGACGTTGCCCGGGAAAACCTGGAGTGAAAGGTCGGGCGGATCTGTTGAAGATGCTGGTGGCACTTGGCGAGTTCGGGGTGCCCACGCCTCCTCCTCCGAAGATGCCTGGTGGAGACTGGAGCTGAGCAGGGCTGGGTGATGGCAGCTGGCTAGAGACCTGTACAGCTTCTAAGTGGACACTCAGAGGGGCCCTTTCTGCCTTCTGTGGAGTGGGGGCTTCATTGTGTAACACGTTATGCACTTGAAGGACAGGTGGAGGTGGGGGCTGTTCTTCTGGCTCATGAGTAGGGACTCTCTCCACAGTATGTTCCCCAGCCTTCTGCCTTTGCTGCTCAAACAACTGCGCCCCCTTGCCTGATACCCCGCTGAGGCCTTGTTGAGCCTGGTCCTGCTCGTGGGCAGGAGGCCCCTTGGGCTTCTCAATGTCAAGGTAAGTATTGTCCCAGTCCGAGTGGTTTGTTAGGCTCCGGGCATCAGAGAAGCCTTCCTCGTCAAACTCGGATTCGCTGGTTGGGAAGACGCCGTCCTCTTCGTCATAGCAGCGGTCTTCATCAACGCTTCCGAAGCTGACCAGGGTGTACTTCTTTGCCCTCTGGCGGCGCTTTTTGAACATCAGGACGCCCTTGGAATGGGGGTTGGGCGCATCTGTCAGCAGGGATGCAATGGTTCGGCATTTGGTTTTGGCTTCTTTCACATTCTTTTCCTGCATACTCTCACTGCGATGAAGCTCTGCAAGGAACAGTGACAAAAAGAGAGGCACAGTCAGGATACTGCGGGGAATCTGGCTGGAAAGCCAAGCCTGCCTTATGTTCATATGTGTAAAATACAGTACTTATTCACACTGTGTGTAGTAAACTATGGAACCCTCTCCCACAGGAGGCAGTGGTGTCTACCAACTTGGATGGCTTTAGAAGAGGATTAGACAAATTTGTAGAGAAGGTTATCAACAGCTACTACCATGATGGTTATGCTTTGCCTCCACAGCCGGAGACCGTATCCTTCTGTATATCAGTTTCTGGAAACTGCAGGAGGGGAAAGTGCTCTTAGACTCAGGACCTGCTTGCGGACTTCTCACAGGCATCTAGCTGGCCACTGTGAGACCAGGATGCAGACCTAGATGGCCCACTGGTCTGATTCAGCAACCTCTTCTTATGTTCTTAAGAGTTACCTATCAACATGAGGAATATTCTTGCCCCTCCCACTAACTATTACCAGTACTGTGCCAGGCATTCAGGTAATGTGGGGATATCAGAGCTGGCTGGATAGGGGAAAATAAAAAACTTCTGACACTGGCTCTTCCAGTTTGGATCTGAGGTTTGGACAAAAATCAAGGTAACAATTTCCCACTGCCTGTGGTAGTCCAAGACAGGTTTCATAGGACTGAGGGCTGGGTCTACACATGCAGAGTTGAGTAGGGTGGACCATGTCAGGCTCCAGGTGGGCGACTTTTGAGATGATCCCCCACAAATAGCTTCCAGGAAGAGGAAACACCTCCTCCCCTGGCAGACCAAAGTGAAAGGTCCCTTTCGACTCTACAATTCTATGATTCTTGCTCAAGTAGCCCCCTTCCTGCGCTGCACTAGTTTTCTATTAGAATGTAAACCACTTTGAGTCTTTCCCCCGTACAATCAAGAAGTATATAAATTCAAATAAATAAATAAATAAATAAATAAATAAATAAATGTAAAGCAGCATGTAAAAATATGATCTTCCCTTTGCAGATCTCTGAAACGGTATTTTTCTGCCACCTCGTTTTGTTGCATGTGCTCCTCGAGCACAAGTGTCCTCTACTCCAGCACAGAGAAGCATAGTATGTGTGTTTGTAACAGAGAGAATTTAAGTGGGGATGAGTGGGGCGGGGGGGGGGGGAGAGGTCAGTAGACAACAAGCCAAGGGCGTGCTGCAAGGAGAGAGCACATGATGGGAGCCACGAGCGGATACACGATTCCAAACACATTTCATCACCTTAAAGAAGAAAATGATGCCTTGTCAATTGCAGTCAAGGCTATCATCCATCTCCATTTCTCTGCTGAAGAGTTTCTGGAATCTGAGGGGGTAACTTGATGGAAAACATTTAAAATAAAAACGGGGGAAAATATTTTTCTGATGGATTTTTCTTGATGTTTAATCAATGGTCCAAGATAACCATAGTGAAACATTTTCACGTGCGAGACTTAAATTGACTGTAAAACGATTCTTAATGAAAATTAACTCCAGTGTAGTCAGAGTGTACATTCCGTTTCTTGTCTCTCCCTCATCATGCATGAACAGTATTCATAGGAGACATTAAAAAAATAAATAGGAAGGAGTCTCAAACACATTTTTAATGCCATGTTTAAAATGCCCTAAGAGAAAAGGCAGCACTTCCTGCTTCAGCCTCCTCTCATTTTTTTTCCTCCTTCTCCTGCCTTTGCTGCTCCATCCATTCTAGAGGCACAGCCACTGAGATACAGGCTGTTCTGGAATGTTATCCATTCCACTGTTGGGCACACTGAAGGTCAAGACGAGTGACAGACAAATCTGTGGGAACAGAAGGTGCTGAAGATACCGACAGGGCTCTATACACCTCATAAAAAATAACGGAATGTACAAAGTACAATGGAAACAATAGCTGAAATTCCAATAAACCTGAAGTCTTCTGTGTTTAATAATCATGTAAGATCATACCAAGGATCCATCTAGTTCAGCATCCTTTTTCCAAAGGTAGCTGTTTCCAAGAAGCTCAGGGATGAAGGCAGCATTGTCTGCCCTCCTCACCTCTGCATGTGGAGATCCCCAGTAGCCATCATGACTAATAGCCAATGAGTTCTCTCTCCCCCATGAGTCACCCTCTCTAGTCACCCTCCAGAGCAAGCCTCCCCAAGGGGTCACCCCTACATTTTGTGGGAGCAAATTCCATAAAATCACTGTGCATCTTTTTTGAAGGCATGCTTCCTTTTCCTTGTCCTGAATCAACCACCAATTCTTTTCATCAGCACTGTTTTACCTTCTTTACGGCCATTATAATTTAGTGATCAAATCAGGCAAATAGTCACTGCACAACTGACAGGATGTTTAAAGCCCCTTCCAGCTGGTTCTCCTCATTCCACTTCCTACTGTCCAAAAATTCAGCTACCTTTGATCTACAGCTTCCTTCCACAAACCATCTGAAAGCAAAGCCCCTTATGCCAAGTGGAGCCTCTGTCTGTGAGGAGGCTTGCAAAAGTTTGGCATGCAAAACAAACTGGTACCTGCATATGGTTGGTCCAAGCTCTTGAAAGCAACATCTAGTCCCGGAGAGAAGGGCATGTCACACACCCTTAACTCACAGCTCTCCATAAACAGAGGGAGAAGCAGAACAGCTCCCTTCTGGAGCAGAACCAAAACCTTAAAAGAGCCCAGGCCCTTTGCCTACAGCTCCACTAGCCTTTTAAAGCCTCTCTTTTGTCTCCTCGACATTGCTGCTGAAAGCCATGAGGTAACTCTCTCTATTTTTACCCCCCAGGCATCATCACTAAACAGTGTGATGGACATTGTCAACTGTCAAACACTTGCTCCACTTCCCATCCTCCTCCCATAGATGGGGTTTAAAATAGGACATGTCCCTTGCCACAAATGTTTCCACACTTGCGCTCAGGAGAGGGGACTCTTTGAGTCACTGAGCATGAAGGCACTAAATCAAAAAACACTGTCATCTTTCCTGATAGTCAGGCATGTTTCACAAATGGCATTTTTCTGATACAGTCACTTACAAAGGATAACATCGGTGTAAAAGTAAAGGTAAAGGTACCCCTGCCCGTACGGGCCAGTCTTGACAGACTCTAGGGTTGTGTGCTCATCTCACTCTAGAGGCCGGGAGCCAGCGCTGTCCGCAGACACTTCCGGGTCACGTGGCCAGCGTGACGAAGCTGCTCTGGCGAACCGGCACCAGAGCAGCACACAGAACGCCGTTTATCTTCCCGCTATAAAGCGGTACCTATTTATCTACTCGCACTTAAGGGTGCTTTCGAACTGCTAGGTGGGCAGGAGCTGAGACCGAACGACAGGAGCTCACCCCGCCGCGGGGATTCGAACTGCCGACCATGCGATCGGCAAGTCCTAGGCGCTGAGGTTTTACCCACAGCGCCACCCATGTCCCAACATCGGTGTAGATTTCTCCAAATGGAGATGGGCCATTCATCACCATTTAAAAGTATAAAACAGGCATCAATTGACCATTGCGGAAGGATGCCTGCATAGGCCCGGCAGAACAGAAAAGTTTTCAGCAGGCGTTCAAAAGTTGAAACGGCTGAACCCTGTTGAATCTCTTTTGGCAAAAGACTGGGCTGATCACTAAAGATTTGGTTTCTTGTTGTTTCCAAATGAGCCTCGTCAACTCGGGGAACAACCAGAGATGCTGATCTCAGTGACTGAGCTGGGATATAAGGGTTCAGGTGATCCCTGGGGTACCTTGGACCTAAATTGTAGCTGGCAAACCAGCCAGAGCTGGAAAAAGGCACTCCGAGCCACTGAGGCCACCTGAGCCTCCACTGGCACTGTTGAATCCAGCAGCATCCGCAAGCTGTGAACCTGCTCTTTTCTGTAGAATGCAATTCCATCCAGGTAGGAACAGAAAACTGAAGTCAGTTTTCCCAATGCCCATTCTACAGATCAGAAGGATGCCATGGTCAATGGTACAGAAAGCCATGGGGAGATCAAGCAGGAGAAGCAAGGTCACAGTCTGCTTGGCCCTCTCACAATAGGTAACATCCCCTCAGAGCAACCAAGACTGACTCTGGCCTGAAACCATGTCTAAATAATTAGAAATAAATGGAGCAGACACGTGAATAAAACAAACAAACAAACAAACATGACTGCCTTCATATCCTACTTGGACTCTGGGCAACTGACCTACTGGAGTTAAAAGAGGATTGTTTCCCACCTTGGAGTTATGTTTCCTTTGTTTTAAAACATCAGGAGGTGGTCACAACGGAATGTGGGATCCCAGGCTATTCCTAAACTGCTAAGAAGAATGTCCCAGTCTGCCCCAGAAAACCCACAATCTGCTTCTGAATTGGAGCAAATGACAATCCATGGAAAACCCGGTTGCAACTTGCTCTGATCAGTGGTAAAACATGGCTTTCCCCAGGGAAAGCGTGCCAGGGGAAGAAGAAAGATAAACCACACACACACACACACACACACACCTGCTTGGACCTGGACATGGAAAGCCCGGATCTGTGCCTAGATAAGTGGCAAAAAAGTAAGCATGGATGAGCCCTTAGTGGTGCCTCACTTTCCAGATGTTACACAATTATCAACATGCTCCTTGTTCTAACAGCTGTAGCTGAGTATGAGATTTTTAAGGAGAGATAAATTTGAATTGGCAAAGTAACATGGAATCACCAAGGAAGAACCCTCCTGATGGGAGAATTATAAGAGTGAAATTTATCAGCAAAGGTAAAATATATATAGCCCCAGCTCTTCCTGCTACAATGTACTGCCGGAACAATGCAAGGATCCATTGTGAGATCAGGATGAGGAAAGGGTGTAATAGGTGTTTTCCTCTCTCTGGACCAGGTAGTTCCTCCACTATTTCCCATCATGAACTTTGCAGGGGGAGAAGGTGGAAGGGTGTCTACTGCACTGTTTGTCACAAAAATGTCTGCATGCATTACTGTGTGATACTGGCTGGACATACACTGCCTCCCAAAAGCACCAAATTCTTCTTATGTATTTCTGACTACTGTCAAAGTGACACATGCTGTCATATACATACATTTAACACAGCTACTCAAAACAAGCAGCTTTGATTTTATAAAGAACACCTGAAATTACTGCAGTGTGAATCAGGAGCACATCATGGCCTCATTTCCCTTCCAGTTTTATATGAAAGCAAGTGGAGCAGCACTGTGGGATGGTTTTGGACTGCCTAATATCTCTTTCCAGCATGTTACTGGAGTTCATAGAAACCCCTTTTCCTAGTATAAGATCTAGACCGTGCCAATGCCTGAGAATGGGAGGTCCATGCAAGCAGCAGTTTATTTAACCATGTAACTAAGTTCTCTGCAGCTCAATCTCACTCCCCGTTGAAAATAAAGAACAAATAACCTTTACAGAATGACATAGTCATATGAACCACTTTTTACATCAGCCAGAGATTAAGCAACATTGCAGTACAACCTCAAAGCAAACAACTCCAAAGGCTGGACTATTTATAGTACAGGACGAATTGTGAAAGTCTGTCCATACCAACGGAAATTCACTGCAATAGCAGATCAACAGGTATTTGATAAAGGCAAAGGTTCTCTGATAAAGGCTGAAAGAGAGTGATCTGTATGTTTTCATGAAGTATATATAGCAGTGTGTGAATCAGTGTATGTAGACACAGGCGTGAAAAACATATTGAGCCTGTAGAATATGATGAGTGTTATCAAGTTTTAACCCAGTCAGTAGATTTCTATTCGTGAGATATTTGAATTTGAAGTGAAAAAGATTGAAATGTTTTACAGAACAGATGATGCCCTGTGCTTTGCTGAATTTTTAACTCCTACAAAACACTATGCGCATGATCCAGCAAAGCTAAGAACTTGGTTGTCTCACGCATTTCAGCTGCAGAGTTAATCACATGCACTTACATCATTTCAATCAAAATCTATTGGATTTAAACATGCTTAAGGTTGGCTAGATCATGCCCTATTCATTTTGACCCTGTTCATATCCTTACATATGATCCATAAAGAGTAACTGATGCAGTATAGCAAGAACACATTCTCAATATAGCCAAAGTTGAGTGAACTTTGGCAGGCAAAACAATTTTTCCACGGCAGTTGTCACAGTGAACACAGAGAGCCAAATATAAGAGGTTAGAGAATAAGAGCAGCTGCATGTCCTTTATATGTGCAAGGTAGAGTGAGTGTGTGTTTAAAAACAACAAGAAGAAGCTACCACGAAGGTCCTTTGGACCCCAAAGCATCCCCCAGCCTGTTCAAAAACAGCAGATGTGTTCCGGGGCACACTCTATGTCCTGCCCATAAAAGGCCCAGGTGTGCCATCCAGCAAGGGCAAGGCCTCCCGTGCCCCCAACTGATTCAGGATGTAGCTTCTCAGGGAAAAGCCAGCTTGAACACGCTCCTTCAAATAAGCAGCGGTTCAAATGGATGTGGCGAACTGAACTTAAGAGGGGAAATATGAGAAACCGAAATCAACAGATTTGCCCATTTCTAGTCCAGAGGCACCAAGTATACTACTACTACAGTGGTACCTCAGGTTACATACGCTTCAGGTTACATACGCTTCAGGTTACAGACTCCGCTAACCCAGAAATAGTGCTTCAGGTTAAGAACTTTGCTTCAGGATGAGAACAGAAATCTTTCTCAGGCGGCGCGGCGGCAGCAGGAGGCCGCATTAGCTAAAGTGGTGCTTCAGGTTAAGAACAGTTTCAGGTTAAGAACGGACCTCCGGAACAAATTAAGTACTTAACCCGAGGTACCACTGTACTACTACTACTCCTACTAATTTTATTATTTATACCCTGCCCATCTGGCTGGGTTTCCCCAGCCACTCTGGGTAGCTCCCAACAGAACACTAAATTTCAAACATTAAAAACTTCCCTAAACAGGGCTGCCTTCAGATGTCTTCTAAGTAAATGGGAGATGAACCAGAGAACACCATTTCACACTCTGTGACACGTGAGACATGCTGTACTACATGGTTAGGCAAACTAAGGCCCGGGGGCCGGATCCGGCCCAATCGCCTTCTAAATCCAACCCACGGACGGTCCGGGAATCAGCGTGTTTTTACATGAGTAGAATGTGTGCTTTTATTTAAAATGCACCTCTGGGTTATTTGTGGGGCATAGGAATTTGTTCATTTTCTTTTTAAAAAAATACAGTCCGGCCTCCCACAAGGTCTGAGGGGCAGTGGACCAGCCCCCTGCTGGAAAACTTTGCTGATGCATGGCAGCTGAAGAAAGATCAGATGAAAGAGGAAGTAGCTACAGCAGCAGACTGCCCTCACACCCACTTTCCCTGATCAGCTCCTCAATGCCATGCTAAAAACTGCAGAAGAATGCAGTCCGGCGTGACTTTATTGATTACACAAATAATGAGGTATATGGTGGAACAGTACCCAGAGTTTAAGGCACAGTTGAGTGTAGGAAATACCTATTTTATTTTATTTTTCCTCCCCCCTACCCCATAAATTCAAATTGTTATTGATACAAAATACTTTTACTTATGGTCACCAATCTAACCAATAAACATTACTACACATCGTTTCATATCTGTAATAACTGTAATGATTTTGGTATATAAACTTCAATGCAACTTTGTTTATATATTCAGAAATGTTTATTTGAGTGTTTTTTGTTGTTTTATTTTTACGTAATTGTTGCATGTCATATGTCTAATGTAGACAATGATCTATCTTGATGCAACCATTTAAACAGTTTAAAGATGAAAATGAACATAAACTATGTTACAAAAAAATAAATAGGAAGCTATTGTTATTCTCTTGGACCCAGCAAATCTTCTAAGCGCTACTGCTTGGACCCAACCCTAGCCTCAGCCAGGTCCCAGAATTTTTGAAATCAAAAGCTGGCAATCCCGTAAACAGACTGTTTATTATTACTTGTTTATCATTATGCCTGAATAGCTAGTCACTGCACGTTGTACAAATAGAATTAATTGGAGAGGGGGGGTTAAGGAAGGGGATGGATTCACTTTGGATGGAAAGAAGATAAAATGATTTGGGGTTTCATAAAGTGAAGAGTTCGTTGATGGAAACGAGAGATAGAGATAAATGGGTTTTTTGGGGGAGGGCAATTAAATGAAGGGAAGGATTTGGACGGAAGCAGGGAGTTAAATAAACAACAAAGAAATAAAATAAATATGCAATGGGAATTCTGGGGAAGTTATTAAAAGGGCTTTAATTTTCTACTTCAGCCATACCTACATTTTTGCTTTGGTCACACTCAATTTACCATGGGCCTGAAAATGGTTTGCCACCCCTGCTATTCAATGCGTATATGAAAAAGAAAAGATCAGAAAAGACACTGTTATAAGGAGAGGGGAAGGAGCACAGAAGGCAGAATGAAGGGAGAAGAGTGAGATTCTTCTGGAATGTGGTCTAAGCCCTGTTTCAAGGGGGAGAGATGGCTGAATGTCAGGAGGTCTGGATTTTTAGAGACAAGGGACAGCAAAGTGGAGTGATGTCAAACAGAGGAAGCACTCAAGGTTTAGCAGAGGAACATATTGACAGAAAGATGTAGGGCAAAAGAGAAAGATGGGGAAGAGTGAAGGGATTTAAAAGCAAAAAGTAGTATTGTAGCTTAAATTGAATCCAGTAAAGAAAAAAGCAGTCAATGAAGAAAGGGTTAAACAAAGATGAAATGTAGGCAAGCCAGCAAATAAACCATTAAGTAGTATTCAAAAAGAGGGAACAAAAACAGAATGTTAGCAATATTTTAAAAGTCAAAAATGGCAGTAACTTATATACAATATTTTTAAAAAAATAAAGAGAGGAATGAAATAAGACTCCAAAGTTTCATGCTTGGGAAGAAGGAGCTGTAGAAGAATTACCCAGAATGATGAGAGACAAAGATAGATGCAGAAGGAGGGCAGGCCAATAGCTAATTTATAGACTGTTTTTCAATAAAGCTCCTTTGGTGTCCCCTCTGGCTACAAGTACCATAAGTCTCTGGATACAATACACAGACTATGTATACACTGACTAGTCTGTAGAACAAAAACTGAGTTTTCCCCAATCCAGAATTATTCATGCTCATCCTCAGCATGTTGCTTTTAATCTAGATTGTTTCTAGATCCTGCTGTCCACAAGGCTGGGTGGGGTTGCTTGATATGCTAGTGGGGTGGAAGAGCTGGGGGGTTGGGAATCATATCTGGCAACCAATGTGCCACTTTGGTTCCAGATACAGTGGTGCCCTGCAAGACGAATGCCTCGCAAGACGGAAAACCCGCTAGACGAAAGGGTTTTCCGTTTTGGAGGTGCTTCGCAAAACGAATTTCCTATGTGCTTGCTTCGCAAGACGAAAATGTCTTGCGAGTTCCTGCGGGGTTTTTTTCCTTCCCCCCCCTTTTTCCCAAGCCGCTAAACCGCTTAACAGCTGATGCTAAGCCGCTTATCAGCTGATCTTTAAGCCGCTTAACAGCTGATGATAAGCCCCTTATCAGCTGATGGCTAAGCCGCTTATCAGCTGATCTTTAAGCCGCTTAACAGCTGATGCTAAGCCACTTATCAGCTGATGGCTAAGCCGCTTATCAGCTGATCTTTAAGCCACTTAACAGCTGATGCTAAGCCGCTTATCAGCTGATCTTTAAGCCGCTTAACAGCTGATGCTAAGCCGCTTATCAGCTGATCGTTAAGCCGCTTATCAGCTGATCTTTAAGCCGGCTAAGCCGCTAATACTGTAGCGCTAAGCCGCTAAACCTCTAATGGGCTTGCTTCGCAAGACGAAAAAACCCGCAAGACGAAGAGACTCGCGGAACGGATTCTTTTCGTCTTGCGAGGCACCACTGTAGTACATAGGTAGATGAGTCTAATAAACCCGTTTTCATGGCCCTCTAGTGGTTGTGGTGGCCCATTTAACAAAAGTAATGTATTTTTCATTAACTCTGGAGGTTTAAACTAGATTCTGACCAAACTAAGCCTCCTTGAGCAAAATAAACATCAAGATTAGCTCCCCCTGCCCAAATATCATAGAACCATAGAATTGTAGAGTTGGAAGGGACACCCAAAGGTCATCTAGTCCAACCCCTGCAGATATGACCATAAAACCTTCATCCCCCAATTCGATTTAACGACATCAAACATGAAAGAAAAGCAAATACTCAGAGTGTACTTTATGTTTCAGAGAGGGAAACAACCCTCCCACTGTATATAGTTCTCATGATTCAGACTGCCACTAATGAAAAAAAATCATAAATAAACTGTCTCATCTAGGCCTGAGTGTTACATATAATTGAGTGCATGAAGTATCAGCCACAGTAACAAACGTACTGTGTGAACAATACAGGGAAAACAGTGTGTGCCCACCTAAGCTGTGTCCTAGTAGAAAAATGAATGAATGAATGAATGAATGTACTGTATACTCCACCTATCTGACTGGGTTGCCCCAGCCACTCTTGGTGACTCCCAACAAAAAAGTATCAGACACTAAAACAGGATCAGACACTAAAAACTTCCCTGAACAGAGATGCCCTCAGATGTTTTCTAAAAGTTGTGTGGTTCTTTATCTCCTTGACATCTGACAGGAGGGCATTCCACAGGGAAGGTGCCACTACCGAGAAGGCCATCTGCCTGGTTCCCTGTAACCACATTGCCATGAGGGAACCACCAGAAGGCCCTCAGAGCTGGATCTCTATGTCTGGGCTGAAAAATGGGGATGGAACAAGAAAGTTGGTTTCCAGGTGGAAAAATCAAAATTAGAAACAGAACTGTTAGAACCCAAAACTAAGATTTTGTCAAAGATGTATAACTTGCTGTTGAAATGGAATACTCAGGATGAAACGGTGAAATCTGCTATGATCAAATGGGCACAAGATGTTGGACATAACATAATGATGGCTGACTGGGAACAGTTATGGACCACAGGTATGAAGTTTACGGCATGAAATGCCTTAAGAGAGAATATTATGAAAATGATATACAGGTGGTACATGACCCCAGTCAAGCTTGCAAAAATTTATCATTTGCCCGATAACAAATGTTGGAAATGTAAAGAAACTGAAGGTACATTCTTTCACCTTTGGTGGACGTGCCCAAGGATTAAGGCTTTCTGGGAAATGATATATAATGAATTGAAAAAGGTATTTAAATATACCTTCTTGAAGAAACCAGAGGCCTTTCTCCTGGGCATAGTCGGCCAATTGGTGCCAAAGAAGGACAGAACTTTTTTTATGTATGCCACAACAGCAGCAAGAATACTCATTGCAAAGTATTGGAAGACACAAGATCTACCCACTCTGGAAGAATGGCAGATGAAGGTGATGGACTATATGGAACTGGCGGAAATGACTGGCAGAATCTGAGACCAGGGAGAAGAGTCGGTGGAAGAAGATTGAAAGAAATTTAAGGACTATCTACAGAAATATTGTAAAATTAATGAATGTTAGAATGATGTTGGATAGAAATTAAGTGGTTTTCAGCTGTAATACTATAAGGGAATATGAAAAATGGATTATTAATAGGTAAAAATTTAACGTTACAATACTTTAAGATTAAAGATTAGGATAAACAAAGAGGGTAAGGATTTGCTGAACCAACAAACTGAACTGGAATATAAAAAAGGGAGGCGTGAGGAGGTCCGGGAAATAAGCTAATGAAAAATAAGTAACGGAAAGATTGAGTTGTTTTTAGCCATTTTTATTTCTGTACTTTTTTCTTTTTTTGTTTTGTAACATTTTGAAAATCTTAATAAATATCTTTTAAAAAAGAAAAAAAGAAAAATGGGGATGGAGATGCTCCTTCAGGTATACAGGGCCGAGCTGTTTAGGGATTTAAAGGTCAGCACCAACACTTTGAATGATGCTCGGAAACATACTGGGAGCCAATGAAGATGTTTTAGGACCAGTGTTATAGGCCCCCGGGGGTCACTCCAAGTCACCAGTCTAGCTGGATTAGTTGTAGTTTCTGAGCTATCTTCAAAGGCAGCCCCACCTAGTGCATGTTGCAGTAGTCTAAACAGGAGATAACCAGGGCATGTGCCACTCTGGTGAGACAGTGTGCAGACAGGTAGGGTCTCAGCCGGCATACCAGATGCAGCTGATACAACAGCTACCCTGGACCTGTGCCTCCATGGTCAGCTGTGAGTCCAGTATTACTCCTAGCCTTCACACCTTCAGGGGCAGAGTTACCCTGTTCATGACCAAGGAGTCCCCCCCCGCCCACACCCTGCCCCCCCCCCAGAAACAGTTCGTTTTTTTCAGGATTCAACCTCAATCCGGAATGAATCAAGAGCAGCTGGGTGTTTCTTCTTCTTCCTACTCCTGCTGAGGGATTGTTTCTGCATTACAGCTCAGGATTGGAGGGGTGGGGAATGAATGCTGCACTCTTCAAAATATAACTACAGATAAGTAGCGTGCCAAAACTATGCAGGCACACTTCAATTGCAAAAATTCCCCGATCAATAGTAGCACAAAAGCAGATTGTGTTGCATGTTCACTGGTCCTCTTCTTTACAGACAGCCTAAGAAGGCTAGATTGGCTGAGGCTTCCTCAGAGTTGTACACATAGGGAGGTAAAGGTGTGTGTGAAAATGTGTGTGTACACATTTTTTTAAGAAAAAAAGTAACTGATTTCAGATTCTTGTTCCTATATGCAAATGCTAATTGTTTAGGAGGAGGAAGTGTGTCACATTAGGAGCTGCCCTCACTGTAAAGGTAAAGGTAAAGGGACCCCTGACCATTAGGTCCAGTCGTGACCGACTCTGGGGTTGCGGCACTAATCTCGCTTTATTGGCCGAGGGAGCCGGCGTACAGCTTCCGGGACATGTGGCCAGCATGACTAAGCCGCTTCTGGCAAACCAGAGCAGCGCACGGAAACACCGTTTACCTTCCCGCCGGAGCGGTACCTATTTATCTACTTGCACTTTGACATGCTTTTGAACTGCTAGGTTGGCAGGAGCAAGGACCAAGCCATAGGAGCTCACCCCGTCACGTGGATTCGAACCACCGACCTTCTGATCGGCAAGTCCTAGGCTCTGTGGTTTAACCCACAGCGCCACCCGCATCCCGCCCTCACTGTAGCAACCAAAAATAATTTTTTAAAAGTCATAGCACCACCTGCCTTGGGATTGCCCCACAACACAGAATACTTTAGTTATAGCACCCTCAGAAATGCTCCATGGGGGGCCACTAGGGGGCGCATTGGAAGATGGCCGACAATACCATCTCTCTGACCCACACGGGGTAATTAAGAAGCTGTTATGGGAGTAGGCAGCCTCCCTTGTTGCCCCAAGGAAATGGGGAACACTGCCCTTGCCTGCTGTGCCCATAAATCACCCCCTAATTCGAAAGAAGGGGGTGAGGGCCCTAGGCAGAATGCCCCCGTGTGGACATCGGCTCTCTTGGACGCTGTCTCTGATCGCGCACTAGTTGCAGCAATTTGGAATAATTAATTACAAAATGCAAGAAGCAAATGCACATATTTCAAGTGAAGAAGGGGAGTGAAGTCTGCTAATTTAAGTGACCTCTGCGAAAGAAGACGACGGGCTGGAGAAACAGGAATATTTTACGATGAAGATACACCAAAGGTGGGGTATGTTGACAACGGGGCTGAATGGGGGGGGGAACCTTTTTTACTTTCCTTCTATATGATTTACAAGAACCCCTCCTCATTAGAACCATCGGTTGAACTGACCCAAGCAGGATGATTAAGGTCTGTGTGGAGATAAACTTTAACCAAAAGTATGCTTTATGGAGACCGAGAAGCAATAAGAGCTTTTGGGAATGGCGCAGCAATTAATTCGGAGTCGCCATCTTGCCAAAGGATTTATAGCCGGGAGGAAGAATGGATTTGTTTTCAGACTGCATTCCTAGTGAATCTCCTCAGAGGTTTTGAGAAAGGAGGCAGATTGGTGAAGATTAATGACGCTAAGACTGTTTTGATGTATGGAAGTGATGTTATATGGAAAACGTCTGGATATGGCTACTGGATAACAAAAATAATATCCACGCAGGATTACAAACTGTTCTAACCAGCTTGCGGAGATTATCAGAGGTCACAAAGAGAAAGGAAAAATATATGAAAATAACAACAAGAGATGTGGAAAAATAATAAGAAAGGACTGGATAGTACTGTGAACATCATAAGGTTAGATTTGTGGACATTAAAACAGCAGTAAGAAGCAAGAAGTTGATTGGATCCCTTCGGAACTTGAAATATGGGTACCCCCAACAAAAATTTAAAATTCGGCTGTGTAATTTGGAATTTATGTAATTTGGTTTGATTTGATGTGATTGGTCGGTTAATAAAAAATTATTCTTAAAAAAAAAAGAAATGCTCCATAGGAAATAATCTGGCCTTCCTAGGACCCTTCTGACTCTGCCTATGAAAATAAGCCATGATGCAAGACATTGCTCACCCACTGCTAGGACTATCAAATAGCAGAGAACAGCTGGGCATGCCATGTCTTGCTCAGCATTGGCCTCATGGCTGTGCATTATTCAAAAGAGAAAAATCCTCCATCTAAGGTGGCTAAAGCTCCTGGGCTGGCAATTTAGGTTTGCCTGACTTACCTATTAGTAAGTCCCGCAGAACTTACTTCTGACTAAACATATATAGGATTGCAGTGTAGATCACTCAGCTCCTGACTCTGAAATGTGATTCTTAATAAAATAAAATAAAATCTTCCCCACTTTGACAAGCGTTAAAGTGAAGTCAGGTGATTGGCAGCTGGGCTGTCCCACTCAACTGATGCACACAGGGTTCAATCCTACTTTCTACAAGGTTTGGTAGTACCGGTTAGTTTCCCTTCCAAAACATCCAAACCAAACAGAATTGAACTGCTTGTGAATCAGCTGGTGTGCTTGGGGGAGGTCCAGTCCTGCTGTCTGCAGCTACATATCTACCTGCTGTACACCTGATGTCACATATGACGTCAGGTGTGAGCTGGTGGGCATTGTTTAGGAGAAATGGCCTTGCAGATAGGGAGACTTGGTAGGCCTCCACACACTAGAATTGCAGGCTGTGTATACCAGTAAACCAAACATTGAAAAACACAAGAAAGGCTGCTGTGAACTGCATGTAACCGTAACAGTTCAAAACCAACTGTTTCCCCATCTATAAGACGCCCCCTATTTTTGTGGCAACAACCAATCACCAGTCCACACTCAGTACTATCTGTGTACAAGACGCCCCCTAATTTTTGACTATTTTTTAGGGGGGAAACCTAGTCTTATACATGGGGAAATATGGTAAACAACAGTATGATTTCTGAAATCTAGCACCAATGATCAACAGTGCATGTGCACAGATCACTCAGATGGCAATTTAACTGATATAACTCATTGACTGGATTCGGACATAACACTAAACTATGGTCTAGTGTTACATGGGTGAACCTTGGGTTCCTTCTCATTTTCTCCTTCTCTGGCACAGTGATTAAAATATCAGAAGGTTTTACTTCCATTTTTTAATAACTGAGGGTTATCTCTTGTTTAGAGAAACAAGTCAAATTCATAAACCACTGAGGGGTTTTTTGGGGGGGTGGATTGTTCTACTAAACCAGAGGTCAGCAAACTTTTTCAGCAGGGGGCCGGTCCACTGTCCCTCAGACCTTGTGGGGGGCCTGACTATATTTTTTTGGGGGGGAATGAATGAATTCCTATGTACTGCAAATAACCCAGAGATGCATTTTAAATAAAAGCACACATTCTACTCATGTAAAAACACGCTGATTCCTGGACCGTCCGTGGGCTGAATTTAGAAGGTGATTGGGTTGGATCCGGCCTCCGGGCCATAGTTTGCCTACCCATGTACCAAACCATAGTTAAGACTAACCACAGTTTGCCTAGATTTGGACACAATGGTAACCACATAGAATTTTAAAAAACTGGAAGTGAAAGCTTCTGGTCACCACCTCACAGCTGCACCACAGGAGGAGTGAAAGGGGAGCATGTGAGCATGAGGATCATTCACATAATGCCAAACCATCGTTTAGTGTTATATCTGAACAAAGTGGATTCTGGACTAGATATGATCTAAACCTGATATAAATTTGTATTGTAAAGCATGCATATTGTCACATTTTCTTTGATTTTTATTGTTTTATCGGGGGAACTGCATTAAGTTCATTATGCCCCACCCAAACAGAAGAAGTCAATGCTGTCATCTTGCTGAGTCACTGCTTGGGCTCACTTACTGAGCAGAAATCACCACTGATCCAGAGCCCCTTCGCTGACATCATTTACCCAGTCCAAGGCATTGTATCATTGAGCAGCAAGCTAAATGAGTCAGGCCAGCTGCAATCCACGAGGAGCACCACTCGCAACTTGGAGGTCATCCCAGAAGCAGGGCCATAACATCATTTGGCAGCAAAAGCAGCAGCCCCCAGGAAGACTCTGAAGAAGACTCAGAGATCTAAATTTTCAACAGTAAACTAGACTTTGGGCGAGGCTTTTTTGGACATGTGGTTGACCATTGTTTGTGCCTGACAAAGGTAGTTTTGAAAGCTAGTTCTCATACTGTTGTCCCTTTCCATGTGCAGGAATAAACAAATATTTATATATTTAGCAAAATGTATAAAACACACCTCTAAGTGGTTAGAACAATATCAAGTAAAACATTAAAAAATATTGCTATCAGTTATAAACAAGTATTGGAATAGTCAAAATATGATTAAGATCAACAATGGCTAAAATGAAATGTGGCATGTAAATTCTGCATGTCTGGATAGGATAGCCCAGACAACTGACATCAGCACCAACCTGATGTCAATAAGCAAGGAGTTCCCAAGTATAGGTGCCACCAGAATAAAAGATGGATTTCTTACAGGTGTGGAACAAGTACCGTACTGGCCTGAATATAAGCCTCACTTTCCCCCCCAAATTCCGACCGTGAAAAGTTAAAGTGCGGCTTAAATTCGCAACCTTACAAAAATCAACTTTTATGAGATCACTGCTGAAACAGACATATGGTAAAACAGAATGGGTGCGAGTGCCTGCGGAATTTTAAGGGAGCGGCTTATATTCAGGTGCAGCTTATATTTGGGCCAATATGGTATTATGTGGCAGCTGTAACAATGCCAGTCCCACAGACTGAAGAAGTCGAGTGGACATAAATGTTGTAAAGCAAGGATCAGAGTCTGTTGCACTTCAGGTGGAGAAGCAGTTAACGGAGCTCTCGGGTTTCCTGAGTTGTAACTTGAGCCAATACAATTATCAAAAGAAGATAATAGTAAGGTAATAGTGACCAATGCGGAATTATAACTGGAGCTGTGTGTACTCCTTAAAATTCTGCACTAAGGAAATCCAAATTATGCATGAAGAAAAGCTGAAATCTGCAAAAAGGAGAGGGGCGGGGAGGGAAGAGGGGAGAAGGGAAAGGGAAGCAGGTCTGCCAGGAACACTTACTGGCTTGTTTGGCTTTCTCTGCATAGGTGGTGGTCAGGTCTTCATCGACGGGGTGCTCCACAGGCCCTATCATGGGGATGAGGTGCCTCTCTGCTCGAATGTTCTTAGTTGCATGTGGGAGGAGCATGGCTTCTGGGGAAGGCTCTCTGTCTTCAGGTAAGGGTGGCTGCAGTAGCATAGCTTCACTCTCTGAGAAGGGGGTGTCGGTGCGGCTTCCTGGCTGGCACACTATCTCCCTCTTGGCTACGCCGCTGAGGTTTTCTCCACGTTCTGCAGCTTGCGCTGTTGCCTCGGGGGTGCTGTCGTACCCGCTCAGCTCGGAAAGGGACACTTCGTCCTGTGGCTCGCCTGCTTTATTGTTTGGTCCCCCTGGGGGAGAACGGGGGCTCTTCTTGCGAGCTCTCCGGTGCTTTTCCTGGGCAATGTTGTCAGCGTCGCTGTCGGTCTCGGCATAGTACGCTTCGCTATCAGGGGGTGAGGTTATGTTCTCCAGGGGCTGCTGCCGTCGGGGCTGCTGCTCAGGTTCCAGGGCAGCAGGGGGAACGGCCGGTTCAGGACTGCGCAACTGGGAGGCCCGGTTGAGCGGTGAAGTTGGCGAGGGCACTTGCAGCTGCCTGGGGGAAGGGGAACGCAGGAGCCCCTCAACAGATGGGTTCCCACTAAGCACCCTGTAGGAAAGAAGAAGAAAATAAAATAAGAGATTCTGGGTCAGTTACACACAAGGCAACAGATGAATATTTCATGCAGTTATGTGGATCCCGTGCAGAATCTCCAATATAGCTCTTTTGAGAACCAAAGTCAATTTATGGTTAGGAAATTATGAAAATGTGTCACACAATGGCTAATGAAGATACAGAGAGTGAATCCCCAACCTCCTATATATTGCAGTCAGAAGGCCACTCATACAAATTAAGCAAAAATCGGAAAGGTATCTAGTTATGCATCCATCGGTCTCTCATGAAGAAGTTTAACCTCTTAGTATGAAATATGGCTTGTTAATAGTATTGGGTGAATCTGTTAGTTTCAGTTTCTCTCAGTTTCTCCTTTTTCTAATCTTAAGTTCAATTTTCCACATTGGTTTGCAAAAGAATAAAAATACTGTATTTTTCCGTGTATAAGACACCCCCATGTAAAAGGTGCCCCCTATTGTGGGGGACTCAAATTTAAGAAAATGGGGGGAGATGGCTCAGGGTTGTTGAGGTTTTTTTAGGGGGGATTGCCGATAATCGCTCACCCACACACGGCGCGAATCCACCTTTCATCTGTCCCCTCACCAGCAGAAGCTGCCAATCGCCTGCCCAATTGCTGCAGCATCAGCCAATCAACACAAGCCCTTGACGCAGAAACCAATAACACACCAAATAGCCACGGACAGCTGAGGCAGCAACCAATCAAACGCCCACCCTATGCACTATCCATGTATAAGATGACTCTCACTTTTTAGCATAATTTTTAAAGGATAAAAATCTAGTTTTATACAGTGGTACCTCGGCTTACATACGCTTCAGGTGACAGACTCCGCTAACCCAGAAATAGTGCTTCAGGTTAAAAAGTTTGCTTCAGGATGAGAACAGAAATCGTGCTCCGGGGGCGCGGCGGCAGCAGGAGGCCCCATTAGCTAAAGTGGTGCTTCAGGTTAAGTACAGTTTCAGGTTAAGTATGGACCTCCAGAACGAATTAAGTACTTAACCCGAGGTACCACTGTACATGGAAAACTACAGTAAAGTCCTCATAAAAATTCATCACCTGGAACAACACCTAATATACACATCTAAGTAATTTTCCCTAATCTGCACATTTTTGCATGGCATTTTTCAATAATATAATGCATTTTTGTATCTTATTTTCACTATATTTCATAAAATTTTGACACTGTTTGATTGTCCAAAAAGGCCCCCTAAAAGCTCTCAAAACAGTATACCAAAAAGATTAATTTGTCACAGGATTTGGTTCTAGTAAATTGAGAAGGTGTGTGTGGCGGGGAATCTCTCTATCCACTTTCACTACCCCATTCATAATTTTATACCCCTCTATCATCTCCCCACTTGCTCACTTTCTCCCCAAACTAAAACACCCCAAATGATGTAACCTTTCCTCACAGGGGAGTTGCTCTAACCCCTTGATCATTTTGGTTGCCCTCTTCTGAATCTTTTCCAGCTCTTTTTTTAGGTTAAGCAATTGCAACTGTGCATATTATTTAGAGTGTGGTCTCAGCATATCTATTATCCATCATTTGTTAGCTTCAGTTATCAGAAAAGTAAGATATAATTTTAGTTGTTTGTTGATTTTGATATTTATCAATCTTCTATAAAATAGTTTTTAAGAAAAATTAACCTTGCAAGAATGGTGTTGAATGGGAAACAGAGAAAATGCACAATGCCCTTGGATGCTTGGAGAATAGCTAGTTCTTAACAAAAGAGAAATATGAAGCTGTTTTATACTGGGTTAGATACAGTGCATAATAAGTGTCCCCACACAGAAAAGAAACAAAACAAAAAACTACAACTACACAACATTTATAGCAGGGGTGGCCAACTCCCGAGAGACTGCGATCTACTTTCAAAATTAAAATCTGGCAGTGATCTACCCTCTTTTTTAGGGGTACAGATCAAAGTTGTTCACCTTTTTGGGGGGAGGAGAGATGCCCCATTTTTTAGGGGGGCAGGGACTTTTTTGCAGCTCTTCTGAGGGAGGGAGCAACAGAAGCAGCCACTAATCTTATGATCGCTGGCCCAGAAGGGAAGGTGGAGTTTCTAAACTCTGCCTTCCCTTCTGCAGCAATAGACGCCGGTGCAGGGAGAAGGACCGGGGCCGGAAGGGGGCCAGCGATCGATTGCGATCTACCAAAACCTCACAGGGATCGACCAGTAGATCGCGATTGACGTGTTGGACATCCCTGATTTATAGAATACTTCAATTAGCAAAACACCATACAAACAGCAAACACACAATATACATACTCCGACAGAAAAACCGGTTAAAAGCACATCTCAACTTGATAAAGTATCAAGTTTGTACCGTGAACCCTAATTTCTTGAGAAAATTCTTTTAATGTTAGAAGTCCAACTTGAAATGAAATTTCTCAAGGAATTAGGATGCAAGTTTGGGGTCTGGTAGATAATACTGAGTCAGGCCATTGGTCACTCTAGCTAATAGTTTCCTTTGATTTGCAGTACTCTCCAATGTCTCAAGGCTGAAATACGTATGACGTGGGAGAGAAGAATTGGATTTCCCAACATTTTCTTTCTCTTTAAAGCAGCAACCAGGGCCTCCAGTTTTGACCTAAGAAGCGGCACTGATAGCACCCAGGAAAATGTGTCAACGCCTCCTTTCTGAGCACTGTGATTCCAATCCAAATGAGAGCACCCTCCTTCCCCACTGCTGCTTTAAGAAAGTAATCAGGAAATCTGATCCTGGGTCACATCTGTTTTGGCAAACAACCAGAGGTCTTTCCCAGCCTTGCTATCCACAGTCCTTTTCACTGGAGAGCCAGGGGACTGAACATGGCCTCTTGTGTGTGCAAAATCTGACATTCGCCACTGAGATACGTGCAAGCAGCAGGAGGGGCAAGTACCAGATGATCTAGGATCAGATCAAGGCATTTTAAAAATAAATAGTGCCACCTTATGTGAAAATGGTCAAAATTGCCTAAACCTACAGTGTTATGCTTTATCGTTGTTATGGCACACTAAAAGAAGCTGCTAACTGCATACAATTGATAAATGAGAAAATTGTTAAATACTTTAATTTTTATACAAATGAGCATGCATAGCAGTGTCCCATGGGTGCAACTTATCCTTTAATTAATGTTGACCTTGTGTCAGAATACAATTCTTTACACGCTGGACATCTTTCTTAATAGAGGGCCCACAAGCATACTCCAGCCCAGAGAAGGCTGCCAAAAGACCATACAGGCTGCATTGGCACTGCTTGTGATATTGCAGGCACTGTTGCCAGGAACACAACTTTAAACTAAGGCTCAGTTGACAGCCATGAGTTTTTCCAGTTGGGCTTATGCTGACTGAGCCGAGTGGCTGGGATCTAAAGAGCTGCTCTGGTTCACTCAAGCGTTTGCATTAGCTCAGCGGAATTTTGTCTTTTTTTTGTTGAACAGCTTATCTCCATGCTTCCAGAGGGCAGCCATGGTGGCCTGTTTATCAGCAAAACAACAAGGAGCTGCATTCAAAGAAGACGACTCAAGCCCACAAGGGTTCTCTCCTCACTCACTGTCCACATCTTACTCCTGATATATAAGTTACCGTATTTTTTGCTCTATAAGACTCACTTTTTCCCTCCTAAAAAGTAAGGGGAAATGTGTGTGCGTCTTATGGAGCGAATGCCAGAAGCCAGAACAGCAAGAGGGATTGCTGCTTTCACTGCGCAGCGATCCCTTTTGCTGTTCCGGCTTCTAAGATTCGGAACATTTTTTTTCTTGTTTTCCTCCTCCAAAAACTAGGTGCGTCTTGTGGTCTGGTGTGTCTTATAGAGCAAAAAATACAGTAAATAGCAACAGTCTTGGTACAGGTTATTTGGGTATAGCATTGCTAACTTTCCTGAAATATGAAAACTGTTTAACCTAACCTTTTGCTTTCTGTTTTTTAACTGCTTAACAATCTCCACAAGAGCTTCTATCTTATTTTCCCACATTTTCATATAAGTCTTTGGTGTGGTGTTGATCAATGTATCTATTTATTTATTTATCTACCTACCTACCTGGCTCACATATTCTTGATATCTACCCTCCAATGCAATTATAAAAAAATATATAAGTAAAGTAACCATAAGCCTTCAGAATGAGAACTTGGATAGATGATGCTATTACACTGATCCTATTTACACTAAGTGCTGAGCAAGCAAGAATTTACCCATGCAGCATTCCATGTAGCTGGCTTCAAATTTAAACCAGGCTCTCAGCTACTGAATGTGCAATAATAGCATGTCAATGCAACACCCGCTCAGGCCACAAGGATCACTAGTGTCCTAATGCTGTATTAGAAGGCAAGACAGCTGTGGCTTAAAAGAGACATCAGGCACTTGGAATACGGTGCAGGAAAGCTTTTCTTACACGTCTGACATCTTCTTTTAAACAGGCCAGCCTGGTCACACTCTGAATGTCCAACATGTCCAGAAGCCTAATATGATTCATTCTGAGGTTTTTTTTTAAAAAAAACAGACTACATATAATGAAAAAGAGTCCCTGTAACTGTTAGTGGGGGGAGTAATTTTCGCATGACATTTGCATGCATTCTGGATTGAAGTAGGAGCACAGGTCAGGCATAGCTGGGAAGGTATATGAAATCACATATATAATTACATTGAACATTTAATCAAAATCAGTTTGTGCTACCTTAACAGGGTGCTGCATTTTTCACCGTGCTCAGCTGACACCAAGAGCCAACAGCTGTTATCATTTACCTTTTAACAACAATGTTGAGGATGCCATTTGAGGAGTCGATGATCTGCATGGCGCTGGCATGTGAGAGGCCAGCACATGATTTCCCATTGATGGTTACCAGTTCATCATTTTCCCATAAGCCCCCACGGCATGCTTTGCTTCTTTTACGGATCTAAAAAGGGAAAAGCGGAGAAGAGAGAGTGAAGGAGAAAGTTCCCTCCTGGGCTATCAATAGGGATACCAACAGCATGACAGTTACCATCATGGAAAAGCTGAAAAGGGGGTTTGGTCAGCACACGAAAGGGGCACACTTATGCCACATCCTATATCCCTTCAGCCCATGGCCACAACCCCATCGTTGATGCGAACCCCACATAGGGAGACCATAACTCAGATGACAGCTGCTTAGTGTGTGTCCTCTCTCTCGTCTCATGGCATTCACACCTAGCCCTCACAAGGGGCAACTTCAGTAACGTGAAACGACGTAGAAAGGACATGTTGCACACAAAGGGACTACTCTGCAAAGAACGGCCTAAGCTTGAGCACAGTACCAAGACGTCTCTCCTTACAACCCTAAATGGGTACGTCAAATTGGGATAGGTAACAACAGCCTCCACTCAAATAACTGGAGTGAGTGTGGGGCTGATATATCCAAAGGACCTGCTGCAAATACCCCAAGTCTTTCCCTCCCCCTGCATTGCCATACGTGAGAGCCATCTTCCTTTGCCGAACTGTATTGCTCCAGCAATTCCCCAACCACAACAGTGGGGGGCAGTGTTCTCAATGCATGGGATATACTCATCCCCCATTGGCCAAAACCAGGCACTCCACTTCCTGCCAGCTGGCAGTTAATAGCAACAACTGGGGTCCTTTCATCAGGACCTAGGTGACATGGGGAGGATAGGGTTAACCTTTCCCTCTCAGTGTGCTGTGGTCCCAATGAAAACAAACCCCTTCCCCCAGTGTACCCCTACTTTTAAAAAACTGCATAGTTGCTGATGATGAGCCTAACATAACACCCTGGTCCTCCGTGTCTCCCCTGCAAAGTGGAGGAGCAAGGAAAAGGAAGAAATGCCTATCTTTCTTTGGGAGGTATGAGCTGTCTAGACACTTGTTGGACCTTTATCAGCCTCTGGGGATCAGCTCCAAGCTTTTCCTGCAATCTTAAAATAGAAATTGCTCATTCCATCTGCCACATTCATCAGCACAAATGCCATCATCCTGGCCTTCCAGAGACTTTGCCCTTCCTCTGCCTCTAGCATTTGGAAAAGAAAAAAAAAATCTGGAATGAGAACATGAAACCTAGTAATAGAGCAACAGAGCAAACAGGCTCTCCTGCTCCTATCAAACTGAGCGGTTTCCATCTGGTTTCCTTCCCTCATTTCACCAAGTTTTCTGGGATACAGTTTGTAGGCAAATAACAAAATAAAGAACTATGTACACTCATGTGAGATGCTATCATTGGGAGAAGCTGGAGCGAAGGTATCTGCTTGTATTTGAAGAATGTAACTGACTGGGAAAAAGGTGCCTCAAGCCCAATATTTGGAGAGAAACAACTCTTTCATGGAGATATTTCTCCACAAAGAATGCTGCATGCACCATACATTTAAAGCACAAACACCAAATCATCCTAGGAACCACAGCTTATCCTTCACAGAGCTACAATTTCCAGCATTCTTAATGAACTACAGAAGGATTCTTTGGGGGGAAATGATGTCCTTTAAATGTATGGAGGATGTACACAGCCATAGACTATCCGCTTTTCATTTGCATATTGAGGCCCCATAACCACCCTGTTCCGTAAGGTGCAAATAACTAGACATAACACAGGATATTGATTTAGGATCAAATAAGGCCACAACTTTATTGGTTACATGTCACTCCTGCCCATCTGCTGGGAGTGTTTCTAAGAATGAAGATGGCAGCGGCGGGGTGGGGTGGGGACACACCCTACATCAAATCGGGGCATCCCTCAAGTGGTCCCTGTTGGAGGAGTAGTATGGCCCTAGCCCGCGTCTGGGTATCGGACAGGAGCCACTCCTCCTGGATTCTTTTACCCATGGAGGGGCAGGCAGAGGCTACCACCTCACCTCCAACCAAGACTAGGTTTACCCAATGCCTATCCGCCTTTCAAAGTTGTGACGATTGCTACGAGGTAGGCGAAAACCCAAGTGGTGGTGCCAATTAATCAAGTGGAAAAAATTCTTGCCTGGCCCCTGAAAATTTAGGTGGCTGACATTGTCCATAGCAAGGTCAAACCATCCATGAAAAACCCTAATCCGAGGGAGGGTGGGTAAGTGGGAGAACGGGTGCAGCGAGAGAAAGGCAGAAAAGCCCTGCCAGCCAGGCATTTAAACTTCCCCTGGGCGTGGCGCCAAGGGCCGCAATTGGTTGGTTGGTCCCACACTCAGGGGAACACCCACTAACTCCAGCCGCCATTGGCCCATTTGGCGGCAGGAATACGATCCGGCCTGCGATAGGCCAGTTTACCAGGGAGGCCCAGGTCCTGCCCGCAAAGCCACCTGCCCAAAAAGGGGGAGAACAGACTTCTCTGGATGATACCCAGTGTTACATGAATGGGATTCCACTTACACAATAATACTTCTCCTTCCTTTTCTCTCCCCTCCAACCTTCAAACCCCCATTTACTCTGGAAGGTCCCACACAATTTAAGGGTGCAGATGGAAGAGAGGAAGGGGAAATCCTGCTGAGCAAGTAGATGGACACATCTAGATGTCACCCCCTGAAAATGGCAGCATTCTAATAGGTGTGTGCATATGCATGCCAAGGAGTTCTAAGGGGGAATTCTTAGCACCTTGCTAAAACTAAAATTCTCCCAAATCCAGTTCCCCCCCAACACTCTCATGCAATCTGGTAATTGTCAGATTTGGGGGTTTGGCAATGAGTTTTCCACCACAGAGCCTAGGGTTTGTTGATCGGAATGTTGGCGGCTCGAATCCCTGCGACGGGATGAGCTGGCCACATGACCTGGAAGCTGTACGCCAGCTCCCTTGGCCAGTAAAGCAAGATGAGCGCTGCAACCCCAGAGTCGTCTGCGACTGGACCTAATGGTGAGGGGCCCCTTTACCTTTACCTTTTTCCTCCCACTCAGTCCTGAACCTGAGGAGTGGAGTGCTCCACCACACTAAGACAGTTTTTTAAGCTATAGAGCAGAAAGAGGAATTGATTGCACAATCTTTACCTCTTGCTCCACTATCAGAACAGATCATTGTTATTATTTTATATGTTTAGGTTTTGTATACCCTGCTTTTAGTTGGATATATTATTGATTTTTTTGTTATTGTTTACATGTTTCTGTGGTTCCATAATATTCTGAACATTAATAAAAATAAATGGGGGGCAGGTTTCATGTGGAACTAAAGATCATGCTAACAACTTTCTATCCCATCATGGTAGGGAAGGACCAGCCTGCGCTAGCTGCAGAGTTCCAAGTGCTACTCCAGACAACCTATTTATTAAGCAGTCATCCTGCTTTGTTTGCACAAAATCTGTGTGGAGATTATATGACATTGTTGTTTGTTGAGTTTTCCTTCCAATTTGTTTGCACAGACATTGTATGGTATTGCCCATCACTGCCCTTATTCCACATTTTCCAGTGCACATTCCCATCACTTTTCTTACCACATACATTCTGTGAATTTTGGGGGATGTGGGGTTTTTGCGTGTGTGCAAAAGCACCAAATCCACTTTAATTGTGCAACCTAAATTTGTTGGTATACAGCTGTATCAGACTCACAAAATAGTGACAGCCTGGATTCTGGAAGCTGGGAGTAAGAACCCAGCAGGGCTTACTTCTGAGTAAACATTGCATAGGATTACACTGTCAGTCCATTTCTAAAACCCTTACAGCAAGAAGGCAAAAGCCATTCTTAGCCTCAATTCTGTTAAATTACAATTCTGCAAAAACAAATATATTTTTAATTTTAAAAATAGACCAAGCAGACTGCTTTTAAATTTTGTACGATAACTAGGGGAGGAATGATTGAGAGGACAGAAAAATCCCAAACATACCCAGGATATTTCTACCAAACTCCACCCAGTGGTATGGATGACAAGAAGAAGCAAAGCAATGAAATGGTGAGTGAAAAAACAGAAGTGTGTGGATCCTCATGTGCCAATCACACACATTGACAAATTGGATCTAAACAACCCTATTGCAAGGCCCTCCCAAGAGTAAAAGCAGCCTAAAATCACAAAGCCATTGAAAGTGTCTGAACCTTCTCTCTCTCGATAATTCTTTCACCCCAAAAAACATAGTTTAAAGATGTTTCCTCCTAGAATTACTTCAACTCATGGCATCTCACCAGCAGAAAGATGATATTGAAAGGCTGTTTCAGAGGGTCAGGAAAAATGAAGCGAGTGAATTCAGCTCCTGCCTCTAACCTACCCATGTTGTGTTTTAAGCCTTAACGCCACTTGACAGGAATTCAATGGCAAACCCAATTTTGCTTGAAGGGGCAATGGCAACCATCACATACAATTCGTCTCTTAAGAATCTTGCACTCCTGGAGTGTACTCCTAGCAACTCTCAGCCTCCATGGCTATGAAATCTGGAGCTTGGAGCCAGATCAGAGTACTCTGGCCTAACCACAGCTTGGTCCATGTCAGGATTTATGGTAATTCGGGAACTCCAGTTTGTACGTAACTGAGCAAGGAAAAAACTCTGCAGCAAAGCTCTTCATTTACCAAGCAGTCTCCAACTACGTTGTGTGTCCCGGGCATCTAAAATCAACAAAGTCCACTCTCAGTCTTCACAGCCAGCTCCCCACACAGAGGGAGAAACTCTAAAAATAGGATGAAAGACTTCCCAACTGTTCTTGTTCCCAGAGGCAGCTTTTCAAAAACTCATAAATCCCTTTGGAACATAACATTGCCAACACAACTTGACTGACTAGTTCTCAGTTTCTTTGCAACTATAGCCTGGTCTGGTATCAGTGAAAAAGATGATCTGGGAAGAGAGGACGAAAGTACACACTATATTTAAAAGTATAATGTGTACCTTAAACTTTCAAAGCAACCCACACTCTGTACGTCTGGGCTTTGCACATATTACACCTCCAGATGTTTTTGGCTACAACTCCAATCAATCCCAGTCAGCATGGTGATTCCAAGCGATGCAAAAAACATATTCCTAGATATAAACCATGAAACAAACAGTAAGGACCCACTTAAACTCACTAAGTGCAGCACTATAAAGTACTTTTCAAAGTGTGCTGCAATAAACCTTGTGGCTGACTTTATATGTGACTTCGTAATCACATACTGTGTAATCACACACAAGAAACTGAACTGATCCAAAATGCCTTCTGCTATCCCCTCTACTATTTGCTGTGTGCTGTTTGAAAAGTTCAGCTGCTGCTGTTTGTAATTCAGAAGAGTGAACCAGCCTCTTCTCGTTGTCCCATCTAAAGAATAATAATAATAAATAATAATAATAATAAATTTATACCCCGCTCATCTGGCAGGGTTCCCCCAGCCACTCTGGGCGGCTCCCAACAGAATATTAAAAACACAATAAAATATCAAACTTTAAAAACTTCCCTAAACATCACAAGCAGTGGAAAATAAGTCATCCTAATAGATACAAATATACTATGTGAGAGTATAATTGGATTTCCCCAGTGGAGGGGGGATGCAAATTGCAGGGCTGGCATACCCTCCAACATTTCTCCAATGAAAATAGGGACGTCCCATTCCATAATGACAATTTTACTATTTATAACCCACACATCTTACTGGGTTGCCCCAGCCACTCTGGGCAGCTTCCAACATATATAAAAGCACAATAAAACATTAAATAGTAAAAAAACTTCCCTATACAGGATTGGCTCAGGGGTTAGATAACTCCATACCCTCCAACATTTCTCCAATGAAAATAGGGACATCCTAAGGAAAAGTGGGACATTCTGGGATCAAATCAGAAACTGGGATGGCTTCTCTAAATCAGGGACATCCCTGGAAAATAGGGACACATGGAAGGTCTGGGGTGGGGGTGATACCACTATCTTTACAACAGATGCTCAACCAGCGTATGGACTGTGCATTACAAATAAGAAAGAAATACTATTTATTGCCAGAAATCCTGATATATAAAAACATCCTAATTCTTCCTACAGGAAGACGAGAGAGGAGCAACATAATTAAACAGGGAAGGATGAATACATGTGTCCGTAATGCACTGATGAGGAGAAAAGGTATTAAGCAACAGCTGTTCCACTGGAATGGAAAGGATATGTCAAGTATCATAACCCGACTCCTCCAAAAGGCTAATTCAGCAGAACCAGCAGCTGCCACAATGAGTGGAGTTTAAAAATCCATTCACTCACGGCAAGTTCGTATGTCCCATTTCCAACTGGAGTTTCTGTTAGTTTCACAAAACAGCTCACATTAAGTGTCCAATTTTAAGCAGAAAAGCAATCTAGTATTATTTAACGATCCAATTTAATCCAATCATCCTGGAAATTTCTGATAAAAGAGATCCATAAAAATCTTATGTATATCATGATAAGACGTGCAGTACGTAAGATGCGAGTTATAGATACTACCTCACCGGATTGATTCACAGAGACAATAATGTTGACAATAAAGGATTTTCTGGAACCTCCCTTTCAGAACTGCTGATGGAAGAAAATTTAAATAGACCAGATGAAAGGCTTTTGAGAATACAGCATTGGGTTCTCTGTGACAGGATAACAATATCATAGAACTGTAGAGTTGGAAGGGACCCTAGTTCAACAACCTACAATGCAGGAATCCTGCCCACAGTTGTCCTTAGGTGGGCTCCAACCACCACTTGGTTAGTTGGCACCCGTCTGTCTCAGGAGACAATGGAAGAGTGTGCCTTCAGAGGTCAAGTCAAACCATTGGAGAGTTATAGTGCCTGCTGTGGCTGTAAAGACTTGTTACGGCAGAAACATTTTCCTCAGCTGGGGCAGATGAAGGCATCTGGTTTTGCTGCTGTAGATGCACCATAGTTTCTTCTTTCTGTGCTCCTCCCAGTGGTCATTCCTTCTCTGGTCACTGCTGTGGATACACAACCTGTTTCCAGGCACTGCGGTCGTATGCAAGGTATTCCTGCATGACGGGGTTAATGTCGCCAATCTTCATGTCCTGTTTGCAAACATCTTTGTAACACAGAGTTGGTGCCTGAAGCCAGCTCCCCATAGCTTTGGGAAGCTTGCCATCCCAATGTTCCCCAACTCTGGCATCAAAATCTCCCAGCAGGAATAGGTGTTCACAGGCTGGGACTCTCCTAATAGCTTGGTCTAATCTTCTGGTTAACAGCCATATGTTTTTGAACAGAGAGCATGTAAAGGCAGCTTGCTGGTTTATAGGGTTGAAGTGCTCTGTTGATTAGCATGTTATCTGAGGTTAAGCCCAGAGCCATTTAACATCCGTATGAAGCTGCTGGGAGTGGTTATCTGGAGATTTGGACTGAGGTGTCAACAGTATGCTGATGATATCCAATTCTTTCTCCGTAGTGTCTGAATTGGGAATGGCTGAGAAGGGTCTAGACCAGTGTCTGGATGCAGTGGTGAATTGAATGAGGACTAATAAATTGAGTCTGACTCCTGGCAAGGCAGAGGCTCTGTGGGTGAGTGGTTCCCAAAACCAGGAAGTCAGCAAGTTGCCTGCTCTTGGTCACACTCTTTTTGAAAAGGCAGGTGCGTAGTTTGGGAGTGCTTGTGGATCCTGCTCTGTCATTAGAGGCACAGATGTCTTCAGTGGCTAGGAGTGCCTATTACCAGCTTTGGCTGGTAAAACAGATGTGGCCGTTCCTGGGCTGGGACAGCTTGACCAATGCAGTTGTCCATGCATTGGTATCCTCAAAGTTGGAGTAGTGCAATGCAGTCTATATGGGGCTACCTTTGAGGTTGGTCGAGAAGTTGCAGGAGTGCAAAACTACTTGATTGCTTATGGGGACAAACTACTGCCAGCATATAGCACCTTGTTTGTAGAATTAACACTGGCTGCCAATCTGTTACTGAACAAAGTTCACAGGATGGTATTCAACAACTGTGTCCCACCAACACTAGAATTTTCACTTGTTCACATATAAAAGATGATGAATACATACATACATACATACATCACAATGGGGCTTACATAGCAATTCATAGTGGATTGTGCCCTTAGAAATTTGTTTCTGGCACAAATCTGTATAAATGCCCTGTTTGGTACTTAACTGGCATAACAGAACCAACAAATTAGAAAAAGGGAAAGTCTCTTGGTATGAATGAGGGAAGTTGCTTCTTATAAACAAATTCAAATATGTGTGGGTGTTGACTGCTTTGGTCCAATTTGAAGGCAGGGGGGCAGAGTGGATTAACAGCTAAATAATGCTCAAATTTGGATAGACCACAGTGACTCCATGTGCTCTTTGATGAGATGGACTATTTGGACCCAATGCAATCAGGCTTGGTTTCAGTATTGGTATATAAACTGCTCAATTTCTCCATTACTTTTAAGAAGGAGCACCGGGCTTGGCTATCCCGAAGCATTTTGCTGCCTTGGGCAAAACAACATATGCTACCCTGCCTCCTAAATATGCACCCCAATACAGCAAATACCTCTGAGTCTCCCTGTGAGTAAAAGACAATAAATTAAATAACTAATGTTTGCCGCCTTTCAGTGACATTCCAAATCCACTGCCTGAGGCCTAACGGAAGAGACCAGCCCTAGTCTTCAGTTACACAGGGTTCAACATCACCCCAACATAAAATACAAAACACTAGATATTGACAAAAGGACTTGATGTTAGTAGCAGCCCAACTTGTGTGCAGACTTTTCCATTTCCCCCAATTCCACAGAGTTGCACTCTTTGAGAAGACATGGGCACCTCTCCGCAAATGGTTATGCTTCTAGGGAGGAAGTAACCCCACATCTATTTTCTCAGCCACATAAAACTGTGATGCTGCAGCTGGCTAGATCATTAAGAAAAAAGAATTGATGCTGCTACTTCACAAGCTTTCTCAAGCTGTAGTTCCCACAATTATTTGGGGGAAGCCATGACTGTTAAAGTTGTACAACTATACAGTGCAGATGAGTTTCTACATACTCACACACTCCTTTCTCTTGTCCAAGGCAAGCAAGTGTGTTCAAGGATACATTATGTCCTGGCAAAAAGACTCAAGGGGTTTTTGTGTGCAGCATGTGGTCTAGGGAGAATCCCAAGGGCGATACAGAAAGACCTGTTTAAGTTTGTGGTGCACATATGCTCTTCAGCCTGCATGTAGTATCCCATCACTAGTCACCAAAGCTTCAAAGACTGACAAAGGTCTCATTCCCTTTAACAGCTTACTTCTACCAAAGCATTTAGGTCTGGAACCTAATCTCATTTTCCAGTAACACAGGTATTTCTGGAAGCTGCATAGAGGCTACATTTGCAATAGCATGATTGCAGGAGCTAAACGATTCATCCAAGAATGTTGAATTTCTGATAACTACTGATTTGGGGGCGACAACCCTTTCCTGAAGATCTAGCAGATGAAGGGCTGTAGCATTTGGAAGAAGCCCTACTACCCCAGTGGAACTCCGGATGAAGCAGCGGAATATCTTGGATGCAGTGGCAGCTAGTGTTGGCTGAACCCTTCTCCAGCTGAGCTGCTGCACTGGCAAAATATGTGTTGGCAGAATGGCTGAAATAGGGTAGAGACGTTGGCAGCATGAGGGAGTAGCACACTGCTGTGTTCTTTTTCCCAGTAATTCACAGCCACATAGCCATCAACAGCACAACCTTACACCAGTTCACTTTCCGTCCCTGGACTTCACAGCTGACTTCCCCTCCCATTGCTCCTGGCATCTGAATGCGATCTGCTGCTGTGGCTGAGTGGTTAGGCATCTGCTCTGTAGTGCTTGAGTCCTGGGGACTCCTAATTTTTTGCCCTCAACTTTTTCCCCCCATGCATGAGAAAGATGTAAATGTTCCTCCCTTCTCCCTAATGGGGCTTAAACTGCCACCCGCTGCTTCTCAACACTATGCCCACTGGTAGTGTGAACCACTGGAAGTTGCTGCCAGTATACAGCTGTGGCTGCCCTTGTTGCGTGTCCCGTCACCCCCTTCCCTTGGGCGTTTGGGGAAAGGTTCTTTCCCATCCCCAAGCAGCTCTTGAACCCATATCCCAGAGACGATATGCGCCCATTAAGCTATGTGAGTGCTGTGTTGCAAGTCTTCCTTTCGGTTGTGTACTGTCCTCAAAAACAGTGGCTGCGAAGAGCATAAAGGGGTTTGGACCCCTGTATGGAAACCGACAGGGGTGGGAGTTACCACTGGCTGTGTCAGTGGGGTCATTGGAGGGAGAATGGTGTCATCTTGCATGTTTTTTGTAGTGATGCATGGGTGTGCTGTGGAAATACTCTCATCGTGACTTAATTGGCTTCCTTCATGCGTCACTAGCACATGAGTGCTGTCACGGCCCCCAACTGTGAGCACTGGTGAACTGTCCAGGGATGCTGGGTGCATATCTGAACAGCACAGCAGTAACCTAATTCCAGTCCTGTGATAATATGAGGATTGGTTTGCTTCATTAATTTTTAAAGTTTGTGCAGTGCAGGAAGTTTTGAACAATCAACAAAGATGAATTCATGTTCTATTGTTCCTCTCTTGCTTGCTCCCATATAGGCCCACCTGGGACTGAATATTAACTCTAGAGGTCCTGTTCTAGGGGTGCTATCTTGGGACATTCATCAAGTGTGTAAAATAGATGAGGGCTTTTTCTGTGGCAGGGTGCAACTCTAGAATGCTCTCCCTATCGAAACTGGACTGGCTTCTGCTTTGTGTGTCTGTTTTGATAGAAACTGAAGATGCATTTATTTCAACAGCCTTTTAAAATACAACACCTAGTTTTATTACTGCCAGTTTTAAGGTCCAAAACTGTTCAGCCTTGTTACTTTTATTTTAGTGTTTGTATTTGCTTTTAGATATTGTAAACTGTATTTTTAATTATTTTATTGAATGGCTTATTTGGTTATGCTGTATATGAGTACATTTGTTTATTTTGATAATTTTCTATCCCAATCTTCCTCCCAAAGGAGCCCAGAGCAACAAACATCAAAAAATTAAAACAACTCAATTTGGTAGAACAGTGGCATATAAAAAATAAACTATGCTAATATTGCTGCCGCTGCTGCTACAATGGCTATTACATTTTGCTGCTCAGTGGGAGATAGCAAGGTACCCAGTGTCCAGCTAACAATCATGACTAGGCATGATTGAATGTTTTGTATGTTATGCAACTTACATAAAACAAGATTAATATATTCCATTAGTTTCAACATGAATCACTGCTACCTTCAGCAGTATTGCAGCATATGCATACAGATTAGATAGGTAGAAATTGATAGCTTGCACACAAGAAAGACTATAAGCCTTTATTTCAGCAGCCTGCATTTAGGAACCCTCCCCTCTTGCTGGGCATGATCAGATCATTCCATCGAAACTGTTCTTTCATGTATGATAGGTCAATACAGCATTTCTTAAAGACAGAGAGGCAGCTGACTTTCCAGAAGTTCATGAAATTTGTTCCAAACCAGAGAAGAATTTATGTAACTATTTTCATGGGACAAAGCCCCACAATCAATTTGCATACATATTCATTAATCTACAAGGGACAAATAACAATTGAGAGATACATGCACCTGCCTTGTTTAAACAAACCACAGATCTGAAAAAGCATCGCATCTAGAGAGTTGTATGTATGTAATCTTTCTTAATTAATTTAATTGTTGAATAAATGTGCATATGGAGTAGAACAATAGTTCCAAAGCAAAATATATACTTGTTTTTACATGATGTGTGCACACATTAGGCATTTTCTCATGTGAGAAAAGGGTGAAACAGTCATTTTAAGACAGTGCTTGTCATTAAAAAATATTTTTCAACAAAGATGGTGCTTGTCATTTGCACTTTTTACAAGTACTTCCCCAACTAATCAGGAACACCGTTTTAATCAGCAGAAAATTTGTAAATAGGTTGATCTGATTAACAATTTAAATGTTGCATCCATACTTGAAACCATATTGAATCTAGGCTTCATTTATTGAGCGCCTCATTTTCAATCCATGAGTTACATTTTAAAATGTGCCACTGTAACCACTGCATTAGCTTACCTTAAAAATAAAAAGGATGCTAACAAAAACATTGGCTGCACAAACCAGCCCACAATACTATATGAACCTCACAAGTTATAGGTTGCCTAATAGTATTCTGAAGTCCAATTCCATGCATGCTTCCTTGGAAATAAGTCTTGCTACTGTATATTAAAACGGGTAACTACACAGTCCAAGGATGAAGGATGCATTCCAATTCTGGTGGAAGTAGTTTGAATGCATGCTTTCTGCTCTGAGAATAAACTTATTTAAATGCAGCGAAGCAGTCAAACGAGTTTCATCACATATTAAACCATTGGCCTTTCTTCACCTTTGGACGGTTAGAATATATTCCTTTCCTACCTTTGACACTTGAAGGGGTCTTTTCTGTTCAGAGCCCCCCTGCAAACGGAAGCCCCAGGGTGCTCCTCCAGAGAGAGTGACAACGACCTCTTCTTCTTCAGCTCCCATGATTTCAGCACAGTCTTTTTCCTTTGGTGACAAATGTCCTTTTCGAAAATAAAAATAAACCTTTTTTTACTCTTAAGGTATGGTGCTTTCCTCTTCCATTGCTGCAAGGAGCATCAACCTTCTCAAGTCCGTCCTAAAGCCCACTACTTCCTTTCCCCCCTCCTCCTTAGAGGTTAGTCCTGCAAGACCAATGCTCCATACCCTTCTAGATCTCCAGCTGCTGAGCAGACTATCACCAGCCGTTTTGACTCCACTTTTGGTAAGAGGCCAGAGTCATTTTGCACATGCATGTTGTCAATCTCACCCTCTGTGCTCCCCCCCCCCCACCTCCTGGCCCGCAATAGACTCTGGATGTTTCACTAAAGCATGGCTGAAAATAGCTCTCCTCCTGTCTCTTTCCAGAGCTTTGTCTCACACTTTTCCAGCTGGGGAGGATTTGATTTAAGCTTTGCAATAAAACTTCGTATTTCAAAAGCTCCTGAAGGCAGTCTTTTGTGTTTTTCAACATGCACACAAAACCATTCAGATGTTTATGCCACCTTAGCCAAAGCAACCTTCATTTCTTTCATGCAAAGCAATGGATACCATCCAATGAAACGTTCTCCTGTGCAAGCCTGTTAAATGAAAGGGAGCTGCCAATTATTTCAGTCGGGCCTGTGCACAAGGATTTCCCATTTGGAGTATGCTTAAAGGGTCAAAAACTACTGATAGCACAATCCAGGCCTATCATTATGTAGTAATAGGCTGAAATGCCTGAATCAATATCAGAATTATAAAATTTCAGAGAAGCAGCCCCAAATTGATCTTTAACAAATTCCTTCATGATGACTGGACGACATGACAAAAATGCTGGAAATGGAGAAATGGAAAGTCAATACCCGCCCCAACTAGCAAAGCAAACCTATAAACACATGATAACTAGAGATATGCCTCTTCTGAGCTTGTGGAGCAACTACCATATCGAGTATATTCTCACCCTGGGCAGAGATGAGGAAATTACACAACCAGAAAATACAAAAATGACAGATATGCCCCTGGTGTTCTAGAAGACATTCCCCTGTGGAAGGAACTGGTAGAATGTGTTGATGCCCATATAGTACTCACACATGGAATAACCTTATGTGTTGTTGCTGCTGCTGCTGCTGTTATTGTTAACGTGGTACTTTAAGCCTCACCAGAAGGAAAATGTTTCCACTCACCTCTTCCATGCCTGGCAAACAAAACAAAACCAAAAGTCATGTCAGAGGCAAAAGAGAGGGAACTGTTTTGGGTGGAATTCACCTAACAAGCCCCATCAGCAGAAGCCCTGTGCAATGACTTCTGTTTGAGCAGTGGGGTTCCTCTCTCTTCTCCCTTGTGCACCCCCACAATTCCCATAATTGGCTTGGGACGGTGTTCAGAAGAACTCTCAGAACAGTACACGGGAGGAGGAGAAAAGGGAGGATTGTCATAGTACTACATTGCATACTACCCCCAGTACCTGCACACACTACAAAGCAGTTTCCTAACCACCTAGCTATAGCAACAGACAGCAATTATACACATAATGGGGAATTTGTCTTCTCCCCTCCTCTGCACAAACAAGGCAGGAAGAGTTGTATGTTTTCCATGCTGGAGGTGCCAGATTCAAATGCAGCGTATAGCCCCATACAGTGGTACCTCAGGTTAAGAACTTAATTCGTTCTGGAGGTCTGTTCTTAACCTGAAACTGTTCTTAACCTGAGGTACCACTTTAGCTAATGGGGCCTCCTGCTGTCGCCACGCCACCGCCACGCAATTTCTGTTCTCAGCCTGAAGCAAAGTTTTTCGGATACTACTTCCGGGTTGGCGGGGTCTGTAACCTGAAGCGTCTGTAACCCGAGGTACCACTGTACTAGGAAAGGGCTGAGCTTCTCCAATCAAATCTGAGCCAATCAGAGGAGCACTGCATGGATCAATAGTCTACCGTCTGCATGGCACAACCACCCTTTTGCTGCAGCTTTCCCCAGTAATCCATGTGTCCAATCAACCCTGCCTCTTCCCACTAATTTGCTTAATAGCTCAGCACAGCAGTGAAGCAGGTCACATTGCTCCTCCCACATTTTACAGAAGTTCACACTGCAATCCTATAACTGCCTGTTTAGAAATGTTTGGCTTAGTGAAGTTGTATTATGTTCAATTGGACTTCCTCTATGTTTTATAGGATTACAGCTATATACTGTATAGTAAAATCATGGCTGAGTTTTAAATCCGATGAAAGCTTTGCAACCCAGGTTCAACTGTTATTTACTCAGACCAAACTGGATATACTTGTTCATGCATTGAAGAGAACTTAAAACATTATTACAATGTTTTATAAGTGATTTGCATGTGCGAATGAGCTATTGGGATTTAAACATTACAGAGATAACATCTGTATCATATTCCTCCCCTCCCTCCCTCTTTCCCACAGCCAGAATTTATATTGTTAGGTTCTCTAGCCATAAACCCATATTTTTTGTTTACTTTAGTATGTAATTCACAATTTAGCTTAATGCACTATAATTAAAAAATAAATAAATTCCTGTGAGTCAAGACTTCTGGTAGAGTCAAAATAAATGAATACATTCAGCTGCAAATCATCATGGGCATTACACAATCAGGGGACGGGAAATCAAGTGTTACTCATCTGTGTATTAATGTTGAATTTAAACAGATTTATAGCACACTAGGAGAGGAAGAAGCCTTATGGCCTGTAGAATTGGTGGCCCCATGCACAAATTCACTTGATGGGATAAGCTTTGGGGCAGCTGTACCATTTCAGAGTCAGATGTGGATTCAGATTACGAAACACTTCTGAATAAGATTCCTATATGTATGCAATAGACAGCCCCAACAGCTACAACCTGTTAAATCACCTTGGGCACTGGCCAGCTACAAAACTTGCCTTTTTTCTTCTCTAATGTGGTCTTGAAAGTGAAACACACCAGATCTCTCTGCTGGACAGGCAGCACAGCATCAAAATAGCACAGATCAGCAGGAAAACTTGGCCACTGCTGCCGCAGCAGAATTCTTAACCTAGCTTTAACCATTCACAATTGTCTCTCCAGCATCAATCTTTGTTGTCAACAAACTTAACTTTGAAGGCTTTGAAAGCATAGTCCACAGACTCACTCTTTGCCAGGTGTGTCTGAAGATGTAGGGATGCTTAACTCCTCCCAGGGAGGCTCACTTGGCACCTTCATTATGTATCTCTCAGTGCCAAGTGAAAACATTATTCTTATCCCAGGCCATTGGCTAATTAAATGATCTTTTAAACTACTTGTGTGGTGGGGTATGGTTATGATGCTATGTATATTTGTGGTTTTATATACTGTAAACTGATGAAGGGTGGCATATGAATTTAAAAATTAAATAATGAAATAAAAAGGAAGGAAGGTTCAAAGTTGGCTTCCTCTGCTACATACTAAGTACAGGGGCTTTTGCAGGATGGATAGGAGGGTCACACCTGCACTTTGGAACTCCCTGCCTATTGAGATCAAGAAGGTAGCTGCACTCTGGTTTTTTCAGTATGTTGAAAACATCATTGCTCAGCCAAGACTTCCCAGATGCTCAGGAAGTTAAGGTAATTTTAATTAAAAATTTTTTAAAAAATGTATGTTTTAAAGTATGGTTGTGAATTTTTCTTGATTTTGTTATTTCATCTTTTTGTAAACAACTCTGAGGTTATTGTCCGGTCCCGTCCCCCACACAATCAAGCGACGAAATTAATAAGCATAAATAAATAAATAAATATACTCCCCAACTACAGTCTTAAGTACTACCACGTCAGGGAGAACTAGCCTCCCGTTTGCTACAGTGGACAGCACCATCCTACGACGATATCACAACCGGGGCCCAGTCGGGCGCCACAGCCCCCTGAGGACTTGGATGATTTAAGCGAACGCGGCCCCTGAGGTAGCAGAAAAGCCGCCATCTTGACCGGAAACGCGTCACGGAAGACGGTGATGGCCCATTTCCTCTTCCCTGGCTGGCTCGCTTGCTCTCTCTCTCCCGCGCGCCTCTATGGTCGCCGAGCGACATCCGGGTCCCTGTTGTAGCGGAGTGCAGCAAAGGCCGCGAGCGAAGTGAGGACGTGGCAAGCTGTGAGGGAGATCGGAGCGGACGTGGAGGGGCCTTTCCGGTGAGCGGCGGCGGCGGGCACAGGAAGCGGAAGCCGGCGCCAGCGGCGGCCCGACGACCAGCAGGAGCGGGGACAGCCGGTTGAGGTAAGCGAGAGGCCGGGCCGATCTCTTTTGAGGCGCGAGGTTGTGAGGGACCGGGGTCGGGAGGGGGGAGGCGGCTCCGCGACGAGGCCGGGGCTGAGGGATAAAGCGCCGCCCGACTCCGGAGCGCGCCTGGCCTGATCCTGGCAGGCTTACGCCTCCGGCCTCCCGGGGAGGCCCTGTGCTGAGCCGTCCGGATGGATTCCCGGCTTAGCTTCTCCCTTAGCGAGTTCTCATTACCAGGCCTTGGGCTGATTAAATGCCATTTTAAACGTGTTTGTGAGAGGATTTTGTCTGTTCTTTTTATTATGTATTTTGTGTGATCTCATTTTTTGCACTTTTATGTATTGAACCGCTCGGTGCTCTTCGCTTGAAGGGCGATATACGCATTTAACGAATGAAATTAAAATAAATGAATCTTTCCAACCCAACCCTCCCCACCCCCACACAGGCAGGAAATAAGCGGCGCTTTTCCTTCCTCCCCGCTTTGCTTCACACAGGCACCACGCAAAGTGTGCTCCGCTTGACGTGTGCTGCATTCACAAGTGCAGGTTGATAGGTGCGGGTGAGTGCGTCCCTGAGGCTTGTCGGTAACAGGTTTAATACAGGAGTTGGGGGAAATTATTCGGACAACTTCCAAATAGAGAGCGGGGAGGAAATGTTTTCCCTGGCCTGCTGGTGTATGTGGGAGATTTAGCTCATAGGGAGTAACCCCACACTCTGATCTGCAGCCAAAAAGGGAAACAACCCGAGAAAAGCCTTACCAGTCGATCCTGCCGAACGTGTGAACAGGGCTTGACAAGGTGAAACTGAGATGAAGCAATATTGTGTTTATGTAGGAGTTAGGCTGCATTTCAACAAAAGCGTTCCCGGGAGCCTTTTTTTTTCCTCCAGAAGTAGTAGCAGTGTTTACTATTAAAGACTTCTTTTGAAACACTTGGCATTAGAAGCAGAGTTGGAAGGTACCCTTAGGATCATATAGCCCAACACCCTGCAATGCAGGAAAATGCAGCTGTCTCTTATGGGGATTAAACCTGCAACTAATGGAATAACTTTGTTTTGAAATTTAGGTTCACCTTGAAGATTTCAAAGCACACCATGGTGCTTTCCTTTTCCCAAGCAGTGCACATTAACTTGCATTTGTGCTAAATTGTACTTTGGACTGCAGCATTAGTTACGCATAGAACTCAGAAGAGTAGCTTCTTCATTTGCGGATTATATGTGGGGGCAGGCTTTAAATTCCCTAATTTTGTCCTATCCCACTACCTCATGCAACAGGACATTTACATATTGTTCATTTTCTAAGTTTTGTTAGGAAAGGGTTTCACTCTTGCCAGAAGAATGGATCAGTTTTATGGACAAGTGGTCCACTTATTAGTCTGTGCAAGGCTAGATGTGTATATAACAGGGTGATTATGCTAATACAGAGACATTTAGAATTTTGGGAGTGTGTTGTGGGCACCAACCCTTCTTGTTACAGTGGTACCTCGGGTTACATACGCTTCAGGTTACATACGCTTCAGGGTACAGACTCCAGTAACCCAGAAATATTACCTTGGGTTAAGAACTTTGCTTCAGGTTGAGAACATACATCGTTCTCCAGCGGCGCAGCAACAGCAGGAGGCCCCATTAGCTACAGTGGTGCTTCAGGTTAAGAACGGTTTCGGGTTAAGAATGGACCTCCGGAACGAATTAAGTACTTAACCTGAGGTACCACTGTACTTCTCTTCCCCGATAGAGAAAGCGCACATGCAGAAAGGGAGTCATTGTACTTCCAAGGGATCTGGGTAAAGGTTGAATATCTAGCAGGATTAAAATGTTTCCTGTTCAGTCTACACAATTTTACATAGTATCCCTAAATAGCCACTGCCAAATTAAAGCTTACCTTGGTGGTAGACTGTGCAGTAAAAATCACAGAGCACATCTATGGATACAGAGTTGACCTGTGATTGGAGGGGATCCCTTGTAAAAATTATGATGATGCATAAGTTTCTATACCTTGAGTCTATATTTTTTCACAAGGGCAGTGCTAGAAAGCATCAATTCTGTGATTTTTGGTTTTGCAGTTCATTCAGTAGATAGGTGTGACATTTATTTGATTGCCAATGGGGAAGGAGCCTGTGAGAAAATAGAGTTTAAAGAGGATCTGTTGTATTGGATATGGTGTGCATATTTGAGTGTGCATTCCTGACTTCTGTCCCACCAGCTGCTCCATTATTCTCTCCTACTTCTTTTCCGTTTACCTCCTACTCTGTCGCTTCTGTGCCAATACGGCAATAAGAGCCTTGAAAAGCACATAGAACTGAAAGAAGTTATGTCCTTTTCAAGGGATGAGGAAAGGAGCAGTGAGTGAGGGTGTTGCAAGCACCCCAGCTGTGGTACTAATGTAACAGTATGATATGCAATGTTGGACTAGTGTAGCAATTCTAGGTGATGTTGTTGCATCCTTTTAAAGCACAGGTGGGCTGAAGGCAGATTGAGATCTGCTGATAGATTTGCACACGTGCCATCCTACTGCACTGTGGTGATCACAAAACAAGAGCATTAATTCAGAGTGAGGTGTGCCAAAGTCCAAAGCTCAAAGGTCTTAAAGGCGTTTGAGTGTATACCTCACAATACTGAGCTGCATACCAGCTGTACAACATACTAGCATGCTTAGACACTGTCGTAGAACCCATTGTGCTGGCACTTAGATATTTGCAGATGGCAAAAATAAAAAAGATGGAGAAAGGGAAATGAGCAGGAAGCTTGCAGAACAAAAAAAGGGACATAGCAAATGCCATTCCCCTGCGGTAGCTTCACTTGCTAACCAGGATGCAAAAATTAAAACATGCATTATGGAATAAGCACTGTCCTCTCAGTATGATTCCTTGTAACATTTCTAAAAAATGAATTCAGTTTTATGCTTGTGCATTTTTGGTCAATACTGTCATTATACCAAGCCATAGTCTTTACACTATAGTTTAGGACCAAACCATGGTTTGAATTTCTAAACACATGCTAGGGAAACTGTAGCTTAGAGCCACTTGTTGAGAAGGTAGAAAGCAAAACTAGACAATCAGCTTCATAGTGATGGCCATAACATTAGATTCGAAAATCATGGTTTGTACTGTTTCTTGCTTGATAGGTGAAGCATGAATTTAGTTTGGCCATCATAGCAAACTGTAGTCTTGGAAGTGTTCTACGTCTATTTGTTAATACTACAATAGCACAATGACATATTTTATGCTGTTGCAAATAGGGCTGTGTTTTGCTGTTAATGGTTGTAGCCTTGCTTTAAACTAAAATTTCAGTGTATTATGAAGGCAATGTATTTTATTTCTTCTGGATTATGTGTGTGCTGATTCAGAAGATCACACCTGCAAAACATCCCTTGCACTGATACAATCTGACATACTGCTGGAAATGCTTGATTATCCTTCTATAAATGAACCTTTTTGCTATAGTAGATAGTGTTCTGAAGAATATCAGCTACTGAATACAGATTATTGCAGGAGACTGACATAAGGATTGATCTGTTCTTTAAACCTTATGTTCAGAACCATGTCCCCAAATAGTACCTGGTAGTAAAGGAAATTCCATTCAGGTCCAGCATATTCAGTAGTCAGGGACCGTGGGAACTGTAGGACCACAAGTTAGTCAACCAAGATGTAAGGATATGCTGGCTGGGCCTCATGAGGGTTGTATGAATGCCTTATTTGGTCATAGCTTTTAGACCTTAATTCTTGTTGAATCTGTGTTATTTTAATTTTTTCATGTATGAGATGTTTTTTTTATTTTTAAAATAAGTGCTTCATAATAGCAACATTATTTCTCATTGATGGCCCAGTTTCTTCTGGGGGTAATTGGCAGGGACCATAAACTGGTGATGAATGGGGCCAGAGATAAAAGTGTTCTGGATTAGCTAATCCAGAATTTAAGATTAGAATTCCCAATTCTAAGCAGGTCTGAGAAGTAAGCCCCAGTGCTATACTCAAATAAGTATGTAAGGAATTTTTTTTTGTACAGTGAACCAATAAAGTTCATTGTCTAGAAAGCAACTGAAAGTATTTTCTGAATTAGTCATTCCTATTAGTCCTGTAAGGGACGCGGGTGGCGCTGTGGGTTAAACCACAGAGCCTGGGGCTTGCCAATCAGAAAGTCGGTGGTTCAGATCCCTGTGACGGGGTGAAATCCCGTTGCACAGTCCCTGCTCCTGCTAACCTAGAAGTTCGAAAGCACGAAGTGCAAGTAGATAAATAGGTACCGCTCCGGCGGGAAGGTAAACGGCGTTTCCATGTGCTGCTCTGGTTTGCCAGAAGCGGCTTAGTCATGCTGGCCACATAACCCGGAAGCTGTACGCCAGCTTCCTTGGCCAATAAAGCGAGATGAGTGCCGCAACCCCAGAGTCGTCCACGACTGCACCTAATGGTCAGCGGTCCCTTTACCTTTTATTAGTCCTGTATGCTCTATCCTGTTTTATATTACAAACGTATATAAGTGGCAGAAGCCTACTATTTTCTACCCAGATGGGGGGGGGGACTTATCCCCAAGCCATACAAACCAAGGAAGAAATGAAAAACAAATCAATTTTTTTTTATTAAATAAAATATTTTTTGTCTGATTGCTCTGAAACTACACAGAAAGAGTTAAAAAAAAACTCCTGCCTCTAAAGGTCAGGAAAAGCAAGGAGCAAACCAACTGGAAGGAAGAAATTTTGATGGGATGAAAAGGTTGGGCAGCTTTAAGAGATATTGGGGAAATACACCTAAAACAAGCTTGGAGCTCACAAGTTACTCAGCTGTAGTGTAATGTGTGTGTAAAATTAGTTTAGAAAACAGCACACATTGGCTAGCACTGCAAGGTCTGGTTCTTCATTTCAGCTCTTTTGCACAAAATCTTGTTTTGAATGATGGCTCCTAATGTTTCTCTTTCCTTTCTCACAGGTGAAGGCTAGTTTGGGGATGTGAGCACAATGAGCGTAAACCAGCCAACTCACACAGGGCCACCTTATGGGCAGCCACAGCCTGGATATGGAGGATACCTGCCGCCTGGTTACGGAGGGCAGCCAATCCCGACCGTTCCCACCTCACAGTATGGTGCTTACAATGGTCCAATGACAGGATATCCGCAGACAGCCCCCCCACAAGGTATCCTTCATTGGTATAAAGGGGGAAATGACCTTTGTTTTTAGATTCTTTTAAAAAAAATGTTTACCCTACTTTTTAATGTTCTGTATGTGCCCCTGAGGTGGTAGCAACAAAAAAATTCAAACGTGCATTTAAAATAGTCAGTATAAGGATTTATGGTACCACTCTATTCTTCCCGGTTAGACCACACCTAGAGTACTGTGTCCTGTTCTGGGCACTGTAGTTTAAGAAGGATATTAACAAGCTGGAATGTGTGCAGAGGAGGGCAACCATGTTGATAAAGGGTCTGGAAACCAGGCTGTATGAGGAACACTTGACGGAATTGGGTATGTTTAGCCTGGTAAAGAGGAGACTGAGAGGAGATATGATAGCCGTCTTCAAATATCTAAAGGGCTATCACATGCAAGATGGAGCAAACTTATTTTCTCCTTCTCCAGAGGGTAGGACCCAAAGCAATGGATTCAAGTTATAAAAAAGGAGGTTCTGACTAAAGATCAGGAAGAACTTTCTGACAATCAGAGCTGTTTGACAGAAGAATAGACTCCCACGAGAGATGGTGGACTCTCCATAGAGGTTTTTAAGCAGAGGTTTGATGACCAATTGTCATGTATGATTTAGTTGAGATTCCTGCTTTGGACTAGATGACCCTCAGAGTACCTTCCAGCTCTACAATTCTCTGGATGCAGATAAATGTCCTTTATTCTTCATGATTTAAGAACTTGTGCATACAATTATATTTCATAAAGCAATGGGAGGTGGTTCAGGCGGCAACGCAGTTTCATGGTTATGCATGGGGTTTGGGAGGGCTCCATGCTTTGGTGGTCCACAAGCATTAAAGCAACTGGAAGCCCCTAGCACAAATTTAGCTGCCTAGGAAGTTGTGCTAGATGCTTAGTTGTTAGTCAGCTGGTGTAAAGAAGTGGGCATTAATGGCAGCAGAACTAGCTGAAAGGCCACTTGAAGGAGTAAAGTTTGTGGTGTTAACCTCAGGAAAACTAGCTGCTTTATCATGACTTACAGTCTTGGTATGGGAATGAATATTAGTTCTCTTACCTTTGCACATGGGAATCATAGTGGAGACCATAGAGAGTTGTGTTTATACTAGGCTTTAATGAAGGAAGCTGCTGCAAAGGTAATAATAATAATAATAATTTATTTAAACCCTGCCCTCCCCAGCCAAGACAGGGCTCAGGGCGGCTAACAACCAATAATAAAAACAAGTTGATTAAAATACAATTTAAAAAGATTAAGATACAACATTAAAACATTAGGGTGCAATCTCTTCATAGGAGGAGAAAGGAAAAAGAAAGAGGGGGAGGGAATCAAACTGATTCCAAGCCAAAGGCCAGGTGGAACAACTCTGTCTTACAGGCCCTGCGGAAAAAAATCAGATCCCACAGGGCCCTGGTCTCATGAGACAGAGCGTTCCACCAGGCTGGAGCCAGTGTTGAGAAGGCCCTGGCTCTGGTTGAGGCTAATCTAACTTCCTTAGGGCCTGGGACATCTAGGGTGTTGCTATATATGGACCTTAAGGTCCTCCGTGGGGCATACCAGGAGAGGCGGTCCCGTAGGTACGAGGGTCCTAGGCTGTGAAGGGCTTTAAAGGTCAAAACCAGCACCTTAAATCTGACCCTGTACTCCACCGGGAGCCAGTGCAGCTGGAAAAGCAGTGGGTGAATATGCTCCCATGGCACAGACCCCGTGAGGAGCCTCGCTGCAGCATTCTGCACCCGCTGGAGTTTCTGGGACAGCTTCAAGGGCAGCCCCGCATAGAGTGAATTACAGTAGTCAAGCCTGGAGGTGACCATCGCTTGGATCACTGTGGCCAGGTCGGGGCGGGAAAGGTACACGTGCTACATTTAATAGTTATTTATGTTAAACAGAAAGGTAATGTTGATGTTTCATTCTCAGTTTGAAGGCATGTGTAAAATTGGCAGATATTTGTGGGGGAGCTTCTTGTTTTAGGGTAGCTTACTGGGTGAGCTGCTCAATTTGCTCATCAGGTAGTTCACTTATCAAGCAGAAAGTTCTGCTGTTTGAGGTGAATCTTCTCTCTTTTTTGACTTTGGAACTACTCATCCGTGACGTCTCATGGCAGGTAGCAATAAACTATATTGAAAATAAGCAATGATTGCTAAGCAGGAGGAAACTCCAGCGTTTGTAGGACTAGCACAATGCATTTTATTTGAAGTTTTCCAAGTCTATTCTTACTGATGCATATATTGTCTTTCTAGGTTACTTTCCTTCAATGGGGTTTCCTTCTAAGGGCTCTCCTGTCTCTCTTGATTCTGATGCTTCTTTTACTCCCAACTTCATAGGTAAATGCTTTCCTTTTCATGCACTGTCTCTTATGAGAAAAGACTGTTTCAGATGCATTTCCTTCTGAAACATTACTCTTGTTTCATCTGAAAGCTAAGCCATGTAATTATTAGAATGTGTGGAGCTGTGATTCCTTATTACAAGGAATGTGCAGATCTCTGGGACACAGCGGTGAGATCCAACTAAGTTGTACTCAGAGGAGACTTAAATCCATTGATTTCAGTGGGTTTGCTCTTGAGTGTGGCTAAAGGTGGAGATCACCCTTTGAACATGATTCATTTCCTTCAAGACTTTTTGTAAAGCTTAAAAACAGCATGTACTCCTTACTTCTCAGTGTGCGTATGCTGCAGCAGAGTACATGTTTATGCATCTTTCTTACATGGAAGTGCTATCACTTCAGCAGACTGATTATTTCTAAAGTAAGGAGGATCATACATACTCTGAGCAGGACTGGCGTTGGATGAAACCCTCTGCCTTTTATGTAGCTGTAATCTAGACTACTGTTCAGAGGTAAGGGTTGCATCCATTGCGCTGACCAATTCGCCTCTGGCCCCGCCCATCACTAGCATGTAACTGTCAGAAGATTTTGCATGAGGAAATGAGCCCCTTAGGATGAAAAACTGGTTTACCGCTTTCATGTCATAGACTCTCAGCCAGATGGCTTAACTTTTGATGGTTGTGCTTCTCCAATAGAAATTCTTTCTCCTTTTGAGAAGGAAGTGCATTAGATTATATGACCGCTGGTGAAAAGGGAGCAGCAAAGCTTAACTTCACCATAGCTGTATAAATCTTTATATTAAACTGCGGGAGGCAGTGGAAGACTGGCGTGCTCTGGTCCATGGGGTCACGAAGAGTCGGACATGACTGAACGACTAAACAACAAAAGTGCATTTATCCTGTACTTTACATTGTTGAAGTAATTTGACAAGGCAGTTAACTTTTATGAGTAGGCCTACTTCTGTTGTTACCCTAATGGTTTCCCTAACAATTCAAAAAGGATATTAGGCATATGTTGTAGTAGCCCATTGGTAAACCCATATTGCCCAAAGGAGAGGAAGCTGAACCAGAGAAGAAGAGTGATAACTCTTCTTACTGTAAACTACAAATCTGAGTGGACTTGGCAGAACCTCAATAGATGCATAGAATGTTACTAGAGGAAGTGAGCAAATAGAATTCAAATCAAATGAAGTTTTGGTACCTCTTTCTCTTGTATACAAGCAAGCAGAGCATCAGTTCCAAATTGCGTGCATGTGCACACAGAGATGCATCCCCTCCCGTCCCCATATCTACTGCCTTCTAATCCTTTGGTCTGTCAACTCCAATGACAACCATTTTTTCTTCTGAGAAGCAGATGCCACCAGAGAATCCTGAAAGATGTGTGTTAACAATATCTGTCTTAGAGGAGTAACTAGCTAATTAAAATCTCACATATTTAGCAATACATGGTGAATACTCAAAAGAACCAGCAAAAGGCAGTCTTCTTCTTTTTTTTTAACATCTTATTTGCCCCGAGATATAAGAACAAAGTGGTTGCACTTACAAGACACCTGCCTTTCAGCTCAAAATATTTAAACTGATGATATAATCCTGCCATTCTTATGTCAGAATTTTCTGAACTTTGGCCAGATAATACATTATCCGTGCCAAAATTCCTAATTTGTGCAACAAATTGTCTTTGTTTTACAGTATTATTTTTCAGGCCTTTTAATGATAAAAAGCTGGAAAAGCTGTACACCTTAACTCTAAATCAGCTCCCATATTTTGGTAATAGTTCTAATATTTCCAGTAAGACTTGTTAGAGAAGATTCTCATGCAAATAAAGATTGTACACGGCTTGTCGAAAAAGAAAAATGTTATAAGTAATCTGACAAATCCTTGTCTGTTCCTATCGTCCACAATAGTGACTTTTCTTGGGATCTGAGATGCTCTTTAAAGCAAAAAAAAAAAAAAAAGCTAGGAACAGCAAGCCTTATTTTTAATAGCATATTTACATGCTTCTATTACTTTTCTGTCTTTGCTGTTGAAAATCTTGATAGCTTTCTGTTCTTCCTTGTATGCATTTGCTTCCTGTTAATCTCACGAGAGATCATGCCTAGTATATTTTAAGTATCTTCATAAGTGAGTCCCCGCTTATTTACTTGTACATGACTGACATGCAGTTCAATATTTCTAGGTTCCCTGAGAGCTCCCACTACTTCTGGAGCACCTGCTTCAGCATCTGGCACATTAGTTCCTCCTGGGCAGCCGGCTTACAGTCAGTTTGGACAAGGAGATGTACGCAATGGGATTCCTGCATCTACAGCTCCATTGCAAAGGTAATTAGGACAACAGTCATCAGACTCTAAGCCTGTCAGTACAGACAGCGACAATTTTACAGCCAGATGCTCGATGACACACACACTTGTCGCTGCCAACCTGGAAGTGGCCCGAAAATGGGGTATGGCAGGGCTTATGCACACTCCACCAACGCGTGTGGGGGTCAGTAATGGAACCCCCATGCAGAATAGTTGCCGTCTTTATCAAATTTTGGGGACAGAGCACCCATCCACTCCCTGTAGGGCAAAATGGTGTGTTTTTGGTTTGTTACGTAGAGAAGTTGTTGGGCTGACTTCTTACAGCTACTAAATGTGGTGGTAACTTTCTATTTTCTATAAGCACACTTAATTGGATATACTTCATTTATTTGTAATGCACCAGAATGCTCTTCTCAAGAAAGTTAGCAATTAGTATTATAGTAAAGCTTTAGAACAAAGGTGAGCAGTACCTCTGTCTCAGTCAAGCAGTCTACTACCCACAGCTGAATTTGCAGTTAGGCAACAGGGACAATACATAGTTCACCACCACGCCTAATTCAGCCATGTTGAGCGAGTAAGTTACTCATCTGGGTAATCAGACTGCTGCTTGCACAATTGGGCTGTGCCTTTCTCCCTTCTGCAGAGCAGGAGCTCTGCCTCCACTGCTTTTGCAAAATAGTATGTCTTTGATAGCTACTGTGTAGGCAAAAGCTTGCACATAACTTTCTTATTTAATTTAATTTTTATTTATTATTTAATTTAATATTTATACACACACGCGTAACCAAAAGACACCATCACAGTGGAAATCATTAAAAACTAGAAGGAAAAATAGATCAAAAATTAAGTGGGAAGAAAGTGAACCCATTAACCACAGCTTGCAAGTTCATATTTTACTTTGAAACAAAGCAACCACGTTTTGAGTGGTCACAGGCTTTAGGAGTAGGGGAGCGGCAGCATTGGCACTAGTGCAGAACCCCAGAGCTGCCTCTGCAAGCCACTTACCCACCCTTGTCTGCTTTCCTAAGAACAGAGATTGCAACCTATCATCCCAGGCAATAAATTCAACAGAGGGTTGTGAAGCCAGCAGATGATGAACTGTGTAGTTTCTCCTTTGCTTTTCATCTTAGATTAGGAAAATTGAAGTGCCTGAACGTCTGTTGCTTTGATTGATTGGTGTGCTGCAAAGGGGTTTTAGAACCTTCCCATTCTGTAAACCGCAGAGCCACTGGGAAAATCTTCTTCATCACCACTGTCTCATCATCAGTAATAATAATAATAATAATACATGAGTGGCTCAAGTAACAAAGGACTGTCTTTATTCTGCTTCCTTTTCTTAGACCTCCTGCTTCTCAACAGTTCATGCCTGGAACAACGCCCACATCTGCTACCCAGTCAGCTACTTTCCAGTCATTTGGGCCACCTCCAACGAGCACACAGCAGCTGACCAATCATATGGCAGGAATGCATATAGGTGGTGCATCGACCTCTGTTCCCTCCCCAGGTGTACTGGGCTATGGTGAGTAACCAGAAGGTTTGAATGCTGCTTGCTCGCATAGACTGATTTGGAGTTCCCTTGAGAAGGATCTTCCAGACTGCTATGGGTACAATTACTTCTCTCTTTTGCAAGTTCTATAAAATGCAATAAACAGGTCCCTGTGTTGCAACTATTGCATGCTGTCGCAACAGCTCTTAGTTGGAACTCAAGTAGTATAATATATAAAATGGTTCCAAGATATTAAGCAAGGAAAAAGGACCAACTAAATTAACTAAGGTTGATAATCCAGCGTAGGTCATACTCGCACTAGATCCACTAAAACTATTGATTTAAGCTACTCAGAGTATTGAGATACCAGTCAAAGTAATCTGGGGTATTCATATTAAAAGAATCTCTGAGAACTGCAGAGACAGCCCATTTAAATGCACATAGAGTTTGTTATGTTTGGCCTTTATTTCAGCTCCACTAAAGACAACAACAACAACAACAACAACAACAACAACAACAACAACAACTGTAGTAGTAGCAGTAGTACGGCAGTTAAAAAAAAAAAGTATACCGTCATTCATCCAAAGAGCTCAGGGCAAAATTGAAGTGGGAGAACTGCAACTTCATCATACTCTCACTTCCATTCCATTCTTAAAACTGAATGTTTTGATAAGTAGCTCTTTACAATGGTTTTCTTACCATAGGATACCATAAGGTCCGGTGACGAATACCAAGTATTGGTATTGGTAATCATGAAAGTGAATGGTAAAACCTGCTTGTTAATAAGCACCTCCATTTCTGTTTTCTCTCTCTCTCTCCACCTTGAAATAACTTTGGATCCAGGGTGAGGGGCTAGTTTACTAAAACACCTCATGCACACTGGGAGAAGAAGAACACTTTTATAAAGCAAGATGTGACCATAATTAACTTCTTCTCCTCAGGTCCGCCAACATCAGTTCCTCCTGCCTCAGGAAGTTTTACTTCGAGTGGATCTGGGCAGTATGTGCCCTATTCAAACCAAGGACCGCCACCTCCTGCTGTGCCCCATGGATTACCTCCTACCACCTTGTCTCAGGGTGTTCCTATGGCACAGCCTGCTATTTCTGGTCCTCCGTCAGCCCTGAACCTCTCACATCAAGCTCCTGGGTTTGCCCCGCCGCCTTCATCTTCTGGGGTCGGTGCTTCCAATTACCCTCCTGCTGCAGGAGTTTCAAGGCCTCCCCCGATGCAGGGGTCATCATTACCGGGACAAGCAGCTACTGGGCCACTCACTTCCCAGCCAAACCATGTGACCTCACCACCACCTCAGCCAGCTATGACAGGGCCACCCCTCGGACCACCAATGGCAGGCTTGCAAGGACCACCTCCCAGCCATCCTTCCCAACCAGGATATGCACTGCAGCAGAATGGTATGTTCAGTACATTGCTGAGAGAGGGCTAAGGAATAAAGGTCAATTGGGTTTTAACACTTGTTATAATAGATGTCTGTGCTAATTTGTAGTGAGGTCTTTAAAATACATTGAATTCAATGGAAATTAGCAACTTGCAGATAACTGAACTTGGTAGCTGTGTTTCCTCAGGAAGTCATTCCTATTAGGATGTAAAGCAGTTGTAGCCAACAGGCTGTCCTCCAGATATTGGACTACTACAGCTATCATAACTGATGGGCCATGCTGGTTGGAGCTGATGGGAGTTGGAGTTGATCTAGTGGACATCACATTCTCTACCCTTGATGTACAGGGTGGTTCTGATTGCTGTTATTGCATCAAGGTTTTTTTCTGTAGTTGTTTAAACAAATATATTTTTCCTGTGGATTTTAAAACCTAAATATAAAGGTGGGGATTGGCTTGTTAATCAGCTACTGTTTTTTCCTACATTCCTCTGATGGAGACTTCCAAAGTTGAGTTTCCTTTGCTTCCTAGCTCAGTGAACAGTGAGTTAGAAAGTTGCTTGCAACCTGTATAAGAACTGTTTGCTTCTCTTTGGGGAGGTCTTTTTATCTTTTGGCCCGTCCTTTTTCCTCTATACTCAGAATCATGCTGTTTTTGGATTACTTGGTGTACAGAACTGGATTGTTAAGTCTTGTGGCTACCAAACACACATAGTTCTGTGTATGAAACTTCTGAAGAAGGAATGCAAAATCTGCCAGCAGAGATGCGATATACGCAATAGGTTGGAGCTACAGAAACTCTGCCATAGCATTGCTCCTGTTGAAATCAGCGAGACTTAAGTTAGCCACTGCTAACTTACTCCTTTATTTTCAGAGAGGCTAAAGTGGGACTAAGTTCCTCTGAATTCCAACCCTTTTCATTCTATTTGCATAGTTGTTTCACCATGGAGTTATTTGGAATGCATTAGGATAGAGCAGTGTAAGGCACTGGAACAGAAATTATTGGGGAAAGGGTTGCCTTTTCAAGCTGATTTTCCTTACTGAACTTTACAGTATTGAAAAATCTGTCTGCAGGTATGTTTATCAGTCATCTTAAAATTGGTTTCATTCTTAGTCATATATCTAAATCATAATTTGAATTTTTGAATTTTTAAAAATTTATTTCTTGATAAATGATACAGGGGGAAAAAGTAAAATAAACAAATACTGATACAAAATCAAACAAAACAAAACTAAACACATATACACTCTACACTACAAACATAAACCCCACACACCCCCGTGACTTCCCTCCATCACAACTCAACTTCCTTTAGTTCAAATTTGAATATTGTCATTGCATTTTTTAGATAATACATCTTATACCCATTTCTGATTTATATTCTCGCTTATACTTTACATACATAATCCATGCATATCAACGTATTCTTTTTAGAGCAGTGTTTTTCCATATACTCCTCGAAACATTGCCATTCTAATCTTAATATTTGATTTGTCCGGAGCCTTATGGCTGCTGTTAACTTTGCCAATTCTATAAATTCACTTAATATACATACCCAATTTTCTTTTGTGGGTATTGTCTCACCTTACCATTTACTAGCAAGAACTATTCTGGTGGCTGTCGTGGCGTATAGAAAAATTGTTTTCTTTTCCTGTGGGATGTACTTCCCTAATAAACCTAGTAAATACACCTCTGCTTTCTTTTCTATGGGGATTTTAAGCATCAATCATAATTGGAAATTTGTATTATCAGAATCTTGGAATAATATGTATTGACAAGTGGTTATAGGTGCTTTTGTGGTGATGTGTTTACTATCAAAGTTGAATTTATTTTAATTCTATTGCATACTTAAATCTAGCATATATATTTTTCAGGGTCCTTTGGACAGAATAGAGGTACCCAGCCAAACTATGGACCAGCTTACCCTGGGCCAGCAAATTATGGGAGTCAGCCTGGACCTCCACCGCCACCTCCACCAAAACGTCTAGATCCAGACTCCATTCCTAGTCCAGTAAGTTGTATCCATTTTAGAAATAAATATCCTATCCTAGAAAGCGATTCTGAAGATTAAAAACCTGCCTCTTTGTAGCTTCTATCAATTTGTTTCATTCTTGCTCGCTTTGAACAGAACAAGGCATGCCTATGCACTACTGTTATTGGCAATCTTGACCATCTCTGTATACTTATATAAAGAAATGTAGCGTATCAACTGGATTATCACAAGATAATAATCATCTGCAGCAAGCCCTGCAATTACACTACCTGGGAAAGGATCACAGGAATTACTGTGAACGGTTGTAATTCTGTCTAGTTCATATCTTTGTCCACGTGATTGGGCTCGGTTGGAGTATGTTCATGTTAGTAAAACAGTATTTTGAATGGCTTCTTTGAACTTGCGAAATAGGGCTAAGCAACTTAACTTTGCTTATGGCGGGCTATTATGCCGCTTCTCGAGTTGTAACAGAATGGCATTTGGTCGGTTTTCTAGCATATAATGACCCTTGCTAGGTTAAGGCCATGTTGTGTAAAACAGCTGCACAGCGCAGTCTGGATCCAAAGAACTGCACTACATAGAATCTTAAGGGAGAATTACAGAATTCTTAAGGGAGCTTTGGGCTTGGGTGCCTTGAACACCAGTCTCCATACTTCAGTGCTGCACGGCCTGAAGACACGCCTCTTTGAAATTAAGGGGAGTTTCGAAAACAGTTTGTTACCAGGTACCAAGTTCAGGTTGGGAAAGTAAGCTTGACGTGCCCATGCCCTTGGGCATGCAGTTTCTTGCCAGCCAGTGAATGTAGGACTTGCATGAACCTTGGTGTGAAAACATGAGGATTTGTTCTTAAGTTTTATGTATTGCAACTCACATATGAGAGTTCTGGGGAACACCGCAGCCATATATCCAGTTGTACAGAGCGTCTGCTTGCTTTAAATTTGGGTGTGCTGGTCTTTTATCCTCTGAATTCCAGTGGGGTTTTGTGAAGCCATTGTTCCAAAGGCCACAACTACAGGCGGTTAAAGCAGCGACAGTGACAGCTGTTTCTCCAAAGTAACTCTTTGTATGTCCAGCTTTATGCTGTCGTGCTAACTTATACTTGTGAAGGATGAAGCTACAGCCTCCTTTGCTGTAACACTGAACCTGCAGCTTGAAAACTTTGAGATATGTTAGTAGCTTTGCTTCCTTCTGTGCTCTTCCTTTAACTGACATCTCAAAAGGAGTTGCATGTTCTTGAGCCCGTCGTTCTCCAAAGCTGAACTGAGCAAGCATGTGAGCTGCCAGCTTGGTCAAGAATAGTGCTCATTTTAAGTACATTTCCAATGAGGGAGCAAGATGTGGAAATAACAAGTAGAACTGAAGATAATAATGTTGTTTCACCTCTTGTTGCATGAACTGTTGTCCATTATACATATATCTAACAGTGATGGAAACAGGACAGATAGGAGTAACATTGCTTGTTAGTTTTGTTTTACTATTCTCTCTTTTTCCCTTTTGTGGCAATTTTACTTCTTTTTTCTATTTTAAAACAAAAAAAAGCAACTCAATGAGCTGCCACCTCAGCAGAAACCCAGACACAGAATAGATCCAGATGCAATTCCTAGCCCAGTAAGTGCGGTGTCTCTCTGTCTGTTATTGTCTGCATGTTGGTGGCTGCTTGTTTGTGTCTGCAAAATAATCTTACTCTTGCTAACTACCCCCTGGTGTTAGTCTTTCATCTTTATCCCACCCCTCTCTTTCTGCTCACAACATTACAATAAGTAGAATAAAATATGAACGTTGAAATCCTCTTCACACCACAAATCAAGGGGCAATAGAAGTTTGGCATTATAAGGTAATGAAGTGGTATTTCCTTCTTGAAATTAAGTAATTTATAAGCAAAATACTTCTGAATATTACATTTGTCAGTTTTGCACTATGAATAATTATGAATTCAGCATTGAATTTGGCATAATCCACTTGGAACTCTTTTTCAGTCCTGCGCTTCTGAAATGAATGGTGTGTTTTTTCACAAGGCCCACTGAACTAAGAGGGAATTTCCAGTGGATTTGTGCATAACCTGTATAATATTCCTGGACAGAAGTCCTAAAACTCATTTTATTTATGTCATTCTGTTACATTTAAAAAAGGGTTCAAGTTTTAATTTTTAGTGAGATTCAGAAGTCATTATTTTAACTAATTTCCCTCCTAATACAAGAAGTTCATGAGTATATATTTAAGGGGAAATGGAGATGATAAATACATTGAATTTTCTGCTGTAATGTCTTGCTTAGGCAGCAGTTTATTGAATATGGTTTATTAATGAAAGGTAGTCTATCACAATACTATTTCAGTAACAGACAAAATGACAAATTGCAAATTGGTTTGCAATTAAACTTGTCAGTGTGGCTTGTCTATTGCCCCTGCGTTGTTGTGTCTTGGAACAGGCTGAAGTTTGTTCACAACACTTGAATCTCCTCAGTGCTGTTAACAACTTCAGTTAGTTTGTAGTATCTTCCCAGCATGGTCACTCACCTTTTGTACACAGCCTCTTCATTGGTGTGTTTCAGATCCAAGTGTAAGGGTATTTATTAGTGCTCTTGTTATAGGAGGCATACTAGCAAAGGAATAAAGACATGAAGGGAAAGGGAGGGTTGAATACCCTCATTCGCAAGGTGAAGTATATTTCCATGCTAGTACTTAAAAGCCATACAGCGGTGGATTGCCAGAGAATATCATCTTTTCTATACCTTTTTTGGGAGGAACAAGTACATATTTGTAACCCAATAGGTGGAAAGTAGTTTCAAATAATATTACATTACCATTTTAACTTGCCTTATTGTTTTATGTTGAAGGGCTGAAAGCAGGATTATCCAGATTTTAAAAACTTGTGGCCGCTCCTTGGGTTACAGACCAGCAACTACTGTGGTTAACCAACTATTGCTTAATGGCACGATTGTTCTTAGATTTGAATTGAACTCAGGGTAGTATGAATGGTAACCTGAGATTGCAATCTGGGCAAAGGTGAGGACAAGTGCCTGATAAGTGGACCTGAAAGGGCTTTGCAGAAGTGCATTTTTTGGAGAAGAAACTTGCCAAAGACTGTGGTGGCTTGACAGATGTGGAAATTCCTTTCCAGACGTTGGGATTAGTACGTCCAGAATGGCCATAGTAAGATGAGAAGTGGGAGGGAAGAATTAGTGTGGCTGGGTGTAAATTAGCACCCAACTTAGCCTTCTTCCTGATGTGAAGCTTTTAGTGGATTTTGTCTTGTTTTGAAAATCAATTCATTATATCACTCGCACCTGCATTCAGAAGTGGCACAGCCCATACGCAAGTTATCTTGGTGAAAACTAAAGCTTAACTCTCACGAGTTCTTAAATTTGCCACTGTATTGGTTTTGTCTTGTTGTTTATCATCTTAACTTGAACCACCTTTTGAAAACAAGCATACTGGGACATGGCAAACTACAGTGCTGCCAAAATGCTTCCAAAATTCTTGGGTGATAAATTCTCAGACAGGCAGTTTGCAACAAAAGTTGCTGATGAACAATGAGCAGGAACTTCCTTGGGCCTGGGATTTTTAGATTAGTGGACTTAATATCTGGAAATGTAGAGTTTAACATGCCAATTGTATTATCTTCAAATTGACTATTCACTTATTCCCAAAATCCTCATGATAGACTCCTAAACCATATGTAGTTGTTATTTAGTGATCGATTGCAAATCTTTGGCTACGCTAAATTTGAAAGTTGCATTATCACCAGTTTTTGCACAGCGTCCACTGTACCACTAACTTTCTGCTTACCATTTTAGATCCAGGTAATTGAAGATGACAGGAATAATCGTGGGTCAGAGCCATTCATCACTGGAGTCCGTGGGCAAGTCCCACCCCTTGTCACTACCAATTTTTTGGTCAAAGATCAAGGTAAAATATTCACCTAGCCAAAGATTTTCCATAGGTCTAGCCATGTCGGTCTGTTGCAGTAAAGACAACAAAGTCTCTCATGAGCTACAGACAAAGATAAGTAGCAGCCGTTGCCGGAAAAAAGAAGGAAAACAACATGGCCTTTTGTCATAGAGACGGTGATCACATAGATTCAAGTGATACTTGAAGGTGCTCATACCATTTGTGTTCAGAACAACTAACTCAACCTGAACATGAACACAGTAAACAGGTTTTTTTTAAAAAAGTGTCAGAGCTGTAAAGCGACAACAGGCCCCTGATGCAGGAACTATGCATAAAACTAAGTAGGCTTGGATTTTATCAGTACCAGGATGGGAGACTGCCTGGGAACCTGGTGTGTGTTCCATTATGAAATAAAAGGTGATTAATATATTAAGCTTAAAAAATAAGACTAAGCTAGAGGTTTCTGAGAACCGCAGAATTAAAAACAGCATGTTGGAGTGGGGGCTTGACTTGCAAGGAAAGTTTTAATTTCTGAAGTTGCATAATACCTTTTGGTGTTAGTCGCACATGGGTGCTTTTCTAAAATTGATTAGCTTATTATGACATGAGCTTTCATTGAAATAATCAATTTCATAGGGTTAAGTCCTAATCATAGATTAATCTGAGTATTTCCCTTACTATTTCATATAACGAGATATATCCGTGCTAGTCACCACCATCCTGGCTGTGAACCCTAATGTCCATACACACAGGAGTCCCTTCTTCCACTTGAAATTGCCTACATGCCAGTATATTCTTCAGAGGTCCTTCTCCAGGTTCCCCTGTGTCCCAAGGTTAGGTGGATGGTGACTAGCAATATGTGACTGTTAGTCCCCCTTGAGTGTAAAAATTGAAGAGTTGGGATACAAGTCATTGAAATAAAGTGATTTGTTTGGTGTTGATGTACGGATAGAGTTTTGATTTTCTTCTTCTCTGTTTTTCAGGTAATGCCAGTCCCCGCTACATAAGATGTACATCCTATAATATCCCATGCACCTCAGATATGGCCAAGCAGTCGCAAGTTCCTCTTGCTGCAGTCATAAAGCCGTTGGCTGTACTTCCTGCAGAAGAGGTGAGACTGATATCCCTGACCCTTCAGATAAAATAGCAAATTTGTCAGTAGCACCTGTTTGTTTTGTCACCACTCATACTGTTAGCACTGCTAGTTAATGAATCTATCCAAATAAAAGTGCTCAAGTAGATGTTCAAAATTACTTGCCGTGCAGTTTTCTGTGCTTGTATTTATTACCTAAGCACTAGCAATCTTTAATGCAAACATTTGTGTCATGTTCCACAAGGTTTCAATGTGTTGCCCATCCTCTTTAACATCTAGATCGGGGTGGGGAAGCTTTTCAGCCCAGTGGGCCAGATCCTTAGCAGCCAAGTTTGACGCCACTGAGCCTTGGCACTGATCTCATGCACCCTTTTTGGCAGGGATTGGCTCCACTCCTAAGTAAAGAGCTCCAAGTAAAACCAATCTCAGCAGGGTTTGGATTTGGTGCAAAATTTAAAAGGCACGGAATGTAAGTCCTGCTCTTCAAGGAACAATTGGGAATGCATTTTAAGGCTCCTGGTGGAGTCACTGAAGCTGTGTCCCCAGACCTGACACCATATTTACTGTCCACTGTCCCCAAGTCATAGGGGAATGCTGCAGATTTTGTTACCGAAGTCCAGTGCTTTACTTTATCCCATAGGAGTGAATGAAAAGCTGAACAAGACTGTTCGCTGCATATCCCTGCCTTCGGTCGCATTAGAGCATGACAGCACAATGAAACCCAATTTTTTCTACAACTTGTTTCAGCCATTCAAACCCTTTAAGCCAAAAAAACTATCTGTAGAGAAATGAAAGCTGGACAGATGTTTCGCTTTCAAAAAGAGCTATTAATCTAATTCAGTAGTCTCCTATCTCAGGCTGATAAACTGGTTTTTAGAAGCCGATGCTTATTGAGGGAAGGGAAAGTTTTGCAGCGGCCACCCAAAAGCCTTTTGATAGCTTCATGCAGAGCCTAGCTATGCAATACTTTTTTTAAAATTGGCAGGTGTTGCTTCCAGTGTCTAGGGACTTGTCTGGCAGCTGTGTCCCCCACCTGTTAGGGGAAATAAGACACTGAATCAGTTAATGTTCAGAAGTATCCAGGAGAAGGGGTGTTAAAGTGAGACTAGCAAAACCCAACTTTCAGAATGGTTGAAATGTTGCACCTGTCCTTTAGAGATGTTTGCTCCTTAGTGCAAGGAGGCTTTTGGAGGCCTTGAAAAGGGGTACTTGCTGCCTTAAGGACTTCATTTATAGCCTCCCCAGTGGCAGCACACTACATATTTTTTATAAACACAAGTATGGATTCTGGTTCTCTAATATGAATAAAATGGGTCCATATTTCTTACCTCTTAAGAGTAAGATGCTCTTAATCAAACATAAGTTGTTTCAAGCAAGGAGCTTGTAAGCTTTTAGCTACACTAAAAGTTATGCTAAAGAATGGGTTTTCTTTTCTTGGGACCGAGAGCATGATAAGAAAAGATAAGGGATTTGCTGCTTGGTATAGTCTTACACAGCTGATCTTATATTACAGGACAGATGTAGGAAAAGGCAAGTTGCTTTGCTGACATGAATGCTAGAGCAAAGTGGTAGAAGGCATGCTCCCAGATATCACCTGTTGAGGAAAAGGGAAGCTACTTTAAATAGCACCAATGTCTTTCCCCCCCTTTTTTTCCAGGCTCCTCCTTATTTGGTAGACCATGGAGAATCAGGCCCTATCCGATGCAATAGGTGTAAAGCCTACATGTGCCCTTTTATGCAATTCATTGAAGGTGGAAGAAGATTTCAATGCTGCTTCTGTAGTTGTGTCACTGAGGGTAAGAGTTTTTGATTAAGAAGCAGTTCTAGAGGGTGGGGCGGGAGATGGTTCTATTTCGGCCGGAAAAAAGTGCAAAGACGGTTATCTAATGGTATAACAAATCCCTATTTTAATGGTAATTGTAAAATTCTGGGCAAATCAATTAAAATGCTCTAGCTGAAGAGGCATGCCACTAGACTCTTGAGCAATTTTTCTTGCTTTAAATATTCCTAAACTTTGGAGCAAGTCTGTGCATCAAACCTGTGTATATGTACGGCATTCTTCAGTTTTAGTATACCTGCAGACCTGATTAGGTAACACTGGTTGTAGCAGACTGTTCTTTCCATGCTGTGCCTATACTAAGACTTGGTTTGTGAGTATACACATAAAAATCAGGGAATTTCAGTTTCATGAGAATCCCTGCGTAATTGGCTGACTGCAATATTCATTAACATGGAACTGCTCCATTATTTAAAGCGGTCCGGGTAAATGACAAAAATAGGAAATGTCATGCATGAAATTGGTCCATAGCTGGCCAAATCGCAATAAACTGGATCCAGGAGGCCTTTGATAGTTGCAGTTTCTTTCTTACTGGTGGTGTTTTCCCAAGTGTCTTATCAAAATCTTCCTGGTTTGGTACCTGGAGTGCCCTTCCTTACCATGGTAAACATCATGGTTACCCATCTAGGAAATTGCATGTATTTGAGCTTCTCTCTTTTCTTCTCCCCTTCCCCTTTCTTTAGTGCCATCTCAGTACTTCCAGCACTTGGATCACACGGGCAGGCGGGTGGACTACTATGACAGACCTGAGTTATCATTGGGGTCCTATGAGTTCTTGGCAACTGTTGACTACTGCAAGGTACGATGACTTGTAAGCACAGTGTTGGGCTAAGTAAATGTCACTTTTGCCCCATTGCTCAAGGTAGGAACAATAGACTTTTATGGGTTTGTTCTTGAAGTCCTTAATTCTTGAACTCCCTTAATTCCAAGGGAGAAAAAGTATTTTCTTGATGATGACCCAAATAACATAATGCACTGCACCAGGTTACCATTGTCAGATGTATGAAACTAGAAGGCAAAGTACACAAAGTAGTTGTCTGCTTACCTAAGAGCTGGACTCTAGGCTCTTAAACTCTTTACATGCATTTAATAAGCTTAGGAAATCCTGTCCAGGGCGTGAGCTGATGAATGCTCACATATGTTTTTCTTTTACTGGTGCATTGGTCATTCTCTTCCTTTGAGTTCTCAAGGGAAGAGGGTTTAAATCTGTAGAAAAACCACTGGGAGAGCAACTTTGCTCTCTGAATGTGTAATATACGTTTGGGAATTCTCAACTCAGAACATACATCCTACCAGGTTCTTTATAATTACCCACCTCGTTCTAGTGTGGTGATGCTAAGGATCATGATGTGATTTTTTCCCCCTGTCGCTGGCATAAGAAGCATAGTTATCAAGGCAACAGTGGACAATGGAAGTGGAGCTAGTTGCAGATAGAACTGTATACAGTTTTTGTGTTCAGTGTGCGAAATACATGTTAATAATAAATGCTTAGTGATGGTGTTTTCGTCTTCTCTTGTCAGAATAACAAGTATCCCAACCCCCCTGCTTATATTTTCATGATCGATGTATCATACAATGCAATAAGAAGTGGCTTGGTAAGGCTGATCTGTGAAGAGTTGAAGACGCTCCTGGACTACCTGCCCAGGTAACCATACAGATGAGATTCCATTATAAAGGAATGAGTAGGATGAATGTGGAATGCAAGCTTCTCAAAACATTCTCATTGTGTGGAACCATAACCGCGTTGCCCATTTATTTATTTAGAAAATATTTAGTGATTTGCCTCTCAATAAAATACTCACAATGTGGGAGCATTTGACAATTGTATGCTTTGTTTTATTTATTTGTATATTTTCTTTATCTGCTAGGAATTTTCAGTTGAATGCTGCTTGTAGAATCTGGAGCAGAATCATATGGTGCCACTATTATTTAAGCTTACGCTGCTTTACTTTGCATGTGTGTTTTCATGGCGTATTTAATTTATTCTCTCCCTTTTTTTCCTTTTTGGGAAAAAAACAGAGAAGGAAACATGGAAGAATCAGCCATCCGTGTGGGCTTTGTCACCTACAACAAAGTTCTGCACTTCTATAATGTGAAGAGCTCTCTGGGGCAGCCACAAATGATGGTTGTGTCGGATGTAGCAGATATGTTTGTCCCTCTGCTCGATGGTTTCCTGGTGAATGTTAATGAATCCCGCACAGTTTTCACTAGGTAAGTAGGAGCTGGTACAGATCAATCAATGGTTTGTATGTCCTGTTACATACAGTAGCTATCGTGGAACACATATTTCTAAGGTTCTTTTGCCCGTGTACATAAGCTTAAAGAAAATGATGTATTCAGTACTGAAACCCATAAAAATAATTGTGGTTTTTGAGGATGAGGTAGAGAAAGGGAGCGTCTCTTGTGGTGGGCTGGTTTACCCGCTGTTGTGAGAGCTTGCACTGCCTTCCTTTATAGATATAGAAGAAGTACAGTGGATGTTGGTGGCACCTAGGTCGGGCTCCTGGGTGGCGTCTAGGAGGTCACAATGGCAGAGCCTTGGCAGTGACTCCCTGTGAGGTCCTCCTCCTCTGCCTTGCAAATAAATAGTGAACATCTAAGCAGTTTGCTGTGTTTGCTTCACCAAAAGTGACCTCTCCAGAGCACAAGCCTGAGTAGTGTGTTTGGAAGTCCTGGGCTGCCAGACAACAATATGTGCTTGGCATCTTGGTTCGGAATGGGTCCCTGCTGTCACACTTGCTCTCTGGAATTCCCTCTCCTCTCAGCCTTGGTGTTTTGTTGTGTGACAGGGCCTTGGCTTTGGGGAGGGGGTTCAGAATCTTGGCAGGGCTTTGTCCCACTTTGCCTGTAAAAGGAGCCTCCCCTGAAAAAAGGTCAGGCAATTGGAAAAAGAAGGTGAATACATGACCTAAAACCTGCTGTTCCATATGCAGGGAAAGGAAGTAAGCACCTTTTCCCAGAAGCTGTTAAAATGGCCAAACATGTCATATCTTTAATCTGCATAGTATCAGTTTCCACTGACTGGAATTGACCTAGTGAATTTTACATGTCTCTTGACTTGCACTTCCTTGATTTGCAGCTTGCTGGATCAGATACCAGAAATGTTTGCTGATACAAGAGAAACAGAAACTGTGTTTGCCCCAGTAATTCAGGCTGGCATGGAGGCTCTGAAGGTTTGTTCAGCATTCTAAACTGACTTCTAACATCTCTTTGTTTTGTGTTGTAGTATTGGAACCTCTTTCCCAGCACTTCCGAAAGTTGCTGAAGTGTTGACAGGAGGTCATAAATGTATGAAGCATTTATGGAAATGTAACTAATTTACAATTAAAAGTGGCTTTTTAACTACAGCTTGCCTTGCAACTTATAGGATAGTCTAACTGGTAAAAACGGGAAAAAGCAAAGAGGTATTCTGTTCCGTGAGCACAGAGGATCTTGCAAAGTGGAGACGGAGTTGGGTTTCAGGAATGCGTTGAAAGCAAGAATTTGATCTATCACTGCACACTTACCATACATTTCTAGTGAACTGTTTTAAAAATTGTTCATTACCAGCGGTAGCAAACACAGTCATGAGACTTCTCAATAAGCTTTTGTGGATTGTATGTCTCCAAAGATAAGAACGATTTTCCCATGCTTTTGAGCCTGACATAGAAGTATCACAGCACTGTACATCTTCATGGCCTTTTGGTCCCAATGTCTACATCCCCCATACCCATTTTGCAAGCACATACAAAAATCTGCCAACACTTCATGCATCACAAGTAAGCTCTAGTCCACAAAAACCTTTAACATAATACATCTGTTTGTATTTGAGCTTCCACGGGGTTCTTGGTGGGTGCTTTTCTTTTTCAAGGAGTTAAATTATCTGAGAGCGCATTTATAGGAACTGTAGATGGGCAGTCAGAAACCTGGTGCTATGTTTTCCCTTTTGAAAGCTGCTTCTTGCAGTCTCGGACTTCTAACCTGTTTGAATGGTATGCTGAAGTTTTGGCAAACCTGCCAAGTTAATCTGACAAACGTACAAGCCGTATATGTGTAGCTGGTTTTTAAGCTGAGAGCTGCCAAGTGTGGCCCCTTGCCCCATTCATATGGCCACTATTCCCTTCCAAAGTTTGTAACAGAAAAACTTTGGTCTTCTGCTTTCAGGGGTAGCAGTCAGGCTTCTGGGCAGATATGGTGGGCTTCAGTAATGGGCACACGTAATGAGCTTGTGGCTACTAGCATTTGCTCTAGTTTCTTTGTTCCCTTGTTCCCAAACATCTGGGGCTCCAAATACATATTGCAGCATATTGAGACTGCACAGAGCACTGTCATGGATGACAGGCCATGTAAAGTATTTTAGGCCTTTGTTCTACTTGTAGGGGAGCCGAATTGCTTTTTATAGCAGACAGCACTCAGTATCTTAAAAAAACGTATGTTTGGAGAACATGGTTGCTGAAGGCAGACCCAGGGTCACTGAACCCAGAGTCCCTCAGTTATATTTGTGTCTTACTTAATGGCTTTTGTATGCTTACTTGCAGGCAGCAGAGTGTGCTGGCAAGCTCTTTATATTTCATACATCACTGCCTATTGCGGAGGCCCCAGGGAAGCTGAAGAACAGAGATGACAAGAAACTGATAAACACTGATAAAGAAAAGGTAGCGGGACTTGTGTTCTGTGGGTTGCATTTGGCTTTTCTTCACCAGTGGGTTCATTTAAAGAAAAATATTTCCTTGTTAACTCCTCTGCCTGCTTTTCTTCCATTATACTTTCCTGTTTACAGGATGCACATTTCACACAAGCACACCATGCCTTATTTTCTCTCCTGGAAATCACCTGAAATTCTCAGCAACGTGGTCATTTTCAACATTTGAGGGACATACCGGTTCAGAAAGCTGTACAGATCTCTTCCATTAGTTGTAACCCCCCTGCTGTAACTTGCAGCAAAAAAATGAAATGATTGTTTTTAAATGTGGTGATTCCTAAGAGAGGCAGTAGTTAGTATGAAAGCATGTGTTGTCACTTTTTTTCAGCTGTCATACAAGAAAAAAAAGAATCCTATATATGTAAAACATTTTAGCAGAACTCTTAGAACCAAATTTAACATTTAACTGTGAATATTCACCCTGCCTCTTGAGGTACTCTGAATAGCACTTGGGAAGAGAGTTGTTGAGAGAGCCTTCCTTTTTTTAAACAGGAAGATGTGCACACAGACCTGCTAGTTCCCATTCTGAGCAGAGGAGCTGAGCTTGCTAGTTCAGAACAAAGCTATTTGCAAAGTGTTTTGTTTTATTCTAAAATGGTTTCTGTAGCTTGTTTCTTAAAGGACATGCCAGGCAGGATTATTTTTTTTAAAAAGCTCTTTCCAGTAGTTCCCCACCTAAACTTTCCTCTTTTCCTCTTTTCTACCCTTGTAGCATCCTAGAAACGACAGTAATTCGTCATACAACAAAGAATAACCTGCAGTTATTAGAACAGGGGTCCCCAAACTAAGGCCCGTGGGCCAGATAAGGCCCAAGGGACTTGTTTATCTGGCCTGCAGCAACCCCCACTGTTGCATCCCGCTCTTACCGGCGCTGTGCTGCGTGGCTGCCCACTTCCGGGTCGGAGGAGCACCGGAAATAGGTTGTGCGCATGTGCAAGTGTTATTTCCTGTGCACATCCGTATTGGAGGAGGCCTGTGCACATGCTATTTCCGGTGCTCCTCCAACCCGGAAGTGGGACGGAAATAGCATGTGCGAACGCATATGGGTGCGCACTCCCCTGCCCTCCAGCCCGCCGCGTGATAGGCGCTGGAGACACTGGCCTGAGGCACAGTAATTTTGTGCTGACCCCTGTATTAGAATATAGCAGTACAGTGGTATCTCGGTTTTTGAACGTCTCCATTGACAAGCATTTTGGTTTTCGAATGCCGTAAACCTGGATGTAAATGCTTCGGTTTTCAAACGTGCCTCGGAAGTCGAACATGCCACGCGACTTCCATGTTGAGGCTTCCATTTTCAGTTTTGAGTTTTCGAATGTTTCGGAACTTGAATGGTCTTCCAGAATGGATTACATTCGAAAACAGAGGTATCACTGTAGTGTAAGCCTTGGAAAACCTGAGACGCTGGATCAAAAAACTCTGTAGAGGACCTTACTTCCTTTTGCAGGTTACTTGAGTTACTTGTTTATCTAGTTCTGATTTTAGTGATATTTTGTGCTCTTAAATTGTGGGTAGTAGGTTTTTTTAGGTTTCAAAATTGTGATTTATTATATTTGCTAAGTTGTAAATCACTTGGTAAATCTTTGGCTTAAAGCATGCTGTAAAAATATTTTACATTAAGAAACTTTGCTAAAAACTGGTTGAAAATTCATCAGGGGTCTTGCAAAGCTGGCCTTGTGTGGAGTGTTCCAACATTGTCATCATTGAAGGTAGAACGTTTTAATGTCCCCGATGTACTGCAAGACATCACGTATTGTGCCCTGTGGTTGGTTTTGCTTCTTCTTTTTTGTCACATGATCAGGAATAGCGAGTAGACCGTAAACCTGCTGCATCATAAATTGTCAATTATTAATCTTATTTCTTGTCTCTCTGCTCCTCTTTTTTCCCTTTTGCCTCCCTAGACTCTCTTTCAGCCTCAGACAAACTTCTATAACAACTTAGCCAAGGAATGTGTAGCACAAGGCTGCTGTGTGGATCTCTTCCTTTTCCCAAATCAGTATTTGGATGTGGCTACCTTGGGGGTTGTTCCTCATCAAACAGGTGGCTCCCTTTATAAGTACACATTTTTCCAGGTATGATCTATCTTTGATTTGATGCCTGCAACATATAAATGATTTAAGTAGACAGTAGTTGCCCTGCTGATCTCAGAGGAGAGTAGATAAAAAGCTGGATTAACTTTTTCATTGGACCAGTTTGGGTTTTTTAGGAGTCTGCAAGCCTTTTCCAGTTACACGAAGAACAGTTCTCTTGTTGTTACTTACTAGCAATGCTGCCCTGCTTCATGATTTCTCTGAAACCTGTTGGCTCAGCAGTCCAATTTGACTTACCGTTTGTACATGATGAAATGTACAATTGACATTTTGTCACGGATAGATGAAAAACGTACAGAAAGAGCAATGGTTTCTTGCAGTGATTCTCTTTCAGAAGAGTGTCTTGGCTTTCAGGTGAATTCCTGCAATCAGCATACACTAAATATGGGTTTAATTTCCATCTTAATACAGTGGTGCCCCGCAAGACGAATGCCTCGCAAGACGGAAAACCCGCTAGACGAAAGGGTTTTCCGTTTTGGAGGTGCTTCGCAAAACGAATTTCCTATGTGCTTGCTTCGCAAGACGAAAATGTCTTGCGAGTTCCTGCAGGGTTTTTTTCCTCCCCCCCCCCCCTTTTTCCCAAGCTGCTAAACCGCTTATCAGCTGATGGCTAAGCCGCTTATCAGCTGATCTTTAAGCCGCTTAACAGCTGATGCTAAGCCGCTTATCAACTGATCTTTAAGCCGCTTAACAGCTGATGCTAAGCCGCTTATCAGCTGATCTTTAAGCCGCTTAACAGCTGATGCTAAGCCGCTTATCAGCTGATCTTTAAGCCGCTTAACAGCTGATGCTAAGCCGCTTATCAGCTGATCTTTAAGCCGCTTAACAGCTGATACTAAGCCGCTTATCAGCTAATACTGTAGCGCTAAGCGCTAAACCTCTAATGGGCTTGCTTCGCAAGACGAAAAAATCCGCAAGACGAAGAGACTCGCGGAACGGATTCTTTTCGTCTTGCGAGGCACCACTGTAGTACAAAATAAAGCATAGCTTACTGAATGACGGCCCAGAATTTTTAGTTTGTTTAAAACAAGCAGCCTTCACGTTGTGCCAAAATGCCATAAAGAAGGCACCAGGTGAGACTCTCTGGAAGGCCTCTCCCATGACTGGATTGCTGACACCAGTTCTCTCTCTGTAGTAGCCACCCACCTTGCCTCATTTTTGTGGGGAGGGCAGCAATGGGCACAAAACAGCACCTCTTAAGAGAAGCTTCAGGTTTAGGTATATATGCATGACAGAAGACCATTTTTCATGTAACCTGGTCCCAAGGTCCTAAGGGCTTTTAAAGTTAAAACCAGCACTTTAAATTGAGCCCAGAAATGAACTGGGGAGCCAATGGATCGTTGTATAGCTTGCAGATAATGGGTTTCTTTAAAACTGGAGGTGTGCTTGCATATTTTGTGTGTTAATTTAATGGGATAGGGTTTGTTCCTGGAGAGAGTCTAGCAAGATGATCCTAGGACTGAAGGATAGTAGCACTTTTAATATCCCTGGGGCACCTCTGTACTTCTTGTGTGACACCTGCTGTCTGTCTCTGTACGCTAGGTGGAAACGGATCAGGAACGCTTCTTGAACGATTTGCGCAGAGATGTTCAGAAAGAAGTGGGCTTCGATGCTGTGATGAGGGTCCGCACAAGCACTGGTACGTACTTATGAAGATGCTGTCTGGATTTTAGGAGTGTGCAGGGGTCTAGCGCTCGAACCTGCGAAAGTTAGGATGCCCTATACTGCCAGGATCAATCCCTTTTGCTCAGTGGTAAAAAGGATTTCTTACCACGTGTTCTCTTGCCTCCCAGGTATTCGCGCAACAGATTTCTTTGGAGCTTTTTACATGAGCAACACCACAGATGTGGAATTAGCCGGCCTAGACTGTGACAAAACAATCACCGTGGAGTTCAAACATGATGATAAACTTAGTGAAGAAAGTGGAGCACTTCTTCAGGTGATGCATGCAAGATGGGCGATAATGGGTCGTGTTTTCCCTCCCTTATTCCAATTCTTATTTAGCCCCAAAATATTCAGTGCTGTTTAGGCCTTCAGCCATTTAAGCACGGCAGTTGTGTCAGATTTGTTGGAAGCCCACGCAGTGGTACCGAACTTTCTTTTGCATGCTAACGGTTCTGCTTGTAATTTCTCTCTCATGTAGTGTGCTATATTGTATACAAGCTGTGCAGGACAGAGGCGACTGCGTATTCACAACCTCTCCTTGAACTGCTGCACTCAGCTGGCTGATCTTTATAGGAACTGTGAGACGGACACACTTATCAACTTCTTGGCCAAATTTGGTAAGGGGTTGACCTGTAACAGTTTCCTGGAGAAGACAACTATTCACAAGAAGCTTTGGGAGGGAACATTCTTCTTGTACTGTGAATATAGTTTAATGTAAATGGGTGTGTGCTGCCTTCCAAGTGAATGTAGTTAAAGACAAAGTCAAAATATTCTTCTTCAGATACACTGGAAAAAGCAAGGAATCCTATTTCTATTAAGACCAGATATGAAAACTATGGAGAGGCCTGGTCTTAATAGAGATATTGGATTCCTGTCTTATTACATATGCTAATCATCTGCATACTATCCCTTGCTTTTTCCTGTAGGACTAATTGCCATCGTTAACAGTCATCAGCAGGTTTACCATACTCATTGAGTCAATCACCCATCTCCTACTACCCTCCTGAGAAAAACCCCACCCTCCAACTATATATAAGGGTCTGCTGACTTCTGTTTCAGTGTATCTGAAGAAGTATGCATGCACATGAAAGCTTATACCAAGAACAAACTTAGTTGGTCTCTAAGGTGCTACTGGACAATTTTTTTATGTAGTGAAAGACAGTTTGCACAGTGGGTGGTAGATCTACATATAAGAGCATCCTAACCAGGACTTGGCAATAGACTAACCTGCTTTGACTAAGCTTGTTCTCACAGTGTCTTAAGACCATGGCTAATGATAGAAAAAAAACCTTGCTTATGTTTTCTCCCAGCTATTTCAGCCTATGACAAATTTATCCCCTCGGTTTGCCAGCATGCGTGTGATTTAGCACTACATTACATCATTGTGTGGCCTGAAACCATGGACTCGCCTTTAAGAGAGGCTGCCAAAATAAACGCATGGAATGTATCGGCCATAATTTTTATTGAAAGCAAGAGGGCTTAATGAAGTAATCAGATATCAAGTAAAAAAGCCTGATCCGAGAAACACAACATGCATAGCTCCCACTATCATCCATATCTTTCATATTTGGACAGGGAGAAACATCTTTTGCAGGAAGACCTTCATCTTTTAAAATGTCATCATATCTATAAAGTTAATTTTCCTGTTTAAGAATGATCCATTTAGAATGTGCAGGTTGGCTACATTACTATACAAATAAACAGATTCTGGGGTATAGAACTTAATATACGTGTGCCCAGAAGTATGCTTCTGAATTCCAGTTGCTGGAAAGCACAAGAGGAGAAAATGTTCTTTTACTTGGGTCCTGCTTGTGGGCTTCCCATAGAACAAGATGCTGGACCACTGGTCTGATCCAGCAGGCCCTTCTTTATGTTCTTAGGGGAGGCTAATTTTTTTATCTGTAAGCCACCTCAAGTCCTGTCAGGGGGAAAAGGTGGGGTGTAAATAAATAAAATAATAATAATAGAACTGCTAAGCAATAAGTGCTAAAATCACTGATGTCCATGGTGAAAGTGTGTTTAGTAACAATTGATCTCTCTTTATCAAGACAAAGCAATTAAGATTACTTCCTCCCCCCCCCCCATTTCTCTAACACGAGGATCTATAGTGGAGAAGCATGTAATTTACATGCAGTAGATCCCAGGTCCAGTCCCTGACACCCCCAGTTAAAAGATCTATTGATAGCAGAGCTGGGAAAGGGTCTGCCTTAGGCTTTGGGGAGACACTTCCAGCCAGTGGACAGCACTTAACTAGGTGGAGCCATGGACTGACTCAGTCCAAAGCAGCCTCATATTACCACAGCAGCACAAGATACCTTGTTGGTGGTTTTCCAGGCGACTTATTTAAATCTTTTTTACATCAGCTTGCATAGGACTTTCTAAGCAAGATGTTGTTCTTTTCCTAAAGCATATCGTGGAGTTCTGAACAATCCAGTCAAGACAGTGAGAGATACGCTGATCAATCAATGTGCGCAGATACTGGCATGCTACCGGAAAAACTGTGCTAGCCCTTCTTCTGCTGGACAGGTAACTCCTTGGTTGTGGGGTACTAATCCTGAATTGGGAGGCTGGGAGAGCAGCCAGAAGTAGTCTGTCTAATAATGATGCTAACATGGAAAGGAACCTTCTGGCTCACTCCTTAGAACTGCGTTCCAGATAGCTGCTTTGTGAAATAGGGTAGTGGCTGCAGCCTTCCTGCATTTCATGAACTTTATGAAACCGAGAAATGAACCTGAGTTATTTTCTTGCAATAACTTTAATCTTACTATAGCACAGTGATAGTGAAGATACTTCACCATAGTATTGCAGGTGAAAAGAACCTGAAAGGCTATGTAAACCCCAACACAGGGGCAAATCCATTCACTATCTCCGATCAACATACGCAATCCAGACCATAATATGCCTTGAGCTGCAAGTGGTTGTAGAAGCAATTGCTTTTATGGCCGTTTACTTCAAAGGCCCCTGCCTATAAGCAAGCCACATGCTACAGAATATGCAGTATGTACTAAGCAGTGTTCAAGGAAGTTGTTTTCAGGTCTCTTCTGATATTTACGATAGGTTGCAGTTTTAGTCTGAAATACAGCAGTAGAAATTAAAGAATCTCCTGAAGTAGTTACCCTGATCTTTGTTAAAGACTGACGGTTTTCTTTCTTTTACATCAGTGGTGTCCAAACTTTTTTCAAAGAGGGCCAAATTTGATGACGTGAAGGGCCAGAAGGGCCAGAAGGGCCAACCATATTAGCTGAGTTTTTTTTAGGATTGAAGTTGTTGAGCTTTTTTTTAGGATTTTACCCCAGGATTAAACTAGACATACCTGTTTTGCATCTATGCCAATGTTAGCAGTGATTCTCTTCAATTTTTACAAAGTTAAAATGCTCGTAAGTTCTCTTTCTCTCTGCCACCCCTTCCCCTAACGAGTGATTTTCTCTAATTTCGTCTCTTGCCACTTTCAGCTGATTCTTCCTGAATGCATGAAACTGCTCCCTGTGTATCTGAACTGTGTTTTGAAAAGTGATGTGCTTCAGCCTGGGGCAGAAGTCACCACTGATGACCGATCTTACATCCGCCAGCTAATCACCTCCATGGATGTGGCAGATACAAATGTTTTCTTTTACCCCAGACTCCTGCCACTGGTAAGCACTTCTGTACATAGAAAACTTGTAATTGCTTAAACATACAACGCATGGAATAAGGGGGAATTAAGATTTTTGGGTGAGGCTGCTTTGTCTAAATTGGGAGTACTTGTAACTTTAAAAATTGTAACATTTCTTGTGTCAGAGCTCTGACACATACAGTTGTGTTTATGTCAAGACATGCTGCCTGCAATATAAGGAAATAAAAAGTATTGTTCTCCCTGGTACTGCAAGAGTATCAGGAGACTCCATGCACAGTGCTACCCTTGAGCTCAGCCTGTTAGTAGTCTTGGGAAATTAGGCGCAAGTGTCTGAACAAGGAGCTGTGATTCCTGTGGAATACCACACAATATCCCTCTGCCACACTTTCCAGCTGTAAACCTGGAACCGCAGCAGGATGTAAGGAAGGCAGTGCAAGTCCACTAATAAGGGGAAGGTCAGCATCCTGGAGACCACAACTTTTGGTTGTGTACTAACACCAGCCAAGAATTGTTGAGCCCTGTTTGCATCCCCTTGATACAGGGAAATTGGGTCATATTCTCAACCAGGTCTGCCAATGTAAAGGTTACTAACATCTTAGGGCAGGTGTCTGAAGGGGCAGCGCCTCTTTCCCATATCATTTTGGCCAGGTTTGAGGTTAGCTGGGAAGGCTGTTCTGGCGGTGCCATTGTTGCATGAGATTAGGAGATCCGTGGCTCACCAGAGAACTTCTCAGCAATAGCACCCCAGCTATGGAATATTCTTTCCCACCCATGAGGCGACTGTCATGTGCAGCAGGATCGTCAGGGGCAGAAGATCTGGGCTCTAAGGAATGCATTGCCTCTGCTGCTGGCACTTCCACTGCCACATTGGCAAAGTCACAGTTGCAGCAACATCTGCGGCACATTCTCTGGAGGTCAGATCTTCTACCTCAGCAGCCATGCAGCCTCTGTAGCAGCCTCTTGGCAAACAACAACAACAACAACAACAACAGTTTTATTATTTATACCCTGCCCATCTGGCTGGGTTTCCCCAGCCACTCTGGAGATTTCCCTAGGCACTGCTGGTCTCCTCCTACCCCTAGGGAGGAAATGGCGTAGGCTGGGTCTCCTGGGCTCTGCAACTGCTTAGCGTGATTCAAATCAGGCCCCTTTTCCCCCTGTGACAACTTTTGATTCAACCGGTGGGTAAGGTTGGTTTGATTCCCTTGTTCCCAGTGTAGATTTTTATTTCCTCCTCATTCTGTTGTAGATGCGTGTGGTTCACCTCTTCCACCACGCTTTCTGAGTGGGCCATTATGCGCCTGGGAGCTCTTTGTGCACTGAGTTACATTGCCATTCTACCTGATATATTTTGTGAAGTGTGGTCAGTTTTGTTGTTACTGCGTTTAAAATGGTTGTGACTTACCCCCAAGGTCCCATGTAATGGGGTGGGATATAAACCTAATACATGAAGCAAATCGGCTTGGTCCAGTCACGGACAGCAGCTGCCCAAGATTTCAGACAGAAGTCTTTTCTAGCCCAACTTGGAGAGGTTGGGGGTTGAATCTGTTCCCATTTGCTTTCAAAGCATGTACTGTACTGCTGAATTACAACCCTCCTCCTGAACATGTCTTTTTAAACAAAAGATGGGATTCTGAGAGTTTTGCAATGATTGCCACATTCTGTCCCAGTCTGTGTGATTCAGTGGTCATTTGCAAAACCGTTCATCCTGTTTAGTACTGTTGTGAACTTGCAAATGTCCTGCAGCACAGTGACTCCAGTTCTATATCTACAGACCAAGATAGATCCCAACAGTGACTCCTTACCACCAGCAATCAGAAACTCTGAAGAGCGGCTTTCCAAGGGTGACATATATCTGCTAGAAAATGGGCTGAACATCTTTTTGTGGGTAGGAGCAAATGTTCAGCAAGGGCTGATCCAGAACCTCTTTGGAGTGGCATCTTTTGGCCAAATCAGCAGCAATATGGTAAGTGGGGTCATGCTGGGCAACAAGAAGATTTGTCCTCATTCTTAGGGTGCTGCCTAACTTTCTGCTTGCAGGATTTCCCCCAAAAGATCTGGCAAGATTCTGAATAATGGGACCAGCCCTGTGTAAGGGTCCCAACTCTCTGATTTGTCTTCTGACTCCTTAACACAGTGGATAGAACAGATCAGTTACTTACAATTCCACACCTAAACCATTGGTCCATGTAGCTCAGTATTGTTTAGTTGTAGTTCTCCAGGATTCAGACTGGGGGCATTCCCAGCCCTACCTTGAGATGCCAGGGGTTGAATTTGGGAGCTTCTACGTGTAGTGCAGATGCTTTGCCACTGAGCTGTGGCACTTCCCAAATCATGGGTAAGAGTGAGCAGTGCTGTGAAAAGAGTTTCGGCAAGGTTGGGTAGCTCTTCTACATGTGGGTCAGGGTGGTTTTTGTGATTCATTCATCATTTTGTGTGTGTATGTGTATGCTGAGGGACGCGGGTGGCGCTGTGGGTAAAACCTCAGCGCCTAGGACTTGCCGATCGCATGGTCGGCGGTTCGAATCCCCGCGGCGGGGTGCGCTCCTGTTGTTCGGTCCCAGCACATGCCAACCTAGCAGTTCGAAAGCACCCCCGGGTGCAAGTAGATAAATAGGGACCGCTTACCAGCGGGAAGGTAAACGGCGTTCCGTGTGCTGCGCTGGCTCGTCAGATGCAGCTTGTCATGCTGGCCACGTGACCCGGAAGTGTCTGCAGACAGCGCTGGCTCCCGGCCTATAGAGTGAGATGAGCGCACAACCCTAGAGTCTGTCAAGACTGGCTGGTATGGGCAGGGGTACCTTTACCTTTACTTATGTGTGTGCTGAACTGGGAATATTCCTTCTTGCTAGTTTTGAGAAGATCCAAGCTAGCTGTTTAGTACCTCTATTGATTATTACATATTTGTGACTAGTAAATAACTCCGCTGGCCCATGTGCGAATGGATGTTTTGAAGTGGTTCTTGATCATCTGTGAGATGTTTTAACTCTGTGTTGCAGTGCGTGCTGCCAGTTTTGGACAATCCTTTTTCGAAGAGAGTACGGTCTGTCATTGATCTGTTCCAGTCTCAAAGATCACGCTATATGAAGGTAATTGATGCTTGCTTGTGATTGGGTTTTTTTTAATTGTTGCCTTCTGTAATCTCTGTGCATCAAGTAATGTATATGAAACTTATGTTTGAATAATTGGGGGGGGGACGTAAATAACAATACCGTAGTACTTGCAGTTTCTAGAACCTCACAGTGTGTTCTAACAGTGTTTTCCCTATGCAGATTAGAACGGGGCTTCATTATATGGTGTCAGAAACTTATTTGGTTGTACAAACCATAGCTAGCCAATGCTAGAACTTCCAAGGTTCCATTAACACTTTGCACCAAAGGCACCACTCTCTAACGTCTTACTAAATTTTTCCTTTTGCTTTGTAGCTCATGGTTGTCAAGCAGGAAGACAAACTGGATATGCTGTTCAAACACTTTTTGGTGGAAGATAAGAGCATGAATGGGGGCGCTTCATATGTGGACTTCCTCTGTCACATGCACAAGGAGATCCGCCAGTTGCTGAGCTAGAGCTGGAGATGCGCTGGATTCCAGCACTGACACTTCTATGTTCACTAACCGCCTGATGAATGGGCCCAGCTCCTTCGAGAAGGACAATACAGAAAGCTGTACAATTCCATAATTTTTAATACACTGTGCATAAACAGTTTCAGCATCTCCCAAAACCCTTTGAAGAAGTGAGGCATGGACAGACGAAACATCAGCTATAGGGGTGGGTGTGGGAATGTTATTTGATTCCAGGCCTTGGACCTGTGCCCTCTTCTTGTGCTTGGCAGGTATCTGTACCTCCTGCCTCCCAGCCCCCCAGTTCTGTTATAACAAATGTTATTTGAGTTTCACTATACAAGATTAAGCATCAGGTGAAAAGGTGATTGCTCTTCAGAACCACACAGTGGGTGTTAAGTTTGTGCATGTGATACACTGGATGAAAAGGAGCCAGTTTTTTGGGGGGGCAGGTGGGCTTGGGGGGGAGTGGAAGGTGGCAGGCCCTGTTCAACCAAAGAGTAGGAGATTGATAAAGCAGCCAAGCTGGGGGTTTTTACACCTTCGCTTATAAGTGGAGAGAGCAATATACTGTAAGCAAGTTATACAGTGGCATCTTCTAGGAAACACCTGAGCTGTTAGGGAAAATAGCAGGGTAGGCATGCCTTCACTGTAGTTGCTTTGCTGTGTGGATATGCCTTGGAATAAGTGAGTGATAATGAGCAGGTGCTGTTTTGGGGAAAGTGAAATTATTCGGGGTTGGTATAAACAGGTGTTGCCTCCACCACCCCTTGAGAAAAACAGCATCTTCTTTCTTTCTTTCTTTCTTTCTTTCTTTCTTTCTTTCTTTCTTTCTTTTTCTGCCAGTGTCCTCTTGCTTTGGTGGTCTGTTGCCTCTTTCCATTCACGCGGTAGGGTTTTGTCTGGAATATCCTTTTCAAAGGAGATGGCCGTGCTTTCCCCTTCTTATCACTTTGAAAAAGTTGTGTTTATACGCAACACAGGAGTTTGCTAGGAGAGACAGTCTATGTTTGAATTGTATCCAAGAAGCACTGAGAGGTCCTGTAGCACCAATGCAGAAGGAGTTGCTCATATTCATAACGTAAGGTTCAAATCATGCCACTAATGTATTCTGAAATTCAAACCTTTAGTAGCTCTGAATAATTTTGGTCATGCAGTACTTAAATGGCTACATCTGGGCAGTACTTACTAGTCCATCAGTGTAGGATATCTGTGGCATGCCTGCTTGTGGTCTTGTTACAACAAATCAAGCAGGCTTATGGCTGACCTCTCCAAGGCTGAGCAGAAAGCATTCTGCTTTGTATTAGACAGAAAGATGATGAGTTTGAGACTCTAGGAGTCAAAGGGCTCATTCGTTTTTAAAAAGACACTAACCTTTTGTTTCTAATGCTACACTTAGGAATTCTTGCAGTGCCCAGAATGTACTTGGGGAACCGGCAGCACCGAAACGTGAAAAAAGGAAAAGCAGGGAGGTAGATCGCTTAGACAAATGATGGATTAAGACTGAATATAAGTAAAGCATTTATTCCATCTGCCATTGAAAATTGAAGTTGAAACCTTATATACATGACAGATTAAATAATCCAGGAGTGTGGTTTCTAGTCCCTTGAACTATAGTGTGTGTATGTGTGTGTGTTTGTAAATATTTTTCCTTCTACTGCAGCTAGTTTGTCTTCCCTTTCATCACACAGTGAAGGGGAGTATCCCAAAAACTGTTAACTGGCCACACCTCAGTGAGTTTCTCAGCAGTCTTAAACACATTTGCAAGTGTGGCTAACCCCACCCCCTTCCTCCTGCCAAACATACATACTGTCTCCAACCAAAAAAATTAGAAATCTTTTAAACCAGTGAAGAGATTTGCTCCCCAAGACTCCATAACCGGACTTCCAGAATACTAATTTCTAGAATTAATATAAAAGAAAATATACGATCATAAATCTTTCTTCACTTTTTTCAATGCATCTTTTAATTTGTAAAGAAATAAAAATATATGAAGATGTATTTTATGTCATTGTTAGTAAATAAATACTGATTATTTTTTTCCAAGCCCTGTATTTTGGGGATGGGAGAGAGAGCTGGTGTGCAGGTGACTCAATCAAGTTCCGTCATGGCAAATAAAACTGTTATTTGCAACGATATCTGAAAGAATTCCGTAAGGTGCTTATAATGTTTTGCTTTCTGGATTAAACACATTTCAGCTTTCAATACTATGACCTTCACTTCCTGCTAGGAATGCAGTGAAACATATTAGCATACATGGCCTTCTCATAAAATGAAAACACCATCTTGAAAGGATGCTCCCCCATAGCTTCCTATTTTCATGAATATAGATTGATCTCAATCATGGCATAAGATCTTGCACTTTCTTCGTAGCCCATTTTGGTCAGTGTTCTACTGCATAATTCTTATGTGGTTGCTCAAATAGAAATGAGGTTTATTTCTCTTAAATCACTGATATTGCTGCTGCTCCTGTTAATAATTGTTGCATATTGGCTGTTGCTGCCATTGTTTCCCAAGTCCAGAAGCAATCACAGGAGCATCAAAATACTTCTACAGTGGAATCCATTCCTGATTTGTTTGTTTGGAGAGTTAGCAATTCATCCTGGTTTTCTGTCCACAACCGCGATCCTTATCCAGTTGCCTTTTTTGCTACTTGCTTTTCTTCACTATTTAGTTCTGCTGCTGGTGTGCCTTAAAAGTTAAGTCTTCAAGCATCATCTCAACAGGCCTGCTTCAGCCTCAAGGTTAGTTGCATTGGGGGAGCTGCCTGTGTTTGAGAGTAAGAGGAAGAAGTTGCATATGATCCTGTGTAGGTCTGCTCAGAATAAGGACATTCTGGATCCAATGGAACTCGCTCCCAAGGATGCAACATAGCAAGGAAGGAAGGTATGGCTTAAAAGGTAGCAGGTTGCTACAACATTTTATGTTGAGAAGCAGTATTTCATTTATGGCAAAAATATTCCCATTGATTCACTCCCACCTACGACCTCAAACAGTGAGTAAGACTGCAGTATAAGGGTTAGTATAGGACTACAGCTGGGGAGACCTAGCTTCAAATTCCTGCTCATTCACAAAGCTGCTTAGGAAATAAATACTGGGTATGGTCTCATGCTGTGGGACATGGGTGGCGCTGTAGGTTAAACCACAGAGCCTAGGGCTTGCCGATCTGAAGGTTGGTGGTTCGAATCCCCGCAGTGGGGTGAGCTCCCGTTGCTCGGTCCCTGCTCCTGCCAACCTAGCAGTTCGAAAGCACAAAGTGCAAGTAGATAAATAGGTACCGCTCCCGCGGAAAGGTAAACGGCGTTTCCATGCGCTGCTCAGGTTTTGCCAGAAGTGGTTTAGTCATGCTGGCCACATGACCTGGAAGCTGTACGCCGGCTCCCTCGGCCAATAAAGCGAGATGAGCGCCGAAACCCCAGAGTTGGCCACGACTGGACCTAATGGTCAGGGGTCCCTTCCCGCCGGAGCGGTACCTATTTATCTACTTGCACTTTTGATGTGCTTTTGAACTGCTAGGTTGGCGGGAGCAGGGACCGAGCGTCACGGGGATTCGAACCGCCGACCTTCTGATCGGCAAGTCCTAGGCTCTGTGGTTTAACCCACAGCGGCAATTTTTCCTCCCTCAAACCTGTAAAACGGCAATATAAAAACACGTAAAAGTAGATAAAATAGGAATTCGGAATTGTCAGGCATGTACAACACAGTCCAGTCTTACAGGTGACAAAAATATAAATTGTCAGAAGACATCTGAAACAGCTGGTGGTTTGTTGCATGATTCTTATATGGCAGGGAGAAATCCATATCACTGCGCTGTGATTTTATGTATGGTGCCATCCCATGAGTAGTTCCCCCATATTTAAGTGATGTTAAAGGCAGTTGGTCCTTCAGGAAATCTGTTTCTGAAATTTTTATTAGAAGGCTTAACAAGAAGACCTTGGAAATGGGTCGTTTGGCTTCTTAGCAGCCAATACTGGCTGATAGTACATGCTACTTGCCACAGAAGTCATCTCAGCCTTCAGTGACAGGGATATAAGGCATAGGTGCCGCCTCTATAGGGATGAGGCATCTTTAGCCCCCCAAAAAAGTCTGTTGGGATGTGGCTGAGTCCCCCCAATCTCGTGGGGACAGAAGAGGCGGAGCCCTTCCTCACCTGCCCACTCCTTCCCTCCTCGCTGTCTCTCTACAGCCTTTGGAGATGCCATGTGGTCTGGCTGGATGTTGCCCTGGGTCGCACAGCATTTGTGACAGTCGTACGATGTTGCGTGTTGCACATGTTATGTCAAACATGCATGACACCCCCCCTTGGTTATTACAAATAATAGCCCATAAGACAAATGCCCCAAACACTTTTAAGATGCTCTGATGTTTCTACCTGTTGAGGCCTTTCAATTCCTTGCCATTTTGCTTGTAAAGAAGCCAAGTTCCTGTTTGTCAATACAGTGGTACCTCAGGTAAAGTACAGTGGTGCCTCGCAAGACGAAATTAATCCGTTCCGCGAGTGTCTTCGTCTAGCGGTTTTTTCGTCTTGCGAAGCAACCCTATTAGCGGCTTAGCGCTATTAGCGGTTTAGCGGCTGTTAAAGGCTTAGCGGCTTAGCTGCTAAAAGGCTATTAGCGGCTTAGCGGCTTAGAAAAAGGGGGGGAGCGGAAAAAAATCTCAAGACTCGCAAGACATTTTCGTCTTGCAAAGCAAGCCCATAGGGAAATTCGTCCTGCGAAGCAACTCAAAAACGGAAAACCCTTTCGTCTAGCGGGTTTTCCATCTTGCGAGGCATTCGTCTTGCGGGGCACCACTGTACTTAATTCGTTCTGGAGGTCCGTTCTTAACTTGAAGCACCACTTTAGCTAATGGGGCCTCCTGCTGCCACTGTGCCGCCGGAGCACAATTTCTGTTCTCATCCTGAAGCAAAGTTCTTAACCCAAGGTACTATTTCTGGGTTAGCGGAGTCCGTAACCTGAAGTGTCTGTAACCTGAAGTGTATGTAACCCGAGGTACCACTATATAGTGTTTGTAGCATGGGATCTTGCTTCTTAGAAAAATGCCTGGCTGAATACATAACTTGTTTTCAAGCAGGTTTCCATGACTGCAGAAAAATAACTTGCAGGCACAACAAAAGTAATTTCTTAAACTATTGAGATGTTGGCTGAATTAATTGTCCTATTTCCAACAGTAAGCAACCCAGGACCACTGCAGAAACGATTAAAGCTTTACACTTAAAGAAATAATGCTTGAAACCACAAGTTGTTCATGCAAACCCTAACTACAAAACCACATCTCTAGCTATAAAACGCCAAAAGACATCCTGGAGTTTATTATGTCTTAACTTTTTATGTGTTGTAATATCTGTTTATCTTTTTAAATCTTTCCCCCTCTACTGTCAACCCCCTGCCAAATCAGATATACCGAACAGATTGCTTACTTCCTTTTTTAAAAATTTGCGGGCATGGATATTCAATTTTGTTTTGTTTTTAAAAAGAGGCACATAGACCTGATGAAATTCTGAACAGCTGGTGGCAGCAGAGAGTTAAACCAAACTGGATGCTTCTCAATATTAACAGGGAAAGGTAAGTGTGGCTGCAGGATTACTGGCAGAGCTTTGATCAGGATGAAGCCTTCCCAGTCACAGTAATGAATGAACCACACCAGGGGAGATTTTGGGATTAAATACACAAATCCAAGGCTCTTTTAGTGTTATGAATAGCAAGTAGAGTATGCAAAGATTTACCAGTGCCAGAGCTGTTGTTCTGGGACAAGTTAAAAATAATATTCATATGGTATTCTCACTCTGGAGACTACATTTTTTAATGGCATCAAGGAAAGACCAATTCAGATAAGATTTTGGCATTGTTTCATTTGCTACTGCTTTATATGGAGCAAACCTCCGCTCTCGAGCAAAAAAAAGTAGCATTTCTGCTGCTGTAAAGTCATTTCAGAAAACGTGTGTTTCTTAAATTACTTTGAACGTGGTCAGCAGGGCTTAACATTAAGAGTCATAAATGGTTGCACTCATAAATATTGAACATTAATTTGTAGAGTCTTTTTGTTATTTTTATGTATTTCATTTTATACAACAAATAGTTGACATTATAACATGAATTCACATCGCCTATCAGTTAAACAGTACACAAATAACTACATCTCTATGGGCTAAAATACAGTTTAATGTTTTGAACTGTGCACTTTATGATACTGCATTTTCCCATAATTTGTAGGGACTACACTTCCCATACTTTGTAGGGACTACAATTCCTACAGTGATTGTTTCATTAGGCTGACAATGATGCTTTTCCTTGCTATGGGAAATTGAATGAAGTTAGGAACAATGATAACTGAAAAGAATTTATTTCTAAAGTGTATTTTCCTCCTGGGAAACATTTTATTCCTGTTCACAAAGGTGCATTTCTTTTTGCACAATTCGCCATGTGGCCTTCTTAATTCTGTAAATATCTTCAAGTCCAGTTTTATGTGTGTCAGGAGCTGTCACAACACTAGTTTTGATAAGGTCTGTTCTTTACCAACAAACTCATTATGTGTACAAAGTCAACCATTCAATAAGAGGTATACAAACTTAAATGCAGCACTAAGTAGGCATCTGCCCGTGTAAGGATTTAAGCCTACATAACAGGACATCTCTCCCCCTGATCTGTTCTTGGGGGGCCTCATGCAACCCTCCGGAACAGTTTTGGGGAGGGCACAGAGTTCATGCAAGGGAAGAAAGGAGGGGAGTCACCATGTACAAGCAGGAATATTTACACCATGGGTAGGCAAACTAAGGCCCAATCACCTTCTAAATCCAGCCCGTGAATGGTCCGGGAATCAGCGTGTTTTTACATGAATAGAATGTGTGCTTTTATTTAAAATGCATCTCTGGGTTATTTGTGGGGCATAGGAATTTGTTCATTTATTCCCCCCCAAAAAAAATATAGTCTGCCCCCCCCCACAAGGTCTGAGGGACAGTGGACTGGCCCCCTGTTGAAAAAGTTTGCTGATCCCTGATTTACACTAATGGGATGCATTGGATACAAGCCATAATCTCATACCCTCCAACGTTTCTCTGATGAAAACAAAGATGTCCTATTCCACAATAATAATTTTATCTGGGCAGCTTCCAACATTATTATTTTTTAAATACTCTGGTTTCTCTTCAGATCGGATATGAAAGAAACATAATAAAACATTAAAAATCTTCCCTATACAGGGCTGATGGTTCGGGAGTCGGATAACTCCATGCCCTCCAACATTTCTCCAATGGAAATAGGAAAAGTGGGACATTCCAGGATCGAATCAGAAACTGGCATGGCTTCTGTAAATCTGGGACTGTCCCTGGAAAATAGGGGAGGGTCTGTAATCTTTATTCTTTTATCGTGTTACTTGAGATCCAGTACGGTTCGCTTGCATTTCCCTGTCCCCAGGTAGTTCAAGAGAAGATGCATGGCTAAAAAGAGACGACAGGGTGGAAACTTGTGTGGAAGCCATAAAGCAGAGTTGGCTAACATTTTATCCTCCGTCTGTTGGACTTCTGTTGCCACAATCCCAGACTATTGGCCATGCTCGATGTTGATGAGAGATGGGTATGCAACCACATCTGCAGAGTCTCAGGATAGTTATAAAGGTTGGGTAGCTATGCATGGAACATAAGCTCAGTTTCCATAACCCTCGAATGTGCCATAGAAACAGTTGGCCTGTTTTAAGCCGAGATCTACGAATCTAAAGTTTGTAGCAGGTAGCATGCAAAAATGTTGCACACATACAATTCTACAATCTATTTATGCTTCTCTTTAGAGGCAAATATTTTGGTCTTCTGTATTTAGATGGTGGGATGCGGGTGGCGCTGTGGGTTAAACCACAGAGCCTAGGACTTGCCGATCAGAAGGTCGGCGGTTCGAATCCCCGCGATGGGGTGAGCTCCCGTTGCTCGGTCCCTGCTACTGCCAACCTAGCAGTTCGAAAGCACTTCAAAGTGCAAGTAGATAAATAGGTACCGCTCTGGCGGGAAAGTAAACTGTGTTTCCTTGCGCTGCTCTGGTTTGCCAGAAGTGGCTTAGTCATGCTGGCCACAACCCGGAAGCTGTACGCCGGCTCCCTCGGCCAATAAAGCAAGATGAGCGCCGCAACCCCAGAGTCGGTCACAACTGGACCTAATGGTCAGGGGTCCCTTTACCATTACTATTTAGATGGTAATAATGAATGGGGGGGCATGAAAAAGCTCAAGAATCAACAAATGAGGGTGGCAGATTGAGGTGAGGAGAGAATGGTTTATAAAGGGATTGAAGCAATGGGAACTACTCTAATAAAACCATTGTTGCTTCAGAAGACTAAGTCTGGCACAGGACTGGTATTTGCACAGATTTTAGCTTTCAAAAAGGTCCTTTATGTTTCTAACCTGGAAGCAGGCCACTGTAATAAAGGGAGATATTGTGTTGGGTTTAAATAATAAGTATCTGTAGCTTAATGTGAATTTATAAACTTTATTTTGCCAGCATTACGCTTATGAGAACGGCTGCTCATTTGTTCCCGGAGAATGACAGATACCACCTTGTTAAGCTATCAGTATAGCTGGCCTAAAAATGTATTTGAAGTTGCATCGATCTCTTGTTCAGGAAGAAATCCTGACTGACATAATCTTAGAACAGTGGGTTTCACCCTCAGGATTGGAGTAATACTTCTCACTCTCTGCTTTTGTGACCCCAGGCTGCCTGGAATTATAGTAAAAGGTGTAGAAGAAGAAAACATTTTACATTCACTTGCTTTGCCTACAAAATAAAAGAAGTTGTAAAAATGCATTTTTGTTATGAAAACAATTGTTATGATGCACTATGGAAGCAAAGAACAAAAAAAGCATTTGTTGGTCTGCTTGCAGGCCGTGGTTGGTATTCGATTAAGTTTTACTCAGGCCCATTGAAATAAATGAATATTACTAAATTAGGTCCATTCATTTCAATAGGTCTGTTCTGGGTTGGTCCAGTTGATGTGGTGACAACAGAGTGGAAGGGTACTACGGAAAGGGAAAGTATTGCATTGTGATTATTTTGGGGCACCTCACCTCAATTTTGGCTCAATTATACTTTTCCCAAGAGAACTGGGTGTACGTAATGTACATATATGAGTTTCTAAAAGTTGTAATGTTGTAATGCTGTGTTTTAAACACAGGGTGCGATATTTCTCCCTGTGAAGGCTCAATCTATACACCTTTTCCCCACGAGGATTACCCAAACACTAATTTGCTTTGTGAGCCACCTTGAACGGTTCGGTTCTGATGTAGAAAGGCTGTTAAGAAACATGTGAGTGAGAACTATTTGTGAGAATGAATTTGATTTTGAACAGTGGATGACAGGATGTGTTTAGATTTTATCAGCAGCAGCAGTAGTTGAATTCTCCTAAAATTCTCTTCCTATTCTCTAGCAGTTACAGTGATACCTCAGGTTAAGTACTTAATTCGTTCCGGAGGTCCGTATGTAACCTGAAACTGTACTTAACCTGAAGCACCACTTTAGCTAATGGGACCTCCTGCTGCTGCCACGCCGCCGGCACTATTTCTGGGTTAGCGGAGTCTGTAATCTGAAGTGTATGTAACCTGAAGCATATGTAACCTGAGGTACCACAGTACTGGGAAATCTTTTAGATGAGTAAGGCAATCTGCCACCCCAGGCAAGAGAGTAGTTGTGCTTGTTCTTCCAGCATAAAAGAGCATGTTGCTTTCTATACCTTGTTCTTTACCGGACAATGAAGTAGCCGCTCATTCTCCACTTCCAGCCTCTCTGCTCCAAGCAGGTCACAGGGAGCCAGACAATGCATTTTTCATTTCTCCTCTTGCGACCCGAAGAACAGTCTCACCGGTGAGGTCAGTGCGCAGAGTGCGTGCATTATGAGTAGCATTGCTGACTGATGTGTAGTGTAAGTGGCAACATGCTTATTGAAATTGCATGGCTTTAATGTCCTTGATTTCATTTTCGAATTACGTTTTCTCGTTGCAAATTACATGCCCAGTGTTTTTCTTTGACAAAGAGCAGCTGTAAGCGGACTTAGAAGTGACAACTACTGAACAAATGACCCACTGCTTTCTAGGTCCCTGTTAGCTACTTGATTCCAATGGGCATCCCTTTCCGTCTCACAGCTTATGTATTGGCCAGTCCTTTCCCACACTGTATTTGAGAACTCCCTTGCTGTTCCCTCTCAAACGCCACTGCTTTAATTGAATGGCTATCCTTTTAATTTCAGCGAGTTCCTTTAGCAGGAATAACTGAGTCTAATTGGACCCCAGGCACCGCTTGCGGAAGTAGATTAATCAAATGGGGGTGGGCGTTTCCCGAGGCTGTGCAAAGACCTCCACTGATCAGACGGAATTCATCAGACAGGAAATCCTTTTAGTGATGCAATTGCTGAGCCAACATAGACCATGCCGTAATAAACGGCATACTTACGGCTTGACCCAGACACTATCTCATATCTTGCACCATGAGGCACAAGGACACTGCAGAGAAAAGGGTGGGTCTGCAGATATTTATTCTGACTACAGCAGGCATGCTAAGCATGTCACTATTCTTGCTTTTGTAGTTCCAAGCACTATAGGCATAGCTTAGGAGAAAAATGGGCATTTCAGAGCTGCACATACCATCGATCCCTATCCCGCATCATGCCAGAAGTTGCTTTCTTACTTAAAAATGACAGGTTAATCTGCAAGCGGGCTAAGGGAGAATAACAAAGGGAAAATGTTGGGACTGGTCTGATGGGGAACAGGAATTAGTGCGCTTTTGATTTGCACTTACATAGGATTTGCACTTGCATAGTGGCCACTGGCCTGATCCAGCAGTCTCTCCTTTTGTCCTTGAGCTACCTGTATGCTTGCAGATAATTGGAGTCCAAATTGGACTGTTCAATGCAACTGCATGTCATTGAGAACTTGGAAGGCTATCGGAGTGGAATATGACGACGGTCATCTAGTCCAACCCTCTGCAATACAAGAATCTTTTGACCCAACATGGGGCTGGAACCCACAACCCTGAGATGAAGAGTCTCATGCTCTTACTGGCTGAGCTAACCACACTCAAAACTTGAATAGTGAGGGAAAAGAGATGGAATGATGGGTGACCATACTGACACACTGTTGTTGTTGAAGGGATTTAATCTTTTAAAAAGGTTTTCAAATGATACACACACACACACACACACACACACAAACATATATAAAATCAAAAACAATATTTTAATATTAAATAATATTAAAATATTAAAAATAAAATTAAAAATAGTATAAATTGTATATATACTATTTTTAATTTTATTTTTAATATTTTATTTAATATTTAAAATTAAAGTTATTCCCACCACAACCACAGTATTTTTAATATTATATATAATTAATATATATAATATTAAAATATATATTGGTGTGTGTGTGTGTGTGTGTGTATATATATATATATATATATAAAATATATATAACGGATCGCATTTCCCCCACAAGACTTAAGTCCCGAGGTAAGTTACCTTACCCCGCTGTCTTTCTGTATTTCTAGCGCGAGTTCTCATGTTCCATCTCAGACAGAGAGAGCGAAAGCGGAAAGTAACCCGAGAGTCCCCCGTTCCCCCCACCCCCGTGAGCGAGATCACGACTCTCTACTTTTCCTATCTCTACACAACCTCGTGCGACAGTCACGCGGCGAGGGCTGCTTTCCGGCCGGCCCTTGGCTGTCGCAAAAGCGCAAAGATGGCGGCGGCGGCTCCTTCGTCGGGTTACGCGGCTTGGGTGGCTCGGCTAGCCGAGCTGAAGAAGTTGCGGGGCAAGCAGCCCCGGGTGAGGCCTTACCGGCCCCTGGTGCTGGCCAACCAGGTCTCCAACCGGCGCCTGGGCCTCGGAGGTGGGTTTCCTCCACAGTCCCAGCTAGGGTTGTCCCCTCTCCTGTCTCCTATTCCAATGTAAAATCCTACGTCCTGTATTGATACTACAGTTTTGTCCTGTATTTCAGGTCTCTCTCTTTCTGCTAAGTTAGGGACCCTCTCCGAATAGGTAAAAAAAGGTAAAGGACCCCTGGACGCTGTTAAAAACACGTGTTTGAAAGGGTGTGTGAAAGGTCATGTATTTCATTGAATATTTACCAGATAAATTGTAAAGATGATTATTGTAATAACCTGCAGTTGTATAAGAGTATGCAGTATACCTCAGGTTAAGTACTGAATTCGTTCCGGAGGTCCATACTTAACCTGAAACTGTTCTTAACCTGAAGCACCACTTTAGCTAATGGGGCCTCCTGCTGCTGCTGCGCCGCTGGAGCACAATTTCTGTTCTCATCCTGAAGCAAAGTGCTTAACCTGAAGCACTATTTCTGGATTAGGAGAGTCTGTAACCTGAAGCGTATGTAACCCGAAATACCACTGTATATTTAAAGTAGATGAATAAATGAGCAAATTACCGTATTTTTCGCTCCATAGGACGCACTTTTCCCCCTCCAAAAATGAAGGGGAAATGTGTGTGCGTCCTATGGAGCGAATGCAGGCTTTCGCTGAAGCCTGGAGAGCCAGAGGCATCGGTGCGCACCGACCCCTCTCGCTCTCCAGGCTTCAGGAAGCTATCCGCAAGCCTTGCAAGCCCGGTGGGAGTTCCCGCGGGCTCACAAGGCTTGCAGGCAGCAGCCTGCAGCCCCGGCGAGTGTCCGCAAGCCTTGCGCGCCCGGCAGGAGGTCCCGCCGAGCGCGCGAGGCTTGGGGCAGCAGCCTGTCGCCCGAAGCACAGGGAGCCCTCCGGAGGGCTCCCCGTGCTTCCGGAGAGTGTCTGCAAGCCTTGCGTGCCCGGCAGGAGGTCCCGCCGAGCGCGCAAGGCTTCGGGCAGCAGCCTGTCGCCCGAAGCACGGGAGCCCTCCGGAGGGCTCCCGTGCTTCAGGCGAGTGTCTGCAAGCCTTGCGCGCCCGGCAGGAGGTCCCGCCGAGCGCGCAAGGCTTGGGGCTGCAGCCTGTCGCCCGAGCACGGGAGCCCTCCGGAGGGCTCCTGTGCTTCCGGAGAGTGTCTGCAAGCCTTGCGCGCCCGGCAGGAGGTCCCGCCGAGCGCGCAAGGCTTGGGGCTGCAGCCTGTCGCCCGAAGCACGGGGAGCCCTCCGGAGGGCTCCCCGTGCTTCGGCGAGTGTCTTCGAGCCTTGCGCGCCCGGCAGGAGGTCCCGCCGAGCGCGCAAGGCTTGGGGCTGCAGCCTGTCGCCCGAGCACGGGGAGCCCTCCGGAGGGCTCCCCGTGCTTCGGGCGAGTGTCTGCAAGCCTTGCGCGCCCGGCAGGAGGTCCCGCCGAGCGCGCGAGGCTTGGGGCGGCAGCGGCGGGGGGGGGTAATTTTTTTTATTCATTTCCCCCCCCAAAAAACGAGGTGCGTCCTATGGGCCGGTGCGTCCTATAGAACGAAAAATACGGTAAGTTAACTTGGATATGCAGGAGATATTAAAAATAAATTTAAGGAACCGCAGAAAGAGGGGGAAGGAAGTCAAGTTTTGAAATGGTAAGATGATTGAAAAATTAGTGAAATGTATAAACCTGAAAAGCATAAATAAAATTTAAGAAAAAGAAAAAGAAATGTCACGTATTTGAGCTCTGGGTAGCCAAGCGCAGACAGATTTGCAAATTCATGAGTGTGTGTGTGAGAGACAAATGTCAAAGGGGCCATCCTATTAGGCTGCAATAGTTTGTAATGGATTGCTCTGAAGTCACTTCTCACCCAGCCCTGCCCTGTATTTTGCCAGAACAAAGGTGGCAACCATAGACTCCCAACTCAGACTGCACCCTGCTCCACTCCATGCGCAGCGGACCGCTGTGGCTACACCAACCTGGTTCAACAGTGTCCGTTAATTCCAAGGTATCTGCTGCTCTGGATATGAAGCCTAGAGTCGTAGGGAGTTGGAAGGGGTCCCATAGGTCATCTAAAACTTTTGCCCCAACCTGGGGCTTGAACCCACAACCCTTGAAGATTAAGAGCCTTGGGCTCTACCGACTTTGCAGTACGGACATTTATTTCTTTGTCATATCAATTTTTTTTGGCTGCATTTCAATCCCACTGTTCTCGGATGTATCACACAAACGTATGTTCTAAAGACAGAGCTAGGGATTGTTAGGTTTGTGAAGCCCTTGCTGCTCTGGGAAGGAGGGAAGGAGACTATTTCATACAATCATATCGTGTAATTGTAGAGTTGGGAGGGACATCATGGGTCATCTAGTTCAACCCCCTTGCAATGCAGAAATCTTTTGCCCAAAGTGGGGCTCAAATATACAAACCTGAGATTAAAGAGGCTCACTCTCTGCAGTGCCAGCTGAGCTGGAATTAGGATTGTGAAGCCCCTTTTCCCCTATGAGGAAGGGATAATATTTCATACAATTATATCCTTTATTTGTAGAGCAATAGGGACCCTGAGGGTCATCTAGCTTGACATCCTGTGAGGGGAAACTGCCTACATAAATCTGGCGCTGCATGCGATTCCCAGTCCAATTTTGAAGCCATACCAGACCCTGCTTAGCTTTGCAAATGTGCTAACAGTTGTATTGTTGTGCTGCTTGGAGTAGCAATGTGACTGGTGCTAAACTTCACACCAGCACCCATACCCTGATTTGATTCACTGTATTTCTTTGTCACTTTTAGTTAAAGTGAATCTCAAAGCACTGCGAACCACACCCACACCCTGTGAAGGAAAGGGTTGCAGCGTCTGGGGTTTCTCAGCTTAGAGAAAAGGCAAGCAACAGAAGGGCAGCATGAGGAAAGTTTATAAAACTGCTTGGGCCATGGAGAAAGCAGACAGAGGAAAAGCCTCCCTCTCTCTCAAATGAAACACTTGTTTTATATTATTTTTAAATTTTCCCTTTACCTGAGAATCACAGGGTAGTTTTGCAATATTGAAAAACCCCATGAAAGTGTATAACATAGTAAATGAAATAATAACGTCCCTGAAGCTGACTCTTGCGCTGGGGTGTTGGTTAGTGTTTTTGGGGGGTGGGCGGGGAAGTTGTTGCTGTTATTGATATTAATTTCTGGTATCTTTATTTTTGGTCTTGTGATTATTTATGTGGAAATTGTTTGGTTTGGTTGTGTACTTTTTGAAGTTTTATTTGTTGTTTGTGACTACTTTTGCTATGTAAGTCTGTGGTGCAATGGATCGGTGCGTCTGGCTGTTAACCAGAATGCTAATGTGGACCTGACGTGAAACAATCAGTGTTGCAAGGACATGTTTTTGATAGTTTCCACAGCAGAACCACACTGCAGCTTGCACACAGATATACACACCAATATTTAAACAAAGACACTCGTCATGAATCAGCTACGGTCTGTCCCTAGCTGGGTGAGGAACCACATGCATAAATACATTTTTTCATATATAAACCATTCCTTATACCTGCTATTGGATTGATGCATGTAAAAAGGGAGTTTCAAATGAACACCCTGGGTTTTTTTGGGGGGAGGAGTGCTGATTGGTCCAGGATCCCCACAGAAAGAATACATCTGTATGTGCAGAGCACATGTGAGGGCAGCTGTCAGATGCAACCTTGTCCACAGGTGAAGGATGTTCTTGTTAACATCCCTAAACTGATAGAAATGCAGAAATTGTACAAATCAGCTATTTGGGAGGGGGTGTTTCACAGGCAAGGAGGAAGTGATCATCGTGATTAATGTTTTTCTAATATGCTTCTATGCTGTGTGCATGCTTTATTTGGATTGGCGTTATCATTGCTGCGCTTTTGAGAACAGAGCTCTTGGGGTGTTAAGTTCTACATATGCAACCTGAGGCAAATTGCTTAGTGATCTGTTTCTCTTATGAACAGAGCCTTTGAGTATGTATACTCAAGCTCTACTGACTTCTATGGGAGTTATTCCCAAGTAAGTTTCATAAGACTGCAGCTTAAAGTTCTTCATTCACACTGAAAACATGTTTTGATGCTCATATGTTGTTAACTGAAACTGGCTGCTAATTTGCAGGGATACTTTTATCGCCTCCTTGGTCATTGTCACACATGCATGCAAATTCATGGGGCGGGGTGTGTGTGTGTTTGCCTACATTCAGCTGAATATGAATGTTTGGTCGAATCATTTTGCTTCATAGTGCCCTAGAGGCTACCAGACTTCGTCTGTGGCAAATGGCCAGAGGGAATAAATTCCACAACTGGAACACTGTAAAACATGCTAATTGTTCCCTCAGTATTTATAAAAGTAAAGTAAGGGAGAAAACCATGTGTTGTATGTAGGAAATATTCTTTCTGGTTGGCAGGGAAAAATGGGTTGTTACTTTGTGATCAGGACTCTATTTTCTTCAATTCAGCCTGCATAAAATTTCATAGACAATCCAAGAACTGGTACAGGCTTCTGAGATCCTTGCTTTTTAATTACAAAAAGTGAAACCTAATCCTTAAAAACTTACGTTATATTACATTTGTTAGCCTTTCAAAGATTTCATATGGCCTTGGTTTAAAATACAGTTTTTGCCAAAACTTCTGCTGTTAAGTGTTCTAGAGTTTGTAACTTGTTCATCTCTAATGTCCTCGTGTTGTATTCCCTCCCCTGCTGTTCACCATTTATACGTGCATTTTCCTTCACACAGTTCCTTCTGGAAAAAGAAATTCAAAATTCATGAGAAATGCAAACACCGAGTCCCTAATTGAGTTACATTATGAAACCTAAGCATGCTTAAATTAAATTTTTATTCATTTTGAACTCAGAATTTGCCTTTCCTTTGTGCAGAACTTCAGTTTTTGATGTTTCTTGTGCAGAAAAGAACAGTGCTACTATGGTCACTTAGTTCAGTTGTTATGCCAAACCGTGGTTTCCACTAACCATACACTAAAACCCAAATCATAGTATGGGCTTCCAAGCAAATGATAGGTAAACTGTGGTTTAGATGCTTGTCTGTTTTCTCTGTTTGGTCACCCATCTTATCTTTAGTTGCAGTGTCTTTGGTGGAACAACAGTCATAACTATGGTTTATTAATTCAGACGTCACGCCAAACCATAGTTAGCACAAATATTAGATTTGCGAACAATGTTTTTAAATTCTGGTTGCTGGCTCATTAGCTAACCATATTTTTGTCCAGTCAAAATATCAAACCAAACTTTCCTCAAACTTCCTTACCCATGATCTAGCATGATGTCTGAATTGAACCGCTGACAACATATGAAGCTTTGAGAAGAGGCAGGCAGACTGATAAAACCATTGCCCTCATCCTTGTGGCTTCCTTGCATATGAAAAGTACAGTCAAACCTCGGTTGTTGAATGTAATCCGTTCCGGAAGCCCATTTGGCTTCTGAAATGTTCGACAACCGAGGAGCGGCTTCCGATTGGTTGCAGGAGCTTCCTACACTCAGCGGAAGCTGCATTGGACGCTCAGCTTCCGAATTTTTTTTGAAAACCGGAGCATTTACTTCTGGGTTTTCGGCGTTTGGGAGCCAAAATGTTCCAAAACAGAGGCGTTCAGTATCTGAGGTTTGACTGTATTCAATTAGTAACTAGAAGTGAAATTCCCAATTCCAATGGAGGCGTGTGTTTTCTTGGATTAAGGATACAATAGAAAACAGTGTGAAGAATCTGCTTACTTTTACCGTCTTCAGTGTTTCATATGGTATTCATGCAATAGAGTTGTCACTGTTATAAAATGCTCCCGAGTAACGGCAGTTTCCTTTCTTTTCCAGAGGCAACATGCATCACAGAGATGTCATTAATGATGGCCTGTTGGAAGCAGAATGAGTTCAGTGATGTAACTTGCGCCCAAGAGATCCAGACATTCTTCAACTGCGCTGCAAAGGCAGAAGTAATTATGTCCCAATTTATCCTCTAGTCAAGCTGCAGGAAATTAGTTTCCATACATAATTTGAGCATGTAATACCACCGAGGGCCTTCTGGCGGTTCCCTCATTGTGAGAAGCAAAGCTACAGGGAACCAGGCAGAGGGCCTTCTCGGTGGTGGCGCCCGCCCTGTGGAATGCCCTCCCACCAGATGTCAAAGCGATAAATAACTACCTGACATTTAGAAGACATCTTAAGGCAGCCCTGTTCAGGGAAGTTTTTAATCTGTGATATTTTACTGTATTTTTGGTTTCTATGGAAGCCGCCCAGAGTGACTGGGGAAACCCAGCCAGATGGGCGGGGTACAAATAAAAAATTATTATTATTATTATTACAAATCTCCATCATTGTGTTTGTATTATCCTGAGAGGCAGGTCCTTACATTTTAATTGCTTACTGCTGAATGTTAACCTGAATGTGTGAAACTGGCAACAGTGGTGGTTTAGCAAATGGTAAGCATATTTGCCCAAGACAGTATAATGCGAAGGTGCAGCCCAGATAATACAGCTTTAAAAAGATATGGTGTGCTGGTTAATGATGCAAGTAGATTGAATATGTGAACTTGCCATTAGGACCCATGCATGGAGATTATAGGTCCATCTCATACCAGGTGTCATTGAAACTAATGAAATCGCTACAAAACTAATGAGGTTAAGGCATTGGTTACATCAGGTGATATGCTATTGTGTGGCTGCATATTTATAAAATACCGGTGTGTGGCAGATGGAATTGCTTCTGCAATTGTTGAAACATCTATTTCCTATGGCATCTGTGGTTTCATATCTGTTTGTTTATTACTATTTTTTAAGTTCTCATCCTGCTTTTTAAACACAAGTTTCAGAGTAGTTCATAGCAAAAATGTCTAAAACAATAAGAATATATATAATTGAAACAGAAACAACCAAACATAAAAAATACATAAAAAAGAGCAGCTGTTTTTATTAGCAACTTTTTTCTGTTTTATATTTCTTTGGTTCTTGACTTATCGTGGACAGTTTTGAGTTTCAGGTTGCTGGAAAAATCGGTTATAGAAATTGCAAATAGCTGGTGCATTTACTGTTGTTCTCAATGGTGTGTTTTTTTGTAATAACGTATATTTTAAATTTAAGTGATGGCCTGGTTTTGTTAGCTTTTAATGAGGAAAATCAGGGTATAGATATGTTAAACAAGATGTACTATGTACAATCCAATTTGGAAGGAGAGAAACCTCCACTGTATAGCAGAGGAATATGGCCTTGTGTGTTAATGGACAACAGCAAGGAATGCTTGTTTCAGGTAAGCTTTAGAAATGTAAAAATCCCATGAGAGTTCTTTTTATAAACAAATATCAGTGTGTTCCCCAGTTTATAACTTTATGATATCTGGGGTGCTTCTGCTGTGCACTCCATGCCTGAAAGTGAGATTGATCAAGTATTTGACTTCTCAACCAATCCAACCAGTAAAATAAAGGCTAAGCATGTAAATTTAGAATCCTGTACACAGTTCCTGGGGTTAGTACTTTTCAATTTGTTTGGGCATATTCCTGAGTTGATAAGCATGGGATTGTGCCATTTTGTATGACTGTAAGAGAGAGAGAGAGAGAGAGAGAGAGAGAGAGAGGGACTTAAAGCTATCACTGCTATACCACTATAAATTCATGTAAACAATATTCAGGAAATTGACCAGTTCTTCTTGATTTTTTCTACAACACCTGACTCACAGTCATTTAAAGAAAAAAATATTCAAGACAAGTTGTTTTTAAATGTGGTTATAGCTGTACATCAGGGCAAGAATTGCCTTCCCTTAAATTAAACAGGGAGCACAGTGATACCTCGGGTTACAAATGCTTCAGGTTACAGACTCCGCTAACCCAGAAGTAGTACCTTGGGTTAAGAACTTTGCTTCAGGACGAGAACAGAAATCGTGCTCCGGCGGTGCAGCGGCAGCAGGAGGCCCCATTAGCTAAAGTGGTGCTTCAGGTTAAGAACAGTTTCAGGTTGAGAATGGACCTCCTGAACTAATTAAGTTCTTAACCAGAGGTGCCACTGTAAAGGACTCTTATTCCTGCCTTTGCTATGAAGCAATGATGCAGTTTTCAGAAGTAGGCCACCACCTACACAAGGGCATTTTTTACTTTGTGGAATATTTGGCTGCAGGCTTATAATAGTGGACCTGTATCTCAACCTTGTTAAAACGTGTAATGAGACAGATTAAGTTCTGTTTCCATCTTGCATGTAATAATCATTCCCATTGTGCAGGGGTGACTTTTGAGTGCACCCCACTGTGTTATTAAACCATAAATTGCAAGTAACTGTGAGGGCATGTGCCAATGGAAACAAGCTTTAAGAAAGAAGAGGATTCCCAGGGACCATGGACCACAAAACAGAAAGTGTACCTGCCAGTGTTTTTCTTAGGGTTCAAGGCCTACAGTCAATCGAATTGCTTCAAATCACAAGTGTTTTGATATAATACACATACTCTATAGTTACTTTGCCAAGGCTTCTGTTTTGTGAGTTACACTTATTCTTAGAAAAATATGATCCTCCCTTGTTGCTGCACAAGCCACTCATATCAACAGGAAACTGACTAGACACAAAATGTGACCAAGTACATTCAAATAACGTCTTAAGGATATATTGTCCTCCTATTCCTAGGAATTGATAGTAAAAAGTCCAGCTCCTCTTCCTTGACTGTAATATTTATCATTTCACTGTTTCAAATAAATTGAGTTACCACTGGCTTCTGAATGCAGCTCTCTCTGATTGTCCAGAGGTTGATGCTTGCAACATTGGGAATATTGGTGGGATTTGTGCGTCAGTTTAATAAATATAGGAAATTGTTTCTGTTCTTTTCAGGCAGAACGCAAGCAAAATCTTCGACAAGAATCTCTGGGCCAGTCGGGGAAACTTGGTTCAAAACAAATCAACAAATTACTGAAAAGGTTTCCAAATATCACATACAATTATTGAAGAGAATTGCTTCCCCAGGTATCTGTGAACACCAGGGCTGGAATTTGAAGAAACTCACCGCTTGTTGGTCATTCCCTTTGAAATGGACGGGAAATGTTTTCCTGCATTTCATACTGTTTTTTGGAATAAAACTTCTGTTGAGATAAGATGAAGACCTAAAGTTTCCATGGATACCAAGAGAAGCTCCAGCAGTTATTCGACCAGATGAACTTTTGCTTGAAATGTTCTTCAGTTAGCACCAAATTTGAGTCGTCAGTGAAATAAAATCTTTTGTGAAATCCTATCTGCTATCAAACTTTCTTTTTAAACTTTGGCCACCAAACTGCTAAACAGCAGCATCCCATAAGCGTGACCCTTGCAGCTAAGAGTTCCCAGTATGACATGGGTGGTGGTGGGAAGTATTATGGGTGTTAAATTATTGTAGGATCACACAAAGATAAAGCTCAGAGTCTTTTTCATAGTGCCATCTGTGTGCCACCACCAGAACATCTGCCTCACAACTAGGGAACTTCCTTATGGGAACTTCCCAGTCTAACCCTGACCCTGATTTTCAGGGGTGGATAGGAAAAAGTTGAGAAGCAGGAGTGCTTTAAGGGGAGTGAGAATGGATTGAGTTCTCTCCATTCTGTCCATAGAATTTGGCAGTTCTTAGAATCCGTTCCTGGATTCCATTCACTTATGAGGGGCAAAAACCTCTCCCTGCTCCCTGATTTAACACTTCTCTACTTTTTCTCATAAAACTTTTAACTTCGGTTACTAAAAGTATTGCATTTAAGGGTGCTGTGTTTGCTGGGGACTAAAGGGAAGGTAAAGCCTCAAAATATGCTTGAAGTGAAACAATTTTATGCTGTATTGCACACAACACTTTTCAGCATGCTGCCTTCTGAAGGGTCACTGACTAATAACAACAAAGATTACTTTGAGAGATTGTGGGGGTTTTTTTAGTTAGATAAAAAGAATCTAACTGCATTTTAGGCGGTGGTGATGAAAGACTTGTGAGTATACGACTTCAGTTCTTGCTGACTGCTACATTTGTTCTTTGTCATGTTCCATAGACCTTTCCTTTATTTGAAACTAAATCTGCAGAATGCTAAATTCAGTTATCTGACCTTGCAAGTGACTTATGTTCTGATTAACAGTTACATTTTTTTTATTAAGGCATTCTTTTGTTTAACGTTTTTATTTTAAACAAAGAATTTAGACTAGATTATATTTGGAATTCTTCTCTCTTCTGGATATTTCCTGTTTTCAATAGTGTGGATGATATACCCCAGGGGTGGCCAACTCCCAAGAGACTATTACTTGGGAGTCTTGGGGGGTTCAGGTCGAAGTTGTTGAGCTTTTTTCAGGGAGGGTAGCCATGTTTTGGGGGGAGGAAAAGGAACAGCCACTCACCAACAGATCTGGGAAAGCAAACAGCCTCACTGAGTAAACTTCGTCTTCCGTTTTGCAGATTGTGCAACAATGAGACGAGGGGGTAGGACAGGGTTCTAATTTACCAATGCTGAGGAAAGGGAGCCAGCGATCTACCAAAACCTCCAGGGGATCTACCAGTAGATTACGATGGACCTGTCAAACATCCCTGATATACACCATTTGTTTAAGTGGTTGATGGAATGTGTAAGGTTATTTTAACGTTCAGTATTCTTATTTTTGTCCTTTTTATTACTGGTCTTTGTGCTCCTGAGGAACACATGTTGGGCATATTGCATTGTAAATTATTTGGGCCTTGTTTTGAGGCTCTCCCTCCATAAAATATTTTAAAATTTACAACCTTATCATATATGCAATAATAGTAATAGTCAACTATACATGACAGTAAATGGTTAAGGGAGCAGAACTTTGCTCCCTGGGAGAGTGACTGAGGACCATAGGATGTTGAGGACCTCCCTCTCTGTGGGTGGAGAAGCAGGTCTGCCAGCAGATGCACATGAAATGGCTGCAGAGACTGGTATGTTGGCAGCAGATCAGAGGAGGCCCCTTCCTTCTACTGACACACATCCAAAAGAGGCAAAAGCAACAACAATCCTATACCAGCCCGGGAGCTGTCAATGGGATGGGAAAAAATTAAAACAACAAATGGGAGAAAAACTTGGGAAAGCTGTTCCCGCACCTTCCCACAGTCACCCGTATGATTGGCAGGGCTTAGAAGGAAGTGATTCCTTCACCACAGACCTTAGGATTGTTCTACCCAAGTTCAAACAGGGGAACACTATTAAGCACAAAGACACAAAACTGGAGTACATACAGCGTTAATATGAATACATTGTTCTGGGTTTCCTGACCCGAGTTACACTTTGATACTTAGCTGCCAGTGTCTGAAAGGCAATCATCTTAACTACTGTTAACTACTTTCCATGTTTCATAAAACTATTTCAGTTTATTAAGCCATGCCACACCTTTCTTGGTTTCTAAAGTGACTTCTACAATCAGCCAAAAGGTCTTCTAGCATGTAAACCAGATCCCTGGTACATCTCACCACTGATTGTACACTGAAGAAGGTCCAGTCTGAGAACCTCAGACTTTTCTAAAGATAACATCTGGTTTACAAAATCTTGCAAAATTTCACCACTCTCCTACAATCCTGTCAGATCTAGTAGAAAATTTCCATTAATTGGTTGACAGGACTCTCTCATGTCTTATATATCTCATCTTTCTCCTCCCCCCCCCCGACTCCCCGCCATGCTATTTCTGATTCAAGATTTATTTGCTTTCAAAAGTGTAGCCAAAATGGCACCCTATAGGCACAATAAATAGGAATCAACTGACTTGGGATAACCCTGAAGGGATTGATTGATTGATTGATTTATTGATTTAATTTGTTAGTTGCTTTATCCTGCTCAGGGCAACCCAAAGCGACTTAAAACCAGACACACACACACACCTAAATACATTAAAGCCTAGAGGGGGAATGCATTAAAAATTATCACACCCACTTGTAAAAGGCCACATATATAATGAGGGTGCTAGGTGAGCCTCCCTGGGGAGAGCATTTCAGAAAGCAGGGAGCCACTGCAAAAAAGGCCACTTCTCATGTTGCCACCTTCCTCTCATGGAGGGGGCATGCGAAAAAGCACCTCTGATGATGATTGCAGGGTCCGGGTTGGTTCACTTTGTATCTGGCTCTGGCACTGTTCAGACAATGACATCTGGGTCCTTCTTGGCAACAGAGCAAGACTTATTTCTGTTTGCACCATGGTATATTCTAGGGGTGGCCCTCCAGATGTGGCTGGATTTGTGCTATGCTGACTGGGGTCTATGGGAGTTGTAGTCCCACACCATCTGGGGGGTGGCACACATTCTCCACCCTTGCTACATCCCCTATGCTAAAGGTAGGCAATATTTAAAATGCATCAACATGCAAATGTGGCTTAGAACAGGATTCCCTGCCCATCAACTATTGAGTCAGCCTGGTAATGGGTGGAACAGATTTGGGTAATGCTGACAGGACAAACAAGCTGTAGGGAACAGGTACGTACCGGTAACCATCCCATTCTTTTATTTGCTTCCTGTAACCAGAGCTTCCTCTTGTGTTCATGATAAAGGAGTATATCAACCCAGTACTGAAATCCCCTTCTTCCTTTGTGAACCATACTAAATACAATCCGTGAGGACTTGCCAAGGTTATTTCTGTACAAATCCATGCCCCACCCCCCTTGCCGTGTCTCACTTCTGAAGGCAAGCAGAGCCTGCTGCTAATTAAATGATTGCAATTCCTTGGCCAGACACACTGCAGTAGAAAACACCCAAGAGAAACCACTCCCTTCTCTTAGCAGCAGCCCCTGCAATTAATTCATCATTTGACACAACTGCATTAGACCTTGGTAGCAGTGGCAGAAAGAAGGCGCTGGCAGAGAAGTTCAGGGTACTGGGAATCAAAAAATGAGAGGTGCCATTGGGAGGATGTGTGCACATTGAGAGCTGTGTCAATTCAACCAAAAAGTTCTTGCTTGTTTAAAGGAGAACTTGATGTTTTCATGGAACAAAATGAAATGAATCACACAGGTTTTTTGTTTTTAAAAAGGTTAGTTGAGGTGGGGTGAAGAGAATAGGCAGGAAAATCTATCTGTCCTTGCCATTTTCATTTATTCTTTATATTTTTTCTTCTACCATTGTGTTGGAATACAGTCTTCCATCAAATCAAAGAGGACTCAAGATGTTTTTCTATCAATTGCTGTCATGCTTAACAATAGTTTAAGGGAGGGGGAAATATACTAAACAGCATAGCCAAATTTAATACATTTGTTGTTTAGTCATTTAGTCGTGTCCGACTCTTTGTGACCCCAAGGACCAGAGCACGCCAGTCACTCCTGTCTTCCACTGCCTCCCGCAGTTTGGTTAAACTCATGCTGGTAGCTTCTAGAACACTGTCCAACCATCTCGTCCTCTGTCGTCCCCTTCTCCTTGTGCCCTCCATCTTTCCCAACATCAAGGTCTTTTCCAGGGAGTCTTCTCTTCTCACGAGGTGGCCAAAGTATTGGAGTCTCAGCTTCACATTCTGTCTTTCCAGTGAGCACTCAGGACTGATTTCCTTCAGAATGGATAGGTTTGATCTTCTTGCAGTCCATGGGACTCTCAAGAGTCTCCTCCAGCACCATAATTCAAAAGTATCAATTCTTCGGCGATCAGCCTTCTTTATGGTCCAGCTCTCACTTCCATACATCACTACTGGAAAAACCATAGCTTTAACTATACGGACCTTTGTTGGCAAGGTGATGTCTCTCTAATACATAGAAATTTAAATGTTCCTGTATCTGTTCTCCCCTAGCTGTTAAAAACTAGGCGGCACAATATATTATTACAATGCTTCCAGAGGACATATGATGGAAGGCTGACAGACTTTTAGAAAAGGAGTTCAGTTCATCAACTGTGGAGCAGCCATCAAAGATTCCTCCTCATGTGTCCTGCCTGTTTGAACGCATGGTACAGAAAAGTGAATGTTAGAAGAGTATTCTTGCCAAATATTAGCAGAACACTCAAGCAATCTCAAGTGTGCTCACCAAATGATATAACTGACGCACCAGCATATCATGATCAGCAGTATCAGAAGCTGCAGAAAGACCTACCAGAATCAGTAAGGTTGAGTTGAGTTGACATCTGTCTGTCTCGGGAGGCAATGGAGGAGCGTGTTTCTGGAGGTGAAGTCAAACTCTTGGGAGGTTGCAGCGCCTGCTGTGGCTGTAGAGACTGATATGGGATAAGGGAGAGATATGTTTTGTTGCAGCTTGGGCAGATGAAGGCGTCCAGTTGTGCTGTTGCAGATGCACCATGGGGTTTCTTCTCTCTGTGCTCCTCCCAGCAGTCGTTCCTCCTCCGGTCCCTGCTGCGGATTCAAGACCTGACTATCTGTCTCCAGGCACTGTGGTCCTCTGGAAGGAATTCCCACATGGCAGGGTTAATGTTACCAGCCTTTATGTCACGTTTGTAGACATCTTTGTAACACAGAGTTGGTCTGCAAATGGGCCTGGTGCCTGAAGCCAGCTCGCAACAGAGCACGTCCTTGGGGACCTTGCCATCTTTCGTTCTGTGGACATGACCAAGCCAACATAGACAGCACTGATACAGGAGTGTGAACATGCTGGGAACGTGGGCTTGGAAGAATATGTCAGGGTACAATCATTCCTATTAATCCCAAGGCAAGGACTGGAAGTAATGAACCTAGTCAGTGCCACAGTGAGGCTGAAAACCAGAGTGGCTTCTCATTAGAAAGTGGGTAGTATCCAGAGAAGTTTTGAGCTGGAGAGCAACCACTCAGTAACCTCACATACAAGTGGAAAGAAAGAACTAGGGGAATAGACAGCGCGAAAGTCTGAATCCTGACTAGCCAGTTAGGAGGTAAAGCTTTTGAAGAAAGGCCAAATAACTCTGGATTTAAGCTTGTCTGGTGCTCTTCCCTCCCTCAGCAAGGCATTAATAGTTTCAGTCAACTGAATGCCAAGCCTCTCCCAGCTGGCTTTTCACCAGCCAGTGTGGGTATGAATCAAATTTAGTTCTCCAGCATGCAAGATTTAAAAACTGGTAAAGGGACCGTGTGATCTGGGAGCTGCAGAAGTTGCAGGTTCGTCACAATGGGCAGTAGATGTTTCAGTCTCCGAACCACAAGTTGCTGAGCACCTGGAACAGTTCTCCTGGGTGACACTTAGATCACAATGGTAATTGAGAAGAAGGGTTTATTCACCACTGATAGTATTTAAAAAAAAACTATGCTGCCTGCAATCAGGTCTGTTTCAGTGCAAATCATATGCCACCTTGGGAAAGGATTGGAGCTCAGTGGGAGAAAATCTGCTTGGCATACAGAAGGTCTCATGTTCAGTCCCCAGCACCTCCAGGTAGAAGTGGGAGAGACCCCCATCTAAAACCCTGGAACACCACTGATGGTCAGTATAGACCAGGGTTTCCCAAACTTTTTTTGGACTACAACTCCCATCATTCCTAGCTAGCAGGACCAGTGGTCACAGATGATGGGAACTGTAGTCCCAAAACAGCTGAAGACCCAAGTTTGGGAAACCCTGGTGTAGACAGTACTGAGCTACATGGACTATTGGTCTGACTCAGTATATGGCAGCGTCTTATGTTCCTGCTGTTCCTTCCAATAGGTCATCTGAGAAGGAGAGAATCCTGTGCCGACCAGTGGGAGAAAAAGCCTGGGAGTATCTGGGTCAATGGCCGATGTCAGTCTGCTACCACACAACGTGAGCCACAGAGGAGGGCATCAGCAGCAACCAAGCCATTCTTCCTGCCACAAGGAACCACCTCCAAGCCTTAGTTCAAGGGAGAGACCTGTCAGCTGAAGGAAATACAGATCAGCTTCTAATGCACCAATCTATTGGTAGCATCCTACACAGTCTGGAGCCTTTTGTCTAGGAATGCTCTCTGTGTGAAGCTTTTCCTAGGCAGGGCGGGAGGGTGGGAAGCTGAGAAGAATATAGTCCAGGGCAACTTCAAGTAGTTGATTAAGCTGAAAGGATAAAGTCCAGATTCCTTCGAATCACTTTCAAATTCAAGCAGAGGATTTTGCTCCACTTGAATTATACTGTTGTTCTTCCAGTGGATAGCTCTGAGTTAGCACCTTGCAGCTACCTTGGGAATTGTACTTTACCCCTAACAGAGATACCATTCTCAGCACCCTGAACAAACTACCGTTCCCAGGATTGTTTGGCAGCAGGAATTTGCTTTGAATGTGTTGTGTTTTTAAGGTACAGTGGTGTCCACAGCCACAATAATGGTAAGAGAATGAAAAGGATGTTTTCAGGAGGAGAGAAGGAGACCCCTGGTGGATTGATCCAGGTTGGAAGGGAGGAGGCTGGAACCAGAAAGAGATGTGTATAAACTGTGCCAAAAAAAGAGCTTTGACAGCAAGAAAAAGGGGAGGGAATGGATTGGGAGAAAGCCAAGGAGAGGGGGAGGTAGGAGAGAGAGAGAGAGAGAGAGAGAGAGAGAGAGAGAGAGAGACCAGTCTGGAAACCTAAAGGCTGCTTTCTGCTCGTCTACACTTGCCCCTTGTTATTTGCAAAGCTGGTTCAGAACTTCTGGATCACATGGTATTCCCTTGCTTTGGAGAAGGAAAAGAGAAGGGAGAAAGAGGAAGGTGAGGCAGAGGAAAGCAAGCACCCCAGGCTGGTGTTGTTCCATCTTCCCCACCCCTTTGCTCTCTTCCTTGCACACAGATGACAGGAGCCTCCTAGCCTCTGTGAAACTGAAGGGGGGTGGGCAGAGGAGGAGCAGGAGGCCAGATGATCAGCTCAGCAGTAGAGGGAAAATGTGAAACATGAAGAACCAGCTCACCGTTTGTGGAAGGATGGTGCTGCTCCAAGTGTTCCCGCTGCTGCATTTGCTCCCCTGTCTTGGCTCTGTGAAGGTAGGAGATCTCATCTACTTAGAATTAAGTCTCTTGGCTGCTTAATGTTGTGATGGAAATGTGGCTGTGAAAATGCAATCTGGGCTGCGCAGGCAGGTTTGCGAAAGGGGTGGCAAATGCTGCGGTCGGGGAAGAGTTGTGTTCATTATTTCCTTTCTCGTCATGAGAATATAGCCAAATTTAAGGGAATCCTTAAATATACTGGGGGTTTTTTTTTGTAGACTGCATGTCTTTCCCATGTTCCAAATGCTGCATTAGAGACTTGCTCTTCCAGTGCTGGTTGATTGTTTTATGATAAATGGGTGTGTGGTCTGGACTCAGAAACTGAAAGTATTAGGTGGGTGCTAGAATGGTTAAAGGTATCTAACTCCTCTGTCAGTATTTTTACAATGGGTGTTTGTGTGTGTGTGTGTGTGTGTGTGTGTGTGTGTGTGTCAGATAGCAAAGGAGGGTGTTGCTCCCCAACAGTTGTGAGTTGTAGCATCTTCATTCATGCTGGGCTAGGGTGGAGCTCCCTTAATCAAGCCCATCCCATGCTGTCTGAATTGCCAGCATACTGACTTGCCAGTACATACAGTGAATGCAAATCCGCTGGCTGTCTCATTTGTTCCTTTGCAGCAGATTCCCAGGTGCTGTAATTTTGGTTTCCTTTGGTTTGCCTACCTATACTATGAGGAATACAATAGTTTCCATTATGAAGAGCTTTGAAAAATTAAGACTCATAGAGGTCTACATCTTAAAAGTAGCATTTCCATGGAGAGAAGTATTGTTTTAAACGCTCATTCTTTCCTGAAGGTGCGAGAATCCCAGGAGCATATTTACAGGGACTAGTTTTCTTTGGGCGAGAGAGAGCCCTGGAGCTTCATAGCATACATACAAACAGAGCCTATTGGAAACTAGTGGACTTCAAAAACAAGGCAGCACAACTAGTAATCTTGCTTCAAATTGCGAAGAAGAGCAATGAGCTAACTCACACATCTCTTCCGCCACACATTGTCTCCTCTCCCTTCCTCCCCCTGTTCTGATGGTTGTCACATTCCAAAGGCTGGAGTGAGATTCTAGTCCATTAAGGATCACTTTGGTTGTGTCGCTGGGTTTATAAAGGGAAATCATAGCAACAGACCTATTAATGCTAGCAAGACAGCCAAACTCCAGTAAAACAAAACAGTATTTAAAACCGAGTTTATGCTTGAGGCAATTAAAAAATAACAACGCCGTGAAATATGCTATTACTTCTACAAAGCCAATCTGGCATTTTGGAAAACTTTGATTTTAGTCCACTGGATAATTCAAGAGGCTGACCATTGAGGTGGATTATTTTGAGCATTTCTATCATCAGAAGACCTTCCTAAGTAGACGACATTGATAGTGACCCGTAGTTTCATCGTTTGAATGCTGCATCTCAACTCTATGCACTCTTATTTGGGTTTGGGAGCTGAATTCAGGGAGGCATGCATACCTTTCCCTTTTCTTTCTGTGAAGCCCATAAGCAGGGATGCTCATCTCGGTTTGACATTTTAATTGAACTGTCAATGATCCCAAGTTATTTCCCCTCGATAGATACCACCATTTCAGACCACATCAGTATATATGTGAAGTTGGAATTTTGAACACTGAAAAGTTAACATACCTTGGTTCTCATTTTCCATGTTGTCCATTCATTCAGTTTGGAGAGATCTTTTTCTCTTTGCTGCTGCTTATGTACAAATGAAATGGAAATGGTACTTTATGAAACAGGGAAAATTGGGACAGGTGGTTTTGTGTTTGTGTGTGTTAAGTATATAGAGTCTGGAACTGTGAACAGTTCTTTGTCCAGTAGATGGTAGTCATAGAACATTTTAAAGCTTTGCAAGCTACTGAGTTGCACCAGCAGCCATTAAATCGAACATATGGAGATGATACTGGAAATTCATATGGAACAAAGACTTGAAACAAGCAGTGCAATTTCAAGCAACAGTGGCTTTCAAAGCTATGAAGGGTGTCCTTTCAGGGTTGTGTGTGGGACAGAGAGAGCTTGACACCTTTGGCTTGTTCTTCAGTGTCAAATAAATGACACTGAATCAATCAACCTTGGTAATGAAGAAAAGACAGAAGTAAAATGATATGGTTATCTCTCTTCTTCAAATGGGATGCCATTGCGCTCTCTCAAAGTCTTCTTGAATCAGATACATGTCTCCTCCTTACTCAGTTAGCCAGATTTTTGCTGGTCTCACAGCAATTCCCCAGCAGCATAGATCATTTCCCCACCTGAAGAATCAGAAACAGTCCTGTCCATCCCCAGGGCAGTGGGCTGCTCAAACAGACACAGATTTGGGTTCATTCTCATAGGTCAGGGGAATGGACTTAACCTGCTCAGCAGCTATGCCCAGCATATCATTGTTCAGAATTATAATGACTTCTGCCCCGAGCAGCAGGTTGGAATCCAACAATGAGCTGACCAGCCATATGAGCTGGATCAGCAGCACCAGAGTCAAAGATGATAAAGAGGACATGAACTCCAGTACTCTTTAGAGCTGTACAAATGAGGGAATTTTGCAAGTGTATTTTGTCAATATTAAAGGCATCGGAATATTGTCCATCTGTCTACCCTACCAACACCCTGCCTGAGTCTGTTAGCTACGGACCTCTCAAGTGAGTGACCCCTGAATTGCTTCTTCCAGAGATGATGATGATGATGATAACAGTAATAGTAATTTATTATTTATACCCCGGGCATCTGGCTGGATTTCCCCAGCCACTCTGGGTGGCTTCCAACAAAATATTAAAAATACAATAAAACATCAAACATTAAAAACTTCCCTAAACACTGAGCCTGCAGCTTCTCAAGAAACCAGCCCCCTTCACACCAAGGGACCCAGGCACCCTCATGCCTGCCCATCAGTGCGGTTCACAAGTTGGGAGAAAACTAACAGAGAATTGCTAGGCTCTGGGCCAGAGGAATGCCCCTTTAAGGCCTTCCACTCCTTGCAGAAGGGTCTCATCCCAGGAACAAGATAGAAGATCAGTTGAATCCTAGCCCTCCTTAGAGCAAGTTGCTCACTGGGAGCTCTCCATGGTTCTGTGAGCCTGGACCCAACATGCCCTGTGAGCTTCCACTCGTGGTCAGATAGAGGAAGAACCGATGTGCAGGCTGTTCTAACACTGCCTCTGAGAGGCTCCAGCAAATCTCACAAGATAAGTTTGCATAAATATCCTGAAGCATGTTCTACAATTTCTCCTCACTGTTTCCCTCAAGGCAGTGGGCTTATATTGTGGGACAGGACTCTGGGCTCCAGAACAGTATACTCAGCCCATCCATTTCTCTGCCCTGTGCTTGGACCTTATTCGTTTTCCAGCCAACAGCCAAGAGAAGCAGCTTAACTGAGATGTGCTTCAAATTGTTGCCATTTACTGGGGGCAGTCCCTAATTTATGGTCACATTTTTTTTCCTTTAAGGGATGTTCCATTAAAATTTTGTTTGTGTGATTTTCCTGAATGATTATACTTAAGGGTCTCTCCAGATTCACTAGAACATGTGTAGGGAACCTTCAGCCCACCAGGCCATTTGGGGAGAATCAAGTCCACCATCCCCATGCTTAATGTCATTTGATGTCAGGTGCAAGAAAGCTCAAGCCATGTCTTCAAAGGTATAATCAGGAGTGCATTCTTTGCAGCTAAAATTCAGGCCTTTTTGAATTTGATTTCCTTTCTGCTGCTTTGAGCACCATCCCAGGCACAACACAATATTGGGCTGGAGAGGAGGGTTACATTCTGCACTTCTGAGAATGATTCTAGCAGGTCCTTCTTGATTTAGTGGAAGGGAAAGCTTTGTAGAAGCATTTAGTATTCTGCCGGGTCAATGCAGGGAGGTCAGGGCAACAGGGAGGTGCCCTCTTTGGTGACCTGTTTTCTCTAAAAACAATGGAGAGAAAAACTTTCCTAAAGTACTGAAACAAGTACCAATGTGGACCATTCATTACTCTGTGATAGGTACAACGATTCCTCTTTCAGCTGCCATCTGCAGCCTCTCTCCACCCCTTCTCCCTGCTCCCAGAGCACTTACATAAACTCCAAGTATGGATGAGCAGCCTTTCAGCAGCCCATGAGCAAAGCCCCTGCAGCCCAGCAATTATTCATCTAGTTGCTCCTAGGCAGAAGTGCAAATGGATGAAAGTGCAAATGGATGACAGCAAGGAGGGAGGCAGGCGACCCTGCGAATGCACGCGTGTTTCCACTGTGCTCTTAATGGGCTTCACAGCATTAGGGACAAAAATCTATGTTTATTTTATGGGATAATCATCTCTGCATGTTTGCTATTCCTTCCTCCCTCCCCTCCCCCCCGCCCCCACTCCCCCTTGCAGGCTTTCTTGGGATCCCAGCCTAGTCAGAATAATTTGCAGAACACAGGTAAGAATACAGCAGAAAATTACCGGTAATTTAGGTATTGTTATTCCCTCTAATTTCGTCTTTGTCATTATCAACATTCTTTCTGCAACCAAATCTGTGTGGTCCCATGCTGATCAGTTTGGAAGCAAACTGGATTCTAAAGGGACAAAATATATTAGTTTGCAAATTCAAATAAGGGTGGGGGGAATTAAATGGAAACATCTTAGCCAGGCCTACGGCATGTTGAGGGTGTTCGCTGGTTAATAAAAAAGGGAAATGTATGTGTGTGATGGGGAGACTGGCTTGCTGGATAGAGAGAGAGTGTGTGTACCATGAGATTTAAAAGATTCTTCCTTCCTTGAACTCTGTGGAGAGCCTTCAGGATGGGAGAACAGAACAGGGAAGAGGTGTGTGCTCCCTTAAATACTAATCCTCCATAGCCCCAAGAATCCACTCCTATCTCAAGGTCAGGTGAGCTGTGGCAGCGTTACCTAATGAGCAGAACTACTTCTGCTCCCAGGCAGGAAGAGAAGAAGTTCTCAGCCTTGGGCTTCTCCGATACAGCCACAAACCAGAGCGGAAGGCTTAACAAGAGTTCCAGTAGGCAAGGCACCGGTGCCTTGCATTATGCAAACGTTATATAAAATATGCATACATTTGCAAAATTTATGCAGGCCAGACAGTTTAGCTTTTCATGGTGCAAAGCTTGGACCAGTTTTCCTTTTTCTTTTTTTCAACCCACCCACAGAATAGTGGGCACAGGCTCAAGAGAGAACACTGACCTGAAAGTTCCCAATGGAACCTTTACTATGAAAAGGGGTAGATAAGTGGGTGGATTTAAAGAGACGGAGAACATGAATAAACATAGTTGGGAGCGATGGTGAGGGGTTTACTGGGGAGAAAGTGACAGCAGCTGTTTTCCCCACCCTACCCCATTGCCCACCTCTTCTGAACAGGCTGCTTCCCTGTTCCCCACAAAGCCTCAATTGGAATGATTATACAACATGATGTAATGTCGTTCTAGAGGCATTATTCGGGCTCTGGCGCGGGGGCCCACTGTTCCCCCCCCAAAAAAAAACATGCCTCTGGAACAATGCTTGGACCATGCTACTGTCCAGAGTGGGCTGCCATTCCCAGTACCTAGCAATGCTTCTTGGATGATGTTATGTCATGATCATAACATAGTGAGGCACTTCGAAGTGGCGATGGTGAGAGGGCTCATAGACGAATGCCACTTCCAAAAAACAAAAGGGGAGCAAGAAAAACTGCTGCCATCATGTGGGCAGAGAAGGGCAACCATGATGACAATGGGTCTGGAAATCAAGACTTATGAGGAACAGGTTATAAATATATATTTGAATAATTTTGTTTATAAAAAGATAGAGTAAAAAAGAGAGAGAGAAAGAAAAGAAGTGAGTGAGGGGAAAAAAGAGAAAAAACACTGTTACATTACCATTCATTAATACAGTGGTACCTCAGGTTAAGTACTTAATTCGTTCCGGAGGTCCATACTTAACCTAAAACTGTTCTTAACCTGAAGCACCACTTTAGCTAATGGGGCCTCCTGCTGCCGCCGCGCCGCCAGAGCACGATTTCTGTTCTCATCCTGAAGCAAAGTTCTTAACCTGAAGCACTATTTCTGGGTTAGCGGAGTCTGTAACCTGAAGCGTATATAACCTGAAGCATATGTAACCTGAGGTACCACTGTATACAGATGTGTATATTGTTATTATCCTAATGCCCACATAATTGTCAGTAACCTAATACATTCTGTGAAAACTCATTCCAAAACTCATTGTATTTATCCAAAGAAAGTCTGTGTCCATAAGTTCATATGCTGCCAATGTTGTCAAGCCATTGATTAAGGGGAATCATATCTCTATTCTTCCAGTTCGTCAGTTATCAGTCTCCTGGCTACCATTGGGGCATGTGGAATCCATTTTCGCTATCCTGTTGTCAAATTTCCATACAATGGAAGAAAATATTTACCTCTGGAATTCCCCCCTCCCAATTGTGTCTTGTTTATATAGTTTATATAGGCCTTATGAGGAAACAGTTGTGGGAGTTGGGTACGTTTAGCCTGCAGAAGAGAAGGCTGAAACGTGATATGATTAGCCATCTTCAGATATCTGAAGGGCTGCCACATGGAAGAGGGAGCAAGCTTCTTTTTGGCTGCTCCAGAGGGTAGGACCCAAACCAATGAAATCAAATTATGAAAAACCAGATTCCAACTAAACATTAGGGAGACCTTCCTGACAGGAAGAGCTGTCCAACAGTGGAACGGACTCCCTTGAAAGGTGGTGGACTCTTCTTCCTTGGAGGTTTCTAAGCAAAGGTTGGATGGCCATCTGCCAGGGATTCTTTACCTGTGATTCCTCGGGAGGTGAACTTGATTATTCTTTGGCTCCCTTCCAATCCTACAAGTCTTTGATTAAACGAGTCTCCTCAATTTCTTGATGTTCTAAACACTTAAAAGTTTATGGTGCCTCCCCATGTGCCATTCACAATAAAATCAATACTAAACAGTCAAATAAACTTTTATTTTTTGAAATGGCACATGTATGCAAAAAAGTAGCTCATTTCAAATTTTTCTAGATGGCTACTTTGACACTTAATATATATATATATATATATCAAATGCCAAATTATTTCAAAAGCACTCTCTTTTTTGGTGCCTCTGCTTTGCTGGTGCCCTGAGTCCATGCTGGGTCTGCCAACTGAATAACCCAGCACTGCCAAAGAATATTAGAAGAGAGTGCCGGATCAGGCCCATGGCCCATCTAGTCCAGCTTCCTGTTCTCACAGTGGCCAACCAGGTGCCTCCTCTCCACCCCGCAAATGGCTGAAATGGCTCCGCATTTTGCAGGCCACAGAAAGAATGGGCGTTTTCAGCTCACCTCTACCTGCAGATGAGGAGCAAACCGAAAGATAATAACTTGCCTCTGGCACTTCTGCCTACTGTATTTTTCGCTCCATAAGACGCACCTGATCATAAGATGCACCTAGTTTTTAGAGGAGGAAAACGGGGGGGGGGGGATTCTGAACGAAACAGTGGATGTATGATTTTTGTGGTTCATGCTGTGGCTACAGACATGATATGTGATTTGACGGTGAGTTTGGGGTAGCCCAATGCAAAAATCCTGAGAATCCATGTGGATCCGCGCTTTGTAACCACATTTTTGCGCCATTGCGGCCCCACGAAACAGTGGATGCATGATTTTTTGATGCAGGCTATAGCCATGGACATGCTATGTGATCTGATGGTGAATTTGGGGGGACCCGGTGCAAAAATCCTGAGGATCCATGTGCTTTTACCTCTCTCCCTCCCAGGCAGCCTCCTTTATATCTAGAGTCCCTTATCCCTCCCGATTGCTTGCCGATCAGCTGCTCAGCAGTTTTGTTTCAACACCCCCTTCCCTCTTTTTTTTAAAAAAAGCATGATCTGCTTTTCGCCCCTGGGCAATTCGGCTCCAGGAACCACGCATTCACTCCATAAGACGCACAGACATTTCCCCTTACTTTTTAGGAGGGAAAAAGTGTGTCTTATGGAGCGAAAAATACGGTAAGTTGTTCCCAGAGGCAACTTAAGCCAAGTTTTTCTTTTTCTCTTCTGCTTCCAGTATCTGGTGCATGTGAGATGGAGCCCTTAGGATATTACAACGGCTCGCTGTCTGTGACATTGTCTGGGTCGGCATGCTTAAACTGGTTGGACTTTCCTGATTACGTTCATCAGTATCCAAACCGGGGCTTAGGGAATCACAACTACTGCAGGAATCCGGAAGGTGGCGCCACGCCTTGGTGCTTCTACCAACTTGCCTCTGGAGCCGTAGGCTGGGCCAACTGTGACTGCAGCCAAGGTGAGTACCAAGTGTGTCGCTGCCACTGACTCTTCTAAAGAGACGACTGCAAACATTATGTGCTGGGAGTGCTTGCAAGGTGGAAGGAACTGCTCGCCTCCCATTTAAGAACTCAAAAGATCTGAAAGTCAATGGCTGCAAAAGAAGAAAGGATAAGGTTGAAGCAACAGGGAAAAGTGGAGGAGGGTGGTCTCAGCTTTTGCCAAGGTGATAATACTTTGATTCCTAAGAATCTAGGAACTGCTTCCATTGTTTCTGCTGCAACTCTGGGTGTCCTTCTCTAGGAACCTGTTTTCATGGTTAGAGGGGCTCTGAAGATGGAGCCCCAAACTAAAAGAACTATTCAGGGTCTTTGTTTGACTTGCTTTGTTGTGTGTGTGTTTTGATGTGGGGAGATTGCGCTTAAACATTGCTCGGCCTTTTCAAAGATTTGGTGCAGTACTGTTTGGCTTCTCTCTGTTTTGATACAGGTGCCGTGCGACTGATTCAGAGTGGCAGGGTGGAGCTGTACTTCAATGGGCTGTGGGGCACTATCTGTGGGGATGACTGGACAGACTGGGATGCCAGTGTGGTCTGCAGACAGCTAGGACTCAGGTAGGGATGTCTCACTGTGGGGAGGCAGCACCTCTTTCTTATGCTAGATGCTGGAGACCATAATTCCCTTGATATTCTTGCATGCAACCCCAATCTCCGAGCAGTGCGAGATTCCAGGGGTTCCAGGCGTTCACCCACGGTTCGTGTTTCCTTTTGGAATCAGGCACAGTGGCTGTGGTTTCTTTATGATATATGGTTCATTTGCACATATATCAACCCTGAACCTGTGATGAATGGGTTCACGGCATTAACGCCTCCAAAAGGTCTTATTTCTCCCATAGGCACATCCTTGGACTCAGACAGAAATCAATCATTGCTCTAAAACATTGCTCTGACTCTCTTTCCAGCTTGCTGCTTTTGTCTAGGTCACATCACTGCAACTCAGCTCTAACTCTCTCTTTGTCCTTCTAACTAACCATGAGTTGAGGGAGGGACCCCGTCCATTTGCCATCTCACACTGAACCCCTTCCCTTTTGAAATATACTCAGAGTCGCAAAGTGATTTCATGCTCTTTATTCAGCTCATAGTGGTGAGGAGGAATGAATGAAAGTCCCCTCAAAGTATCTGCTTTATATACATTATTTACACAATGGGCTGCACATGATTGGCTAATTCTGGAATTCTACTGTAAGCCAATCAGGTTGTGGATTCACTTATATCTGGAGCATGATTGGGTGGTTCCTGCCAACCAATCATACTGTTGCATTGTTCTAGGACCAGACTGCTGCAATTTGGATCCTATTGTTCTAGGACCAATCAGACTGCTGCAGTTTGGATCCTATTCAACTCAGTACATAACACCTTTGTTTCCCTTAATGGCCCGTCACCCAGGTGATCACCTCAAACAGGAAGCTAGCCTGGCTGATATTTTAACACTTGATGGATCCAGAGGTTAGAAGGGTCTCTGCATACAATCTACTTCCTCCCTGCCCCAACCCCGAAAAACTCATAACAATATTATTGAAAACATACATTTTACTCATTCCTAAACAGACAAAGAGACAAAGGCAGTCTAAATATATTAATTTTCCACAACCCCAATGTGAGGAAAACCTGACCTGAGTTCGAATCTGCTTCAAGGATAAAGGGGCCACCGATGAATAGGGCAAATATGGCAAACCAATCACAACTGGACAAAGAGAGAGAGAGAGCTTCTGCCTCCCTAGAGTGGAATAACATTTCCTCCATAGGTGGTCTTAGGTAGTCTTCATTTAAATAAAGAGAGGTTCATAAAACTTGTAGCACTTTTCCCAATTGGGCTGGAGCAACTGAATGATCCTCTGAAACTCTCTTGTCTATACGTATCTCATCTCTTCTGTAACAATGCAGTTCAGTTCCATATGGGAGAATTTGCAACTTTTTCTTAAGTCAACAATGAAAAACTGGATTGCTTATAGTATGTAAGAAGAAAATGTTGTCTCTAAAAATGGGACTTAATTTGTACATACACACCACTGTAGCACCGGCACCCAAATCAGCAACATGCACAACTGTTTTTACCTATTTTATCTGGCCAGTAAAAAAAAAATCCACAGAATCCAAGCATATCACGAAGAACCCTTTTCCATAGACACCCAGCTTCTAGGTTCAAAACTGGTTTCTTTTTAATGGAGGAATGTTCAGGCATGTGATAGCCCTCCTGGTTTTTACCACAGGACCAGAACAGTGTTATGGTATTTTGTTGTTATTATTACTATGACTTTTAATCTCCATTGGACTTATTGCATGCTCTACTTTCCGGCTTAGCGAAATTGGCACAGCCCAAAGGGAGAGTTATTCTGGTTTGGGTCCAATACCCTTCCACCTGCAGTCCGCAAACTGCCGTGGGGATGAGAAGATGTTGTTGCAATGTAGCTACCAAGAGATGTTCAGAACCTGCAAGCACGGAAATGCTGTGGCCAAATGTGCCCCACCGCAAGGTAAGCCAGAGAATTAATTTAATGTTGTTTACTAAAAGTAAAAGCACACCCAAAAGACCATTCCAGCCCTTTTAGCAAAATGGCAAGCAACAAACCATCATTCTTAACGGTGCTGAAAAAGGCACGACACAGGTATTTTTGCCCAGGATGCACACGTGAACACAACTTGCGTATTTCATTGCCTAATTGTTGTCTCTGGTCAAAGAAGATTTTGAAGCATTATGAAAACCTGCAGACTCCATATACAGTGGTACCTCAGGTTATGAACTTAATTCATTCTGGAGGTCCGTTCTTAACTGGCAACAGTTCTTAACCTGAGGCGTGCATTCGCTAATGGGGCCTCCCACTGCCGCCGCGCTGCTTTCGCATGACTTCCGCCTGCAAAGTTCGCTACCAGGAGCATCTACTTCCGGGTTAGTGGAGCTCATAACCTGAGGACGGTACGTAACCCGAGAGACCACTGTACTAGAACCAACAGTAGGCTGATGCTGTGCACTCCCATTGCTGGTGTTTGAAACCATGTACACTTGATCCCTATAGATCCTTTAGTTTCTTGAGGAATATTCTTGTTTTCTCTGATTATGGGTTTGCCCCCTTTCTCTTTTGTTACAGCAGTAGAAACATTAGGAGTATAACCCCTGAAGCAACGATGTTTCGTTGAACAAAAAAAATAAAAATAAAAGGTTTTACTGTTATTGCTAAATGACTGTTGTCCTTTGCTACGAGGAGTCAGTTTTTATTTTACTTTCCATGTTCTTTCTTTCTTTCTTTCTTTCTTTCTTTCTTTCTTTCTTTCTTTCTTTTTGTCTCTCCCTTCCTGAAGAGCAGGTGTAGGATCTCCGCTTCGCCTGGTGGGGGGCAAAAAGAGCTTTGAGGGTCGAGTGGAAGTCTATCATGGTGGCCTTTGGGGCACCATTTGTGACGACCAGTGGGATGACAAAGATGCTGAGGTGATTTGCAGACAGCTGGGCTTCAGGTAATCTGTCAATGCCTCTACTTTATGTGGGGACATTTATGAACGCAAAGCTGCCATACTGGATCACATTTCTTGTGTGATGATGAAGTAACTCTGTGGGTCCTCACGGTGTGCAATGTTTGTCTCCCTCCAAGCGGATCCCCAAAGGCCGTGTCTTGGGCTCAATTTGGACAGGGCTTGGGCCCAATCCTGCTGGATGAAGTGGAGTGCTCAGGCAATGAGCTTTCATTGGACCAGTGCAAGAAAAGTAGCTGGGAAGAACACAACTGTGACCACATTGAAGATGCAGGGGTAATTTGTGACCCCTTTGCAGGTATGGATGCCTCTGACACTTCTGCAGAGAACATGCGGCTTGTTGGAGGCAGACCCTCATGAACCCTTTTTCTCATTGAGATGGCAAATATTTGGCTGCATTGTACCGCTTCTGAGTGCTGGTGGGGACTCCCAGATTCTCTGTGAGTCTAAAACTAGTAAACAAAGGAGACTAGACTAGCCTCCTCCCTGTTTTCTATATGCAGTAATCTGTTTATTTTGTAGGGGGATGACTTCGTTTAGATAAGCTCCCACCTGCAGTCTAAAGTGGTTCAGCTCAGGCACAGGTTTCCTACCTCAGTGATTTTGTCCCCAAATGCTGCTGTCTGCTCCCTTCACTATTCCATGATTCCTTATAGCAGTATATACACAGGAGCTTCTGTGCTAAACGCAGAGGGGGAGTAATGGAAAGCTGCTATAAGAAGAAGTTGGGGAGGACTTGGATGATGTAATGAAGGCAGGCTTGTTATCTCCTTCCCAGTTTCTGGCTGAAGCCTTTAGGGAAAACATGAATGAAATGATATGGGGGGGGGCATTGTTTTTGTCTGTTATTATGCTATGTATTTTTATATTGTACACTGCCCCACAATCTTCAGAGGTATAGATAATAAATAAAAATATACTTCCAGCCTCTTTTGTGCAACTAGGGAGGTTAGAAACATGATAATATGAAAAGGAATGAAGTGGAGATTCTGAGATTTGATTTCAGTGCTGACTTTTCTCTTCAAATGCAAAAAAAACCCCAAAACTATCTGAGGCAGCACATTGCTGGTGTTTTCCAACTTATTTATTATCATATTATATTTGTGCATTTAATTTTCATTTGTTTAAGTGCGTGCATGAAACACAAGCTTAACTTGGTCTCATTAAAATAAACAGCATTTAAAAGTGTTTGACTTGGGCTTGACATTGTAGCTGCTGTGTTTTAATATAAAGTCATTGTCATGGTTTGGAGTAATGAGGACCTCCTGGCTTTGCTCTACAGCAGAAGGCTATAGGGCAGGCATCCCCAAATTCGGCCCTCCAGCTGTTTTGGGACTACAACTCCCATCATCCCTAGCTAACAGGACCAGTGATCAGGGATGATGGGAATTGTCCCAAAACAGCTAGAGGGCCAAGTTTGAGGGTGCCTGCTATAAGGCATCTAAGCTGTCACTCTCGAAAGATTTATTGCCCAGAGACACTTCTGGAAGATAATTGGGAGTGTTCACCTCTTGGACTGTGTGTAGTATTCAGGATCATAGGATGGGAGGGAAGGAATCTTCCTGCTTAATCACTTGCCTATCCTTCTCTCACTCATGCTAGCAGAAGGTACTATTCGACTGGCAGGAGGCCACAAGCCGAATGAAGGAAGGGTGGAGGTATACCACAATGGAAGCTGGGGATGCGTGTGTGATGACGGCTGGACAGGTATTAATGCCCAGGTGGCTTGCAGACAGCTTGGCTTCAGGTAAATGCAAGTCTAAATAATATTCTGTCTTTTCTTTTCTTTTCTTTTCTTTTCTTTTCTTTTCTTTTCTTTTCTTTTCATTTCATTTCATTTCTTTTCTTTTCAAAGGGGTTTTAGATTAGCCAGCTGTGTGGGTCAATTATGACAAACTAGTTAGCAGATCCCATGGTTTGCAAACTCACTTCAAACCACAGTTTCTGATTCTGGCTTGCTGGCTGGCAAGGAGCCAGGGTTTGTCGTCTTAGTCACTGCACCAAACCATAGTTAATCTTCCTCAACTATGACTAGTTGCAGTGTCTGAATCAAGACAAAACCTTGCATATAAAAACTGACTTCACAATTGGAGAGCAACACACAACTCCTGATGATACTTTTGTGTATTGCCCTTAGTAAGAAGGGAAGATCTTGAAGAGTGTGGAAGTGGTGCAGATTTTCTGTTTTATACAAATGTTTAAATATGTTAAATCTCCAAAAGAAACAATAGCTCACAAAAAATATTTTTTTTACAAAATGTGCACAATCCTATGTATGATTAATATTAGGTTTTTTGCTATTATTATAATACCATGAACATACCCAGAATGACATAAGCAAAAAAGGCAAGTCGGTATACATACAGGGCATAGAATCCAGATTTTAGCTGTGAGGGTGAAACAGAGAAAAATGAGAGAAGGGAAAGCTAAAAATATCAAAGGATCCTGCCTTTAGTCCTTGTAAAACACACTGTTTTGTTAGAGTTAAATGAGAAACAAGGGAATTATTTATTCCTACACCCTCCCTTACATACATACATACATACATACATAATTGTATGTCGCCTTTGCACAGTTCAAGCCATGCTCAAGGTAGTTTACAACATGAAAAAAAATATGTAACTGCAACATAAAAAGTAGTCATAAACAATAAATAAATAAAACATAAAAAATACGCCACCAATTTCCACATAAATCACAACAAGATCTATAATAAAGGTACAAAAACCAACAGCAACCCCTACCCACAACAAACCCTCCAAACAATGCCACAGCCCAAGAGTCTGTTCAGCAGCCTCAGCTTTTGTAGCTGGAGTCAGTCCTGGCCCTGCCCTTCCAGACCAGGCGGGGAAAGGCCTGCAAGGCAGAGAGCAGGCCTTCCAGGATTTCCAGTGCTTTCTGAGTACACTGTCAAGTATCTGCAGGGCCCTGTAAGAAAGTATAGCTACAGGACCTTCCTTTGCATTGATGGGTTCAAAGGGATATTGAGCCCTTGCTGGTTAAGACAGATGTTCTGCACAGGAATCCCTTGAGGAAAAGATCTGCTATCAACATGTTTGCTTGCTTCCTCCAGTGGCCCCGCACAGCTGGCAGCAGAGGGGGAATTTGCTTCTGGACAAGGCTTCATCTTACTGGATGATGTAGCTTGCACAGGCAGTGAGCTGTCGCTCTTTGACTGCCCGCACAGCAACTGGGGGCAGCACGACTGCTCACACGAAGAGGACGTGGGTGTCCACTGCTCCCCCGATAGCAACAGGATCACCGAAGAGGCTACAGGTAACTAGCTATGGATTCTCCAGGGCAGTGAGAGCTTGGTGCTGACGCAACTTTGTGCAGCACATTCCCTCGCTGGGAAATCCACTTGGATTCTGGGCTGTAGAGCTCAAAGTAGTTGGCCTTCTTTTATCCATTTACTTCAGGCCAAGTGGACATGATAGGGGTTTGTTTGTGTGTGCACCTACCTTGTTCACACATCAGAGGGGCAGGATTTAATTTTTACATTAAAAGGGGTACACACGCGAGGGACACTGAAGCCTCCTCTCCATTGGTAGAGGTACTTTTCTTGGATCCTGGCTCTAATCGCAGCTGGTCTGTGAGGAAAGTGAGAGAACAGGAGGGAGGTAATATGGCAGGTGGCAAGACTCGGTTTGTTTCTTTCACATCCTCATTTCGATGTTAAGAATTAGGTGCACACCCACCCACTCCATCCCACATGTGAACAGGACAAGTGAAAGCGTCGCATCTTGTTTGGCTCCTAGAGAGTGTACCTGGACCTGTTCTTGCTGTTAGTTTCCCTTTAGCTGTAGTTGGCGCTGTGGGTTAAACCACAGAGCCTAGGACTTGCCAATCAGAAGGTCGGTGGTTCGAATCCCCGCGACAGGGTGAGTTCCTGTTGCTCGGTCCCTGCTCCTGCCAACCTAGCAGTTCAAAAGCACGTCAAAGTGCAAGTAGATAAATAGGTACCACTCTGGCAGGAAGGTAAACGGCGTTTCCGTGCACTGCTGTGGTTCGCCAGAAGCGGCTTAGTCATGCTGGCCACATGACCCAGAAGCTGTACGCCAGCTCCCTCGGCCAATAAAGCGAGATGAGCGCCGCAACCCCAGAGTCGGTCACGACTGGACCTAATGGTCAGGGGTCCCTTTACCTTTACCTTTAATCCCATCAGACAAATGAGCTGAGGAGTGAATTAGTACAGTCATACCTTGGATCCCGAACACCTTGGTACTTGGACATTTTGGCTCCCAAATGCTGCAAACGTGGAAGTGAGTGTTCCGTTTTGTGAATGTTCTTTGGAAGCAGAACGTCCGACGTGGCTTCTGATTGAATCTGAAGCTGTGCTTTGGTTTCTGAACATTTTGGAAGTCCAACGGACTTCCGGAACGATTTCCGTTCAGCTTCCAAGGTACAACTATACTTCAGAAGAATGGATGTCAGTTAGCCTTTTCTAATCAAGTGTGATCGCATCCACACCATACATTTAAAGTGCTCTTACGCCACTTCATGCCAAGAATACTTGACACTATAGTTTATTCCTCATAGAGCTACAACTCCCAGCACCCTTAACAAATTACAGTTCCCAGGATTCTTTGAGGAAGCCATGTGCTTTAAATGAATGGCATGGATGTGACCTGTGTATTGTTTCCTTCTCCTTCATTTTATCTATTTCACTTCCTTGATTTCAGGCCAGGTTATTTAAGTTCCACAACAAATGGAGCTTCTTCGTTCCCAAACACGTTCTTCCTTTCTGTCTGTATCTCTCTCCCCTCCCCCTTTTTAATTAAGCCGATCTTATTTACAAGAAGAGCTTGCCTCCATACTAACTCTGGGTGGGATGTGTTAGTCCTGCCACTTACTCTGATCTAAAGCTAAAGATCAGGTTTTCCCTGGAAAAGGAGCAGGGGAAAACCGCTTGGACCCATGGCCTTTCTAGAAATGGGACAAGCAGAAGTGTGGATGAACTCTTCGTTTTATGTTGGTTTCAATGTATGTGTTGCCTTTTGTAAGTCACTTCAAGTTACTTTTACTTAAAAGGGGACTAATAAGTTCAATAAATTATAATAAACAACAACAGCTCTACTGTATTGCACTATTCAGTTGTCTTCTTTCTTTAGTGTGTTCTAAACAGTGCCCTTTTTAACATGCAGGGATCCCTGTGCGGCTGGTGGATGGGAACGGCACCAAAGAGGGGCGTGTCGAGGTTTTCTTGAATGGACAGTGGGGCAGTGTCTGTGACCATGGCTGGACAGATAGAGATGCAGCTGTAGTTTGCAAGCAGATGGGTTACAGGTAATTGATTCACAATGTATTGTTTAAGGTTGGAGGGTAGAATATTCAAAGTCCATGGTCAACGGCTAGTTTTGCCTGATGAAGCTTTTAGAAGGGTGAAGCCTCCTATGCCCCCCCCAATCCACAGGTGCTTATTCATAGCCCTCTTTTGCCTCTTGGGACTTTCAAGGGAGCTCTGTTCCCTCATTCCTCAAGGGGTCTTTTCCAGCTCTCTCCATTTTGCAGTGGAAACAGCTTTGGTTTAATCTGCAAATGCAGTTTGTGGATTCTGTGCTGTTTGTCTGTCTGTATTGCTGAAGCGCTCTTTCTTGCAGCTTCTTTGTGCTGATTCTTCTCAGGCTATGTGAGGATTGATCAATGCAGGCATGGGGAACCTGCAGCTCTCCCAGTGTTGTTGGACCGAAACTCCAGTCGTCCCTTAGTCATTGGTTCTGTCAATTGGGGCTTAGGGGAGCTGGATCCAACAACATTTGTAGGGCCACTGGTTATTTTGTTTATTTTTAAATTAAATTTATATCCTGCCCTTCATCCAAGGATCACAGGGCTATTTACAGCAATTTACACAATTTACAGCAATTTACACAAACATACACAACAAAGTGGCACGCGGGTGGCACTGTGGGTTAAACCACAGAGCCTAGGACTTGCCGATCAGAAGGTCGGCGGTTCGAATCCCCGCAACGGGGTGAGCTCCCGTTGCTCGGGCCCTGCTCCTGCCAACCTAGCAGTTTGAAAGCACGTCAAAGTGCAAGTAGATAAATAGGTACCACTCCGGTGGGAAGGTAAACGGTGTTTCCGTGTGCTGCTCTGGTTCGCCAGAAGTGGCTTAGTCATGCTGGCCACAGGACCCGGAAGCTGTACACAGGCTCCCTTGGCCAATAAAGCGATATGAGTGCCGCAACCCCAGAGTCGGTCACGACTGGACCTAATGGTCAGGGATCCCTTTACCTTTTTACACAACATAGTAACCAACCAAATAATACTCCCCTCCCCAATTCAAAAGGACATAGATTGTTTAATTAGCTGTCCATGTCCTTGAAATGGCCTGATCTTAATGGTACCTCAGTGTGTTGAAGTATTTGAGTTTGGCATGCATTGCTTATGATCTCCCTGCTCCGAGGGAGTCCTTCCTTGAGTTTTGGCTTGGTGCGGTTTGCTTCCTACCAGTGGGTGACATACTGTGACCTGGATTCTTAGGGGACAAGGGAGTCCATAATCTGATGGCGATTGATTTTCGGAGGGGCTTTTCTAAGCACAGAAGCTTGTTTTCCATGGTGTTCCAGTCAACTGATTCCCTCCTTGCAGTGGTATTGCAAAAGCTAAGTCCATGGCTTACCTTGCTGAAGGACACGCACCCATCCATCTGGACAAGGTGGAGTGCAGTGGCACTGAGCACACCCTGGGGGAATGCGTCACCCGCAAGAGCAACATTCACAGCTGTTGGAAAGATGCCGGAGTGATCTGTGACTACATAGAGGAGGAGGAGGAGAACCAGGCAAACACAAATGCAGGTGTGTGGCATATTAACCGTACCCTTCTCTCTCCGTGGCATTTTCAATAGTTGTGTGTAGACTTTAGCATGAAGTTTAGCTTCTAGAGAATCATGGCTTTCATTAGACAAAGAGCAGCTTTGCATTACAGCAAATGGCAACTGCAAAAGCAAATAGCAAGTTGTGGGAGCTATTCCCCCCACCCTGACAAACAAAATGGGAAGAAAGGGTGAAAAAACACCCCAACAAACTCTCAGTGACCCTTGGCCCTGATCCCACCCCCTAAAACACACACACACACACACACACGAGGCAATATGCACCAAGTTAACCCCGATGAACAGGGTTATTTGTGACATCCACACTCTTGTCTTTTATTCAGGCCCCTAGTCCCTGCCTCCAAAGCAGGCCCCTACGTTAGATTCCCCAAACCCCACCCTTCCTCAATCCCACTTAATTGTTTTGCAGTGTGCGAATTACCCAATGGACAGATCAGTCCTAATGCTCCCTGACACTCTTGTTTCAGAACCTACCGCTGGCAATAGCTTGTTGACTTCTTGGTAAGGCCCCAGAATAAGGCTTCCCACTCCCAACCATGGTACTTCCCTCTGCTGACCATGTTGCTGCAACCTAGCATTGTCACCACCGCCATCAACATTTGCTATTAAAAGTATGTCCTTAAAAGGAAGATTATGCCATGATACATTTGTTAGTGTTTTAAGGAGTTTTAAGGGTTGTTGTCAACTTAAGGCTGATACCGCCTCCAACTACAACATCAAGTATCTCAGCACCATGAGTTTCCATGACCTTTATGCCTGCCTAGGGCTGCAACTGATTTTTAGATCGAATTTGCAAAAAGTGTGCGTAACATGCATGTTTTATTTTGTCCGAAACAATTATTTTCTCCGGTGCTTTGTTTTTATGGGTGGGGAAATGCTTCACCAGACTCTTCTTGTTTTCATTTTTAGTTTTCAGTATTGACCATTAACATTCATGATGGCTTGTAAGCATTTCCCCTGGTTTTAATCTATTGAAATCTTCATGCAAGATAGTGGTGCAAGAGAAGGGAAAAGTTGTCTTTTAATTAAAGTGGTATTATCTTTTCAAAATCTTTATACAAGGGCAAAATGTTCATTAACGGAGTACCGGCAGATTGTGTTGAAGGGCTATGATGTGAGGCTATGTGTTTAAATCACTTTGGCTTTATTGGCAGGTTCAATATTCGGCATGTGTGGACGGCGCTTGCTTCACCATCGCAAAAAAAGGATAATTGGTGGAAACAAATCTCTCAGGTACCTCACTTGCAACTTGTAATAATAATAATAATAATAAGGATGTTGCTAGATGGAGAATGCAATACTGTGCTATATGGACCAACGGTCTGAGCTGGTATAAACCAGCCTCTTATATTCCTAGCCCAGTTGTTCTGTTGCATGATAGAAAAATGGATTAATTTGGGTGTATTTCATAGTTCCTCATGAGGTTTGCATGAATTACCCAGAGCGAAAGATTAACACTGCTCCCAAATAGTGTTTAGGATTATTTCTAATCCCTTCTAATCATTTGGTCAAAGGGTGAGATTCCTGATAGTCAAGCAATACACGGGCAAATTTAAGAGCGGGGTTTGTGCTCTGTTTTGGTCTTTTGCAATTGCTGGTGAAAATGCAGTTAACTAGGCAGGACTCATTTGGAATTCTATTCTTGCTCACTCCAATGCTGTTCAATGAAGCCTGTAGTTGATCCAGCTCTGTCTTGATTGTTGGGCAAGCGCCCTTTTGTATTGCTCACTTCTGCTGTCTTCAGGATGGGACATATGCAGGGCCGGCTTTACCATTAGGCAGAGTAAGGTGGCCGCCTCAGGCGGCACTTTGTAGAGGACCATGTCACCTGACCCTGCACTGTGTACTCCCTGAGCTAGCCTCTGCTGCTCCAGGTGCATTGGAGGACTGTACCACCAGACGTGAAGTACAAGTCAGCTGCTGGGCTACTTATTGTTCTCTGCACATCTGTGGACATGGAAAGAGCTTCTATGTAAGAGGGCCCAAGTATGGTTTCCAGACAATATTTACTCCATATACATTTTACAGTGGTACCTCGGGTTACATACGCTTCAGGTTACATACTCCGCTAACCCAGAAATAGTGCTTCAGGTTAAGAACTTTGCTTCAGGATGAGAACAGAAATTGTGCTCTGGCGGCGCAACAGCAGCAGGAGGCCCCATTAGCTAAAGTGGTGCTTCAGGTTAAGAACAGTTTCAGGTTAAGTACGGATCTCTGGAACGAATTAAGTACTTAACCCGAGGTACCACTGTATTTAGAAATTAAGCCGTACCACATGACATAAGTTTTTGAAATAATGTATAAGTGATTTAAACTGCAAAAAGGAGCAAAAGGAGCAAAAGGAGCAAAAATGGCCCAAAAAGAACAGGAAAACTGCAAAAATGGCATGAAAAGAGCAGGAAAACAGCTAGCGGTCCTAGGAGTCTTTGCTGCTGCAATCCCAGGAGCCTTTGCACCGATCTTCAAGGCCTGTGAAGAGTTGGGGTTTGAGAAAAGAGGTTTGGAGGGAGCGATTGTAGTTGGGCGGATTTTTGGCAGAGTTCGGCTTTTTAGCTGCTGTTCCTCACTATAAACAATTTCATGTATACACGCGCTATCCAGGAACGTAACCCCTGCGTAATATGCCTGCATTCATCCTTTGCCGAAAAAACTAAACAGACAACAACAGTTTCCCTACACACCTTCCACTGAGTTCTTGCATCAATCAAAAGCTCCAGTGCTGAACTAACAAATAACTAACCAGTAATCATGTATAGAGAAATGGGTCCACTAAATGAAAACAACCCAGTAGCAGCAGGAAAAAGAAGAATCACCCATTGCCTCCCTGCCTGGGGCAATACAGACGCCCTCTCCTTTTCACCTAGGGTTAAACCCCTTCCTCACCAAAAGACTTGCGCCTTGACTGGTTAAAAGATCTATGCACGCTCACAGGCATTCTGACATATGTAAGTGCCAGGAAATGTTCTGATTGGGACTATTTGTCCGTCCTGAGTTCCATCTGCCTCAGATGTGTCTATCTGGGCTCCTGCTTGCTGTGCCACAGCTGTCTGTACTGGGGTTGCGTTTGTGGCTGCTGACGCATTGTGCTTTGTATGCATGGTGTGTAGGGTGATGTCATTGGGTCGTTTGGGCATTGCTGTGCATTGATCGGCTCCTTTCATGCATGGCTAATGTGACAGCAGGGATGCACAACGCAGTGGTCGGTGGGTGGCATCAGAATTGCCAAGGACACCGAGGGAATGTCTGCCAGTGTTTCTATGTTGACTCTCCTTTAAAGCAGGTTTTATCTTGTTGTCTACTTTGTCGCTTAAGATTGTGGCTACGTTATGCCAATGTTGTGCCATTGTTTGCAGCCACTGGTGTAGCAATACCATACGACTACACTGCCCAGCTGCAGTTCTAAGCACCCTTACTAGAAAGTAAATGGAACTGAATTCAGTGGAATTTAAAGGTTAAGGGACCCCTGACCGTTAGGTCCAGCCGCGGACAACTCTGAGGTTGCTGCGCTCATCTCGCTTTACTGGCCGAGGGAGCTGGCATACAGGTCATGTGTCCAGCATAACTAAGCCGGCATACAGCTCATGTGTCCAGCATAACTAAGCCACTTCTGGCGAACCAGAGCAGCGCACGGAAATGCCGTTTACCTTCCCGCCAGAGTGGTACCTATTTAACTACTTGCACTTTGACGTGCTTTCAGACTGCTAGGTTGGCAGGAACTGGAACCAAGCAATCGGAGCTCACCCCGTCGCGGGGATTCGAACCGCCAACCTTCTGATCGGCAAGCCCTAGTAAGAAATAGTATCATGTATATACTTCTTTGGAACTGAATGGTACTCTCTTCTCAGAAATAAGTTGACTTAGGCAGGAAAATGCTTGGCCAATCTAGGTAATTGCTCCTTCGTGTCCTTTCCCACAGAGCAGAGTCTATTCAGTAATGTTATACTAGGGAGCTTGGGACAATGACAGGAAGATGGTTCAAATGCAAGTGATGGGAAACTCAAGCCAAATACAAGTGAGATCTTGCATTTGAGCCTGTACTGTGTCAATGATGGTGATGACAAAAACATAAACCCTTTTCTGCCAGTTTTGCATTTATGCAGTGCCACCCAGTGGAGTTACTCTGAGTGGTTTGGGGCTTTCTTTATCTAGGCCCAGAGCCTGGTTTTAAGAAGCCAAAATTGGCACATTGTTTTTGCGGTGTGTTTTGAGAATTAAAAATATATATGCTGGCATCCATCATGATTTGGATGCTTTGGACAGACTCCAGCCGTAATTTATTGAATGAATTTCATTACTGAGGACTAAGGTTATAACAGAAAAGTTGCTTGTAGGAATGCGATATATTGCCTATTTGCTTGCTCTGTGCACCTCTTGGCTCATAAGACTGGGAAGAAGTGGGATGGCTTACTGAGCCCAGTAGGCGTTTAATGCCTTGTTATGAAAGGAGGCAGTTTTGAAACCACTCTGAAAGCAATGGTCTCGGAACTCTGATTATTTTTCCAAGTGTCATCAGGTTGGATTTGGGGGCAAGGTGCTTGCATACCTCTAGGCATTCTTAGATTCCTTTATCTAGACCCATTTTGATCCAGATTTGGTACTGAAACTGCCTTGGCTGTCCTGTTGGATGACCTGCCCCCAGTCTCCTCTGCCAGTGCTGTGGCAGGACCTAAGCAGGTGCATTCTCTTTGCATCCTCTTATTGCCTTTTTCATGAGCCTTCAGTTGAATACCCTTAGCGATGACCTCTTGCTGTCTGTACTTGTACAGCAACAAACACCAATGAGCTCATTTCAGTCATGATATTTATGCTGGTGACGCTCACTTTACTCTAGAAGGTTGTGCCACTAGCTAACTGAGTTTCTTTAAGAAAAAACGCAAATCAATGAAGCATGGAGCATCCTTCACATAACCCTTCCTTCTGTTCTTATTTCATCTACCTCTGTATTTTTCACGTTGCCTCCCATTTCTCTTTCAGAGGAGGCTGGCCTTGGCAGGTCTCGCTACGTCTAAAGGGGTTTCACAGAGATGCTCGTCTGCTGTGTGGAGCGACTCTTATCAGCAACTGCTGGGTGCTGACGGCAGCACATTGCTTCAAAAGGTAACAGGCTGTTTGCAAGTAAAAGAGTCCTTAAAGTGCAGAAGTGCAAAACACGATTGCCATTCTGCCCCCGACTCAAAACCGTCAACCTATGGCCCTCACCTAAAATACCTACCTAAGTAAAGAGAGCCCACAATTGGCCACCTTTTGTAAACACAAGAGAGTGGCAGTCTTGAGATGGTGATCTTGTGTATTCACATTAGTGCCATCAGTTAACATGATGCCTTGCAGAATATCATGAACAGAAAAGCTGGGTCTGTGCCCAGGGAGACTGCAATCTAAATTTCAATGCTGAACAAGAAAAGGAGACAAAGGTGAGTCATCTCTATGGATGAGTAATGGACTGACTGATCATTCTCTCATGGCCAGGTTTGGAGTAGATGTACGGCGCTACCTGCTGCGTGTGGGAGACCACCACACTGGTGTGAGGGATGAGTTCGAGAGAGAGCTGCCGGTGGAGAAAATTGTCCTTCATAGGAACTACCAGTCTAGCAGCAACGACAATGACATTGCTTTAGTCAGAATTCGGGGCAAAAGCGGCAACTGTCTTTCCTTCAGCCACCATGTCCTTCCTGTCTGCCTTCCTGAGAGGAAGGAGAAGTCTTCTATAGATAGACAGGCCTGCGTCATATCTGGCTGGGGAGATACAGGTAAGTTGTAGATTGTGTCAGGATTTTTCACATGGAAAGAGATAGTAATATTTGGGGTGTCTGTTCTACCCAGCTTTGGATAATCTTTTAGGGCGTTCACTATACAGAGACAAATTCAGCATCAAATTAAAGCACAAAACAAGCTGATTTGCAGGAAAGACAGTCTTTTTGCCAAATTCATTTTAAATTCTGCTAAAGCAAAGGACTTGGGTAAACACAGTCCGCACTAGCCGTTGGCTGAGAACTCTGGCAATTAATTTAAATACCCTCCCTGCTCATCTGACAGGGCATTTATTGAGATATTTGCAAACATTCCAGTTGTTGGAAGCTTTAAAAACTGCCAACGCATAAGGCCTGGGAACGGATGTACCCATTTGCCACTGTTGGGAAATAGAGGGACAGGCAACGCCATCAAATGTGCTGATTAGACTGAGCGTATGCCTACGGTGTCTCTGTATCATAGCAGTATGTGAACTACATGTGTAAATACTGAGTGTATTTGCTAAGTGCTTGGGAAGATGTTGGAGTGTATGAAGGAAGAATGGGCACAGGAAAGGCCGTGCACAGGAAATGTACCCACAAATTTATGCAGGCTTCTGTTTCTGTTTTCATAGTTGCAAGGTTTAAGAGGGATAATCCCAGATAGGCACTACTGAATAGGCTGCCAGCTACCCTGGCGTTATAGAACTCTGCAGATGATCACATAATACACATGGATTATTCCCAGATCTCAGTCTGCATGTCCCCAGATCACCCTAATTCTTTTCCTATGATCAGCAGCATGTGGAAAGCAGTGCTCCAGCAACCACTGCAAGATCACTCTGCTCTACAAGGATTTGGGCAGTTCACTTTGCAGAATTAATGTATGCCTAGACACATGATAGGGACGCGGGTGGCGCTGTGGGTTAAACCAGAGAGTCTAAGACTTGCCGATCAGAAGGTCGTCAGTTCGAATTCCTGCGACGGGGTGAGCTCCCGTTGCTCGGTCCCTGCTCCTGCCTACCTAGCAGTTCAAAAGCACGTCAAAGTGCAAGTAGATAAATAGGTACTGCTTCGGCGGGAAGGTAAACGGCATTTCCGTGCGCTGCTCTGATTCGCCAGAAGTGGCTTAGTCATGCTGGCCACATGACCTGGAAGCTGTACGCTGGTTCCCTCGGCCAATAAAGCGAGATGAGCACTGCAACCCCAGAGTCGGTCATGACTGGACCTAATGGTCAGGGGTCCCTTTACCTTTACCTTTAGACACATGATGCTAGTTACAGCTAACCTTTGCGTATCCTGTCTTGTAAACACATCCAGCATTTTGCCAACTTTTTATTTAAACCAGCTCCCCTGCCCCATAAAAACACATTACAGTCATACCTTGGTTGTCAAACAGAATCCGTTCCGGAAGTCCGTTCAACTTCTGAAAACATTCCGCAACCAAGGCACGGCTTGTGATTGGCTGCAGGAGCTTCCTGCACTCAGTCAGAAGCTGAGGAAGCCCTGTTGGACGTTCTGCTTCCAAAGAATGTTTGCCAACTAGAACGCTCAATTCTGGGTTTGCGGCATTTGGAGCCAAAATGTTCAAGTTGCAAGCTGTCTGGGATCCAAGATACGACTGTATAAGAAGATCACATCAAAATCCACTTCACATTGCATTAGAATACCATCCTGGCCTAGGGAAGGATATTTTTTTTCTATGTTAACCTAATCAAAATTGTGCTGGAGAACAATAGTTGTGTTTGGTGGGTAGGATTTTTGGTTATCTGAGCTACACTAGATATATAACCTATTATTGTTTCAGGGAGGTCATACTCAAGGACATTACTCCAGGGCTCGGTGCCCCTACTCCCAAGAAGAGTGTGCAAATCCCGTTATGGAAAGAAGTTCACTAATCGTATGCTGTGCGCTGGAAACATTTCTGAAGATAACCGGGTGGACAGCTGTCAGGGGGATAGTGGGGGTCCGCTAATGTGTCAAAGGTCAGGTGGACACTGGGTAATTCTAGGGATCACTTCCTGGGGATATGGGTGCGGGCGAAAAGACTCTCCTGGTGTTTACACAAAAGTCAGCAAATTTGTGCCCTGGATCAAGAAGGTGACCAAACTGATATAAGACCGTTCAATCCAAAGGTGGATTTGTGTTGTTTTACTCAGCAGTATTTGGGCAGTGGCTTAGAAGAATGTCTTCATTTTGTCTCTGGTTGGGTGCCTGTTTTTTGCTGGTACCGAAACAAGGTTCGTTTGCAAGCGGGCAGTGAGAAAATATTTTACGCTACTGATAGGAGAAGGTGAATGAAAATTTAACATCCTTGTGGCTGATGTATTCATACAAAGTTCTGTTTATTGAAAGAACAAGTGGTGGCAATGCCACTCTTTCCAAAAGAGCTGCCACACTTCTTCAGGGCACAGGGGAGCATGGGCTTGGACATATTCCATGGTGCTGCTAAATGGAATATTTCTTATGGAGTGTCCATTCACACAAACTTCTACTCTTGCTACCCCGGATTACTCTGTGCTGCTCACACCAGATCACCTGCATGGTTTCAGCTACCTGCTTTCTTCGGTTTCCACTCACCCTCTTAATCTCTCTTTTTAGGCAGATATACAGTAAAGGGTGACATTGACTCAATTCAGATATCATGCCAAATCATGGTTTGCAATTAGCTGACAACCCAGAATTAGAAACTGTTGCTGGAAGTGGGATTGCAAGCCATGGTTTATGCTAATCTTGGGTTGGTGTGATGCTTGATTTTATAGACACCACTCTGTCTCTAGACTCATCTAGAGCAGAAATGGCTAACCTCTGGCCCTCCAGATGTTGTTGGACTCCCATCATCCCTGACCACTGGCCATGCTGGCTGGAGCAGATGGCTACTGGAGTCTACAACTGTAGGGTCACAGGTTAGCAACTTCTAGTTTAGAGGCTGCTGAGCCACAGGAAGAGTAGGGAATGTAGGAACGGATTGCTCTGAGAAAACAAAAATGGATAAGGAGCTTGCAGTGACCTGCCTTTTGTATGCTTGGAAGTTGCAAACATTGGAATATGTTTAATGAAAACCATGATTTGGCATGATGTCTGAAATGAGCTATTGTGCTTTTAATCTCACATTGCTCTCCTGGGTGGTCAGCAGAATTATTTTTTCCATAGAACTTCTGCTTCTCTCCCACACTCCTCCTTTCTATATTTTCAGTTTTCCCCCTCAGGTCAGTGAGAAAGTTTTAGGATGCTGACTGGGAAGATATGTCTTCTCCTCCCCCTCCCTGTTTAACATTTGTCTACATATCTCCTTAACACTATAACATCCCAGATGTTACATATATCAAGAGAACAGTTTTGGAGGGTAGCATTTGAAATATCTTGTAGCTTTGGAAGACAGGCAGAAGTTTGTGATTTGTGATCATGAACAAATGCACCAAGCTAGTGTGGCTGGGCAGAGAAACAAAACCTTGAGACAGCCGAAAACATAGTACTTTAAAGTGTTTGTGCCATTTTAACTGAAATGAATGAAACGAAATGTGGCATATTCATTTTATTCCCTTGTTTCTTTCATATGTACACTCCTGCTGGTCAGCACCATAAGATGCATAGTTCTGAAATATATACTACCTGGAAACTTTAACCTGTGTCTTCCTACATGTTTTTTTTTAAACACATTAGATGAACAGTTATGCAAATTACCACAGATGTTTGTTTGCGTTTGTGTGTTGTGTGTTACATTGCTGGCTAACTATTGCTTTGTGAGGCAGGCTGTTGGTTCATAGCCCAGAGTGGTCAGGTGATATGAGCTATTGAAACTGCCTGAATGTTGAGATCTTCCTCAGTAGCCCTCCTGAGCCCGACGTCAGAAACAAGGCAGGTGATGAGCAGAGAAAGAGCCTGCCTACAGCAGCATTCATCTTTGAAATACCCCCACTCCAGGCTTGTGTGATGCCAACTTTTTATATGTCCAGGGCCTTTAAAGATCTGTTTGTTTTGTTGGCGTCTTGGGAGACAATGGAGGAGTATACCTTTGGGGATGACATCAAAACCGTTGGAGAATTACAGTGCCTGCTGTGGCTGTAGAGACTGATACAGGAGAGACACATTTTGTTGCAGCTGGGGCAGATGAAGGCGTCCAGTTTTGCTGATGCACGTGTACCGTCATGTTTCTTCTTTCTGTGCTCTTCCCTTTTAAGATACTGTTTTAAGAAAATAATTTGGATTTTACCTTGCTCTGGTTTTAATATATGGTTTTACCGTTCTGCTGTTTTGTTATTATTATTTATTTTATTGGTTGTTTTATTGTGCATTTTTATTTGTCAGGAACCCATTGTGGTTCAAGTTTCAGATACAAATTTGTGCCATTAATTAGAAATGATTAGGAGATAGTTGGGACTCTGTGTTTGACTGAGTTTCCCCTGAGCCTGGGAAAGAGGGAGTGGTGGAGGTGGCAGTTTTGGAAGAAACAAAGAGAAAGATTTGAGTTGGCTCCAAGGGGTAGCTCTCTGCAGAACAGATATGGGGAAGTACATTTGCTGCCTTGTTGGAGTGCCTTTTTGACTCCACTTAGGTTTACTTGTATATTTGTAAATAAACTAAATATTACAAAGAAGAAGAAGAGTGTATGTCTCCAGTTCTTTCTCATTCAAAGGAAATCCACCCTGGTCAGCATTGTCACGAAATTTTTCACCACAACTCAGAATTAACAGCATTATAAAATCATGGTAAGATGTCTATGGTGTATAGCAGGCTTCCTCGGCCCTCCAGATGTTTTTGGTCTACAACTCCCATGATCCCTAGCTAGCAGGACCAGTGGTCAGGGATGATGGGAATTGTAGTCTCAAAAACATCTGGAGGGCCACGGTCAAGGAAGCCTGGTGTATAGTCTTAGTTAAACTAGGACCCTTATTGGTATTTATTAACTTCAGAGCTTTCCAAACTAGAACATGTGGCTGTCTTGCCTAATCAAGGGAAAGGCTTTCAGATGTGTGTTAGATGGCCACACCCATCCTTTTAATCTGAACTTCCGCTCTTATATTCTAATAAATGTAAGATTTTTATTTTTATCATTGGATTTATAAAAGGAAATGAAAATAAAGTTGCTCTCAAGTCTCATATGCAAAGCACCTCTCAAGTGGAAGAAGACTACTTCTCTCACTCTCATCACTGGGAATCCGTTGATAGCATGACCAGTTTTCAGAAACTAGCACATATGTTGATTAATGGTACAGTAATGTATCTTTTGATTAAAATTTTAGCTAGTGCAAAACAACATAGCACTGTTTGCTTACATCATCCACAAACCGTCCCCTTTTATTCAATTAAAGTCAACACACTATCCCTCCTGCAGCACTATAAAAGACAAGGCACAGTAATTACCAAATTGTCTGTTCTGTGTTATTAGCATGAGGTGTAATTACAGCTGCCAGTGTTAATTACTATCATCTCTTCCTCACAGCCTAGAATGTGCTTTTCAGACAATCTATTCACGGGGGGGGGGGGGGGATAAAATTCTGAATACCGAAGAACTAAAGATCTAGTTACTGAATCTCTGTTATCTACTCTGTTTGGGAATCCTGTTTGGGTCCAATAGAAGGCTGTAAGGAAAGCATCCAACATTGTTTGAAGAAAAATAAACCATATTTCTTAAAGCCATGACGGTCTCCACTGCATCTTCTTCTATTCCCCAAAGGGACACAGACCCTGTGTGGGGGCCTGGGACCCCATCGACTTTTGCTACTGCTCGGTAGAGAGGGGCAGGTATCTGACTTTTGTACCAATATACCGGTAGTTGTGGTGTTAGTGACTGCATGAGCTGTCTTCAGATCACAGCACAATGGGCTGCTGAATACGGTGGTACCTCGGGTTAAGAACTTAATTTATTCTGGAGGTCCGTTCTTAACCTGAAACTGTTCTTAACCTGAGGTACCACTTTAGCTAATGCGGCCTCCAGCTGCCGCTGCGCCACTGACATGCGATTTCTGTTCTCATCCTGAGGTAAAGTTCTTAACCAGAGGTACTATTTTTGGGTTAGCAGAGTCTGTAACCTGAAGCATCTGTAACCTGAAGCGTCTGTAACCCGAGGTACCACTGTATTGCCTTTCTACGACATCTTACTGTAATTCACCTATTTACACCTTCAGTCTGCGTGGAGGGAGTCCAGATCTTACAGCGTGGCTTTTTCAGGAGGCCTGCAGCCAGCCTCCCCCAAAGATGGATCTCAGCTTTTTCTTCCTCCTCCTTCCCAGAAAACCCTTTGCTCTCCCCCAGAGCAGTTACCCTGGCAACCTCCCCAATCCCCAGTCTCTGGTCATACCTGGGGCAAGGGGGAAGGAGTTCCCTTACATTGTTAATGACCCTCTCTTGTTTTCTTGATAGCATAGCTCTGCCAGGTTAGTTTGGTTTGCATAACCAGCCCTGATGCTTCCAGTGACTTCTGGACCATCCAATAACCTTATTTGGGAAAGCCCCAAGATGCAATGGCCATTTTAGTAAAGGATACAGATTGATGGAGGTTCTGTCATAAGAGTACACCCTTACCTAAAGGGATAGGTAAAGGTAAAGGGACCCCTGACCATTAGGTCCAGTCGTGACCGACTCTGGGGTTGCGGCGCTCATCTCGCTTTATTGGCCGAGGGAGCCAGCATTTGTCCGCAGACAGCTTCCGGGTCATGTGGCCAGCATGACTAAGCCGCTTCTGGCAAATCAGAGCAGCACACGGAAATGCCGTTTACCTTTCCACCGGAGAAGTACCTATTTATCTACTTGCACTTCGACATGCTTTCGAACTACTAGCTTGGCAGGAGCAGGGACCAAGCAACGGGAGCTCACCTCGTCACGGGGATTCGAACCGCCGACCTTCTGATTGGCAAGTCCTAGGCTCTGTGGTTTAACCCACAGCACGACCAACGTCCCTTTCCTAGTCCCTAAAGGGATAGGGACTACTTAACTTCCCATGCCACCTAATGAGCAAGTAAACAGATTGCAGGGCTTTGTCAGGTACTTTAATTCCTTCTTCTTTGCCTGATACATTACACTTTCAAGCAGTCAGTGTGGACCCCAGTATTCAGAGTGTTTTTGCTTTCTCCTGGAGGGAAAACACAGGATCCACCTGTTTGTTTTGCTTTGCTGCCTGTTAGCCACATGGAGCAGTAGTCAGGCAGAAAGTGTAAAAATAATTCAAAACTAAAAATAAAATTCCCTTCCAAAAATATTCACCTAAAAATGAAAGAAGCTTCGAATTAGTATTAGCTGCTACCTTTTGTTGTGGAAGAGGAGCCCAGACAGCTGCCTTATCCCAGCTGCGCTCAAGGGTGGTCCAAGACATTTTTCCGCCTGAGGCAATACATCCTGTTGCCACCCCACACAATGTAGCTGGGGAGTTTGAAGCTCTGCGAGAGCTTCCCTTCAACAAATAGCCACTGCAAAGCCTTGCTGCTGGGCGTGGTGGGTTGCAAACTCCACAAGTGCACCCAATGGAACCTGGCCAGAGGGGGACATTCTGGAGAGCTTTGGCGCTGGATCCCTATGCCTGCAGGGTGGGTGGAGACCAGTGGCAAAGTGGTCTCTGCCACTGGTAGGGCAGGTGGGACGCCTCCTCTTGTGTTTCTGCTGTCTGAGGCAGCTGCTTCTTCCTGCCTCATCTGTGGGCTGGCTCAGGCTACACTGAAGCCCTGGATTTCTCCAATGTTTTCTATAGGCTGCTCCTCACTTCCACCACCTGGCAGGGTCTGGCAGTACAATCCATGCATGCCTGCTCAGAAGCAAGTCCCACATTCAGTGAGTTCAATGAGAGCTGAAGCACATTCAAAGCACGTTCTTGGGCAAAAGATTCCTGCATTTTGGGGGGTGGGGGCTTGGATTAGATGACCCCTGTGGTCCCATCCAACTCTACAATTCTATGATCCTCACACACAGAGCTGCAATTCCCACAGCTGACATAGAATCGTAGAATCCAAAGTTGGAAGGCACCCTGGGGTCATCTAGTCCAACCCTCTGGCCCTTCCTTACATATCTTTAGGCACCAGGCAAAATCATCTCTCTTCAACGAGGCTTTGGGATGATTAACATTCCCTTGTGTGTTTGCGTGAGGGGGGGTTACTGGTTTGTTTTTGTTTTATTACATATTCTGTGATTTTGTTTTGTAATTTTATGTTGCAGACAGCCCTGTGATCTTTGGATGAAGAGCAGTAGACAAATAGAATAATAGAAATAGTTGTTGTTATTATTATTATTATTAATAATATGCTGCCTATCTGACTGGGTTGCCCCAGACACTCTGAGTAGCTTCTAGCAAATGATAAATAATAATGATAACAACAACAACAACAACCCCCTGCAATGCAGCAATACAGATCATCCATGACCCTACGCAAAACCACAGCGCTCCGAACGCGCGCCCAACGCGTGTTCCGCAGCCGTGACCCCAGGTAACCCTGCGCGGATAACTAAAGGAGCCCGGAAGCTTCCGTTTTTACAAGGCGACACTCGCGGGCGTCTCTACTATTCGCATCTCTATGGCGGGCCGCGGGTTCGCTTCTTTTCCTCCTCCCTATCTCTGCAGGCGGTCGCGGAGGAAGCCGGAAGCGGCGCGACCGGAAGCGAAGTTCAGCTGGGCGATAAGGAGGCGGGAGGGAGTGAGGAGGAGGCGGAGGAGGAGCCTAAAGGGCCGCTTCGCTGTGGTGGCTGTGAGGGAGGGCGGCGCGCGCGCTCGCCCGTGGCCGTGCGGGGAGGGGGGGGGTGGCCTCGCGTGCGCGCGCGTGCGAGCAAGGGGGGCCATTTTAGCGCTCGCCCAGCGGACGGCTGAGAGGGAGGCGTCGGCGCGCCAGGCCCAGGCCCGGGTTAACCTACCTACCCCTTACTTCGCTTCGCGGAGCCGCCCCTTCTTCCTCCCTTCGCTCCGCCGTCGCCTTCCCCCCGCTCCAGGAGGGGCCCGCCGCCGCCATGGCGCCCCCGTGAAAGGGATTCCATTCGCTGGGCCCGGACGACGGACGAGACAACCCCCCCCCCGAACCCGTCCGAGGGCCGCTTCAGCTGCTTCCCTCGCCGCCGCACTGAGGCAGCTCCGTCCGCTTCCCCCTCAAGCCCGCGGTGGGGGGCGCCGCAGCCTCCCTCTTTGCCGGGCCTCCCCGCCCCCCCGCCCCGCCCCACATATCTCCTGTCTCTCAACCCCACAGTTGCCCCTCTCCTTATTCGACCCCTTTCTGTCACACTCTCTGGCGGAGCAACAGCCTTCCTGCCCCCACCTCTCTCCCCTGCCCACCGCTCCAGCTGAGAGGCGTCCTGCGAGGGGCCTCGTCTCGTTTGCGGGGTTTTTTTTGGGGGGGGGTGTCAAAACTTCGGGGTGCATAGCTTTGCACATGTGCACTCGCCTGACATCCCAAGTTCCCTTGCCAAACGCTGGCGGCTTATAGACGGGCCTCGGTGAGCCCCCTGTTTGCATGCAGTTTCCTCTGGGTGGGGTTTTTATTTTTTATATCCCTCCCCTTTTCCCTGCTTTTTGGGGGGGCTTGAAAACCTCGCTTATTTCAGCCTCTCCCGCGTTTTTGATAAATACAGCTGTCCACATGCCAGCCAAGCCAAGGAGCGGTTTGCGGGTGCACTTTCCCGGTTCTTTCTTTTGAGGAAGCGGAGTTGTGAAGACGTTGCAGCTGTGGGTGTTTTTTTGGGTTTTGTTTTTTTAAAGTTGAGTGTATACGGTCAAAAATTTAGTTTCTTCTGTCGCTGTAGTCGCTTGGGTTTTTTGCTGGTGTTGCTCCTTCCCCCACCCACCTAGCCTCCGGAGACAAATGAGCAAATTGAACTTGAAGTACTAATACAGGTTGTCCTGGAGTCCTGTCGCTGCACCTCTCTGAGAGAGAAGGCCTGCTTTTTCCCTTTCCCTGTTTTTTTGGATGTGATGGAACTCATGTTTGCAGAGTGGGAGGACGGGGAAAGGTTTTCGTTTGAAGATTCTGACCGCTTTGAAGAAGACTCCCTTTGTTCCTTCATCTCTGAGGCCGAGAGCTTATGCCAAAATTGGAGAGGATGGCGGAAGCAATCTGCCGGACCCAATTCCCCCACTGTCAAAATGAAAGGTGAGTGGCTGGGTATAGAAAGGGGTTGGTAAAAACACTGAGGATCGATGAGGTGCCTGTAGGCAGGCAACCAGTCAAGGTATGTTGGCAATTAGAAACAGGTGTGTGTTGAAATAGAAAAACAAAAATGTTGTAACTTGGATCAGCTGCAGACTCAGACTTGCATTAAGTAAGGGGCACGATCCAGTGTTGCTTATTAGTCATGAACTTTAGCTGCACTCATATGCACACGAATTAGAGCTGCTTAAAATTTTTCTTTTCTACCCAAAATCTGCCATTGATAAGGACTGTCAGTGCTGCCTGCATCTTCTATGGTGTGGACTAGTTTTTTCCACAGTCTTAATTAGGATATTATTGCCTGAATGAAATGCATTGCAATGATTACTAAGAATGTATAGGCATGTTACAGTGCAGCAAGACTGACCTAGTTATATACTTAATCTTTTGCTAAGGAGATTATACCTTGCTCTGTGATAGTTGTTCTTCCTCAGTCAAAGGTTAAGTTGGTGGTTCCCAACCTGTTTGAATGTTAGTTTTTGCATACTGGGCCCCACAGTTCGCCATTGATGGGACTTTTACTCAGAGTAAGGGCAAAATGCAAGGAATGCAAATCGGGGATATAATAAACTGTTCTTGAAATCGAGCTATAATTTGCAATATTGTCATGCAATGAAAGTAGTAATGATTCCGTGATTCTATGAAGGTAAAGTCTGTCCAAAGGGGAAGCCAACTGTGTGTTCATGGATGGTACATTTGAACAACACTTTACATTCAGAGAAGTGCTCTTTTGCTGTCGTGTCAACTCATGGTAGAATAATTTTCTGAACCAAATAGTTGCAAATAGCTTGTTGCTATCATCCAACTTTGGTCTTTTGGTCTCTCAGATTTAACTATTGTAACTCAGTTTTTTAAAAGCAGATATCTGAGGCTGCTACACAAATTATACCCTACCAAATACACATACAGTACTATGCATTTTGTGGCAGACAGTCACAATCCAGCTCCTGTCATACAACGTATTTTGACATACAGGCACATCATATGCATATATGAAATGTGTTGTGTTGCCATTTAAACCAGTGAGGAGAAATTGATGGTGTGTAAAGAAATATTTACAAGCCCAGTCCGTATTATAAAGTTGATCTTTATTCTTGGTTGCATGTGGTGAAGGATCTGCTCAGAACTGAGCTTGATTTTACAAGTAGTATGCTGCCTGAAGAGTGTGCCAGGTTAAATTTCCTCAGGTATTTTAATTTGTGTAATGCCTAGGCTTGGTGTATGTTTTTAGCTGCTTCCTCATATTAGAGTTAATGTTACCAGTTTTATTGTAAATTATTAGGTCTTATTAATCATTAAAATTCATTATTTATACATGTTCACCACCCTGGAATCTGTTGGATGAAGGGTAATATGTAATGTGTTAAATAAAAAAAAATATTTCAGATAAACAAAATAAACAGAAATATCTGTAAGTAGTTTAACACAAAATACTGTGAAATATTTATGAAAAATATAGGTAAAATCAATGGAACTAAAAATGTATTCATAATAAAATTACACGTCTGGCTAGACTTGCTGAAACAAAGAAGTTTTTAGTAGGTCATATCAAACTGTGTCCCTCCCCCCAGCACTTGTTAGCATCTATAGCTAGCACTGTTACCCAGTTGTGAAAACATTCTTTGTAACTTGGGGAAGTTCAGGAATATGGTTAGGATTGCCAGATCAAAATGTTAAAATAGTATGTTTTCTTTGCACAGGGGTTGCCAGTATGAAACTACTCAAGGCTTACTTGATAGTTGAGATTATTTTGATGGAGAGCTTTGTTGCAGGTTGTGGACAATACTATACAGCAAAACTTTGTACTATATCTGGTAGTTATAGAATGTAGTGCATATAATGCATTAATATATTAACTCTGATCATTGCTCAGGATAAGATAATTGATTTGTCACTCAGAGTTTGTGATCACAGACCAGAAGGTAACTTGTGCTGCTTTTAGAAAATGTTTGAGTTTGTCCCTTCTTTGGAAATAATGGTATTTTGCCTGGTGCCATGGCCTTGCTTTCCACTTAAAGTGACAACCTCCATGGATTTGGTGGAAAATTGAATTGTTCAAGGTAAAATTGTTAAGTTTCCACCTCCTAGCTAGAAAGAAAGCATTGAAAGCCATGGGGATTGGAGTAGGAAATTGTTCATGAAATGCATTCACTAAGAAACTTTGTTTTTTAAGCTAAGGAGTACAAGGGTGTAAATGGGACTATTCATTACTGTCTTCATAACAGCTCCTTGGGATGGGTTAGGCTGGGTTAGCTTTAGCATCTGACCCAAGGTCACCAGTGAGCTACGTGGCTGCATGGTGGTTTGAACCCAGTTCTCCTTGGTACAAGTCTAATACACTAGTGTACACTTGTGTTTTTTTAAACTATAAAAGTATAATGGCAGTAGCTTGGATACATGTTCTAAAACACATTCTTGGTACAGCTACATCAGTGGTGGAGAACCTCAGACCCAGGGGTCAAATGTGGCTCTCCAGTCTTCTCTATCTGGGCCATGAGACTCTTACAGGCCGTGTTACTTCTACCCAAGTCTCACTGCTTGCTGGGCCTGACTACATCCTCCTCAAGTACAGTGGTGCCCCGCAAGACGAATGCCTCGCAAGACGAAAAACTCGCTAGACGAAAGGGTTTTGTGTTTTTTGAGTCGTTCCTCAAGACGAATTTCCTTATGGGCTTGCTTCGCAAGACGAAACGTCTTGCGAGTTCTTGCGAGTTTGTTTCCTTTTTCTTAAAGCCGCTAAGCCGTTAATAGCCGCTAAGCCGTTAATAGCCGCTAAGCCGCTAATAGCAGTGCTTCGCAAGACGAAAAAACCGCAAGACAAAGAGACTCGCGGAACGGATTAATTTCGTCTTGCGAGGCACCACTGTACTTTTGCCTTGTTGGCATGGGTCCTTGAACTGTAATAATCATTGTGTTTTGCTTGATGGAGAGTGAAAACAGACTTACGTTTATGTACTGTATTTTGCATGCCTCTGTGTAGCCTATTGCACCAATCTCAGAATCTGTTTGTTTGTCCTCTTTTAACTCTGGTCCCACACATATTTTGCCTCTGACCTTGCCCACCGCCACCACCACCATGTGGCCTCCAGAAGGTTGCTTACAGGGGAATATGACCCTTGAGCTTAAAAAACTTCCCAACCCCTCAGCTTCATTTTGCAAGGAGCTCTTGAATGGCTGTACTTTTTTGCCCAGTCTACTAATAATCAGGAGATTTGCACGTTTGGTTCACTAGTGTGAAGTGATCCCTTAGAAATGAGATAGGCTTATTAGGGTTCTATTTTTCAGTTATGCCCGTGGAGAAACACAAGGTCCTCCCAGAATCCTGTAATTCACCATTGACTCTGAAGTCTTGGAGAGGTAGTTATTGGTACATGCTTTAGCCCTTATAGTATTCAGAAATGACTTCTGTAGCTTTTTTGGCGAAGCTTAATTCATCTTAATGAATTCTGTCACTTGTCCATAGTTACATTTAACTTCCTTTGATTTTTGCACTGCATTTTATAGTGTTACAAACAAGGATGAGGAATGAAGTGAGATGGAAATGAGCTATAATACTTGAATGGACACTAGTTGCCACCTGCTAGAAATGTTTGTGCCTTACGATGCAGAGTAGCAAAATGTAGACGTTTCAACAAACAGTAGGTCAGTAGGATGTCTTGAAGTTGATTAAAGAAATATTCTTATCCATTTATCAGGTCTTATTGCCCAAATACTTCAGTGTAAAAAGTATTACTTCATAAACTGCATAGAATTAATTTTGTTATTTTGAAGAAGGTTGTTCATGCTAACGGTGATATTAGATTGTGAAAAAGCGCAATGTGGCAACACATAATATGGTAACAGAATCTACTTTCAGGATCAAAGAATTGAGTATCTGATGGATTACATGAAAAAGCTGTTCTGAATGTACTGAAACTGTTCGGTGCTGAACTCATTACAGAGGCAAGTCTGCCTGTTTACTTTAAATGGAAAAACTGAATTCACAATGTCAGTTTTCTTCTTTGTCTTTATTGCATCAGTATGGAATACTGTTGTCAGAGATCTAGGACACAATTTCCTTTGCAAAGAAAGATTGGCCACAGCACTGAAGATTTAGTCTACAGCACAATGAAAAAGGAAGTTATGCTTCCTGGTTATTCTGGGCTTAACTATGTGTTTGGCTTTTTGGCTAAATGGAGAGGTTCTATATAAAGATTTTTCTAATTTAATTACACTATAGGAAACATGTAACTTTGTTTTAGTCTGCCTTGTCTATTTACTAACACTTGAGCAAGTACTTTACTTGCACATCCCCTTCATACTTCCTGCATAACATAAGTGTTACAACTTGAAATAAAGATTTCATGAAAATGTATATAATTTGGGGGATTTGGAGGTAATGTTTGTCTAATTCAATCCCCAGCCCATTCATACTTGTTTGCTCTTTGATACCATTCAGTATTGTAAGCTGGGCATGTAATGAGACTTGAGTTGAAATCTCAGCCAGACAAATTTTGTCTGGCTAGCCCTTAGCAAAGCCCAGATCAAAGTTTCGATTCATTATCTGCAGAATGAGAATAACAGTGTCTAAATTCACAGGGTTTTTAAGGGACTGGGGCATACCCACCACTACCTTTCTGCTCATGAAAATGAGCTTCCTCTCTTTGTCTTCTTCAGCTACACCACATCTTTAAAATTAGCTTCAAAGGGGTGGTGGGTCTTCAGAAGCAAATTTTGGGGATGAATGGTTGGAAGGAGAAGAAACAGAATTCCTGTTGTGTGATCGGACCACTAGTGCAGTTTGAATACAACCCAGTAGTTTTGATGTGTTACCTGTTTCAGGCAGCATCAGTCTTACAATTCCAATTAAGATTATTCAGACCAGGCTGTGTGGATGGTTATCAGGTTCTCATCCTAAATCCTACATATGTTTGCTTTTATTCCATTACAGAACCAGCAAAAGCGTTAATAATCTTAATACTGCCAAGGTTTGGAATTTAGAAAGGTAGGAACCTTGGTATTTATGTAAACAGTTCAACTTTCTCCTAGGAAGTAACAGTGTAAATGTTTTAAAATAAATTTAGGTAGAATGAATCCATGAAGACTACAATGTTGAGAGGTTTAGCATATAGTGTGGCACTCCCTGCACTACTAGCAGATCTGAAAGACATTTGACAGAGGAATGATTGTGCTTTGTATCAATGGAATCTGCAGGCATGAATTCTTACTCCCTCTCTCATTTCTTGAAGGGCAATGTTACAGCTTTCTGCTTATATGACAGCCTTGTTCTTATATTAAGAAATACTTGTAAAATATCTCCAAAACATGTACTGTACTTTGTTGTTGAATCTGGTTAATTAGCTAATAAACCACTTGTAAAATACTAGAGTGAGTTAACTGACTCTTTCTGGTGGGTGAAATTGGGACTTGCTATGAATTTGGGGCAGGCAGATCTTTGCTTAGAGTTTTGCTTGAAGAAAGAACTGAAATGGTCTTAAAAATAAGCACAGCAAAGATAAGCTCTGGACTTTAAATATGTCAAATGAAAATGCAAACAATTTCTCCTTGTCTCTTGTTTGGAAAAATTGAATTTCCGGGAACCTGTTGCAACTGCAAGCATGATATGTGATATCATAAAAATAAGATTATCAGTTATAAGGCTGGCGACCTTATCAAGCCCTTCAGGGTTTGCAATGTGCAGATTTTCACAAATGTGACTGTCAGATTGTTATTGACACTTGTGAATTTATCCTGATTACAGCCTGTTTCAGGAAATCATGACACCCTTTTCCTTCCTCTTGAGTTGTGCATTGCAGAGAACTCCGAAGAGAGAGTGGTCTCTTGCTTTGTGCCAAGTGGGACAGATGAAGTCCTCTGGCCTGTGCAGAGGGCTTTGGGGAAGGGTCATCTTATCAGAATATGCAAACACTTGGAAGCAGCAAGAATCCAAGCCTTTCCATCATCTTGCACAGCTGTCTATTTTTTCTCCCCAAGTCCACAATTAGTGGCGGACTATGAAATCTAGCCAAAACGTGTGAACATACTCTACCCACACTGTCGAACCATCTGTCATTATTGTGGTGATGACCAAACTGTGGCTAATACTGGTTGTTTCATGTGTATATGAGCTGTGCAGGTATCATGGTGTGTAGGGGGAACATTGAAATGGAGCAGTGCAGACCACAAAGCTTGCATTTTGCTCATACTTACTGTCAGATATGAAGAATATGGAACGGATGGTGGCAGCATGTGGCAGTGGAGAAAGTGATTTAGATGCCAGTGATTGGCTGTGGGTGGGATCAGGGGGTGCTTTGACGTATGAGCACGCATAGGCAAACTCGGCCCTCCAGATGTTTTGAGACTACAATTCCCATCATCCTTGATCACTGGTCCTGTTAGCTAGGGATGATGGGAGTTGTAGTCCCGAATCATCTGGAGGGCCGAGTTTGCCTATGCCTGGCTTTGAGGATAAGAAAGTGGCATGTACTAGGGAGCAGTGGTCCCACTGGAAAATAAATTAAGGGTGAAAGGTTGACACTGAGATGGCAAGCTCTGTTCATACATTAGCCCTTCCCAAATACTGATTTCAAGTTACCTGGTAAACATTTTTAGAATTGTAGCCTTCAAATTCTAATTTCAAACTCCAATTTCACTTAATTGTAGTCTCCAGGTACTGATAAAAACAGAAGTCTTTTTTAAAAAGTTCTGAATAGAGAACAGTAATGAAAGATTATTTTTACCTGTTTTTAAGAAGTAAGTCTTATGCCTATGAAAAAGGGTGCCTTTAACAGCTGCATGACAAAATTGTAAAAGGAGGATCTTTCCTGGAACACAGGTGCAGTGATGAAAAGCTCCACCTGTTGAAACTGTAACCTTGCAGTTATTAAAAGTACAGAGTCTTTATGACCTTTAACACAGAGAAAATATGACAATCACAGTTACCAGGTTGTATTATAAATGGCATGAGAAGATGGTTCAACAAAACAGATGACGACAACAACAAAACAAAGAGTCAGTTGACACACTTTGGGTTCAGTGCTGCAAGTTAGGTTATAAAGCAGGGGTGGGAGGGGATGGTCATCTGAAGTGGTCATGACATCAGATGATTGTCAAGTTGGTGCCTCCACCCACAGTCAAAATTGGCCCACGGCTTGGAGTGAGATAAAAATTAAGAACTGGCCCATCTGCCCAAAAAGATTATCCACCCATGCTAGAAGTGAACCTTTCACAGAGGAGGTGGTAGTGTTGTAGCAAAAATAAAAACATGGAGAACAATGAGGATTAAACATGCTTTGAAATGGGTGGAAATCCACCCATACACTACATCATGTTTATTTGTATGAGACCTGGAATAACTATCTAGACAGCTTTGTTAGGGGTGGCATACAAATGTTTTTAATATTAAATGCAAATATATTTGCATGCTAACGAACATGCTAGTGAAGCAGTTTATATTTTAGTCCTTTTGGGTTCAAATATGTGAAGACCCTGAATTGTCTTAGAGATTGTAACCTCTTCACCTAGAAGGCAGCCCGCAATGGCAATAACTAGCACAAAGGGTTGAATGAATCATTAGCTGCAGCTGGGGAGGTCGTTCCTGAAATCTCAGGTTGGGATACTATTTTGGTAGCAGGTGAGGCTGTTTTCTGTTATCTGAAACTCATCCATGCTGATTTCTCTCCCCTCAGGCAGAATACACCAAGTAATTTATAAAGGCAGGCTTTGGCCTCTTTGCTGACACACCACTTTAGTATCTTCTGCTTAAATCTTGGAAAAACTATTATGAATGGCTGAACAGAGGTCAAATGGACCAAGTAGTTATAGGCAGAGAAAATACAGCATGTGCTCATAAACCATTTAGTGCATTCTGCCAGAATTCCAGCCAATGGACAAGAGAAGAGGTTAGGAATTGTACTTCACCAGCTTTCAGGGCAGTTTTCTGGATGGGAAGGATTTCCCACCCTGTGATATGGCCTAGGAGCTTATTTGGTGGAGAGGTGAGAGTTTTTTGACAGGTAGGTAACTTGAGATTGAAAATGGTAGGTGCAAGATACAGAAACTGTATCTTCTTGTGTTCTCCCCAAGCAAAAATTGCAATTAGTTTTTTTGGGGTGCAGTCCCAACACATCTGTCGGATGCCTCCATCCCCCATCCCATTTTATTAGACAATGTGCCTGTAGATAGATAATTTTTATTATGGCTATGATTTTAAAGTGTATTTTTATTATTGTGATAGTTTAGACCATTTTATGTAAACTACTTTGTTTTTTATATCTGTGATGCTGCTGCTGTATCCCAGCCCATGTTACACCATTGCACCATTTTGAAAGATTCACTGAAACCGTGAATGAGCATAGTTTCTCATGCTAAACTTACTATGTGTACTTCTCTGAAGTGCCTTATTATGACTTACTAACTCGAATCCAGGGATAGAATGATTTCATTGGCATATTTGGTCACCTGTTGAAAAAGGACTGTTCCTGGGTATAGAAACGTGCTTGGGCAATTTGTATTCTTGCTGAAGAGTAAAGTTAAATAAATGCCACGTTAAATAAAAAGTTCTAGAAGCAGCAAAGCAGTTCCTATAAAAGTCTGAAAGTTTGATTTTATTATATCAATCTCTAATGATGGTTCCACTAATATGAGCATTATTTTTAAAGTAGAGTGAGTGTTGCATGCCGTGATGTTGGTTTTTCAGAAAACCTTGAGTTGGAAACCTTCCTTGAAAAATGTTCAGTGCCTTAAATAGAGCATAGTTAACATGTGCATTTTGTATTTAGTAAACAAAGCTAAATAGTTTGTCTGAGATGTTATTACAATATATGTATTTGATTTATTTTACCTCCTATTTACAAATCATTATAATATATATGTATTCTCTCACACTTTATTGGGATAGGAAACTAAGAACATTAATTTCAACTTTGAAACTTCGGCAATGCACAATAGTGTCATCCATTCATTGATGCTAATTAATGTTATCTAATTAGATAGCTTCCAGTTAGAACCTTCCTTGTGACTCGGCAAAATGTTTTTTCAGTAGTTATCATATTGTGCGAAAGTTACTAATTCAGCTGAGACTCCGATTGCACCTGTAGCAGTTGGTAAGCAATCAGGCCTCTCCCCTTGAACAGGTGGCCAGACTTAATGACAACTCTTAATCTATAATACAAGTTGCTAGAAACATCACGAGGGGAGAGAGTGCTCTTGTGCTCAGGACCTCCTTGAATCTTGCCCATAGGCACATGGTTGGCCACTGTGAGAACAGGACGCTGGACTAGATTCAGCATTTTCCTGATCCAGAAGGCTCTTACATTCCTAACAAGCCTATTGTACTTCAAGCAGAGTCGTTAGGAAGGTGGAAGTCGCCTCCATTTTTTGATTGGCTAACGAGACAGGTGATACTAGAAATGGAGTTTCTAATACCTGATTGGGCCAAATGACAACCCATCTTAGGAATGGAGGCCAGTTTTTACTGGTCTCAGACTCCTTTAAATACGTAAGGCTTTTCCTTCTGCTTTTGGATTCCTGATAAGATTTCCCAGGAAGACAGAAAATGTGCAGGCTGTCAAACCCAAGCCTGTTCAAGCAAGCAACAAATAACTAGCTAGGTTAGATTGACTTGATTTGGTTTTATTTGCAATTCTGGGTGTGTGGTTGTTGTCTTCTCTTTTCCTTTCCTGTTATACGCTAATAAAATTTGTTATATGTTAACATTTGCATTCATTGTTTAAAAAGGCAATTTTCTGGAATTTCTTATTAAAACCTTTCATGCAGGTACTAAGATAGTACAGCTAAGCTTTAGGTGGTGGTGGTGTTGTTTGTTCTGAAGAGATTTCACAATGTTTTGCGGGAATTTTAGCTTTCGGAAAGTAAATCCAAAGCTTCCCTCTTAGTTTTTTCCTAGAACTGGAATGGGGGGGGGTGTGGATCTTGAGAAATAGGTCTCATAAACACCTTTAGACAGACTAGGGTGTGTGGCACGAGGTGCTTCATTCTCCCTGGCAGTAACCTATCCTAATTCTTTGGGGGAGAGGTGGGGGCCATTATACAAAAAATGTGTTTACCGGTAAGGCAAGCTCCCCCTTCTCCAATCCATCACAATGCTATTCAGAGGACGGTATATGCTATCTAAATAATAATAATAATAGTAATAATTTTTATTTAATTTGTATCCCGCCCTCCCCGGCCAAAGCTGGGCTCAGAACGGCTAACAACAGGTAAAAATAGCAGAATGTACATAAAATCGCACAGTCAGTTAATTAAAATGCATTCTAGAATCAATTCAGAATCGAATTAATGTCAACCATCGGGTTAGAGTTCTATGAGGATTACAGAAGGAGGGGGTCAGACTGTGCCTTGGCCAAAGGCCTGGCAGAACAGCTCCGTCTTGCAGGCCCTGCAGAAAGATATCAAGTCCCGGAGGGCACTAGTCTCTTGTGACAGACCATTCCACCAGATTGGGGCCACGGCCAAAAAAGCCCTGGCTCTAAAGCTACAAAGTATGGCATAACATTCTACCTGTGTTGTGATTCCAAAGTACGATTATTTTATGATGAAGATACATTTTGGAATATGAAGGTGAGCAAGCAGCTTGAAACTTCATTTCTCAGCTACTGTCTGCTGTAACAACACATTTACAGGGTTCTGAATAGAATATAACATCACCTGTGTTCCACTAGACGTGGGATTAGCTAGGAAAATCCTCAAATTGGCATTTAGAAGAAAAACAAATAAATCACCCCAAAATTCCTTGCCACAAAATCCAGAAGTCTTCACAGCAGAATTTTTAGTTTTCTAGATTTGACATTTAGGTTATGTGCTGAAGAAAGGAAAGACGGCATTCATTGCATGATGATACATCAGTCTCAGACTAGAATTTAAGGTCTCAGATAATATGTGGTTCTGTTGCAAGGTCTCTTGCTCTCTCTCTTGCTGTTACTAGTAATTCACAACTCAAAATTATTGCACTGATATACTTGTGCCATAGTTATAATTGTTATATGAATTGTAAACAGCCCTGTGATCCTCCAATGAAGGGTGGTATAGAAATGTAATAAATAAAATAAATATTAATGGCTGTTTTATGTTTAAAAACTGGGTCATTGCGACCTACTTTTGCTTAAGTTTACATGGTGGGGTGTTGAATCCAATAACGTGAAATTCTTTAGCAGGCACTGAAAATACAATAGTGAAGGTGCCTGTCTGATATGCAGTGGAGGGAATTCCAAAGGGCAGGTCCTGTAACACTAAAAAGTCCCAGTTCTGACATGGTACAGAACGGATTGCCTGATAGGATGCAATCTGCAGGATGTCCTCTCCTGCAGAGTACAGCAATCAGTTGAGTATTTGGGATTGAGGTGATCTTGTAGGTCTTTTACTAGAAAAGGGAATGAAGACATTAAAAAAAAACTTGCAAATGATACAATGCTTAATAACGTCTACCAGGTATTTTTTGGGTGGGTTGGGTTGATCTTTCTGAAGACTGCAGATAGGGAGGAAGGGGTGAATTCTCCCTCTCCAACTGCAGTCTCCAGGAAGATCATCGCCCCTACTGAAAACAGGTTTTAAAAACTCGTTTATGGGAGCTAATGTAAGGTATTTGGAAGTCTAATTGCAGCAGTGGGGGCTGATCATGACTGGGGAGGAAAGATTTAAAGTGAAAGTGTTCCTCCTCCATTGCAGTTATGTTTGAAAGAATTACCGTACATTATAGCCAGATGACTTTCCCCAAGCCTAATTGTGGTGCAGAGACCTTGGAGGGGGAGGGGTCACAGCAAGAGAATGGTTGGCTGGTCCTGTCCCAGTTGAGACTTAATGCCTACCTCCCCCCCCCCCCCATGCCACTATTGGACTTGACAGAAGCCTTCTGTTGGCACCACTAGATTTTTTTGTCAGGAGGGAGGAAGCCCCAGGATCCTCTTGGGGTGCCAGGGAATGTCTTGATGCGCATCTGTGGGGTCACTTTGGTGATCCCCCTTAGGCCATTTAGAGCTGGTTAAAGAAGAAGAGTATTTCAGCTCTCACTTGCTCCTTGGCATATCAAATGATTGTCTGTGATCTGGTGTGGCTTGCCACTTTCCTTTTGAGTTGGTATAATATTTAGCTGAAGAAGTGCTAGAAATCCAGCGGTGGGAGGGAATAACATTTCTGAATGCTTATCTCCTCCCAGAGAGATAATTTCTTATAAATACATGGAAAAGGCTCTCAGAGAGTTAGAAGTGCAGTGGCTCGTACACAACACTTGCAAGAAAAGAGCTTAACCAACAACTCTGTATGCAGGAATTGGGTGGGGGGACATGGCCTTGTGAATGTTAGCAGTTGCTGCATTGAAGGGTAGAGGAGTTAGCACACTGTCCTCTGGATCATGCTGCAAGTGAGTAGAGGCAGGAATGGACTAGTGAGAGAGAAAGCAAGTTAAACCCTTATCTCTTTCTCACACACACCCCTCTCCCAATCTCATTGTTCAGTGAAGTGCAGGTTTGAACTCTGGACCCTTATTGGAGCATAGTGGTGTCCTCACCTTCAGCGTTTCTGCTTGTTGTGTCTTTGCCAGTTTATTTGGCTTTGTTTGTATCTTGTTTTGAATAGTTTTCAATACCTTGAGTTCTTTGAGGGAGAATGCTATTTTTGCATTGACTCCTGACAGAAGATGGGTGCCTAGTTCTGGAATGGGTGAGTGAAGTGAGGCAATGTACTTCCCTAGTTGTGGTGCTGGAAGAAACTTTACTTGTTTAACTTTTCAGTGATTTTGTTTTTAAAGACAAAGGAGGTGGTGGCCTTCAGTGCCATCTAGTTGTCAGCCCTGCGGGCAGTATCTTGCCATACTGAAGCTAGATATGCCATCTAAATATGTATATTTTAAACGGGAAATTTTTGCTTTGTGCCTAACAAAACTTGTGATGAGATCATTTTTGCATGTTTCAACTAACCTCACCTGATATTCTTTGTTGTATTAGATGGGCTGGTGATCCCGCTGGTGGAGTTGTCAGCAAAACAGGTGGCATTTCACATTCCATTTGAAGTGGTTGAGAAAGTCTACCCACCTGTGCCCGAACAACTGCAGCTTCGTATTGCCTTTTGGAGCTTTCCAGAAAATGAAGAGGACATCAGGTAATGCCATTCAGAATTCTCTTCGTGTTTCTTTTCTGTTTAAAGTTAACTTTATCTTCGATGCAGCATCAGTGAAATAGGGAATTTCAAGTAGCCATATTGGCCCATTAGGGTAAAATCTATAAATGTATGAGAGTAATATCTATTGATTAGAATCAGTTAAAAATGTTACAAAGAGGGAGTAAGCTTTTATGTTTTCACGATCACGTCATCAGGTTGTATGCTAATAAAAAAATGATACTGTGTTGCGTCCACACTGTGGATGTTAGTGAAAGGACTTCTGGCTTCCCTCTCTTTTTTCCACATGTCCCCAAAATCTGTCCTGGGGGTTCCATCTGGGGCAGATTTGGGGAGGGCATGCGGTGCACACAGGGAGAGGAGAAGGAGGAGAACTTCGACTGGGCAAACAGAAATCTTTGCACTACTTTGTTGGATCCTGCCCATTAGATTGTTCCCAGCTGCATAATGGAAATGGTCCTGGGCCATTCCCTACAATATGAAGACCATTGATCCAGAATGCAGTGCTCTTTGTCTCATCTGAAGTACATTTTAACAACAGAATGATTTGTTTTCCTAGGCTGTACTCCTGCTTGGCAAATGGCAGTGCAGATGAGTTCCAGAGAGGCGAGCAACTTTTCCGAATGAGGGCTGTTAAAGATCCACTGCAGATAGGTATTTACATCTACCTTATGTTGGTACTGAGAAGAACTGAAATCTTATCCCAGATACAAATCCTACCTTGAAGGCTTGGGAGAGAAGGGTTCCTGAGTTGGGATGACATGGTTAGGTCCTGCCTTGGCCTGTACCATTGAGCTCTCATCCAGAAGGCCTGATTGGGGGGATGGACCCAGATAAAGATTCCTTTATCCAGATCTGATCCACAAAGATATAAAAAAGTGGCTCAGCAGACCCAGTTTCAGTTTGATGGAGTCCTGGAAACACTGCTGGTTTCAGCTGGTGATTTTTGCTAGGACTACTAAATTAGTTCTAGAATTTATAGACTTTTTTGCTTGCTATGTAGTAATCCCAAAAACAGAGAGCAGTATGACTGGAACATTTATGGTATGTGCTCACCAGCAACATCTGGTTGTGTTCCTTTAGTTATGGTATACTTTCCCCCACCTTCATGATTAACTTTATGCCACAGTTATAAGACATGCAATAAGAGGCTTAATGTTTGTTTCTTGGGAATTTTAGGTATGGGTTGGACAGCGTAATCCACTGCAAGACAAAAGGTTCACATGTTGACTCTGAGTTTATTAGGAAGCCTTAGCCTTGGTTAATGCAGCAGGTCTATTGAGAGAATGAATGTGTTTACAATTTTAAAGTGCAATTTAATGGTTGTTAATAGAAAGGAAATGAATCTAAACTCTGTTTAATGGGGGGTTATGTAGTCCAGGCACAAATCTTTGCTACTGAACATTCCTATGTTGAAAGCCTATTCTCATTAAATTGAAGTGACAATTGATCTTTGAAATAAATTACGGCTGCCAAAATAAGACATTTTAGATTTTGATTGGAGCAAGAAGAAGGAAAGGTGTAGTTCAACACTAACAGACCAATTATTTTAACTATGTATGTAATATTTTTTTTTATGCTGAATGCTATATCACCATGCTTCGGTGTCAGACAATAACCTTTGGCCTGTTTTCCCAACAGGTTTCCATCTGAGTGCCACAGTGGTACCTCCCCAGATGGTACCGCCAAAAGGAGCATACAATGTGGCAGTGATGTTTGACAGATGCAGGATCACCTCATGCAGCTGCACTTGTGGAGCTGGGGCCAAATGGTGTGCCCATGTTGTAGCCCTCTGCCTTTTCCGGATACACAATGTAGGCCTTGAATTATGACTATTGTTCTATTTCATAGGTAACCAAGTACGGGGAATATTTATTGATAGCCATAAAATTAAAGTGTTCAGTAACTGCAAGTCCCCCCCCCTTCTTTTCAGTCCTTTATACTAACATCTGTGAAGCTGCATTGAGTGGAACATACTTGAAGTGAGGACATTAGCCCATATTCACTAATCTGAACAGGGTTTTCTTGTGTGTGTGTTTCTTTGTGGCTGATTAGCTGCTCTCCCTGTGCAAAGGTCAGAGGGGGCAGGGTTTCTGTTGAGGCAGGTGATTAGCTGTGGGAGGAGCTTATCAGAGCTTGCAGGGCAGCGGCAGTTTGATCCATCTTTTTGTGGGGGGAGTTATTTGTCCTGTCTTCATGCTTTTTATGATGGAGGACCGCTGTAGCCACCTCCAACGACACGTTCTCAAGATGGAGGGGGAGGGAACAGCTGCAGTCGCCTGCGGTTCCTGCGCTATGTTTGCCATCTTGCCAAAGGTTGCAGGCAGCTTTACCTGCAGCAATTGCATGTTGATTGCCCTCTTAAAAGACAAAGTCCAGCAACTGGAGGAACGTGTAGCTACGCTCCAAAGAATTAGAGAGCTGGAGCTCTTCTTGGAAGCAACAGAGCACACCGTCTCCACCAAGGAGGAGACAGGGGACTCCCTGAGAAGGAGGCTAGTTCACCAACACAGGAGCCAGATATATGGAGAAACGTGACTCAAAGAAGTAGGAGGCCCAGGGTTCGCTCTGATTGTTTAGAAATACACAATCGCTTTGAGGTCCTCTCCCTAGCATGGAAGACGAAGAGCAGACTCCATTTGAGGATCTCTCCCTCATTACAGTCAATCAGGTATATGAAGACGAGCAGCAAAGTCAGTCCTCAGGGAATGTGCAGGCGACCTTGGAATGGACAGCTCACGGAAGAACCCCGACCAAACCTAAGAGGAGGCGTGTAGTGGTGATAGGGGATTCCCTACTGAGGGGAACAGAAGCAGTGATCTGTGGGCCTGACAAGATGTCTCGGGAAGTGTGCTGTCTCCCGGGGCTAAGATCCAAGATGTAACTGAACGACTGCAAGGAATCATAAAACCCACTGACAAATACCCCTTCCTCTTGGTTCATGTGGGAACCAATGACACTGCAAGCAATAGCCTCCAGAAGATCAAAAGAGACTATGAGGCTCTGGGCAGGAAATTGAAGCAATTAAATGCACAAATTGTCATCTCATCTGTCCTCCCAGTTGAACGACGTGGCCCAGGGAGAGGGAAAAATAGTGGAAGTGAACAGCTGGCTTCGCAAATGGTGTAAACAGGAACGGTTTGGATTCTTAGATCACGGACTGCAGTTTCCTGAAGATGGACTTCTGGCAAGCGATGGGCTGCACCTCACAACGGTTGGGAGGAATGTTTTTGCCAAAAATCTCAGAAACCTCATCAGGAGGGCTTTAAACTGACTAATGTGGGGGAGGGAGACAGTGCTGCTGAAGGTAGGAGTCTATCAATTGATGAAGATGATCATCCAAATGTCATAGACCAAATGGAGCAAACAGCACGCAGATCTAGTGGTGGGAGGAAAAAATCCTTAAATAAGAGACACGTGGGAATGATTAATGGACTTCAGTGTCTGTACACTAATGCGCAAAGCATGGGAAATAAACAAGATGAGCTTGAGCTCTTGGTACAGCAAACTAAATATGACATAATAGGCATCACTGAAACCTGGTGGGATAAGTCCCACGATTGGAATGTAATAATGGAGGGATACAATCTATTTCAGAGAGACAGACCAGACAAGAAAGGAGGAGGAGTGGCGTTATATGTCAGGGATGTGTATACCTGTGAAGAGATCCAAGATTTAGAACCTCAAAGCCAAAGTGAGAGCATTTGGGTCAAAATTAAGGGAGAGAAGAATAACAGTGACCTCATTGTGGGAGTTTACTATAGATCCCCAAGCCAAACGGAGGACATAGATGATGCCTTCCTGGAACAGATGGCCAAGCATGCAAAAAGGAAGGGAGATAGTAGTAATGGGGGACTTCAATTACCCGGATATTTGTTGGATGTCAAACTCAGCCAAGAGCATAAGGTCAAACAGATTCCTCACTGGCCTTGCAGACAACTTCATTGTCCAGAAAGTGGGAGAAGTAACAAGAGGAACAGCCATTTTAGATCTGGTCCTAACCAATGTTGATGACCTGGTTAGTGGGGCAGAAGTGGAAGGATCATTAGGCACGAGTGATCATGCTCTTCTGAAGTTTACTATACAGCGGAAAAGAGCAGCCAAGCATACTAGGACTCAATTTCTTGACTTTAAGAAAGCCGACTTCATAAAACTTAGGGAAGTGCTGGGTGAGATCCCATGGACAGTAATACTAAAAGGAAAGGGAGTTCATGATGGTTGGGAGTTTGTTAAGAGGGAGATAGTAAAAGCACAACGTCAGGCAATACCAATGAGACGGAAACATGGAAGGTGCCTAAAGAAGCCAGGGTGGCTATCTAAAGAACTTTTAACTCAGTTAAGATTAAAAAAGGATGTGTACAAAAAATGGAAAAGGGGGGAAACCACCAAAGAGGAATTCAAACAAAGAGCCAGCACGTGTAGACACAAAGTCAGAAAAGCTAAAGCACAGAATGAACTCAGGCTTGCTAGAGAGGTTAAAAGCAACAAAAAGGTTTTTATGGGTATGTTCGTAGCAAAAGGAAGAACAAAGAAACAGTGGGGTCACTCAGAGGAGAAGATGGTGAAATGCAAACAGGGGACACAGAAAGGGCTGAACTCCTCAATGCCTTCTTTGCCTCAGTCTTCTCCGATAAAGAAAACAATGCCCGACCTGAAGAATTTGGAGCAAATGATTCAGCAAAGGAAACACAGCCCAGAATAACTAAGGAGATAGTACAAGAATACTTGGCTAGTTTAGATGTATTCAAGTCTCCAGGGCCAGATGAACTGCATCCAAGAGTATTAAAAGAACTGGCAGATGTGATCTCAGAACCACTGGCAGTCATCTTTGAGAATTCCTGGAGAACAGGCGAAGTCCCGGCGGACTGGAGGAGGGCAAATGTTGTCCCTATTTTCAAAAAGGGGAAAAGAGAGGACCCAAATAATTACCGCCCAGTCAGTCTGACATCAATACCAGGGAAGATTCTGGAGCAGATCATTAAGCAAACAGTCTGTGAGCACCTAGAAAGGAATGCTGTGATCACCAATAGTCAGCATGGATTTCTGAAAAATAAGTCATGTCAGACTAACCTGATCTCGTTTTTTGACAGAATTACAAGCCTGGTAGATGAAGGGAACGCAGTGGATGTAGCCTACCTTGATTTCAGCAAGGCATTTGACAAGGTGCCCCATGATATTCTTGTAAAGAAGCTGGTAAAATGCGGTCTTGACTATGCTACCACTCAGTGGATTTGTAACTGGCTGACTGACCGAACCCAAAGGGTGCTCATCAATGGTTCCTCTTCATCCTGGAGAAGAGTGACTAGTGGGGTGCCACAGGGTTCTGTCTTGGGCCCGGTCTTATTCAACATCTTTATCAACGACTTGGATGATGGACTCAAGGGCATCCTGATCAAATTTGCAGATGACACCAAATTGGGATGGGTGGCTAACACCCCAGAGGACAGGATCACGCTTCAAAACGACCTTGACAGACTAGAGAACTGGGCAAAAACAAACAAGATGAATTTTAAGAGGGAGAAATGTAAAGTATTGCACTTGGGCAAAAAAAATGAGAGGCACAAATACAAGATGGGAGACACCTGGCTTGAGAGCAGTACATGTGAAAAGGATCTAGGAGTCTTGGTTGACCACAAACTTGACATGAGCCAACTGTGTGATGCGGCAGCTAAAAAAGCCAATGCAATTCTGGGCTGCATCAATAGGAGTATAGCATCTAGATCAAGGGAAGTAATAGTGCCACTGTATTCTGCTCTGGTCAGACCTCACCTGGAGTACTGTGTCCAGTTCTGGGCACCACAGTTCAAGAAGGACACTGACAAACTGGAACGTGTCCAGAGGAGGGCAACCAAAATGGTCAAAGGCCTGGAAACGATGCCTTATGAGGAACGGCTAAGGGAGCTGGGCATGTTTAGCCTGGAGAAGAGGAGGTTAAGGGGTGATATGATAGCCATGTTCAAGTATATAAAAGGATGTCGCATAGAGGAGGGAGAAAGGTTGTTTTCTGCTGCTCCAGAGAAGCGGACACGGAGCAATGGATGCAAACTACAAGAAAGAAGATTCCACCTAAACATTAGGAAGAACTTCCTGACAGTAAGAGCTGTTCGACAGTGGAATTTGCTGCCAAGGAGTGTGGTGGAGTCTCCTTCTTTGGAGGTCTTTAAGCAGAGGCTTGACAGCCATATGTCAGGAGTGCTCTGATGGTGTTTCCTGCTTGGCAGGGGGTTGGACTCGATGGCCCTTGTGGTCTCTTCCAACTCTATGATTCTATGATTCTACTAAGTAGTGTTTAACATATATATTGTAAGAAACAACTGGCTGTACAAGCTGAAAGGATCAGTGCTACATGTTTGCCTAAATGGCTGGATGCTTCAAAATTGATTACCAGAATATGCAAATGGACTTTGATGTGTCCAATGGTCTACAATAGACAGTAGTAAGGAAGGTGGTTATGCTAGTTCACACAGCATTGAATGCAACCCTATGCATTAGTAGTGTTGAATTGCTGCAATGGAAAATTGAATCTATGTATCAAAATTCTGTAAGCAAAAATCAAATGGATGTACTTAAAAACACCACCACCACCACCAAATCAATTCTGCTTTTGTACAATGCCAGCAGTATGTTTTGCACTCTGCAAAAATAAATGAATGAAATGTATTTTGATTCTTTCAGTGAAGCAATTCCCCCCCCATTGGAAAGAAAAATATTTAAGCACATTTATCAACATGTGGTCAAGATACTGTACATTGTACAAATTGAGGATCTAGTCCTACAGTTCAGCATAATCTCTCCCCCTGATGAGTTGTTGACATGCTTAGAATCAAATGCGGGATTTAAATGTTGATGGTTGAAAGGAAACAATGATTAGGTATGGTTTGCTTACCCATAGTTTATGAAGTAGACAATAGACAAACCATAATTTTACTTAGTTTAATCTGAGAGGTAATATTGTATATGAACCCCCTACAAAAGCACTGCCAATGTCCGCCTCCAAACATATTCTGCTGGTAGTCAACATAATGAAGCTTGAGAATAATCAGTGAGTTTTCTGTCCCCCTTGAAGGATTAGTTGCAAGAAGTCTGGAGTCCCCTGCATGTCAGAAATTGGTTAGTGGTGCTGCTTCTGCTAATTGTAGACAGGGTGGGAAAATTGAGATGTTAAATTCAGAAGGAAATGTATGCATGAAATAGGCTCTTTATGATGAATGTATTTTGATGCAGAACTAAATTTTCCAGAGTGGTTTAGAGAGCCTGTATGATAAAGGAATAGGCTATAAGTTGTAATGAAATGAATATAACCATGTAAGGTGGAGTAAACAAAGGTTGCTTTTTGGTCATTGGAAGTTCTAATTGTTGCCTAGTTCCCTAATAAAGCAAATGTATATATTTTGAACAGAATCTGCAATACGTATTGTTCTTATTTGAAGCGATATCCTTCTGAAATACCGCACTTTGTTCTGATAAACTTGATAGATTGTTTATGAAACGTCTTCTATTTGCAGCTTTATTTAATTTGGGGTGGGGAGGTGATGTTTAGCAGTAAGACTTTGTTAAAAGCAAGGCTCTCAGTGTTCTGCCTTTTCTACCTTAGGCATCTGCAGTGTGCTTGCGAGCACCTGTCTCAGAATCCCTGTCTCGACTGCAGAGAGATCAGCTGCAGAAATTTGCACAGTACCTCATCAGTGAACTTCCCCAGCAGGTATGATCTCCAAAGCACATTGTACTCAAATCATACAAATGGATTCACTTCTATTTAGTCCTGCTTCCCAAATTGTGTGTTTAGTAGCCTTGAAAACAAGACTAAATGCTTTTACTAGCCCATGTTTTTTAGATATTGTTGTACAGGTTGACCTGTGGTATTTGGGTTCATAGATAGCTGTTTTCACTACAATACTGCTTTTCCTTTCTTTGTATCTAGTTCATAAATGGTATTGTGATAACGTCTTTCCTCAAGAATCTGTTCTTCTTTTCCAAGAATGGGCATTGCCATGAGAGCAAACTACTTTATTAAATAAAAGTAACGGCATGAATAAATTGAAATACCATTTATGTACTTGTATATTTAAAACATTTTAATGCTTCCCTTCATCTATTCCTGGTGGTTTATCAACTTAAAACAGAAGCATATTAAAGCAGCAAGTAAATAGTACAGCCATAAGGCTATGCTTCATGCAATAGCATGGAGAATAAACATCTCATGCTTTTCCCTTTCCATCATCCATGTCCCAATATCTGCTGGATTCTCTGCATGTATGCCAAATCAGGCTGAGTCCAAGACTTGACTACTCTCTCATAAAAAGCTTGAAGAATTGAATGAATCTGTACTGAAATTGTTTTTAGAATATTTTGTTTTATCACAATTGTGTTTGCAGCCCTGGGCTCCTTTGGGAGGAAGGGCAGGATATAAATTAACTAGATAAAAATAATACATGAATTGGGCCCTCTTGTGATGGGGCATCCTACCTTGTTTCATGGGGCCTGACCCACATTGAATGTCATCTGCCTAGTGGAAGGGAGCAACTTGCACCATATTGTTTCCTTGTCACCCCTGGCTGACAGTATATACAAAGCTAAGAGGCAATCCCATGTTAAGGCAGTAGGCTCTCATGATCAGCATTTGGGAACAAGGACCTTCTCAAAAGCAGCCTAGCTCAGTGGAGTGATAGACAGGTGTCTGTGCAGACATAGCCATTCCTCAGACATTTGTTTTTATGCACTGAGTAGTCTGCTGTGATGGCAAGCTCTCATACTCCCTACCACTCCCTATCACTTTGATGCTTGTAAAGCACAGCTGTGGTAAAAAGAGCAGCTAGTCAAATTACATAATTTGGATTTCAACTGTGGGGTCCTTTTGTGGGTAGGGAAGAGCCTTATTGTAAATTCTGCCAGAAGGAATAGCATGAATAGCTATACGAAGATCAGGTGATTTTTAATGGGCAGGCTCATATGGGGGAGGTGAACCTTAAGAGATGAGGTCTAGAGTTAATACAGAAGTCAATAATAGCACATCCAATTGAACTTGGAATTTAACTGGCAGCTAGTGGAGTTTTCAGAATACTGCTTTCATGATCCCTCCACCACATATCAGTCAGGAAGTGGACTGCTGTATTGTGCATTAGCTGAAGTTTCTGAATGCTTTTAAAAGGCAACCGTGTTTAGAGTGTGTTGCAGTAGTTTTATGGTCTTGGTCCCAGGGCCCTTCCTAATGGGTTTTATTTTTCTGTGTGGTACATGTTGAGCTATTACTCATTTTTGCAGAAAATCCTGCTGTCTTTTCTTGTGTTAGTTGTGTGCATCTAGCATTCCCCCCCCCCAATTTTTTTTTAAAACTGCTTCCTTTGGCTAGTGTGTTTATACCAGAACATGTGGTATGCAGATTTTGAGTGAATAGAAGCATGAAAGGCATGTGCTAACTAGGACTGGGTTCAAGTGTAGTGTGCAATTATCTTTCAAAAAGCTTTTTTAAAAAAATGTATTTACCTTTTAGCAAGATTTTCAGGGTAGCTAACAACAGAAACCCAGACATAGCTGCTGTCTGTTAAAAATAAGAATGAAAACTGTAGGGTGTGATGGCAAAAAATAAATGATCCAGCCAATGCATGGGAGAATAAAAAAAATGTATTACATCTGACTCACAGTTAAAGAAGCTGGCAGCTGCTATGTCCCTATGAAGAGTATGCTGCAACTGAGGCACCTCCATGGAGAAGGCCCTACCTCCAGCTGCCATTTAGCTCACTTTTGAAAGGAGAAGTACCCAGAGCAGGGCTTCTGAATTGAAATGTTTGGTTACTGCAAATGTGGCTGGCAGAAACACAATACTGTAAAGTTAAACCAACATTTCTGTTGCAATCCTATGCACTCTTTCACGAGGAGTAAGCTTCATTGAACATTGGGCCCTATATTCTGAGTAAATACACATAGGATTGTGCTGGATCATAGCGTATTTGGAATGCTGCTAGTGCTTTTTTTCTGAAATAAATGATGCAGGAAAGAAAAGGCGCACAAGCAGGAGGGACAGGGCAGCTCTGTGAAGGGGCAGAGCAGATGCTCAGAGAAGCTTCTTCCATGCACACCTGCTCTGCAAGCTGCCTTGTCCCTTCTGCTTGCATGTGCAGGAGAGGCAGGGCGGCTTACAGAGCTGAGGCACAGGAAGGCTTCTTCCCGTGGGACAGCTGTTAGCCTGGGAGGCTGAAGAGCCTCATTAAAGCCCCACTGTGCATCTCTGGCTCATGAGAAGACCCTCTCCAGAGCCCATAGAGCAGTGATGGCAAACCTTTTAGAGACTGAGTGCCCTAACTGCAACCCGAAACCCACTTATTTATCACAAAGTGCCAACACAGCAATTTATCCTGAATACTGAGGTTTTAGTTTAGAAAAACAACAACTCATACATTAACATATTTTGTCTTAAAAGAAAAACACAATAACAGAGCATTCAATGATACATTTTTTTATTGAAAGGTATAAGTTTGCAATATCCTTGGGAATTAATCCCAGACAACATGGCCGTTTTGATAATTTCCCTTCAAGAAACTCTTCTTCGGGAGATTTCAAAGCAGAAGCCAAATGGCCATCTGCCATGGATGCTGTAGCAGAGATCCCTGCATGGCAGGGGGGTTGGACTTAGATGACCCTCGGGTTCCCTTCCAACTCCCCACAATCCTATGAAAAAAAACCAAAACAGTCTCCTTTGCCCTCCGCTGTGTGTCCCCTAGCAGGGAGGATCTTTCAGTTACCCATGACGATGGGAGAGAGTTTCCCTCAAAAGTTTGCTTCCCGGCCTGACCAAGCAGGCAAAAAGGAAATCCCGGCATGAACCCCAGAGACGTGGCGGTTCAGCGCTCCTCAGCCATCGGTTGCAGCCTGGAAAGAAGGCACCACTAAGTACAGCTTAGGGGCAGCATGTGCGCTGAGTAGAGCTGTGCATTCGTGAGTAGCTGGTTTGCCGCCCATGGACTGCACCTGAAACGTGAAGGTTCCATTCCGCTGTCTTAAAGCGCCTCTGCGCAGAACTGCCAGTAAGCCCGGCAGCATTTTGCTCCCTCCTGCAGCCTGGCGGGCTAGCCATCAAATCATAGGATTGTGGGGAGTTGGAAAGGGCGATGGCACGCGTGCCCACAGAGAGGGCTCTGAGTGCCCCCTCTGGCATGCGGGCCATAGGTTCGCCAGCACTGCCATAGAGGATGTCCTTTTTGCGCTCCGGGGAGAGTCTTTTCATGAGCCAGAGCTGTGGTGTTGGAACTGCGTTCTGATGCGTTCTGGCTGGGGGAAAAAAGCTCTGGATACGGCTACTTTAAAAACAACTAGCTGCAAATAAACACCAGTTTGAAATCAGAGTGCCTAAAAACTGCATACACTGCTAAATGCCCAGGAAAACGGAAACGTACTTAAAAGTTAGTATATTTGATGAAAGGTGAACATAAAGGAGAGGGGAATTCCATAGTTGAAGCACCACTACTGCAGAGACCCTCAAAAGATAAGGGCAGAGTTGGACCTCACTAGAGTGAGCAAAAATCAGACTGGTTCATATGGAATGATGCTGTTCTTCAAATACCCCAGCTCTAATGGGTTTAAGCTTTAACAATTAAAACTGCAGATTTGAATTGTGCCCAAAGACAAGCTTGTAGTCTGTAAAATTATTTGAGTATTGCCAGGATAAGAGCCATTGTACTTGCTCCACATCTCAGTCTAGCAACTGTGTTCTGAACCAGTTGAAGTTTCTTTGAAAACCAAGCACTGTTCCTTAAATTATGAATATTGATGCAAGCTAAACAAGGAGCTTCTTTTCATCTTAGAAATATAAATTATTTCATACAGTAACTATCAGCCTTTGCTTCTGACTTACATAACAAGCAGCATTATGCATTTAATAAAGTACTATACCATGAAATATTTTCTAAAATTAGTAAAAATATAAAATACATAAATTATGCAAAACACATTTATCATGGTAATTCTCTAGCTACAGATTGATATATTTAAGTGTTTTGGTGAGCTGGTTTGTATGCATTGTTTTGGAAATAGATGAAGTACTAGTGAGAAATTTGATTTGATATCACATCTTCTGATAATTTTTAAAAGATTAACTCATAGGAGAGAGTCAGTGTTAAATGTCTTTCTCACACACAGATCCTTCCTACTGCTCAGCGCTTGCTGGATGAGTTGCTCTCTTCTCAGTCCACTGCTATCAATACTGTATGTGGAGCCCCAGGTAACTCTACCAGAATTCTGTATGTTAATATAAATAATAACTTTCAAATAGGCAAACTTTGGTTTTGAAATGCTAGGGCGTTGTGCTCTGTGATTGGTAAGGGGGAGGGCAGCACAGTCAAAAGAATAAACAGAGAATCCTCTTGACCTGTTGGCTTATGAGTGGTGAGAAATGAAACATTATTTTCTTAGGGTTTCTTTTAATCCACCATGTGGTACCACTGGGATGAGAGTACAGTTTTGTTTGAGCTTTCATAAATATCTTTGGAATGAAGCTCAGGTGTACTCTTTCACCTGCCACTCTGGGTAAATGGGGAAGATAAACCACTTACAGAAACATATGCAAAAATGTATCTATTTTTTTCTTAAGATCCCACTGCCGGTCCCTCTGCCTCAGATCAAAGCACCTGGTACTTGGACGAATCTACATTAAGCGACAACATAAAGAAAACCCTTCACAAATTTTGTGGTCCATCTCCTGTTGTCTTTAGGTAAATTCTCTTTTTCCTTTTTCCTTCACAACTTGCGGTGGTTCACCAAGCCAAACACAACCTCATGCCTTCTATCATAGCCTGCCAGGTGCTTGACATGCCCCGCCCCCCCCATTTTTGCAGACTGAGTCAGGCAGTGAAAATAGATGGTTTGTCAAGCTCTGGCTGACAGCCATAAATGGCTAATAGGCTATACTTGAACAAATTAGTTTAAATTGTGTGGGCACACCTTTTGGTTATGATTTCTCTGAAGGTGGTCTGAATCTATATTTTGTGGTTGCTCTAAGTTATAAATGTCAGTATTTGTATTGCTTTGCCCTGTGTGTTTAACCAAGAATTTGTCTAGTCAGGACAGCAAACCATCGGCTATTGATGGAATACAATGACAGCTTTTTTCAGAGACTAGTTTCTAGTGCAGTGGTGGGGAACGTCCAGTCTCTGAGCCTAATTAGCCCTAATTAGGTCATTTCTCCCAAACCACACCCATTTGCCCAATACCCAACATCATATGTGATTCTAGGGTAAAGGTGGATCTGGAATCAGCTGTGTTCCCCATGGATAGTGCATTTTCAAAGGGGCTGCTCACAGTGCCCATCATTTGATCAGCGCTGAGAGGAACTCCTTCAAAGGTGATTTGTCACCTGACTGGCAGTGATTGTGCACCTTCAAATGAGTTGATGTCAAAGTGGGTTAGGGCTTTGTTTTCCATCAAGATTCGATGCATCATTTCTGGCTGCATGTTTGTCTGAATGCTCTTCCATACAAGCAAGTTTAGTGCATAGAAAAAGGACAGAACTCTTCTCCTTATAGCAAGCTGTATATCAAGTATCTTCTCCCTACATCTCTATATATTTATATTTATATATATGTATATGCACATGTACAGCCCAGTCTTCACAATGCAGTTTCAAGGTGAGTTATGTGCAGCTTAAAAAAACAAACAGGCCACATATTGTATAACAACACTAAGCCATCAAATAGACAATATTGGCAAGCAAAACCAGCAGCAACACTGTGGAACAGAACAAGTGATACTCTGAACTCATCCTCTGCCACCAAAGCCTGTGGGGCAGGCACACCTCATAAGAAGGGGCACAACCTGTGGACCACCACAGAGAAGGTCTTCTCATGAACCTCTTACCCTTGAACTTCACAGGGCTGCAGAATTGCCACCAGACCCTAACACATGGGCAGGTCTATATGTGAGGAGGTGCTCCTTTGGATATTTGGGCCCATGCTGCTTAGGGCTTTATATGTCAGTGTTGTTGACATCTGTCTCAGGAGACAGTGGAAGCATTTGCCTTCAGAGGTGAAGTCAAACTGTTGGAGATTTACAGCGCCTGCTGTGGCTTTCGAGATCAAGACAAGAGAGACAAGTTTTGTTGCAGCTGGGGAAGATGAAAGTGTCCAGTTGTGCTGATGCAAGTGTACCATGGCGTTTCTTCTTTCTGTGCTCCTCCTCTGGTCACTGCTGCGGATGCATGACCTGACTGATGGTCTTCAGATGCAGTGGTCATCTGCATGGGACACACACAACCAGTGCAACCATAATATTTGCCTGGATAGTAGTTCTCATCAGTACCCTGGCCAATGCATTCTGTACATGTCTTCCACTAAATGGATGGATAGATTGCCCTATACTTCCTTTGGTGCCAGGCAAAAAAGTTCCTCTTAACCAGGCCTTTGGCTGATTAACATCCAAACCCTTTTAAATGTGTATGGGGTGGGGTAGGGAGGGGGGGATATTGATTTTTTCTTGTTCTCATTATGTATTTTGTGTTTTTTATCTAGTATTTTTATGTTGTGAACTGTCCTGAGATCTATGGAGCATATAAATTTAATAAATAATAATAGTTTGTATCATGCCATTCAAGTTTCTACTTAAAACTGGTTTGGTGGCTCCTTCTACATTGCACTAGGGCTCCATCTTTTTGGGAGAGGGGGTGGATGGTGAAGAAGCTGGCTTATCTGCGACTTTGCTCCTAAGTGATCAATCAGTGCTTTGCTTGCCTTTTATTCCGCCCCAGCATTACACTGTAGAAGAGAACCCTCAGGGGGCTTGCAATTTGATATCCAGTTTTCTTTCCTCCTCCTACATACTGTTACAATGGAGAGGGTATCCTCTGAGTACTCTTGGACAAAACCACATCAGGAGAAAGCCTTGAGCCCTTGTTGAAGCTCCCAACTCCAGCACAGGCCCTGGTTGAAGATGGAGAGCAGCCCGTGGCACTCCCCAGTGAGTCAGGAAAACAGAACTCCAGCTGAGACAGTTCATCAGTCCAGATGCGTACTGCTGCTCCGCAAATGGCTTCAAATGGGGAATTCTCTTCATTTCTCTAGGTATTAATGTAATTGCCTCTGGGATACCATGGACTACGGTTCACCTGCCCATCTTCATCTTACCATAAGGAGCCTATGGGTAATACAAGGCTTCACAAGATGGATGCTTGCCTTTGCCTTTTAGAAAAAACTGTTTTCACATCCATTTAACAGAGGGATGGTAGAGAATTTTATTTCCAGCTCCAGTGAGTAGTTCAGGGCATTCATGATTTCTCTCTTTTTGTCTTGAGTCATCAAAAAGAACACAGGAATAGACATGGCTGAGACCTACTGAGGAGTTTAATGCAGGAGGCACCAATTGGTTGGTTTGAATGCTGATCACCAATATACTGAATCAAGTTTGCTCTCTGAATCTTTTGGAGATGGAAAGTAAACACCTTGGTGTTTGTTTTCTGCTTCTGCATTCCTGATGATCTAGACTAAGGTCCTGGAAATGCTCCAGCTGCAGATTCCTATGATAAATCCCTGATAGAATTCAAGTTCATGGCATGGCTCCTACGACCCAGAAGACAATGCTCTTGGTCCTTTATTTTGGAGATGTTCAGTCAACACATTGGTCATGGACTGACAAGGTACATCTCACAACCAAAGCACTGGAATATATTCATTCTTTCTCATTTGATTCCAAGGAGTAGATGTTTCCTAATTTTGAGGCAACAGCATCTGTAACCAGCGATTCCTGTCTGATTCCAGAGGGAATCAGCCTTGAGACTAGACTGCTAGAAGGACTGAGGTTGTGTTTAGGAGATCTTTAATGGCTGCTGCTGTGTTTCTATGCTCCAGGATGGCCCTCGCATGGCTGAAATGGCAACACTGGAAACAAAAACCCAAGAGCAGCTCAAATTTGTAGTTAATTGTACAGCAGCACCTCCTACCCTGCTTGATGGCATTGTTTATGTGCTGCGATATGCAGCTAGGATCACAGCATCCACAGTTTCAACCAGTGGCTCTGGTTCTAACTGTGGGGAGAATAACTGACTACCAAGTCTGTCTTTACGTAAGTTTGAAGGTGACTGAGCAGGAGGGACAAGTGATAAATTGAAAAGGATCCAGAAAATGCTCCTGCAACTCACACTAAAATTTCCAACGAGTTCAGTGTCCAGATGGCCTTCCATACCCAGGTAGTGGGCTGTGTGGAAAATTTTGTCCCCATGTAGGATCTGGCTACATCAGACAGTTGGGTATAGGAGATGGTTCATCTCGAGTCCTGGCTGGTGCTGGCAGGGATATCACAACTATCTTTTTTGTCTTTCCTGTGCCACAGCCTTGGCAAAGTGAAAGTTTGTGTGAGAGATCATCCAGAAGCTGCTGAAGGCTTGGTTTATTGAACTTGTGCCCTACCTACAAAAGTGTCTGCTCTCTCCTTGTTCATGTGCTCAAGAAAAAAATGGAGAGGGAAAGGCCAACCTGAAACCGAAAAGTCAGGTTTTGCTGGATACTCGGGCCTCCATTTTAATGACAGTGGGCCCAGGTGAGTTCCTGACATGCATAAACCTCAAAAGATCGCGCCCCAGTGAATTTTGCATAGCAGATTATTTGCTTTGCTTCATAGGAAACCTCATTTTCAGTGCTTCACACTGACCTTGCTATAGCTTTCTGTACAAGAACCTTCACCAAGCTACTAGTGGTAAGCACTGCAGACCTTGGACTTTGGGGAGCTGAAGCTCATCCTTATCTTAGCAACATTCTTATCAGTGTCTGGATGTAGAAAGAACCAGAGGTACATGGCATTAGTAATAGCCTCCCTATGGAGTTATCTCTTCTCTTCTTTCATGATGGAGAGCCTGGTGTAATTATAGAGACTACGCAAGCTGCAGTTTTCCAGAACATTTGCTAGCCTTTCAAGTGATGGGCATACTGGCTCATCTTTTTGGGCAGCTTGAATGGATCTGGTGTCTTGAGGTTGGCCCGTTTCTGACCACTGCAGCTTTATCATGCAGTCACATCAAGGATTCGTTATGACTGTAGGTGGTTATACAATTCCAGTGTCTCCAGTCTTTAAGCCATCCCTGGTTGCTACAGAACTACTGCTTCTTTTGCTGTCAGATCCACATCTAGAAAAGTGATTCTAATGCCAGCTTGATGGTCTGGGCACATGTTGTGATAATGATGTAGCTCATAAAGCCAGCTTCATCATTAATGAGCAAACAGCAATCTTCCTGGCTTGTCTCTACTTTCAGCACAAGCATCAAGCGGCCCATGTCATCATACAGACACAACATGCCAACCGTGTTGTGCCTGAACAAACAGAAGTGAATCACATCTCCTGTCTTGTGCAGAGGACTGTGTCTCATTCTGGGCCCTTCACCTCAAAGGAAAGGATAATATGCAGGCAGAACTTGGATCCAGAGGAATAGAGCCTTCATGCTCATGTCTTTGACCTCACATTTTACTGCCCTCCTATGGGATCTTCTTGCATTCTCATCACAACGCAGAAATCAAACTTCTTTTCATGAAGCAAAGATTCTTGATGGGTTTTTGTCTTTCCCCTACTTGTGAGAGTTCTTGTCAGTATCTGGATGGAATGGGCTTAAGTCCTCTTCGTCCCCCCCCCCATGACTGAGATGCCCTCTCCTATCAGGCTAGTAGCTTGTGTATCCTGCTCAGTTAGTGGTGGCCTTTGTTATTCAAAACCACTCCTCTTCATTTCTAGGCAGAGAGAAAGGGTAAGTAGACTTGGATTACTCAGCTATATAGAGTTGGACACCCTACAGCGAGGAGGGATTTCACTCTTTGGGTACTTGGACATTGTTTTGTTTATGAGGCCAGGACAAGGGACTTGGTCTCTTGGCAGCTCCATTCCCTGCTGTTCTAGTTTTTCTCCAAGGTTGGCTTAATTTAAGGGTTAAATCTAACATCCTCTGTGTACTTGGATGGCTGCTTTAAGCTCCCTCATATCTTTAGTCAACAGGTGTCTCCCATTCCATGTGTAAAGCATTTTCTTAGAGTGGCCTTGCATCCTGCCCTCCAGTGGTTCATCAAGCAAATTTCTGAACCCTTGAGAGTCATCCCCCTTTCTTCATTTCTCAATATTGTATTCCTTGTTGCCATTACAGTACTTCACTATTCATGTTCCCTTACATTCACAGATAACTTGGGATTCTGCATTTTACATGAAGGTAGCTTCACCCTTCTTGTGTCCTTAAAGTCATTTGTAGTTCCCACTGCGAGCAAAAACCTCTTTCGCCCTAAACATCTTGAGAGAAAAAGGGGTGTTTCCCAAACGTTGGACAAGCCCTTAATCTTTTGGCACAGAATTACTTGTTTTTGTTTAATAATATGTATATATGGCTTAAGTAACGAAAATCTCTAAATGGCTTACATGAAACAATGTAAAATATACGTAATAAAAAAGTGATAAAATCAAACTTTAAAAACAAGTAGACATATATTTTTTTTAATGAAAATATAGGTTAAATCAACCATTAAATAATACAGAATAAAATTCAATGTCTGGGTGGGCTTGCCTAAACCTAAAAGATTTTAGTAGGCATCAAAAACAATATAGCGAAGGTGCCTGCCTAATACTAATATGCTGGGAGTTCCAGAGGGTTGGTGCTGTGACACAGAAGGATCAATTCATGAGCAGAACAAACATTATGTGCTAGTTGTAAACATGCCAGTTTCACAGCTCAAGGCACTCAAGTGGGTACATACGGGGAAGTTGATCCTTCAAGAAATGGTGTACGTCCTTTGTCAATTACTGGGTTTAGGGGAGAGATGGAATGACCCCCAAAGAACAAAGCCAACTTCTAAAGGCCTTGGACGAATCACCACCTGTTGGAATTGTAGCACACTTGCTTAGAGGAGCCGTTACTTCCTTGACTTTCATACAGGAAGAAGGTATACTGTTTTGTCTCACACACTGACTCTAGACACTCTGACAGCAGTGTTTTTGCATCTGAGTGGCCACCATTGATTGAAGGCTGCTTCCGTGCTTTCACCAACCTTGTGTTCAAACAGCAAATATCGCTCCCTTGTGCAATTGGGGCTCAGTTCTATTAATCCCTCGTGTCTGGACTGCTGAATGGTGACAAGTATAGTAGGAAGAACTGAGAATTTGCTTACCTGTGAATTCCTCTTCTGTGTGTTTTGATGCAGCGGACTGAAACCACAATCTTTTGACAAATAAAAGATTGAACTCAGTTTATTCCAATGGTTTCCAAAAGGAGTTCTAGCAAACTCTGGAAATGTATCAGGAGTCCTTAAATGAAGAGATAATTGTATATATAGTGTCTTACCAGCACTGCAGCTTACCCATCTCTTAACGATCCTTTCCAGAAATGTGTAGCCATGTTAGATTATTTTGTTGTTCTAGGACATACTGATGGATTTACTGGAGACATATGAGACCTAACAGCATTTGTGGTCAGATGACTAAAGCGCAGGATTGACAGATTAATATGTTTCAGTTATCTTTGATGGATTCTTTGTGTAACGTAGGCAAATTTTTCACCCAAGAAAGCCATTTACAGCCATAGTCCAAGTAACTGAGCCTAATACACAACCTTGTCCAGCTTGTTCAGGTTTGCCTTTTACTCATCAGCATCAACACAGCTGTGTCAAACAATATTTTATTTTTAGTTGGAATTTTTTTACTGTGAAATGATGTAACTTGTAATAAGGGTGCTGCAAAATTGAGAGTGTTGGACCTGGTAGATATGAGTTCTTGTATAAGCTGTAGATGTGATGACTGGCCTCTAGTGTACATCTCTGTCGTTCATTTGCAAAAATGGGAGTAATAGTGCTAGGTCTCTCATTATTGGGCTGAAGGCTGGAGATGATGAAGGCTATAAAATAACTTTTCCACCTTTAGAGTTACAGCAACAGCTATTCTGCTTCTCTGTGTTACCTTGACTTTTTCTCCTAACCTCTATCTTGTCAAATTTCACAGTGATGTGAACTCTATGTACCTTTCGTCCACGGAGCCCCCAGCTGCCGCCGAATGGGCCTGTCTCTTGCGTCCTCTGAGGGGGAGGGAGCCGGAGGGCATCTGGAACTTACTTTCTATTGTTCGGGAGATGTTCAAGAGACGGGACACCAATGCAGCCCCTCTGCTAGAAATTCTAACAGACCAGTGCCTGACCTACGAACAGGTACTATTATATATATTATTTAAGGCATTTATACCATGACTTGTGAAGAATTCTGAGGACAGTCCACAAAAGTGATTTGATTCACAGTGCGTTGGGGAGGGGAAGGGCGTGATGACAATGTAGTAAGCCTTGGGGGATATTGAGGTATCAAGACTTCTTGACCCAGCTGTGAACATCCTGCAGAAAAGCAGTGCAGTATTATTTTTAGGGCAGATACTTTTTAGTAAGGCAAAGGTGTACTTCCCTTGATGTCTGTTAAGCGTGGAATTATGTGTCTTGACATGTCTGCATCCTCTCTCTACAGATAACCGGCTGGTGGTACAGTGTAAGGACATCTGCATCCCATAGCAGTGCAAGTGGGCACACTGGTCGTAGCAACGGCCAGTCAGAAGTGGCTGCTCATGCTTGTGCAAGCATGTGCGATGAGATGGTGGTTCTCTGGAGGCTTGCTGTCTTGGATCCGACCATCAGCCCTCATCGGTAGGTAGTGGGATCAGACCTTAATGAAGCTGTAAAATGTGCCATCTTGACAACCAGCCCATTAATGGATCTATATCTTCTGCGTTTGAAATATTTAGGTTTGAAGTAGTTACAGATCCAAAACATGCAGAGGGTGGAGGGAAGATTGCCATCAAAACTCCCATACTGTGTTCCCATTGTATCCTGTGCTTCTTTGGCCTTGTACAGCTTCATAACCCTCTATACTTCTGATACATAGTGATGGTGGATGGTGTTTGCTTATCATACTGTTGGGTTTTGCTACCAAGAAAAGAAGATTATATTAAAGCATGAAAGAGGGATCAATTTGTGGTACTTGTTAAAAGCTTGCTTGGAGACCTCTGAATACCATATTAGCAAAGGATGGATGCAGACACTGTTTACAACCCTCAGAGTTACTTCAGTGGGAATGAGAGCACATGCGTTGCCAGCATTTTCTTTATTAAAATATCTGACGTAGCAGGGGTGGGAAAGGCCCCTGTCTGAATCTTTGGAGAGTTATTTTGAGGCAGAGTAAACACTATTAAGCAAGGTTGTCAAATGGTCTGTCTATGTACAGTGGTACCTCGGGTTACATATGCTTCACGTTACATACGCTTCAGGTTACAGACTCCGCTAACCCAGAAATAGTGCTTCAGGTTAAGAACTTTGCTTCGGGATGATTACAGAAATCGTGCTCCGGTGGCGCGGCGGCAGCAGGAGGTCCCATTAGCTAAAGTGGTGCTTCAGGTTAAGAAGGGGCCTCCGGAACGAATTAAGTACTTAACCCGAGGTACCACTGTATAAGACAGCTTTATATGTTCGTGATCATCTGAGGCTTAATGCTGTCTAATATAAATGCAGTCAAGAGTATTAAGAAGTCTGAATTGGCTGCGTAACTCCTCATCACAGCTTAGTGATAAAAGTAACAAAGGAAAGTTTGTAAGGAGGATCTGAATTTAGTACAGTGGTACCTCCGGTTACGAACTTAATTTGTTCCGGAGGTCCGTTCTTAAGCCGAAACTGTTCTTAATTTTGCTAATGGGGCCTCCTGCTGCTGGCGCACGACTTCCACTTGCATCCTGGGGCAAAGTTTGCAACTAGGGGCATCCACTTCCTGGTTAGCGGAGCTCGTTACCCGAAGCATTCGTAAGGAGGACGGTACATAACCCGAGGTTCCACTGTATGTCCGATGGGGCGCAAACAATAAATCTGGAAATCTTGCTTTGTAGCTCCTCTGTGCCACTTACATGTTCCTTCTCCCCTGTGATGCTAGGCGGAGAGATTTGTGCACACAGCTGAGGCAGTGGCAATTGAAGGTAATAGACAACGTCAAAAGGGGACAGCACAAAAAATCCCTCGAGAAACTGTTCCAGGGGTTCAAGCCAGCTGTGGAAGCTTGTTACTTCAACTGGGAGGAGGCCTATCCAATTCCAGGCATCACGTACAGCAATGCTGACAAGAAGAACTCCTTTTGTTGGGTAAAGGCCATCCAGCAGCGAAACTGCCGACCGCAGTGTGGAGAAACCATCTGTGAGGCGGGGAGAGCTCATGGTCTGGATGTTTCAGGGACGTGCTTGCAGCTAGGGGATCGGTCACGCCCTGCCTCTCAGGAGCCCGCTGTGCGCCCCAAAGAACTCATTGGGAAGCGGAAAGTTGTGTCTGAAGGTCCCCAGCGGGTTCTGAGAAGACTTTCAGCCGAAGGCGATAAAGCTGCATACAAGACGGCTGTGAACAAGGGCGGCAAGCTTCCAGTGGGAAAGACCTTGGCCAGCAAACATAGCGGGAAGCGTCGCATGAGTAGCGAGGACAGCTCTCTGGAACCGGACTTGGCCGAGTTGGCTTTAGATGACAGCAGTTTGGCCCTTGGTGCCGAGGCTAGCAACACGTTCAGCTTCACAGACAGCCCGTTGAGCAGAAGTTACAGGGATACCTTTGAGGATGATGGTGGGGTATATTTCTCAGAGGCAACTGAGCCCACCCTCAGGAGTAGTCCATCCAGCAAGAAGAACCCAAAGGACCCAGTGGGGGAAGTGGGTAGTGGAGACGATGACATTCCTTGCCCCGATGAAAGTACTGGTGGGGTGAGTTTGAAGCCCAAGGAAGTGGGGGAGAATGGTGCTGCTGGAGGAGGAGGAGGAGAAGAGGAGGAAGATGACTACCAGGTGTACTATCTGAATCCCCAGGAGGTTGCTAAGGAAGAGGATGACAAGGCTGAGGGAGGGGTAGAAGAAGAACAAGACATATTTGCTGGGATAAAGCCCTTGGAGCAGGAAAACCGCATGGAGGTAAGGGGAGCATGTGTGTAAAATCACCTACAAAAATCTGTCTGTCTAGGCTCCTGCAAATGTATACAAGTTCAGGGAAGTTCCAAAGCTCACCTCCTGCTTACAGTCAAGGGATAAGATCTATAAAGCCAAGAGGAAATGTTGTGTGTTGTGTGTTGTGGATTGTTTCTTCTGTCCCTCCAAATAATTGATTGTAACGGTATGTTTTGGAAAAGAACAGGATATGTTTCAGTCATATTTCACATTTTAACGACGTGTAGCATTTATGTAGCATTTTTTGAGCAACTTTGCATATGTTACTCGTTGCAAACAGCTCTGTAAGGTAGCTTAATGTTATAGGGAAGACCCCCTGCCTCCTGTCCAGCTGTAGAGCTCACACTTTGTATGCAGAAAAAAGGTCCTTGTTCCAGTCCCTAGCATCTCCCTTTAAAGGTGGATCATAGGTAGCAGGGCTAGGAAATACTTCTGACACCGTAGAACTGCTGCAAGGCAGATTAGGTGGACAGTGCTGCGCTATGAAGGCCAGTGGTCTTCTAAATCAGCAGCGTACCTTGTTGTCATAGTTGCAAATGTGAGGCTAGAGTAGTGACATGGTTGCAGCCGCCTAATGAGGTAGTTGCTGAGGTGGTATTTAACACAGAAACTTTCTGGCTCATTGTCTTGGCCAATATGCTACAACAACCATCTATGCCCGTGGCAGTACCTATTCCTGAGGTCTTTGGTACTTTGTTATTTGCAGGAGATTTTCCTCCCTTATCGCTCCCTTATCGCATAAGAATGCAACTCAGTGATGGAAATAAAAAATAAAGAAATAACTCCTAGGCTGAGTCTTGGGCCTTAAATTGTATTCTGAAAAGTCATCCCCGAGGCAGTTTGTTGAGTTTTTACCCATAAATCTAAACTCTGTATTGATGATCTGAAAAAGCAAGGACTGGATCTGTTCTGTTTGCAACCCTTCATTTACAGATCCTGTTTGCATGTGCGGAGGCTCTCTATGCACATGGCTACAGCAGTGAAGCCTGTCGCCTCACAGTTGAGCTTGCCAAGGACTTGTTGGCCAACCCTCCTGATCTCAAAGTGGAACAGCCCCCAACCAAGGTACAGAGCTGCCATGGGGACTGTTTGAATGGAAGGGGGAAGTGTAGTATAATAGCAGGACAGAAATGGTTTCTCTTTCAGAGCTGTGCTTTGCTGTGGACAAATACTGTATGTAATATTGCCCGGAGTCCATGGCAATTTTCTTTGACCTCTTTGCCCAGCTCTTTAAAAAAAAAAAAATCTGTAAAAGTAACTCAGTTCATATAAACTGACATAGTTTGCCTAAGGTGCACTCTTGCTGAATTTTTCTTTGCTGACAGAGATTTCATAATGACTAGAACCGTGTTAATTAAAGAGTGTGTTGAATTCTCAGGATCCTGAATTCTGTAACCAGTCCCATTTGTATCTAATCACAAGATAGACCAAGTGGTCATAATTTTAATGCTTCACACAGTGGAATTGTTGTTCTATGCAGATGAACTCTTGCAGAAAAGCTGAATGAATTCATCAGCTGCATCAGTTTTGATTGTGGGAACTATTGGATGCATACTCATGCCTCAGCTGCTTTTTTAATGGAGATGTCCTGTGAAATCGAGGAGACCAGATAAATTTCTAGGGCCACCTGACAAATTACCAATTAGCAAGTCACCAGGTTGGGTTCTTAACCATGAAATTACTAATCTCCTAATTAAGAATATGCAACTTTTCATTAAAATCAGCCTTCTTAATGCGGTTTGAAAAGTTCAACAGCACAATGTAGTTCAGATCTTTTTATTAAGTGAGTCAGAAAATTACAGGTCTGTTACCCCCCCCCCCCCAGTTTATTCAGGAAAAGGCTATTAAAGATCTGTACAGCGGTACCTTGGTTTAAGAAAAGCTTAGTTTATGAACAACTTGGTTTAAGAACGCTGCAAATCTGGAAGTAGGTGTTTTGGTTTGTAAACTTTGCCTTGGAATAAGAACATGTTTTGTTTCCTGTTGAGTGTGTTCCATTTGTAAATTGAGTCCCCCGCTGCTATGGGAAAGCACGCCTTGGTTGAAGAACGCTTTGGTTTAAGAACAGACTTCTGGAACGGATTAAGTTCGTAAACCAAGGTACCACTGTATAAGCAAACAGTCTAGCTGAGGCGGAATTAGTAGGGCTTCTGCAAAGCAACTAGACAGTACTAGATGACCATTTATGCTGTATAATGATTGATACAATGTGAGCTACAACAAAATTAAAATGGTGGCACTAGAAAATGTAAGGGATAGCACCCTTCACTGCACTGGAATGCAGAACTTTTTTGGGCCATATCAACACCGGATTCTTCCATGAAGTTTCTGGATTAGCATTTAAATCATGATGCTTAACTTTCCACATAAACTCAGATGGGACTTAAAGTGAAACTAACTTAGTCTGTCAGTTTCCCTATGTTTAAACTGTTTATCCCACAGGGAAAGAAAAACAAGGTATCCACTAGCAAGCAGACATGGATGGCAACAAACACCTTATCCAAAGCTGCTTTCCTGCTGACTGTGCTGAGTGAACGGCAGGAATACCACAATCTAGCCTTCCAGATTGGCATGTTTGCTCTGGAGCTGCAGAGGCCGCCAGCGTCTACCAAGGCTTTGGAGGTAAGTGTGTGCTTAGATAGACTTTGATGTGACGTTACAGAAAACCAAGGTCAGGGAGTTTCCTGGTAGCCCGTGGGTAAGAGGCAGCCTTTAACTGTTAGCCACTGTTGCTTGATCTGGGAAAATGGAGGCTCAGTGATGTTCTTTGTGCATCATTTAAAGCACTTCTATGTTACTTTTTTTATCCAATGTCTCTGGAGAGAGGCCCTGTGGATTTGTTTTATTCCTGGCTTTTGTGTCACACATAGGTAAAGCTGGCATATCAGGAGTCTGAAATTGTGGCCTTGTTGAAGAAAATTCCACTTGGCTCTAATGAGATGAAGACTATTCGGGGAAGAGCTGAAGAGCTGAGGGAAGGAACCCTGTGTGATTACCGCCCTGTCTTGCCTCTTATGCTGGCCAGCTTCATATTTGATGTCTTATGCACGCCAGGTAAAGCCCTTCAGATTTGTCTAAAGAAGAGGAATCTGTACATGCCATATCTTTGGGAAAGGGTGTATGATGACTTGCTTCTCTTCCTAAATCTTGAGGACAGACTTCTACAGAACAAACTCCATAGTCCCATGCCTTTATAGAAGCCACTTAGCCCTTGTATGTGTGAGATCATCCTGCGCATCATGAATGTGGATCTCCAGTACTGACCAAACTCTCATGCATGAGAGAGCTCTGGAGGCACTTAACTCAGTTGTATGGGCTGACCTTTTACAACTGACACATATAAATGGAACCTTCATTTGGGCTGAGCTCTTACTTGATTAATCTCATGGACCACATAGCTGTCCTGCCCCGTCCAATGTCCGGAAGCTTCCTTGAACCCTGCAGTTACATAGCAAGTTCAGGGACTATGTCCATATTCTCAAAACATACGGCCAGTACTGTCAGTCAATACTGAACTTCTGCTGCAGGTTTTGCCCAGGTAAACCACCGGATACAAGAATAAATTCCGTAGTTTTCAGGATGGAATTTTAAGGACATAAACACTTCCTTGTGGTGACTGAAGTCCTGTTTCCAGCTTTACTATACTAGCAGCCTTGCCAAATTCATTCATTCTACTTTGTAACTCCCCCCACCCACCTTTTCCTTTCTAGTCTTTACAAATATCAAACCTGTGATTAGGTGTAGGTGAACTCCTTCATTGTCTCCCAAGACAAATGGATGCCAGCAGATTAGGTGTCTGATGCTTTTGTGGCCTTTTAAGAATACTTGGTTGTGTTAATTTAATAAACAGATTTATTTTATAGAATAGAATTGAGCAAAATCCCAAGATCTCGGTCTTGATAGAGGTTAGTTTACATTAGAAAGCAATGCTTTAGACTATTACCTTCATAATTCTGTGAAATTTTTACCAGTCTAGGCAATCCTTGCATGATAGAGCTGGCTATTGATTTGCCATCTTTCTTTTTCCCAGTGGTTTCTCCTACAGGATCTAGACCTCCAAGCCGTAATTGGAATAATGAAATGCCTGGAGATGAGGAGCTAGGTTTTGAGGCAGCCGTCGCTGCTCTTGGTGAGTGCTTAGCTTCTCTTTCTTATGCCAGGCCTCATCTCTCACTGATGAAGAGATGTAACTTTGGTCATCCTGCCAAGTCATCTAGAACTTAATTTTTCTTCTTAGCTTAATATGTAATGGTAATAAGGAGAAGCCTGATGCCTCACAGGGAACAGATGTTGCTATGGGGAAGCATAATTGATGGTTTATTACTTAAATAAATGGAGAGATTATATAAAACAAGCAGGATAAATGTTTGAATTCTGTACTCTGCCTTCCAGGCATGAAGACGACAGTGAGTGAAGCAGAGCACCCTCTGTTGTGTGAAGGCACCCGAAGGGAGAAGGGAGATCTCGCTCTAGCCCTGATGATCACTTACAAGGATGACCAATCTAAGCTAAAAAAAGTATGTCCCATTTGGAGATTCTCAGACCTTAGGCTGTTTAATGGTATCTGAGCATAGTGCATTTTTTTGGTTTTCATCATGCATTGTAGTAGTTTCTCTCTCTTTTAAATTTTATTTATGCATTTTACATATCTTAATACATCAGTTATACAATTGCCATTGTTTATCTTACTCTTCGACTTCCGTAGGGTCTTATTTAGTCCTTTTTAAGCTGCATCTCCTTTATTACCACCCTTCTTCTACTTATTTTAACTGTTGCTCATATATCTAACCCCACTTGGAAGCTTATCTGATTGTTATATTTCTTTAAATATTCGCCAAAGTATTCCCACTGTTCTTTTATATTCGACTCACCTTGATTTCTTACCTTGGCAGTCAGCATTGCTATCTCCACGTATTCTATTAGCTTATTCTGCCAGTCTATTTTTGGGGGACTATTTTTGTCCTTCCACCTTTGGGCATAAATTATTTTGGCCACTGTTATTGCGTAGAGGAAAAGACTAAGTACTTTCTTGGGTATTTCCGCCTCTACTATACTCAGTAAGAACATCTCTGGTTTCTTGGGAAATGAGACCCTTAACATCTTTTTTTATTCTGAGTATATCATCTCCCAATACTTTTTGGCTTTCTTGCAACCCCACCACATGTGTATAAATGTCCTTTCAATCTCTTCACATTTCCAACATAAATTGGTTCCCTTTTAATACATTTTTACAAGTTCACTAGGGGTGAGATACCATCTATATATCATCTTTTGTAGGTTCATTTTAAGAGTATAGCATGCCGAGAAGTATATTGTTATTTTCCACAATTTCTCCCAAGAGGCCATATCTATGTTAAGTCCTATGTCAATCGTAGTTGTTTCTCAATGGCACCTGAAGATAGTGGATCAAACCGATTTCCTAAAAGGATTTTAGATGTTTATTCCTGGTAGTGGGTATGAATATGTTTGTAAAATTAATAAACAAAAGAGGTTGGGCTATTCAGTGGTATGGCAAACCGCTTCCATCTTCTTCTTGCCAAAAGGACCTTTCTTCTTGCTTCTTTCTGCTTCTCTTGATTGTAATAAACTTAATTCCCCCCTCTGCAGTCTTTGGAGAACTCCCCTGTTCATATTTAATTCCCCATTCCCACTCTCCTGACATTTCCTTTGTTTAGATGCTAACTTTCATGTTGTTCCACTCTCTGTTTAAAGATCTTGGATAAGCTGTTGGACAGGGAGAGCCAAACACACAAGCCTCAGACTCTAAGTTCATTCTACTCGTCCAGCAAGCCCACAGTAGCCAATCAGAAGTCTCCTTCCAAACATGCTACCCAATCAGCTGCGCCCATTCAGCACCTCCCAGGAACACCTGTTACGCAACAAGCAGGGGTAACCACTGCTGTCCAGAGCAACACTTCGGAACCCTTTTTGGAAAAGAGCTCTCAAGGTATGACTTACTGTTCCACAGGATCACAGCTGTATTCTAATTACCCGTGGAAGGAGAAATGAAAGAAATGGGCTGCTGTCAGTTTTTTTTTTCATTTGCCTGTATATTTGTTCTAGTCTCATAGTTTGTCAAGTTCTTCTGCTATTATGCAAGTGTGATGCAGAATAAAAAATGAATGACACCTTCCTTGCCTTCACGGAATCCGATTCTAATTGCAGTGTGCATTCATGATTTCTGTTTTTCTTTTCCATGTGGGAAAGAGAGGGGAACAGTACTGAAGCCTGTGATTATCCACTACTGTCTCCTGTCTGCCAAAGTTGCACCTGCCTATGAAATCCTCCTCTTCCTGTTGCTGCTGTTTTAAATTGCCACTTCTTGTGTTTTCCCAGATAACCCTCAGAGATCTCCTTGTGACCCACCTATGGAACCCAGTGTCTTAAAGCAAGAAGGGAAAGTTCCTAGCCGACTAGCCCTTGGAAATAGAGGTGGCTACAATGGGAGGTGCTGGGGTTCCCCAGTCAGACAAAAAAAGAAGCACACAGGTAACTTTGAGCAGGGGACACATAACTTTCTGCTGTCTCATTCTGCATGTTTTACATTTCTGGAATCACTTTCATGCATGTTAAATTGTTTGCTCTTTGTTGCACATTTTGAATTGAATTAATATGGTGAACTTGTCTGTCTGCTTGTCTGTTAATATCCTAATCTACTGTCACCTCCAGTATTTCTTACTGAAGCACAAATCTTCCCTGGTGGGTCAGCACACTCAGTGAGGAATTCTCTGCTGCCAAAGTGAAGTTGGCCTAGCCCTCTCATTAGTTACCCCATAGCTTCATGGACTGGGGTTTCTAACCAGCTTTTAATGGTTACTAGGCTTACCTAAAGCAGTTCAGATTGTTTAAAGGAGGTAATCAAACTAATAAATGCTTAGATTCTGTTTTAGGTTTATCGTTATTCTTTTAGCTCTCTAGTACAGTTCCTCCACTCTGAATTCATATAGAAGAATATGTGCCTGTATAATTTGTGACCCGGCTTCCATACTTGTATCGTAGTATGTCAAGTGCTTATTGTACTCCCAAGTGAGTTTTAATGAGCCCCCAGTGGGTCACTATGTAAGGCCGCATTTGGCTTGCTGGGTTGCAAGTTGTGCAGGCTTGGATTAAGACTGTTACATTTGCAAAGTAATTAGTGGTGTGTGTATAAAGTGGTGGACAGGACTCATAATTAATTAAGCTATTTTCTTTATTTCTTTTTAATTGGGTGGAAAATAGTGGATTCTCCCATTGTTAAATTCTTTTAAAACAAAATTTTTAAATATTTAACCTAAGAAGTTAATTTTTTTCAAGATGCTATTGGCATGCACTAACCACATCTTCCAGATCTGTCAATCATATTTTTCCTACCGAGAGGACAACATTTCTTTTTATCTTGACTTACGCTATAGAAACAGAAAACATTTAGCTTCTCTCTCTCTTTTTTTTTCTCCCCTCCCAACAGCGAAGGACAGCAAGCATAATGCCAGTATAAATATGTGGCATGGCTACATACAGAATACTGTGTACAGTTCTGGTCACCCCATCAAAACAAAAATAGGTAACTGAAAGTTAGAGGCAACCACATTACTACTCTTTACTATGCAGAAAGAATACAAGTTGGCGGTCTTTTAGGTGGGATTGGGGAAGTAGTTGGGATGTGACAGTGTTTTATAAAATGATGAGTGGCTGGAAGTGGAAGGTAGACTTCTTTCAACACTAGAGCTTGGGCATATTCCTTGAAGATGATTTTAAGTAAGTTTAGGACTGCCAAAATCAAGTATACATTATATAATGCATAATAGAGCTAAAAGATGGCCTCTGGTTTAGATAGCTTTAAAAGGGGGTTAAACAAAGCCTTTATGAGACACTTTGCCTAAGAATATTAGACATGATGTTTAAATGGAAACTGCAGATTCAGAGGCAGGATATACCTGAACATAAGAGTTGATAGTGGTCCTTTAGGCCAACTCTCTCCTCGATGCAGGAAATCCTGAGCTTAGAGCATCCTTGCCTTTGCTTAAAGACTCTCAGGGAATTTTAGCTCTCTCTCACCCCCTCCCCAGCAACTGGTTCCGTTCTTGAACTGCTTGAACTATCAAGAAGTTTTTCATCATCTACCTTCCTCTTGCTTAAGTCCAGTAGATCTAGTCATAGCCCTCTCCTGTGTATTTGGGGAGTGCTATCATGGTCCCCACTCAGGCATCTCTTCTCCAGGCTAAGCGCACCCAGTTTTTCAACCTTTCCTCATAGAACCTGTTTTCCATGCTGCTCACCATTCTTGCTGCCTTCCCCTGCACCAGTTGCAGTTTGCCTAGACCCTTCTTAAAATGTGGCACCCAGAACTGCACACAGTACAAATGGTATTCAGGCATAGACTCAAGATTCCATTTAACTACATAGGCTTTGTTAAGCCCTACTCCCCCACCCGAATACCTCACTTTTCGGTGAGAATAAAGCAGCAGATGCCTGTTGCTTTTTATTTCCTCCTTGTGACCAGAGGCATCTGGCTGACTGCTGATGGAAATGTAATGCTGGATTTGACAGATGTTTGCACCATTCAGCCAACGCATAAACACTGGCTTACTTTGACTGCAAACCAGCACTTTTGGTTTGTTTCTCTCTAAACAAACCATGATGGCAAGCCAAAGTTTGTTCTTCTCTTACTGATCATGGTTTGTTTGGGAGAAATAAACCACGAGTATCGCTTCATAAATTGCAGGGGTGGCCAGCTTGCAAGAGACTGCAATCTACTCACAGAATTAAAAACTGGCAGTGATCTACCCCCATTTTATTGGGGTTCAGGTCAAAGCTTTTCTGGGGGAGGGGAAAAGCCCAATTTTAGGGGATTTGGGAGGCATAATTTGCTTAGCTTTGGGAGGGGGTGCGAAATGTTTTTACATTATTTTGGGGTCAAAGAAGGATTGCAGGGGGGGGGGAAACAGCCTCGGTTTGTAAACTCCGTCTTCCGTTCTCCAACAATGGAGGGCGAGGGTACAGGGCTGGAAGGGGGCCAGCGATTGACTGCGATCGACCAGTAGATTGGACATCCCTGGTATATTGCAATAAGCCAAGGCAGTGGTCTGTTGCTCCAAATTCAAGGAAGGGCAGAGTGAAGCAGGACCAATTCAGCATGCTGCTGTAAATTCACTTAGATAACCTGAGGAAATTTTACTTGTGGCCTGAAAATGGGCATTTTCTGCTATTGCCCCCTCACTGTGGAATTCCCTTCCCTCAGCCATACATGAAGCATCATCCATTAGTTGTTTCAGACACCTTGTGAAGACATTTCCTTTTTATCCATGCTTTTCCTGACCCAACATGCTGCTTTACTGTTTTTTTAATTATACTGCTTCATAGTTTTAGTGTTGCTTTTGTGTATTCTTCTTACAGATTTTTAAATATTAGGAGATTTAAATATTAAGTGGATTTAAGTAGCGTGTCCCCACGGCAGCTTGAAAGCAAACCCATATAAAAACGGTGGACATCAAATACAAATAACAGTAGAAATTACAAAAGATATGACAGCAAGTGGGCAGCAAACCAAGAACAAGCTAAAACCAGTAAAAAGAACCTAAATACTGTTCAAGGCCTATAAGAATAAGTCAGGCTTCTCCTGTTGCCTAAAGGTGAATGAGTTCTTTGGGTGAATGTGCCTAGGGAGAGTTGCAGAGCCCAAGTACAACTAAAAAAAAAAGTCCTCTCTCAACGTAGGCACCTGCCTAACTTCTGAAGGTGGGATGACGAAGGGCCTCTGAAGATTATCTCAGCTGACAAAAGGGAGAGAACAGTTCTTAACATGGCCCAGGCTGTTTAAGCTTTAAAGATTTGTTCTGGCTTACTGAAAAGATACTCACTTCTACCACATTTTCAGTAATCCCCAACACACCTGCAAAAAGTAAGATAGTATCCCTCACCTAGTAGGTTCATGGCTCATATAAGTTTGAATTAGTGACTTCTGAGAGTTTGGTATATCAGCTCTCTAGCTTTTCTGGTCAGATTACATCTCTAGGTTCTGACTTACTTGAAATGTTTCAGCTTGTTTTTTGGGATGGGGTGGGGGGAGAAGAATGTTCCCTGTTGTAAAACTGTGGTTTTGTGTACTGCCGACCTGCTCACCTGCTGCTGTGCCCTTTGACTGTGGCGTTGCAGGAATGGCCAGCATTGACAGCAGTGCTCCAGAAACCACCTCGGACAGTTCTCCAACCCTCAGCAGGCGGCCTCTGCGGGGAGGATGGGCAGCCACTTCCTGGGGCAGAGGGCAGGACAGCGATAGCATCAGTAGCTCTTCCAGCGACTCCCTGGGCTCATCATCCTCCAGTGGAAGCAGGAGAGCTAGTGGAGGAGCACGTGCAAAGACGGTGGAGGTCGGCAGGTAAGAGCTGCTGTCTGTTTTCCAAAGTTGAGCATCTTTTCAGTATTTGGTCCTCCCAAGGATGAGATTGTTGGATGAAGGGAAGTATATTTAATAAAATAAAATATCTTCATTAGAAATATATCACAAGCAGGCTTTTCACCCAGACCCTGCAATCATAATCTTTGTGTGCAGGGGGACCAAGGTGAATAAAAAAGTTTGGGGGGGGGGGCAGCAATGCCCACCAACTTTGGGAGGTTTGGTCCCCTCAAATATTTTCTTGGAGTGGCTGAATGGAGATGGGATCTCCAGGGAGGCTCACCTGGGGCCTTTGTTACATATATTGAGGTCCCTGGTGAAAACGTTCCTCTTCAACTAGGCATTTGGCTGATTAACATTCTATGGCCTTTTAAATGTGTTTGAGGGATGGGGGTTACTGTTTTCATTTTGGTTTTGTTTTATTATGTATTTTGTGTTCTCGTTTTGTATTTTTATGTTCTGAACTGCCTTGTGATCTTTGGATGAAGGGTAATATAATAATAAGTTGGGAGTCTCAAAGGGAGAGCCAGGCAGAAATAGACCTAGAAATTCAGCAAGTGAACTCACGATTACTTTTTAGGCCGCACTCATTTTGAAATTATAAATTAAACGAGTGCTCCTTTGATCACTGGGGTCATATGACAAGAGCAGATAGTGAAGTATTCTCAGTAGTGGCCCAGTTCTTGCAGAGTTTCTTCTCTGGAGAGTCTGCAAAGTCTGAACATTTTATCTTTTGGAAAACCCACAATATGATGCCTTAACTGAGCTTCCTTTCTATGCTGGGTGTGCAAGTTTAGTCTTAAGTTCCCTTCATACATATTTCACTTCGTTCCTTTCAGGTATAAGGGCAGGCGTCCAGAGAGCCATGCTCCTCATGTCCCAAATCAGCCCTCGGAAGCAGCTGCACATTTCTATTTTGAGCTGGCCAAGACAGTTCTCATCAAGGCGGGTGGAAACAGCAGTACTTCCATTTTCACCCACCCATCCTCTAGTGGCGGCCACCAGGGTCCTCATCGCAACCTCCACCTCTGCGCCTTCGAGATTGGTCTCTATGCACTGGGGTTGCACAACTTTGTCTCTCCCAACTGGCTGTCTCGAACCTATTCCTCCCACGTCTCTTGGATTACAGGTAGGAACCAGGTTTGGTTTTTAGGAATCCTTCCCCAGAGGGTGACCTTACTTAGCTACTAACTTTTAAGAACTCATGGCTAAATTTGCTAGCACAATATGTATAGTTGAGTTTACAGTTTGGGAAGCCTCTGGGTAATGCTTGACCATAGAATAATGGTGCCAGAAGGGATCAGGTTGCCACAGTTGATTGCTGTTGATTGACAGCAAGCCTTGCTTGCCAAAGAACAATCAGGACTGCACTTTAAGCCAGTCAGTGTCTCATTTGCAGTTGTGTCTCTAACTTCCCCACAACTGACATCACTGATGCTGTCAGGTGTGGTGCAGGTGAACATGGGTTTTGGGGGGGGAATGGCCTTGTGGGGCAAATTGGGACCTATGTGAGACCTAATTTGGCCAGTGGTTGGAGGTTCCTCACCTCTGTTGAAAAGAGTTACATTTGTAGCCCTTTAGCAAATGTCTTCGGTGTCCTCTGCTTTTTGACAGTCACATGAAAGGAAGTTTCCAAGCGCTACTACAGAACTCATAGATTTTATATATAAATGTATTATTTTATCTGCTGTGGGGTTGATTAGCCAGAGAGAGACATGCAGCTTGCCCAGAGCCATCCCAGGAAACTCAGGAGTAAAAGGCAATTTAATCCTGGCTTTCCTGAATTTGGGTGCATCAACTTTCTTTTAGGTTTAACTTTGTCTTTATATATATATATAGTGCTTAATCTCACAAGGATATGGGTTTCTCTTACATCACTATATTGTGTTGCCTTCACCCTTCCTCTTCCCTGCTTTTGTTCCCCTTGTCGGCATTTCGAAAGAGGGTCTTTGTACATAGGAGCATGATCCCTAGTGTGTCCAAGTGTAAAATAGCTTGCAATCTTTGTATTTGTTATAAGCACTCAAGAGAAATCCATATGTGGCTTTAGCTAGGTAAGAATGAAATATGAAATATGAGTTTAGAAGCCTTGATGGTCCAGCACAAGAGCTTCCAACCTTTCTGTGCCCGGAGACACATATGGAGTTTCCACAAATGGTTGTAGGTGCCACCACAAAATTGCTGACATGGAGAGCTTTGCCAGTCACAAAATGTCTGCTGTGGCTTCTGGGAAGCAGCCGGGTATCTTGCCGCTTCCTTTTTCCTTTCAAAATGCTTTCCTGTCTTCCCTCCAGGTTACTCTGCTTTTTGCTTGGGTGGCAAGATCAGCCTAGCGAGCTAGAGAATTTGTAAGAGGAAGTAGAAAGGAGCAATGCTTCACCCACTTCCTCTCTCAGATCTCTTCAGATCACTGCAAACAGGAGGAAAAAGACAACTCCTGGTGAAGGGGAGCAATGGGGGAAGAGGTTTCATGGGTGTTTGGAGAGGCGTTCATTGGTGCCATTGCGCCTATGGGGCACCACATTCAGAGCCCAGGGTTCAGTAGGTAGATGTTTGGCTGAGTACTTGGGAGACCTTTGAGTTCAGATCCCAGCAATGGTCTGGGCAAGTCGCATTTTCAGTTTCCCAGTTGCAAACTTGGAAATTTGATGAAGTTGGGAACCTGGGAAGCTGCAAAGGCAAACAAGGTAAAGATTGTAACTTACTTTGCACATCATAAATAAATATTTGCCCCTATTAATAGTGTTAAGATCTGTGTTTCACTCTGTTTACAGAGCTTACAAAACTCAAATCTAGCAGAGTGCTTGCTTTTCCACTAGTAGCATAAAGGTAAGCATCATAGATGGGAAAAACTAACATAGAAGGGAGCTCAGGTAGAACCACTTGCACTACTGCAAATGGGTTTTTCTTTTTGCAGAGGCAGACTCCTGACAGCTGGAGAACAGAAGTCACCTACAGACTATTGAGGCTCCTTTATATAAGGAGTTTATTGCTGAAAGGGTCTCTTTTGGTTAGCTTACCAATGCCAGGATATTTATATTACCAGCACTGCTTTATGAGTGCTTGCTGTAGTGACCTTAATATACATCTAAGCTTTAATTTATTTGTTGCAGCCTGCGTTTATTGCATTGCATTTCTCTCTAGCCGTAGTGCTTACAACCCCCCACCTCCATGTATGTACCTGCCAATTCAGGATATTCCACTCTCATCCATGAAAGCCTATGCCAAAATACGTGTATTGAGTCTTGTAGGCACCTGAATACTTTGTTGTGCATCCTCTTTTCTCTGGTTTCTAGGGCAAGCCATGGAGATTGGCAGTGCAGCCTTGAACATCCTGGTGGAGTGCTGGGATGGGCACCTGACACCTCCAGAGGTAGCATCCCTGGCTGACAGGGCTTCCAGAGCTAGGGATTCCAACATGGTGCGAGCAGCCGCTGAGCTGGCATTGAGCTGCTTGCCACACGCCCACGCCTTGAACCCAAACGAGATCCAGAGAGCCCTGGTCCAGTGCAAGGAGCAGGTGAGCAGTTCAGAGGTCTCTGTTGATGCTGTCAGGTGCAATTGGGTTTGTCTGTTCCTTCTTTTTGCATTTAGTGTTGCAGTCTTTTAGTGTTTGCATTTAGTGTTGTCTGAGGTCTTTAAAATATTATATTAAAAAAACTGGACCCCCAAAATGCTAGAGAGATAAATGTTTTAGATTTTTAAAGTCAGGAGTTTATCTCCAAAAGAACAACTTAAATAACTTCCACTACTATAAGTTATTTTGTGGTATTCCAAAGTAAAATAAATTTATTTTGATCCACTACATTTTTTATATGGGGGCCCTTATATTTTCTCCATACACTCATCCAATATTTTCTGTATTAGAATTTGTCCGTTAATGAAATATGGACCTTACACTTCAATATAGGTCTTTCTGCTTTATAATGCAGCCATATGCACCTAGCTATTGTAACAGCCTCCTGTGCATAGGCATGTGCAGGGATTTTTCTCGGGGAGGGTGAAAAGTGCATATTCCTAATACAATGATATACATATATAAATAACTAGCACCAGGGAGCAAGTTTTCCATTTCTGGTAGATCTGCTGACTGAATGGTGATGAGACCTGGAGAGACCTGGCCTCTTAGAAATTAGCAGAACATGTCTTACCCCTCTGTTGCTTTTCATGCTGTTCATTGACTTATTGACTTGGCACCCAGATGACATACACTGCCACTGCCACTCACACCTCAAAACCTCAGTCCTTTCAATTGGCTCTCTGCACCCACTTCAGCCATTAATTGCACTGCTTCCACAATCAACTTCACACACCGCATTTTGCCCCCCCCCAAAAAAATCCCCATTCTAGGATAAAACACTAGGTTACACTTTAAGGTTGTCATTCACACACTCACATGCCAACAAGATGGGTATAATTGGGTTACCTTGCAGGGCTGGTATGTCAGCCATCTAGTGATGTTTTGTACTAAATCAAATAAATAAATAACACGCTCTTAGCCACATGGGTATAATAATGATAGATTTTATCTGCATAGACACCGGCAGGGATTTTTTTTTAAAAAAAAATGTTTACAAACTCAGGGGTGAAATCACTGTTTTTTTGTTTTTTGTTTCTTTGAAATAAGATTAGAGAGAAAAAAAATGAACCTCCATCTTTGCTGTTATTTTTTGCTCCTGCTTACCTTTTACCAACTCACAGTTACAGTGAAATCCCAGATACCTGAAGGCCAGCAGGAAAGACTTAAAAAGGAACCAGATCTTTCTATATAGACATATATGGGACATGTCATTCTACCCTTCTATTTGTCTGCTTGGTTAGGTCTGCTTTCTTAAATATCAGACAGCTATGACACTCATTGCTTTCATTGGCTAAAAACACTGAAAGGCAGGAGCAAGTTAGTTTCCCACAGGAGAGTTCATGCACATTCTGCCTTATAACTTGGGTTCTACAAGTGCTGGAGGGTTTTGTTTTTAAATAAAAGCTGGAGATCCAAGAAATACGACTCCTCCCTGCAGACACCCATGCTCCTGCAGATGCCATCTGGAGAGATGTGGGTGGCTATCAAAGAGGGACCCTTCTTGATAATAATAATAATAATAATAATTATAATAATAATAATAATAATAATAATAATAATTTTTTATTTATATCCCGCCCTCCCCAGCCGAAGCCGGGCTCAGCGCGGTTAACAACAATAAAACAGTACAACAGTACAACACAACACTCTAAAATCATTCATTATAAAATTAATTCAACTCAGACCAATGGCAACCATTGGGCCAGAGCTCCGCGAAGATTGCCGCAGGAGGGAGTCAGGCTGTGCCCTGGCCAAAGGCCTGGTGGAACAGCTCTGTCTTGCAGGCCCTGCGAAAAGATGTCAAGTCCCGCAGGGCCCTAGTCTCTTGTGACAGAGTGTTCCACCAGATCGGAGCCACAGCCGAAAAAGCCCTGTGATGTGGCATCACACTTGTGGAATGCTCTTTCCAGACAGGGTTGGCTGACGCCTGTCTTAATACCGTTTTTGTCCCAGGCAGAGCCTTCTTTATTTTATTTTACCAAGCTCTTTAGGTAGAATTCTATAGGGTTGACTGTTTGGTTCAGAGCTATTAGCTTGATTGCAATTACACTTTAATTGTAAATTGCAAAGGGCAGTATAGAACACCTTAAATCAGCAGTACCTTTCCTAATATTACAGGATAATCTAATGCTGGAGAAGGCATGCTTGGCAGTAGAGGAGGCAGCCAAAGGAGGTGGTGTTTACCCTGAAGTCCTGTTTGAAGTTGCTCACCAGTGGTACTGGTTGTACGAACAAACTGTTGGTGGAACTCTTGCTCAGAGAGAGGGAGCCACAGGCTGCAGTGCAAGTGGAGCCCGGGCGTCCTGCGAAGCGGTGCGTGGACTGGCAGATACCAGAGTGACGTCAGAACCCACCACAGTGACTGTCGCGGCTGCGGTGACAGCAGCAGCAACGGTGGTGCCTGTAATTTCGGTGGGGTCGACAATCTACCAGCAGCACACCATGGCGGGGCCAGCAATGGCGCATGCGCACACCCAGGGTCTGCACCCTTATACAACACTCCAGACCCACATCCCTTGCAGTCCTCAGTATATCGGGCACCCTATCCAGCACATGCCACGCCCAGCGGTCTTTCCTGTTCCTGGCTCAGCTTATCCCCAAGTAAGTTATCTTTTGTAGGGTAAGCATCTCGGGGGGGCATCTTTTTCTGTCATCCCTAGCGTTGTGGCTTAGCTGAATAGAAGGATGGCAAGCTGGATTATTTAGTTTTGCTGGTTTCAGTGTGGGACCATAACGAAAAGGGTGAAAGCACAGCACTAGGATGTGCCAAGGACAAAACCTGGGACCCTGTGCATGCAAATGGCAGCTGGAAAAAGCCCCTGTCCAAGCCCTTAGAGTCACTTCTAGTTAGGGGCAGTAATGGGTTAGAGGGACCAAAAGCCTGAATCTTTGTATAAAGATGCATTTTTGGTGGATATATATCTCATTGTTGCTTTCCCTGTTTGTGTCAGAATTATTAAATTTGTACTAATTTACAAATGGTTAGTATTTACTGATAAATCTCACATTTTCTCATAAAAGTTTATGGGGGTGGGGAGAATGCCTAAGATAGGCATAGTGGCTATTTTGTCTCCCGTCACATTCCTCCCCCTTGGAAGAATTTTGCTTAGAATGGCCCAGTGAGCATGGTGAGGGTTCTAGGCTTTCAGGAGTTGGGTTGGAAATGGCGTTTTCGGTACTAGATAGTTGGGTTGCTTGGAGGCCCCTCCTGAAAAACCCTGCCTTGTGTTTTGGGCGCAAGGCAGGGTTACCCTGTCCTCTTCCTTTGCAGGGTGTCCACCCAGCTTTCATTGGAGCACAGTACCCATACTCGGTCACTACCCCGTCTTTGGCAGCTACAGCAGTGTCCTTCCCGGGAGTGCCTGTCCCATCCATGACGCAGATCGCTGTGCATCCATACCATGCTGAGACTGGGCTGTCTCTGTCTTCCAATGTAGCAAGTGAGTATTTCAGTCTTGCTGTGTCTTGCGGGAAATAGGCTCCTTTAGCATCCTAGCTGAATGGTGGTTCTAGTTTTGCTGAGGCTTATGGAGCTCACCTACTGTGACACAGGAATAGGGGTGCTTTTTTGTGCTACTGTGAACCCTGAGACATGTAGGTGTCTGATTTATGTGCAAGAGGAAATCTGCCTCAACAGAATCCCTAGTCATGATGTCATAAACCTTCATATTGTTCTGAAGCATATGAGGAAGGAAGATGGCAAGATGAACACAAGTGACTTTTTCTGTTAGGTTTCCTTGCACGCTTGAGGGGGGGCGGGACAACTGGTCTCTGCGCCTCTACAATGCAATCTCTGGGTGCATACAACATTTTTAAAATTTGTTAAGGGTTTCATTTATGCTTTAAAAAACAACCATATACACCATGTTTAAAATGAAAACATACTGCCAGCACAATCCCTTTATTCTCTTAGGAAATTATGAAAATTATGAAAACAGCGACTATTAGGTAGAATCCTTAGGCTACAAATGAGAAAGAGCCCTCCATGAATAATCCTTAAAACTTCTCAGGCTTGGGAGTAAACAGCTTTAAGCGGGACTTTCTTAAAATTGACCTGCAGTGGTCTGTAGCAGGTGGGATGTTTGGTCTACCAAACATGGTATAGCTATTACTAGGTTTCCAAAGATTGTGTCATGAAATTGCACATCTAAAGAAAGGGGTGGTTGGCCTGTGGGTGCAATGACCCCTGTAAGAAAGTCTCTTGGTGTAGACTCAGTGTCCCCTTCACCCACTTACTGTCCCCTGACTGCTAGCTTCCGCCCCCCCTCAAAGTGCATGGAGTTGTAGGAAGAAGTTGGAAGAGTGGTTCTCTTTCAGTTCTATATTTTCCAAGGCTTGGATCAGCAGCTGATTGGCAAGCAGAGTGACTGAGAGGGTAGGAGGGAAAGGGCATTAGTCTGAGAGACTGGGCAGAAGAAAATGTGAGTAGCCTGCAGGGAAGAAGTGAGGCATCACAGGAGTCGGGAGAAAGAGAATGGAGTGCCAGGGAGGGAAGGCAAATGTGTAGCCAAGGTGAATGCAGTAAATAATAATAATAATAATAATAATAATAATAATAATAATATAATATCCTATTGAAATCACAGAATTTTTTAAGGGGGGGCCTCCCTTCATTAAATCACCTCGACTGAACTATCAAAATCACTTGTGGTACTTTCTAATGCTGCCATGGCATAAAAATATGAATCTAAGGGATGGATCTTTATGGACCCTCATAATTTTCCATAGCCACCTTGAAATCATAGGTCACCTGTGTGATTTGTTGTCAACCTATGCTAGATCCATGAGGATCAATGTTTTTGTGTTACTAGCAAGCACTGGCTCTGAGATTTTTAACTGTGTAGTCTACCAGTATAAGCTTTCATTCAATAGTGATTGTTCAGGGGCCTTGTGTAAAATCATGCAAATTAAAGGCGATCTATTTCAGTTCTGCTGGATCTAACTTCTGCTTAGAAGGACTCATTAGAAAAGTGACATTACGTGTGTGTCCAAGTGTGCACATGTTTTCTGTCTGGTGGGGTGGGGAGAAATAGAGGGATCAGTGCCTGCAGAGTACTCCCATAAAAATCCAATTGTGTCCCAGGGCCCCAAACAGTTGGTGTCGCTTATTTCATCTTCCCCAATTATTCTACTGTTGATGTAAAGACTGTCCTGATACATTACTTGCTGGCTTCCCATTGTCTGCAAAGGGAAACGATGCTGTAATAAGATTTGGCTCTTGGGAACTACATTATAAAGCCTGCTCACAGAGAAGGCAAGCAAGTGAGCCTTCTTTAGATTTTCTAGGACATGTACTTCTGGGTCTACTTGCTTATGTTTCCTCTGTCTACCGTGTTACTACCAGAGTTAATATTAACCCCACAGGTATATGACACAGTTTGGGGCAGGACGTAGTTGGCTGAAGTGCTATAGCTGTTTGATGCCAATATTCCCCCCTCCCCTTTATACTGTTGTTTGTTTTCTCCAGTAGGAAGTGTTCATGCAGGGTCTACATTCCCAGCGATTCAAGGGACTTCTTTGACGAGTTTATCTTCTCAGCCCAGCTCCCTTGTCACAGGCGGCTTTCCTTCTGAGGATGAGCAACACAGCCAGCCTGCAGGCAATCAAGGCGTGCATCACCTCCACTCTGCCTACCGAGTTGGTAAGGACAGTTAATTGTGGCTCTTGCAACCCTCTCACCTGAAATTCAGGACAGGGCTACTGTATGTGAAAATTGACTCTTGTGCCAAGGTCAATTGGGAAGGTGTGCAAATTCTCACGTGATGAAGTGGTTTTAGACTGTTGTTTGGTTTAGGCTGGAATGCATAGCCACAAGTCTTACAAGCCGATCACAGAAGCTTGCAGTGCATGAATATTTTGAGGGAATGTAAGTGGGTTTGGGGGATGGAATCACAGTGAGATGAAGTGTGCCAATCAGTAATGTGAGTGCACCAGCTGTCAGCAGTCCTGAGGCAGAAATAGTCTTTGAGGAAAGATTTCTACAATACTGAGAGGTTCATAGGACTGGGGTGAACGTTAAAATGGTCTTGGTGAGTAGATACAGGAGGGTTGTTGTTTTTTTGCCAGGCTGGGGGCGGGGGAAGATGCATGTTATGAATCTAGTGTGGAGTGAGCCTTCAAATTGATTCAGAGAGAGATGGAGTATGAGGATGGATGCTTGGTAGCTGAGATAGTCCCTTTTACCTATGTATAGTTGAGTCTCTGGCACGTAATGCACAACTAGTTCATGTTGTAGAAAACATGTCACACGTTTATAACTACTCAGGTTCTCCTTGAGGTTAGTGTCCTCTGGAGCTCAGAGTACTTGAGCCCTGAGTTGCTTCCTCTTGCCTTCCAAGTAAAATAATTGCAGGGCAGGGAGCTTGAGTTCAGTAGAAAACTGGGCATGGACGGAGCCAGCTTCAGCATCATCAGGTCTAAGTGCCAGGGCCTCTGAGGATCACATTAGGAATATCAAGCTACCTCAATACCAGGAGCCAAGGAGAGGATGGTAGAAACCAGTGGCTTAAAGATCCCTGCAACCCCACCCCATGCTCTTGGCAATCAGGCTCAGGAATCTGGTCATATAATTGGACAGCTTGGCATTACACCTGGGCCCAAGCAAAGTATAGCTGTTGGGTGCATTCAGGATCTCCCTCAGGTACATCAGTCTCAAGGATGCCAGCAGCTTCTCTGCTTCATTATAGTGATAATAATCTGCCTCCTTTGTGTCCCTCATGATTAGTATGGCCCATGCTGAGACACTGACTGTGACAAAAAGCCAAGGGCTATCCGGTGTTTCTGGGGGTAAAGCAGAACAAGCCCTTCTGTCTGCTTTCAACAGGCATGTTTTGTGCAGTTGGGAGTCTTTCATGGACCTGTGCCCTGTGGGCACCACATGTACAGCCTTTATCTGAATTTTGGCACCTCATTCATAAGCATTCTGGTACCTTGCTGTGCCAGACAAGCATAGTTGAGCTACTGTCTTGAAGAGGTTCTTGATTCTCGAGAAACCAAACTTTGATCAGGCAGACTCACCACTGTTGGCTGAAGATATTTTGCTGCCCCAAGTGGAGACCAAATGCCCCACTCTGCTGCATTGCAGGACTAGCACTGGGTCTCCCATGAAATGGGAGGAGAAACTATTGCAGATGTCAGTGGAACAAAGCCCATGGTCATGGTGTGAGGTAACTGGGCTAGAAATGACAGGCTTGTAAGACTCAACCATGTGAACCACCTTGTTCAATATGACCTGTTCTGAGCAGAAGACATGTGTAAGATAAGCCTTGATTACTGTTCCAAGGAGGGAGATGGAACTCCCCTCAACCTCTGCTTTGTGATGAGTCCTCCAATCTCTAAGGTCTTGATACCAGGTGCCCATCCTTGACTGCATTGGTTATGAGTGACTGCCAGGACTTGGTCACATTGAATGGTTCACACCCTGCTGGTGTTGCAGGGCTATTGAGAACTTTGGTTTTCAAGGCTGATAGTGGTGTTTAACTGTAATGTCCTGGATTGATTACAAAATGGATTATCTTGCAGATTCCTAGAAATCAAAGTTGGCCCCTTTTGGAAAGCCTATAGAATGGATGTAACATAATTCCAACTGTGTGCTGAGGGTGGGGATCCTAAACAGCCTATGTGGTGTTATTTTGGGGCACTGAACAAAATAAAGTGTACAGTGTCATATAAAATGGGGATTGGAGGAGGAATAAAGTTCCTAGTGGCTACTGGAAGGTGAATGGATGCGAAGAGTTTGCATGTTTCAGTGATTTTTGTAAAGCTGTCTCTTTTTGCAAAAATAAAAATTTAAATACAAATGAACCAACCAACGATACTTCTTTTTTCATCTCCGCCTACTGCACTCTAATAAAATCATAGTAATTACAGGAAAAGGAATTGATCACTGCATATTTATATGGAACAAAGAATGTTAATTGGGGGACTCGGTCACTTATTTCTTAATTTTACTATGTTAACACAGCCTTCTGGGCTATCTTGATTATCCTTCAACCTTAACCAAGTATCCCTCCTAAGTAGACTATACAGACACCTGTAGGGTTCTTGGGGTGTGAAGAAGAAGACACACAATGAAATGGAAAGGGAGCAGGGGTGAAGATCCATCATGTGTTCCCTCAATGCCGTTCAAAGCCTCCGTTTGTCAAGGCTCACAAGCAGTGCACAGTTTGCTTCCTATCTCTAGCACATAATCTCCTATATTGGAGTTTGAAAGGGAGTCCAGCTGGGGTAGAGCGTGTTGCTCTCTGCCTTTTGCTTTGAAAGGAAGGTGAAGGCATGCCTTCCAGTCCTGGCTTTGGGCTGACATCCAAATCCTTGGGGCATAAGATATATCTGGGATGGAGCAAGTTGTTACCCTTTACCATTTAACACTGTGGTAAAATGTACTAGTCTAGGAAGTATCCCCCAGGTAGGTGGGCTTGTAAGATGTCCAGAATTTGGGGTCAGCCTGAAATGTTCTGGCTTGCCCTGGTCACAGTGTATCCCTATACTACTCTGGACTAGGTTTGTATTTACTTGCAGTTGGATTCCCAGTTGGCCATATTGAAATTGATTGCCAGTGAGAACCTGGGCATTTTCAAAACTCCTTAAATATGGAGAATCCAGACTGTCCTGAGTTGCTCTCCATATTGTGGTTGGTGTCCTTATCCATTCTATGGCAGAATGATGTAGAGGAGGGGTTTGTGTCACTGGAGTCCCCTTGGAAATATTGTCTCCCTGTTTTGGCTGTTGTCACAGATATGAAAGAGTACAGGAGCAGAGGGGGAAGCCTAACACAACAGAGAGTGTCGTTTTGCATAGGAACTGAGGGCATAACTGAATGGTGAATGTTGATGTCTGTGTTTAAACAAAATGAAAAATGAAAATAAAAAGTCCCGCTGGCTTTCTATTTGTTTTTTTTAAAGCTGCTTTTGAAAGAGCAGAGGAAGATGTACATTTGTGCTTCCCCCCACCCGCTGCTTCTCAGCTCCAGATCGTTCTGCAAGCTGTCGCTTCGTCTTCTCCCAAATCCACAGGGATTACAAATGTTGTCAACCTTTTTACCACCTTGCAAAGATAAGCAGAGACACCATTTGGCATAATTGCCATCTCCTAGCTCATTTCTATGAGATGGTTGCGAATGGGTGGGCACCACCCCTCTTAAGTCTTGTGGGGCTTAACTTGGTTGTCTGAAATTTTGAATTTGCACTTCCCTGCAGGAATGTTAGCGCTGGAGATGCTTGGCCGCAGGGCTCACAATGACCACCCCAACAACTTCTCACGCAGCCCACCCTACACAGAAGACGTGAAATGGCTCCTGGGATTAGCTGCCAAATTAGGTAAGGCCCAAGGCAGAGTAAAGGTTCACTTAGTCCTAAGGCAACATTTTCCACCAAGCTCTTCTGCTTTTCGTGTATCTTCATCTGATTGCCCAAACTGTAGCAGTGGCATTGATTCTAGAACTGGATAAAATGTGGAAAATAAAATTAATTCGCAAAGAGAGACCACACTAAATATCGTAGCTTCTGATCCATAACAGAAGACTTATCGCATGGAGATGTAAATGACACCAAAAGTGAGCAGCTTAAAGGGTTTTTTTAGGCACTGCAGGGATGGCTAACCTTTTTCGGGCCAAGGACTGCATTGACCCATGGTCAGCTGTATGGGGGTCCCAGGTGTGGCCTATGGTATGGGACCCCCATAAAAGTGGCTACAAGTAATTCCCCCTTTTAAAAAAAATATTGGGATTTTTGATGGGCCATAAAAACATTCTGGCATCACAGCAGGTAACTTCAGGAAGTACGAATAATTCTGTTTTAAAAATAGAAAAATTGCCGGACTGGGGTGTTTTTTTAAGAAAACAAAACAACTCTTGGCATCATGATATCAGAGTGAGAGACCTGGAGGAGCAGTAGAACATAAAAATACATAGGGGTGGGGAAGCAAAAAAAAGCTTTGGGCGTGTGGATAAGGCCCATGCATTAGTCCAAGTGTAATTTAGAAATTTGCTAAAGTTCTATAAAAAGAAAAGCAGTGTTTGTGGATTACTCTTATATTAGCTAGATTCCTCAATACTTTGTTTTAATGGCTGGTAAGTGAAAAGTAAGGCTGGCAGATTCTCCCTTGTCTGGTGTGTGCTCTGGCTCATTGTAGCTAATTTGTAGATGCTGTGCTCTGCCCCTTGCTAAGGAGGAGAAGTAGTTGTCCTCTTGGGTTTTCAGTATGCTTTGCCTGTTCTTCCTACTCAACTGCATCCACCTTTATTTTTCTGCAGGTGTCAACTATGTGCATCAATTCTGTCTTGGTGCAGCCAAGGGGGTCCTGAGCCCTTTTGTGCTGCAAGAGATCATCATGGAATCCCTGCAGAGGCTCAATCCTGCCCATGTCCACAATCACCTGCGCACACCAGCCTTTCACCAGTTGGTACAGAGGTGCCAGCAGGCATACATACAGGTACGTATGCCCCTTCCTTTCCATTGGGTCAATCTTGCTTCACCTAGGTGCTCCTTGCTGCTCCAGAAAGCATAGCCACACCATCATCTAAATACCTGCCTGGATAACGTGAAGGCTGTTAAGTCAAAGCACTTGCAGGTGAAGAACCTCCCGATGCCCCTTAAAGGCTGGCAGAATGAGATTCTTCATTTCTCATTTAGTGTATGTGTTGAGAAAACTGAGAATTAAGTCTTTATTACAGTATTGCTTGACTATCTAGATGGCCTTTTGTTTTGTTGTGTTGATCCTGGGCCTCAAAGTCTGCTTGTCATCCCTCCTTTGGGAGAATAAATAAGAGCCAGTGTAGGGCAGAGCTTAAAAGCTGAACGTTGACTCTTGAGTCAACGTTGTTGAGGGATCTTGGGCCAGCCTCTCCCTTCCTCCACAACCTACCTATTATGTAAGACGTTTCTGCCACCAAAGGGGAGGAGTGTGATCAGGTAGAACATGGAAAATGCATTATTACCTTGGAAGGCTGTATCTGAACATCATTTCCCCCTTGTGTCCCCTAAAGTACATCCACCACCGGCTGATCCACCTCACTCCGGCAGACTACGATGACTTTGTGAATGCCATTCGCAGCGCCAGAAGCGCCTTCTGCCTGACCCCTATGGGCATGATGCAATTCAATGACATCCTTCAGAACCTGAAGCGCAGCAAGCAGACTAAGGATTTGTGGCAAAGGGTCTCTTTGGAAATGACCACCTTTTCACCATGACGGCTTGGGGGTGGCTTCTTTTAGCTAGAGTTCTGTTCGTGGCACCCTTCCATACCGGATCTTTTTTTTTTAGCTGTTGGAAACCACTGATTTGATGTATTTATACCAAGGCATTCCTCTTCGTGCAACTGTGACTGTGCTCCACTTCCCTTGTTTTCTTCTCCCCAGCAGGTGGAGTCAAGAAAGTAGTTTTGCAAGTGCAAGGAAGTACGTGGGTGTGTATGAGAGTGTTTTCTGTGTGAGAGTTGCGGGGGTTGGGGGGGGGAGAGGCAGAGTTGTCTGGCTGGCTGATACTTGGCCAATGCTTTCAGCCCCCTTCCTGTGCAGTTTTCTAAATGAGGGTGTGTGTGTGTGTGCGCGCGTGTGTGTCTGCATGTTAAGGGCGTAGGGTGGAGCCTGTCCTTTATAATATTTATTTTAGCATTTATAAATATGTATACTACTTTCTATAAGGTTCTAAAAATTTCATTCATCATAGGGCCAGGAGAGGCAAGAGTTTTCTTTTTGCGCAACCTGGGCTCCTCCGTCACCATTCCGCCTGCAGCAACTACCCAGAGGAGCTCAGGCTGAAGCGGAAAGAGCTCCTTCAGCCAGCACTGCCTACATGTTTGGATGGGCAAAAGGCCCCAGAACAGTATTGAGCTGGCTACTGCAGTTTCTTTGCTGCTTGGACTGTGGCCCCAAAGAGTTTTTGTCATCAGGCTTTGTAGGATGTTCCAACCATGGTGGTTCTGAGTTGTACAGTCATGTTACTTTGGCTGGGATGTTAGCTCTCCTGTAATCAATTTCTTATTCCTTGTTTCAGTTTCCTGATTAAAACACTCATTTTCTTAGACTGATTCTTTTCTCCATCCTTCTGTTAATCATGCTGAGGATGCGATAAAACACGGAACTTAAGTCTGCCTGCAGCAGGTTGTTACCTTGTAACATGAATGGTCTTTGACATACACCAGTTTCATTGCGATTCTGCTTACCATGCTAACACACAGTACTTAAGACTGTAAGACATAAGGCAATGAGCTAACCTGGTTAGAGAAAGGCAGGTCATCCAAGGCAGGTTGGAATGTGAAGAAAGGAGTTTGAGCTCTCTTGCTCCTAAACACAGATGGATTATTCCTGACATTGTCCTTTCCTTTCCTGTTTTGATTGTTCTTTACCTATTTGCAATTTACCTTGTTAAGTTGTTTGGGGGCATTTTTTGTATAAAGTGATGAATACAGTAAATAATATTACTAACAAAAATAGTAAAATCAAAATCCTAAGAGAGCCCTATTAGATCAGACCAAGGATTTTCCCCCTTAAGCATCCTATTTCTAACACAGGCATGCTCACAAAATTCCAGGTTGTTTACTGACAGCTTCCCTCTCTGGTAGTTCTGATTCTTCCTTTCACTATTAGTAACTTTGATACTTTGATATTTTTCAAGTAAAGAAGTTTGGCTACTGGCCCTGTAAGGCAAGGAGAAGCTAGTAAGTATTATCCCCCCTCCCCCAAAAAAATACCCCTCTGGTGTGGCGTTGCATACTTCCTAGTCTTACACTATAAAGGAGGCTGTTTTTACTGATAGGTTATGAGAAATAATTGTATTTTTGTAACAGCAACACTTCTAGGAGATACTGTGTATGCTAGCTGGATCCAGTGACGTATGGTTTATCAAGAAGCCCTAGGTTTTTGTCACTTGTGTTTGACATTGTGCTTTCCACCCCACCCCCACCCCCCATGGTGGTTCTGCTCTGGGTTTCTGCCCTCTAAGGTCCTGGTGTTGGTATCTGCTAAATATTTTTTCAAATATTTGTTTTGGCAGAGTTGGTGCTTCCAATAAGCAAGACTTCTACCCTTGGAAGCTGCCTTGCCTTTTTATAGTTTCCTTGGCCTTTGTTTGTTAACCAGCCCATTGAATGGGTTTGTATTTTTCGACATCTGTGCTATGCATTCTGTTTGCAGTCCTGTTAGGTGGTTTTAGGCAGATTCCTGCCAGTGTGGCTCTTTTGTCTCCCTTTCAGCCTTTTCCATTAATCCTCTTAATTTTTCAAAGTATTATCTCTCGAAATGAAATGTCAGATTTTCTTGGCATGTTTCAATTTAAGTTGGTTACTGTGAGTGGTTTGACAGTAGTTGCATCTATCACTTTCCCTAGCATGTGCCCAGCCCGGTTTTAATATGCACCCACCTGTCTAAGTGTTTTTGTGCCTGTGATTATTATAAAAGCTAAACATGGGGCAGGTAAGGCAAGGGCATGCATAAAAGATTTCAGCTTTTCCTCTTTTGTTTGAGCACATTATTCATGGTGGATCATTAATATGTCAGTCTCAACTGTTTTTTGGTGGCCCCTACTGATTAAGATTAAGATTAAGATTAGATTAAGTCCCTTATTTTGCTTCCTCCTATGAAATGCCGTGTTTTTTTGTGATTATAGACTGGACCCTTTTTGGAATTGTGCAGCCTTTCTCAGTGGTACTGCTCTAAGTGCAAGTGCAGCAACACTTCTCGGTTTGTGCAGTTTAACCTTTTTCCCAGTTACAAATGAGCATATTGTGTATGTTATCGCCAACCAGCATATGCTCTCAATTAATAGATATAAACATTGGAGATATAACTTGATGTCGGTATCAACATCTTGCCATTGTAAACGACTGTTTCCTGAGGAAGCTCGTTATCTGAACTTGGTGTGTTCAAATCCTCACAATCCTAATTAGCTGTCTTGAGAGAAGTGATATCTAACTGCCACAGAAGGTGGCTTTAATCAGGGCTTTTTTTTCCAGCCAGAACCTCTCACGTGGGCGCCATTGCCATTCTAAGAGGAGGGAAATGTTGGTGAGTTCCGCTTTTATTCATTTGCAGAAGCTCAGTTTGAAGTGTCAGAATAGCCCCTTCCATTTAGGGAGAGAGAAAATTGAGCTAGTTGAAGTAGCAGGGGGTGCAGGGCAGGTTATCTGGCCACCTATTGTGTGAAAAGCCTAGTATGTTTTTTTGGCACATGCACAGAAGAGGTAAAACAGCCATGGGCCCCTTTTAGCCATTGTGGGGTCCAGGGCGATCTCTGCCATGCAGTGTTGAAGCAGCTGCTTTGTTTCCTTGTACGTTCATAGCTGGCTGTTGTGGAGGTGTGGTATAACCGAACACTAGTCACAGAGAAATAAAGTAAGTACATTTATTGACTCCAAATGCTACGTCTAACCTTTATTTAGACATTGTGCTCAGCTGCAAGAGCCAAGAATTTATCCTTATCATTCAATGTGAATGACATACATGAATCCAGTGCAGGAAGCACAGCACTTGCTTCTCTCTTCAGCCACAGGGTTTTAGCACAACATTTCCCTCTGCATGGTGACACATTGGATGAAATATTATATAATCCATATTATATATTTACAAACAATGGTAAACTGACAATTAAAAATACACAATAACTAAGGCTCCATGTATAAGCTTGGCTGAAATCACGTTCCCCCTCTTGGAGTGGGCACACTGAGTTACCCCGAGGGCTCTTCCTGCCCCAATCAGCTGCTATATATATCCCTCAGTGAGCCTGGCACTTGTTGTGAGCAGCTGCTGGACCACTCTACATAAGGCATGTTAGGAGGGATGGGCAGGACTGCTGTAGCTCTCCACTCACATAGTGGTTGTAATGAGGAAATGCTGAGATTAAAGAGTTGGCTGGAGACCCACGACCTGCAGAATTTGAGGCAAAATGAGTGATTTGAACTGACAACACAGATTTGTAGTCCATCTCATTCAGCCTTGTTAAGATGAAAACGAATAGCCTATTTGAGATTGCTGAATCCCCTTTCCACCCCAGCTGAAAGTTAAGACTGTTCTGATTAGTTACAAGTGAACACTGTTTCTTTATAGTTCATGAATGAATGTGGCACCATCGTATCCCCCCCCCTTTTTACCTGACACGAGGGGGGGGAAATAGTAATCTCTCTCCCATGAGAACTTAACGCAAGTTTCTGCTGCCTTGTTGACTATTTCCCTGCCCTCCTTCCCTTTCCACTAGAATAGGGTTAATGAAATAACTAAGGCTGCAGTCAGATAAATGAAACTTGCTGTCCATTATTAGCAACATCACCCTAACAACCACATAAGGGTACAATATTAAGACATTCACTTGCTAGCATCCTGAGTGTTTTGGACATAAATAGGGAATGTCCCAGTAGCCTACACAGTTGCATGCTTTTGTTTTTCTGTGGAGTCTACTCTGGGCTTTCTGGCACAGGGGAATTATAGCAGAGAAGCATTCCTGTGTCAGCCACCCTAAATTTTTTAGCTAGAGGGCCATGACCGCACAGTGGCTTGTGCCATTTTGTTCTCTGGGTATCTCTCCAATGTAACAAACCATTAATAGGTGAAAGTGCATGGTCTATATAATCAGGCTAGCACACTTCCTGCTCCTGCCTCCAGTTTCCTTTCATAGAGAAGAGATGGCAGCAGTGTGTGTTTTTCCCCAGTGGCTCCCACATCCAGATGTTGGGCAGCACTGACGCCAGCACCCTGGACTTCAGCTCCAGCTAGAATTTTGCAGCTCCTCTCGGAGCCATGTAGGAAGGGGCTGTCCAAACTTGTTCATCAACTTGGATAGTTCAATGTTGTGCTCGCGATAGAAGTCTGCCAGGAACATGCGGGACTGCAACAGTTCCAAAGGGAGCAGAGTTAATGAAGGACCGCTCACAACCATCCCTCCCAATTACATTACTGAGTTGAATCCCACTGGTCTACTCACTGAGGAATCCATGTCTGGATATTTTCTTCCTTTACTTTTCCCCAGGCACTTGGTCTTCCCTCCTTCCAGAACTTGACACCAAAATCCTTTTGCTTCATCAAACCTGAAAAAGGATGCCTGCTTTATATAACTGCACACATGGGCTCTGAGTTGGAGAAATCTGAAGGGCTAGGCTAATGGCTTTCCAATATTTTACTTGCTTTCTAGAGGAAAGGGGCAGAAAGCCGTTTCCACAAAGAAGTAAAACAAAGATTAATTTTTATTTGTTGCAATGCCTTGCTAATATTTCACAAGTGCATGAGCACTCGTGTTTCAAAATTTGCCAGAATAGTTTGGTGATCTGGTGCAGACCTAATGCTGGCTCCTTACAAAATCATAGGTTCCAAATTGGTAGCCACACTTGATACGTGTACCACACTGGTACAACGTTCCTCTTCCCTGGTATTCACCATGGTTTTGTTACAAATGCACTAATGCAAACCAGATTCCCTCAGAACTAGTTCGCAAATGCATTTCTATCCATGGCTTAAGAGTAACCGGCTTACAAAAAGTAGCATGATTTGCATTCGTATATGGTGCAGGTTTGTAATTGCGGAATCCTAATAATAATCATATGTGAACTGTGGCAAGAGGTTAAGTTAAACTGTTGTCTTGAGCTTCATAGGGGGTCTGATTTATCACCGACATCCAGCCAAATCCAACTCTGGTGGCAGGGACAGGTCAATAGCTATGGTTCAGAGCTTTAAGCTTTAGGGCTTTGGTGGGTATTTACAGTGCAATCTAAGGCTGTGTATGGTGGCAGAGAATACAAATGCCTTATCCAGAGCCCTACTAGACTTGAGCCAGCAGCAGGCAGGCAAGGGCAAAGGAACATTTTTATTCTGCGTCCTTTCTTTCAGCTTTAAAAGTTTTTAACATGGAAAACATTGGGAGGGAAAGATTTACTCATGCTCAGGAAAGTGACTAAATACCTCTCTGGTTTGGGAGCCTATTGAGGACTTTAGAGGTTTCAAATCCAAGATGCTTCCTGGGACAAACCCTTTTTGGCCCTACTGATATTGGAGGAGTTGGCGAGGGAAGCCCTGGCATTAGGTCTCTGTCTCTGGTGTCAGAAGGGTAGAATCCCAGGGACTACACTAAGGCTGGGCAATGCCAGGTTTTCAACACTGCAACGTATCACCAGCCAAACATTGTTATCTGTCGCTATGCCACAATGTTGAAATGGAGGACGGAACAAGCTGCATTAGGCCCAGCCAGGGTAAAACTGCCACCGCTCTCACTGAGGCGGTTTCACCCTGGTACCTCGAATGACGCAGTTTGTTCCCACCACCCACCCCAAAGCCTCTCTGGCTTGTGAGCAACACATTGGGGCTTGCTCAAGCCAGAGGCTTTCTTTAAACTCTAAATGGCCGCCCATGCCTCAGCGGAGCAGTTTAAAGAAGCTGAGGGAGGAACAAGCTGTATTGGCCTGTTGATGCAGCTTGCTCCTCCCTCTGCGGCATCAGGGGCAGAGCGCGATAGCAGTAAATCATGGGTGGGTGAAAACTGCCGCTGCTCTTGAGTCCCGCTGGTAGCAGAGAGAGGCTCAGGAGCAGCGTTGGTTTTACCTGCAATATACTGCTTGGTGAAGCTGCCATCATGCTCTGGGTGAACACGCACAGTGGTCTTCAAGGTGGCATACAAGAACGTACAACTCGTAAAGCAAAAATACAGCAGCAGTAAATGGAAATGGAAACACTGCCAGCAGTCCAGATCATAGAGAAGGAAGCTGCTGAAGAAGTATGGGGCCTCAAAACATTTACAATGTATTTACACAAGCAAAGGCAGGCATGCAATCCTTACTTGAGTGCTTGGGTATAGTTGAACAGTGGTGTAACCCCCAGAAACCTTTGGATGTTCTCCATGACAGATGCGGGGCTTTGTCTGAGTTCCTGCCCATCCACAACCAGAACCTGAATTGAAGGAGAAACAATGAAGGTTTCAGAATAAATCTAATCATGTTAAGGCTCCCCACCCCTATCTCAGTTACCGTAGTCACATACAATTAGCAGACAATTCTCCTGCTCATTTTCTATTCCTGGAAGGGGTGGCATAAGTGAGTGGAATTTCTTTAACATACATTTACTACGATTGCAGCAATCAACATATAGATCTTGCATTTTCAGGCATTTGCCTGAAGTCATGAGGGTTAAAAGTGTGTAGCTGATAGAGGTGAATGTGCAAGCCCTACTCGACCTTCATGCATTGAATGCAAAGGTCAAAAGGAGGCCTTTACACACTTTCCGCTGAAATTGCTTTAGAAGCCTCCATGGGGTCAGAAATACTAAAGGCAGGGTCCCCAGTGCTGTGGAGTCTTCGAAGCATGTTCAGTGGAACTTACTTAACACCCACCTTTAAACCTTCACAATCGATACACAAATACCTGAGGGGAGCCAGTGTACTGGGGAATATTGCATGCAGACTTTGTGTATATGTTCCCGCTTCACTACAGACTTTTAGCCCATATAAATTCAGGCAAGCACCTGGAGCATCCTTGGTGGCTAACATAGAAAGCCAAAAGGCACAGTAGATTGTTTTAGTTTCTTTCCAACTGAGTTGACTCAAATATGCTTTTTATAAAAATCCTGTAGTCTCATTTTTGTGAGACCAACACAGCTACAAGATCCTGGTTTATCTATTGTGCAGGTGACTGCTAATAAGGTACTCATTAAGAGTGAACAAAAGCAAACATATAAAGGTTTATCAAAAGCATATAAAAGTTCCCCTTCAAAATACCACCTGCATTGCACAATGTGATTATAAATACACCCAAAGGCTGCTGTACCTGTCCAGAAGGATAATACATCAACCACCTCTCCAGATGAGTGGAATACAATCCAGGATTCAGACAGCGGTTCTGCAGGTTGTGCAACTCCTGAGGGGCTTGGGGCCCAGCAGAAATGATCTGGTAGAAAGTGTAGTTGAGTGCCACAGGGTCGTTGTGAGCACGCTGGTGCTACAAGCAGGTAACGGGGGGAGGGGGGGAGGGAGAGAGAGGAGTGAATTAGCAGCGCACTGATCTTTCTAGTGTACGAGGCAGCATATCTATATACTACATGCACCATCACATCCCGCTGGCCCCAGCTGGGTCCTGCACATACTCCTGCTGTGATGCCAGGAGGAGTTCTTAAGGAATTACCTGATACCAGGAGTATGCTCTGTCAGCTGGGTTGATCAGGATGGCAATTATTTTGGCTCGCGGAAGGAGAGCGGCACTCCGCCTGGGTACTACTTCGGTGTCAAAGTAATTGGCACTTTTCTCAAACATGAAATCTGTGCTGGCATTGGAGGGGATGGGAAAGAACTCCATGTACCTGTCATGTGAAGAAAACCGGGAGAGCATGAGAACAAGGCATGCGTAATAATGGTGATGGGCGTGACACAATGGGAACATAGGGGAGAGGCTAGTAGCTCCTAGCATTTTGCCCTGCCACAGGGGAACACGAAGGAAATGATAGTTTCAGACATGAATGAAAGAGAATGAAGAAAAGGACAGTATTCTGCTAACACAACTCGCACTCTCAACCCCAGTCCCAGTGATTGGTAGTGTTGCATGGGCATCAGTCTCAATATGACACACCTAGGGCACATATCACAGCGGCAGGAGCAAGTTAAGAGGATGAATTCCCTCTGCCCTCCTTCATGCAGTAATCTTATGTATTTGTTATGTCAATCAGAATAATCAAGTCCTGAACCATCATGGTAGACTCAAACTGAGGCTGAAGCCAGGGTCTCCCTCATGACCAGACAAGCACTGCCCATTGTGTTGAAGGCCATGGCAACTACAGTTTGATTTAACAAAGGCAGCTGTAAGACCAGCCAAATAGGCCACTGTTCACCAATGTTACCATACCATTTACTTCAAATCTCTATTTAAAGGTTGACTGAACTCAAAAATTAATGCAGGTTAACATACACAACATTAGGAGGCAAAGCAAACCATGCCAACGGCAACCAAGTTGACTGAAACCTGCACAAATCATGATTTTTAATCCCACTGAAAGGTTTCTGATGAGGGTCAGAATGCCTAATCCGACTGAATCAAAATCCCACTGAAAGTATGTGGGACAGAGTAAAGGCAAATCAGTGAGCACACGAGTCAACACACTTACCAGTCAATTCCTTTGTGATAGTTGAGTCCATTAAAGAACTGGATCTCTTCATAGGTGGAGGGGCTTGGAAAGTTGCTGGTAACAGCTGGGTGCATGGATAGGAAGAAATGCACAGCTGTCGTACCTGAAACAACACAGTGGAAACAAAACTTGTGAGGGATTTGTCTGGGAGCAAAAAGGTCTGAAACATAAGCTGGTACTGGCACGACTGCTACCAACAGCTCTTCATGATACACAGAATTGTTTGCCCTGGGCTAAAGCTGTTGCTCATATTGCTCAACCTGGTAAGGAAAGCCCCAAATATAACCACTACCCTCAGCCACTCTGGCAATTCCCATTTGAGTAGGCAGGGAGCGAGCTTTGCTTCTTTCTGAAGCCAATTGCAATATAATTGATTAAAGTGGAAAGATCTGAAGCGTATGAAGCCACAAACTAGGCCCAAAATGCAAGACCTGTGCTCCTTCATGCTCCCACCCTTATAGTAGCTTTTAACTGTCTGTCCTTGTTTCTATCTTTTTAAGTAAAGTATGATATAAAAGGTAAAGTGATCCCTGACCATTAGGTCCAGTCGTGGCCGACTCTGGGGTTGTGGCGCTCATCTCGCTTTATTGGCCGAGGGAGCCGGCATACAGCTTCCGGGTCATGTGGCCAGCATGACTAAGCCGCTTCTGGCGAACCAGAGCAGCGCACGGAAACGTCGTTTACCTTCCCACCGGAGCGGTACCTATTTATCTACTTGCACTTTGATGTGCTTTCGAACTGCTAGGTGGGCAGGAAAAGTATGATATAATCATATTTTAATTACTAGTTTTTATCCCTTACCAGTTTTAAGTCTTATGAGTTCACTTCATCCATATGTTTTATCTTATGCTGGTCTGTGACCAAAATAAAGTTTGATACTGAAACATTATCATGCAGCTCAGTTGCATAGGTCAGTAAGAACATCCTTTAAAACCTGACACAATCAAGCCTGTAGAGGGCACCACTATACCCTTCCTACACTCAAAGGCGTACTCATTCTTGTTCTACATCTTATCTCAGCTCGCCAGTTCTGGAATTTAATATTAATTGGGTGGAACGGGCAACCCCGAGAAATTCAAGATGACAATTTGGGCAATTGACAACTTGGAATTGCTTCCCCACCACCACCTGACATTTCCCAGAAGACCTAAATCAGCTTCCCGCTAAGTTTTAAAACAGCGACAGAGAACCTCCGTCTCTCGAACTGCTGTCAAACTACAACTCCCATCATGCCTGACTATTGGCTATGCTGCCCAGGTCTCATGGGAATTGGAGTCTAAGAACACCTGGAAGACCACAGGTTCCCCCATCATATTCCAACACAAAAAGAAAAAGGCCACGTCACATACGTATTAACGGGGGGGGGGAGAGACCATGACGTCCAGTGGGTTATGTTACCAGTTTTCTGAGGACCGACGATGAGAAACTTGGGAAGCCGGTCACATGTCTTCTCTTTGGACCAGATGTCTTTATGCCGCTTGTCATCACAAGGGTTCTATATCAATTAAAAAATCACGCATGAGATAATGTGGGGAATAATTACATCAGGCCTGATAGAAGCACTTTTGTGTTTACCCCAGGCACAATCACTCTGGTCTACAGCACATTAAGAGCTTGGCTGGCATATGTCGTAGAGCATATGCTGGCACCAGTGCTCTATTCTGGATGAAATGATGGTCATTTGTTGGTCAAAGGTATTGTGGCAGTCTCCTGAAGGAGTTAACTGGGCGGGAGCATCAGCAAGCCAACAAAGATACGCCCGAGGAAAGAGGGAAAATAAAATCACAACTGCAATGAGGACTCTATTCAATCTGTTGAACTATTTAGCAGTGCATTTTCTCCATAACTGGGGAGGCCTGGAAGTTTAAAAAACTGAGCCTAAAATTCTGACAAAAGGTATCCAATTCTGTTCAGAAAAACCATACAGCATTTTAGATCCCAGAACCACCACTAGTTCATACCTTGCGTATTCCCCACTTAAGGTCTTAACAGGAGAAATACAAACTTTTCTGTAGGAACCAATTCACATCCACTCTGCTCAGAAGCCCTTTATTTATATTAAACTTATACTAAAGCTCCGAGAAAAACTTCAGCTGCAGGCTGGTTGAAGGGAAATTGTCCTGGAATCGCACCTGCCACAGAGGGTTCTTTTCCTGCGAAAATATTTCAAAATACTTTTTCGCCAGCTGGATGGGCGGCAGAGTCTGAAGACGGAGATTGGTCCAGCACTGCACAAATTTGACGAGGCTTTCGAAAGTGTAGAGCCCAAGGCGATCGTTTCCATAATTGGACAAGTGGGTCATGAAGATGCTGATCTACAAACAAAGGAGGAAATGGGGGCATTTGTTAGTGTCAAAATATTGATCTCAATTGGAAAATTCTATCTGCTTTCCACTCTTGTTCTGCAGGGGCAGCATTGGCCAATGAGCATCTTACATTCATACTCTCAGCAGTTGCTCTCGTGTGCAAAATGAAAACAACCCATTGCTCCAAATCCATAGTTCCAATGTTGACACTACAGTGGTGCCCCGCAAGACGAATGCCTCGTAAGACGAAAAACTCGCTAGACGAAAGGGTTTTGCGTTTTTTGAGCTGCTTCGCAAGACGAATTTCCCTATGGGCTTGCTTCGCAAGACGAAAACGTCTTGCAAGTTTGTTTCCTTTTTCTTAACACCGTTAATACAGTTGCGACTTGACTTCGAGGAGCAACTCATAGCACGCGGTGTGGTAGCCTTTTTTGAGGTTTTTGAAGACTTTGCTGATTTTTGAAGCTTTTCCAAAACTTCTTTTGCAGCCATTTGGTAAGTTAAACTTTTAAAACTTTTTGGGGGGGTTTTGGATTTTGGGTTGGGGTGTTTGGAATTCAAGGACTTTGTGTTGGGGAGGGGTTTGCAAGAATCTGGAAGCTTGTGTGTGTTTTTTCTGCATTTTTATGATTTTTTGTGACCATTGGGCCACTCTGCTGTTTTTTTAAACAAAAATTCTGGGTTTGAATTTCTGTGTGGTGGGTGGCTGGGGGAACAGTTGAGGAGGGGTTTGCAAGAATCTGGGAGCTTGTGTGGGTTTTTTTTGAATTTTTATGATTTTCTGTGACCATTGGGCCATGTTTTTTTTTTAAAAAAAAAAAAATCTGGATTTGAATTTCTGTGTGGACAATGCTCCTGCTCATCCTAAAGGCCTTGAGTTGGACTTGTTGGAGGAGTTCAGCTTCATCAGAATCATGTTCCTGCCGCCTAACACCACGCCACTGCTCCAGCCGATGGATCAGCAGGTCATCGCCAATTTCAAAAAACTCTACACCAAGGAGCTTTTCAGGTGATGCTTCGAGGTGACTGATTGCACCACCATCACCCTGCGGGAATTCTGGAAGGACCACTTCGACATCGTCACCTGCTTGAAGATGATCACCACGGCCTGGAAAGGGATCAGCCAGAGAAATTTGAATTGCGCTTGGCGCAGCCTGTGGCCGGACTGTGTGGCACCAAGTGACTCTGATGCACCAGAGTCAACAGTGGTGCAGGACATTGTTGCCTTGGGGAGGACCATGGGCCTGGAGGTCACAGAGGAGGACATCAGCGAGCTGGTGGAGGAGCACGACCACGAGCTGACCACCCAGGAGCTGGTCGAACTGCAGGCAGAGGCTGCGCAGGAGCAGGCCTCGCTGGAAGAGGAGGAAGCAACTGAGGAACGGCTGTCCTCCAAAGAACTGAGGGACATTTGCATGAAGTGGAAGGATGTGCAGGCTTTTGCACAGCGGCACCACCCTGACAAGCACGTGGCACATGACCTTGCGAACACTTTTGATACGAGGGTCATGTCGCCTTTCAGGGAGGTGCGGAGAAGGCGGATGAAGCAGCAGACCATGGACAGGTTCTTCAGCAAGAAGCAAAGAATGGAAGAGGAACCTTCTTCGAGTGGTCCCCCAGAGTCTTAGAAAATGTACTGTACACTTTGTTGATTTTTAAATGTTTTTCTGTCATGTTTAGAAACTTAATTTATTGTTCCTTCAATTTTTGAAATGCTCTTTACAGTATGTGTGACTTTAAAGAGCACTTAATAAACTCTTGTTGTACCAAATTTGGCTTTGTTTGGACTTTTGACCATAGGAACGCATTAATTGAATTTCAGTGCATTCCTATGGGATTTCGTGCTTCGCAAGACGAAAAATTCGCTAGACGAAAAAACTCGCGGAACGAATTAATTTCGTCTTGCGAGGCACCACTGTATTCATGTCCCTTGGGCAGGTTTTCTGAATACTCACCTGTAGCTTGGTTCTTCAATTATTATTATTCATTTGATTCACTTATAACCTGCCTCTCTATAAAAATAAATAAATGAATGCCCAGGTGGCCAACTACAATAAAATCCACAATACAATAATGATGCAATCTATCCAGATGGATTAAAAAGTTTCATTTGAAATCACTGTCTCCAAAGAGTTGCATTCAGTTGGGCAGCGCTACAAAACGTCCGCATTTAAAGATTGCATGCAATCTGGATTCTTGCTTTCCTCAGGAATCCTGCAAATGTCCTTTTACATGCAACACAGTATCACTTCCCAGGGACAATTAATGGTTCAGCAAGCTCCCACAATGGACAAACCAGGTGGGTCTAAACTCAAAGAAGCCTGTCTGAGGACATGACTTTAATCTTACATTGCCATAAAGGCAGGGATTTTGCTGCAGCCGACATTGGCTCCCACAAAGTCCTTGGGTGCTGCCAAACTTAGGGGGTGGGTTGCTCTTTTGAGGCTTGAGACATCTGTTTTGTATGGTCAGTCATAATTCTTTTTTATTTTTAGCCAGATTGGATTCCAAAAATGACTTCAGTGATACCAGGTGCTCATGATCAGACTCAGTCTCTGCAAACTAATGTGGCTCCTAAGCAGATATGCGGTCAAATGAAGACAAAAGAACCTTCCTTTTAAACACACAACCTCTCACCTGGCTAAAGAAGCCAGGTGTCTGCAACAATCTGTGCCTAAGTGACAGTCACCAGATAACAACACCTGTTAACTCTTTAATTAAGAAGTCTGGTGTGGAAAGAACAGATACCTCATCTGTAACGCTTCCCAGCAAAGCTGGCCCCTAGGTAAAAGAACATTTAACAAGTGAGGAAATTGGATAGGGGAGAGGAAGGAGAATTAACAAGGTCATGTATTCAGTTTGATTATAGAGAGACTGGTTTTCTGGCAGGCAGGCCTTGTCTGGCATTAACCAGATCAAGTACATCATCATTACAAGGAGAACCCCAATACGTCTTTCCCTCTCGTCTCCAGTTTCCCCGTCAAATGTGACCATCTTAATACAGAATTCCAAACAAGTTTTGGGAACTAGCAGCAGAAGCCTTCCTGCACTTGGAGGAGGCTGGTGTGACTGTGAGGCATGGTCTGCTGCCAGATGCTTCCTTTCCAGCTCTGACCTTTCAGGGCTGGGGTGATTTTGACACCCAAGAGCACACAGTGCATTGAGAGGCTGACCTGGAGGCTCCATGCAAACCATCACAAGAAAAGCACCCAACTCGCAAAGGCAGCATTCCCATCCAAGTGCTAAATTACTGACAATTAGCTTCCAGGAGAGAAAGGATTACTAAAATATTATGAGGCTGGAGGGGGAATGCACCAGCTTCTCATGGAGGGGCCTCAGGGATTCTAGCAGCTCTGGCTAAATGCCTTACACCTAGAGGGAGAGATCTCCCAAGTTTGTTGCTTTATCACGTTCACCAACACGTTTGGGAGAGGAGTTGATTTTCTAAATCTCTGGGCTCGGGACAGGAGATTGGTCTTCACATGAACACTGCTGCCTCTCAGAAGTGAGCCTGCGTGATTTCAAGATCTGGATTACTCTAGGCCAGGGAATGGGGAAACTTGGTGGCCTTTGAACTGACTACAACTCACACGAGCCCCAGGCGGCATCTTCAATGGTCAAGGATGACGGAACCTATAATCCAACATCTGAAACTGTTTTAAAGGACTCCCTAGGGTGACCAATCCACAACCACTGGTCTTGGGGCCTCTTGGCAATGCTGTATTTTTATTCATGCACGAACTGCTGAGCTCATTAGCACCTAGTGCCATATGGGGGAAAAATATGGGCCCAGATTCAATGATCTCTGATCGCCAGCAAGGGCTGTTGCATTAGCGTAAGGGCAAGAATAATGGTTGCACAACATGAAATCTCAACACTATACTTGCGCTAGCAGAAGTTTGTTGGGCGACCAGTTGTGCAACATGTAGTATTGTATCTGTTGTGCCACCAGCTACAAGAACTATGCTGGCTCTGTGCCCTTCTCTTGTGCATGTCATCGCTAAGGGACTTTAAATTCAGTGTAAGTTAAATTCCCCTCTTTTTGTCTCTAACCCTAGCTACATAATCATGCACCATTCCACAGAGACAGGAATTTTGGATGAAGAAGCTTTGGCAAACAACTTAGGCTCCTTGGAATCTGAGCCACTCAGCTGAATTGCAGCCGCTATCCAGACTAGCCTTGTTAACTACTTTTGAATGGTGTCTGGCATATAAGCAGTATATTAATTAATTAAATAATAACAACAAATCATTCTTTCTCTCTTAATATATAGAGTTTGAACCAAGCTTGTTTTGACTGTCTAAAATACTGTCTAACTACTGCGGTCCCACCAGTGCTCCCGTTCCATACCTTCCCAAACTAGTGGCTTAGAGTGGCAACTGTTGTCTACCTATCATCTGACAACGACACCTGACAACCATTCAGACTAATTACCAACAGGCAAGTCTGATCTTATTCCCCAAGATTCTGCCCCCACCTCATCTAAGCAGCCACGACTATTCCTTATAACTGAACTCAATTATTTTCCCTGGAGATGTTAAAGAACCCAAGTGTGAAAGGGTAGCAATCAGAAATTAAAACAGCGAGCTGAAAATACAATACGCCTGGTGCAGAAGGAACTGGAGGGGTCAAGTGGGAGGTGTGCAACTCTATAGCTTCAGGGAAATGCAAGCAAAGATATGCAGTGACTGCCTTTTCTGGGAGCAGAAAGCTGCATTCATTTGCTGACATCATGGTTTGCTGGCTAGTCAGGAGATCAAACATCCTGTGTTTATACTGCAGAGTTAAACACACACACACACACACACACACACACACACACACACTCCAACTCTTGCACTTCTGCATATACTCACAGGGATTCAAACATCTGTTATGGATCAGTGAGGAGAGGCTGTTTGGCGCTCTTTATTTTAGGTGGGACATCTTTATCAGTTAAAGAGGAAGGAGTGAGAGTTTAAAGTCAATTGGCAAGCAAAGCAATTGGTTCACGGACCAGATTGATGATGAAAGGAGAGAGCAAACCAAGGCCAACAACTAGGGAGTAGGATGAGTTGAGGGGACACAGGACATGCTTTTCGGTATTTGGTGTAAAGTAAATTGCTCACTGACTTGTTTTTACAGAAACATCAGGCTGGGAGGAGGTATTGGAGACTGTAATACATTCTGTCCTCTTGCCAAGTGTAGTTAGCTGGGAACATCAGCAATCCTCTTTCAGCGATGACATTATAGAATCATAAAATTGTGTGGTTGGATGGGACCGTGAGAGTCATCTAGTCTAACCTACTGCAACGCAGGAATCTCATCTAAAACATCCTGCCAAGCCACAGAGTGCTCAGCACTCTGGAAAAATTGAATCAGAAAGTTTTCTTTAAAATGTTCTGGGAAGTTTTCTAAATTGATTGGGATCTGATAGAGCAAGTTTATTTCACCCCCCCCCAAATGTACCCTGTGTTAATTTTACATGCTGTAAAGTATTTGAGATGAAACATTCATCTAGAAAAGAATCAATATGAAAACCACAATGTGGTTTGAGTGTTATATTTAAACAAATACAAAGCTTAACTTAGAAATAATCGTTATTGGAATATTTGCCACTATTCTAAGACATGCCAATTTGATAGCCACGAACTTCCCTGACATTTGAGTGGGGGATAAAAGCACTGAAAACTGCTAGTATGCTAATTTCAGCATACCCAAAGAGCTGTGCATTAGAGTAAAGATCTTTCCCATATATGTATGCGGTGCCCACATCTGAAATACGAAAGGAGGGAAAGTGTGGGATAACCAACATGCTTAAGTCTAATTAATGCATTCATTAAGTCTAATGAACGGATACAATTGCAGTTGACATGGGGAAGTATCCAGTTCATGCACCAGAGGTGGTTTTAGGGTAGCATGACTAGCACTGAGCTGCAGGGGGCACCACAACCATGATGGAGAACAGAGCGCGACAGGCAGAGGGTGCCAAATTTTAGCGCTGCACAGGGCGCTGCTGAAATTTGAGACACCCAAGTCTGCCACTCAGTCACTGCATGGGGGGCATGGAGGAATCATGCTTGCTGGCCTCATCTCTAATTTCTAGGCACCTGCTGCACCCGCCCTGCCACCACCATTAATCCCTGTGCACACAGAGCAGAAGGTTCAGACCAGTTTCTCGCAGGCAGATCTAAAGACTGAACACTTGGAGGGCAGGGACAAAACAAGCGATTGCAACCCTGTTTCCCCTCCAGGCTTTGAGTCTAAGAATGTAGGCTGCCCCTGAGAAGAAGGTTTATCCCTAGGAAGAACCTCTGTCATAGAATCATAGAATCATAGAGTTGGAAGAGACCACAAGGGCCATCGAGTCCAACCCCCTGCCAAGCAGGAAACACCATCAGAGCACTCCTGACATATGGTTGTCAAGCCTCTGCTTAAAGACCTCCAAAGAAGGAGACTCCACCACACTCCTTGGCAGCAAATTCCACTGTCGAACAGCTCTTACTGTCAGGAAGTTCTTCCTAATGTTTAGGTGGAATCTTCTTTCTTGTAGTTTGCATCCATTGCTCCGTGTCCGCTTCTCTGGAGCAGCAGAAAACAACCTTTCTCCCTCCTCTATGCGACATCCTTTTATATACTTGAACATGGCTATCATATCACCCCTTAACCTCCTCTTCTCCAGGCTAAACATGCCCAGCTCCCTTAGCCGTTCCTCATAAGGCATCGTTTCCAGGCCTTTGACCATTTTGGTTGCCCTCCTCTGGACACGTTCCAGTTTGTCAGTGTCCTTCTTGAACTGTGGTGCCCAGAACTGGACACAGTACTCCAGGTGAGGTCTGACCAGAGCAGAATACAGTGGCACTATTACTTCCCTTGATCTAGATGCTATACTCCTATTGATGCAGCCCAGAATTGCATTGGCTTTTTAGCTGCCGCATCACACTGTTGGCTCATTTCAAGTTTGTGGTCAACCAAGACTCCTAGATCCTTTTCACATGTACTGCTCTCAAGCCAGGTGTCACCCATCTTGTATTTGTGCCTCTCATTTTTTTTGCCCAAGTGCAATACTTTACATTTCTCCCTGTTAAAATTCATCTTGTTTGTTTTGGCCCAGTTCTCTAATCTGTCAAGGTCGTTTTGAAGTGTGATCCTGTCCTCTGGGGTGTCATATTTATGTCCTCCCTGAAGCATTTTCAGTAGGTTCCTGGGTGGCAAAACTGTTTGGCAAATTTTTCTCACAAATGCTTCCCTTCACTTTTTTGCCCAACTTTTGCCAAATACACACACCTCAGCTGTTTTCTTTTTCTGTGCTCTTAAGAAAAAAAATAAAATTCATTGTTGACATCTGTCTGTCTGAGGAGACAGCCCGGTGAGAATTAGGCCTCAGGACTTCTGCCTGTGTTTAGAATCAGTGCAGACTGTATTTCCAACTACTTTTTCCCATCCTTCACCACATAAAGCACACAGGTAATCACAAACACTGCCCCCCCCAATGCTGCAGTACTTACTGGGTTCAGGAGCACTGTCAGAAAGAGTTCACCACCGCGAATGCTTTTGTCCAGCTCCTTGGAGCCACCAGGATACTCATTATAAAATATGGTGTGAGTGAAAAGACCACAAGTCTGTCGAGGCAACACCTGGGAGAGCCAGAGGGAGAGGAAAAATTAGAGATGGCCGTGGATTATCCCTGTGAATTTTAACATGCAGCCAACAGTGGGAACATGCAGCCAAAGGAGAAGGCAATTCTATTGGGGTTAGATGGTGTCAACATCATATTTGCTATTCTGCTATCATTCCTAACTGCCATTTTCAGTCCCACTCCAAAAAGAAAGAAAGAAAAAACACACCACTTGGTGTTCTGTGGCTACTCAGCATATTTAGACCTCGTGAGGCTGTTCTGAGGTTTCCTTCCCCACAAGAAATTTTCCTAAAACTTTTCTTGCATTTCCGCAAACCTCATGGTTCTCCTAAGCATGCTGAAAGCACCATCCATGCACAAGAGTCAACTCTTTTGGCTACGTGAGGACTGGCGCTCAAGGGAACTGAGTTCTTTATTAATATATAATGTAAAGTTAAAGGGGGGAATCAATCCAGCCTCTCCTGCTCAGCTGCCCAATAGTGACACAACTGTTGGAGCAGTTACATGGCTCCACTTGGAAGTTCTTCTGTCTCAAATCCTACATACTGGGAATTCTACACTGGTCTGAGTGATTGCTACAAAGAACTGACTGATTTATGAAGGGCAAGTCTATCAGTGGCTACTAACCACAGTGGCTATGTTTTGTCTCCATTGTTGGAGGCAATATGCCTCAGGATTCCAGCTGATGGGGATCACAAGTGGAGAGTACTGTTGCATTCATGCTCTGCTTGCAAGCCTCCTAGAGGCATCGTTGGCCACTGTGAGAACAGGGCTCTGGACTGCATGGACCTTGGCAAAATCCAGCGGGACTCTTTCTTGTGCTCCCTTTGCTTTTGTGTTTGAGAGTTTCAGGGAAGATTAGCATTCAAAATGCAGGGATGAGTACTCAATAAACTAGTGGCCATGTTTCTCCTCCAGATAATCAATAGGGGCTTCATTGTCTCACCATGATTCCATTATGGATGAAGCCCCGCCGGTACCGGGCAGGCCGAAGGTGCGGATATTCCTCTGTGCTGGTCACCTGGATGCCCCAGACAGCTTTCCATGCCTCGTAGAGCTGTGCATGGACAGGGTAAACTCCTGAGTGGTGGGGGGCTACTGCATAGCCTAGGTCTGTGGGGATCCCATGCTCCTGGAAGAAGAACGCAAATGGTAAGAACCCTCTATTCCATGTACTGCTAGCAGTTTGCTGAATGGAAGGAAGGCAGAAATCTCAAAACAAAAAGTAAATAAGTGAGTTAGTAAATCGGAACTTGGGTCTGGGGTATATGACATAACACATTTATACTAGGTTTGTAAACAGTCAATTGCCTGTGAAGAGTAAAACATTGCCTCTAGGCAACAAGACAAAAGATAAAATGAAAGGAAACTTGGCAGAATATTGTTGAGATGGCAATTTTGGGATCAGCGGGGTCAAACTTCTCACGGACTGGAACATCCCCTGTTGAATTTGCTCCTTACCAAAGCAAACTGCTTGTTGAGTTTCATTTGCTCGGCTAGCACAGTGACGTTGTGAAAGAGATGTGGCTGCATGTGACTCCACATGTGCGGGAACCACCAGAACTCCTTCCTATGCTTTAGCAGCATGTCGTCCCCTTCATCTTCCTCATCAGTACCTAGAAAGAAGGGGGAAGGAAGGAAGGGGTGCTCAACTGTCAGTCATCATAGACACTAAACGGCCAAACCAGAGAAGACAACATTTCATTTGCATGAATGGCTTTTAAAAGGAAACAGCAGGCGCCAGGTTCCCATCCACACCAGGGACCTGCTGTGGCGTAGCTGGGGGGCATTAACCCTTTGCCCCACACTGTGGTGCTGATCCAAATGAGCCCCCTGCTTCTGCACCTGCTATCTCCCCTGGCATAAAAAGCTCCCATTCGCTCCATTGTACTGACAGCCCCCAAGAGCTGCCAGAAGACCACTTGGATCCAGTAGTTCCCCAAATCAAAGAATTCAAATAGGCCCCTACCTTTGTAGAGGTTACATGTCCCTGTAAGCCAAAACCCTGCCAGATATTTATCTATCCTGGACCAAAAAACTGCAACGAGGCCCAGAGGCTTAACAAACCTTATTTTACCTGATACCAGGATCCTGATCCAGATCAGACTTTACACAAGTGCTGACTGTGTGGATGGCATCTCTCTAAGAAATATGCAATACAGGTGAAAAGAACAAAGGCAGCTTACCAGTGTGGTAGAATTTCCCAGAAAATCCCAGGTTGAAAGTAAAATTGGGAACCAAAGTCCTCAACTTGTTCTGAGTGTTCAGTAGAGCCTGAAAAATAAGAAAAGGGCGGGGGGGGGGGGGTAGAGGAGGAAACAAACTTCAAAACAGATTCTTAATCAGATTTTTCAACAAGAAGGGCACTTCCATACAAAGCCTACATGCTGGCAGCAATGCACAAGCAGCCCCAAACATTGGTTTCTTAAAGGCTGACCCTTGTCTTTGGCAAGCGTGTTCAGGAGAGCACAGCACCACACACCAGCCCTGTCCCGGGTTCTCTGTTTTTGAGGAGAAGATAGTGCATAGCTTTCTTCAGATATGGCAAACCCTAAGCTAGATCAACTCATCCACAAAATGTTTAGGTTGGCCAGCTGGACCATAGGTTTCCGCCTCAGTTTTTAAAATGTTGTCTAGGGAACCAGAGTTGAATGTGATGATTAACCTGCTATTGTTATTTACATAGTAACTCATGATTGTCTACCTTTAATCTTCTGCAAAGTCAAAAATAAAGCAGGCCAATTTAGCTACCAAAGCATATCCTCTATGCCTTCTTTATGGCTTTATCCTGCAAATAAAAGTCCCATCTTTCAACAGAGATATGCACCTGTTGCCTATTAATCACTATTTTAATTGTGATTGTCAATTGTCAAAAAATTCCATACAATTCAGAAGTGGTTAACATTGTAAAATTTGGATTGTGGTCATATATGCATCAAATATATTTTCTGTAGCTAAGAAACAGTGCCACAGTTTGATTTTTATCACATTCTTCCCCAACACTTTTCCTTATGTAATGTGTTTTTTATGTGGTTATTACTGAGATTCATAAGTCACTCTGGGAGCCTTTTTTGGTAGAAAAGTGGGATTAAAATGAAATGAAATGAAATGAAACAAATAAGCTGATGGAGCAATTGCCTTCTTCCACAGTTGGTTGCTATGCACATTTTGGCAGCTTTAAGTACCCTCACAATAATTTTACACACAGAGTTATTAACCAAGTATTATTTCAGGAGTTAGTCATATTCGACAGCCAGACATATTCATTTATCATGTTCAGAGGATTAGCCTAAAGAAGGCTGTATTACTGGACAGTCCCTGGATATTATTATTATGATTTCATAAAAGTTATACATTGCTTGATTGTAAACAACAACCACAACAACCCTCAAAGTGGTTTACAAACAATAAAGCAGTAAAATCAAGAAGAATTACAGCCCTACTTTAAAACATGCACAAGTTAAAATACTAAAACATATCAAAATTACTTCTAATAAAATTATTTCTAAGGAACAGGGTAGGCTTGTCTAAACAGGAATGTTTTTAGCAGGCTCCAAAAAGAATACAGTGAATCTACTATATTCCCTGCATAAGGCACTGCAATATATCTTGAAATACCGGCACCTGAGAGCAGGAGCATTGCACTGTCCATCACACAAATTGGCACATGCTAAATTACATGTATAGCTGCCTCTGGATAAAATACCAACAACATAGTGAGTAGCTGAGATTTAGATTCATTTATTTGTATCTAGTCAACAGACCACACTATAAGACAAAGGTTTAACAGTATGAAAGCAACACAAGAACTGTACTTTTCAAAATTAAATAGTTTCCTGAAAACGCCGGGGCGGGGGGAGAAATCTGGGGCCTCTTCCTTTGAAGAGGAAGAACAAGATACCTCTGAATGTATATGAGGAATTTTATGAATAAGACGAAAGCCAAGGGGATTCAGACTGAGCTCTAACAGAAACGATTGCTCCCTGAAATAGTGTTCGTCACATTCTGCTACTTGGAGGAGGGTCCATGCTGGAGATATGGGTATGCCCAGAATAATGCCTATGCTTGGGAGATTTGTACTTCCCCACAGCCCTCACCACCACTTGAATAAATAATAATTATAATAATAATTGTATACCACTCTTCATATGAAGAGCTGAGGGCAGTTCACAACAGAAAAATAACAAAATTAGAATGCTTGGACCATTTACAAGGTTTTCTAGTGTGTCTAAGCTACAATCCCCTCATAACGATACCTGATAATTGTTTTATTTTATATTTACAAGTTGATAATGAAGAGCATGGACATGGCTTAAGAGAAACTTAATTTTATTGACTTAAATAATTTTGTACTGCTCTTCAGCCAAAATGAAAAAGAAGTACAGCAACCTTTTGTCATTTCTTGGAAGACTGTTAAGCCATCTAGTCCAGTCAAGAGTTCTGGAGAACTTGAAAGCTTGTGCACTATTGTGCAATATGTTGGTTGGCCTACTAAATGTATTGCCATAACAACAGATTGCCGAACAACACATTTTTATATTACGTAATCTTGAAAATTTAAACTTGTTCCTTTTAAAGGGTACTTTACATTTACCTGATATCATTTTGACTGAGTGAATGCTAGTCTAGCTTCCCTCTTGGATCCTAGTTGCCCTGCTCTCGACAAGCTCCACTTCATCAAAAGTCCTCCCCTTTGAATATGTAGCCTGAACATGCAAGGGCAAAAAGTGTGTTGGGGGCCTGGGATGAATGTGCCACTACCTTAATGTCCACCCCGCCCCACAACACACTGGTCCTGCCCTCTCCACTCCTAGACGTCACACACTTAGTACAAAGTTCAGATGTTTGGCCGAATGCCCTCTTGAAATTTGAAGTTGTGAGTTATCAGGTTTCCCAGTTGTGTGGAGGCTTCTAAGAATGTTTAGCTGAACATGTTGAAGCTGGCATGCTAAGGGATGTTGTAGAGAGAGACTGCCCCCCCCTTTTGTCCTTGTCTACAATCATTCCATGAACCAGCTGAATGAAGCCTGCAGACCACAGTTTGAGGACCATTGTCCTATCCTGCACAATGTGCTTTCTTCTTAATTTCATGTGCTTCTGAGAAGGTAGGGACCACACATTTCTCCCCTATATAATGCCACATACATTCACACATTCCTCATGCAAGTAAAGAATCTATTATAGTTATTTAATACAGGGCAAGTTTATAGTCTCCAGTATTTTGATAGAAGAAAAACTGCCCTAACCAAAATCTGGATGAAAATGCCATGTGTGCCACTTGTAGGGCTAAGAAAAACGGCAAGTGTGCAGACAAATAAAGGTGCTGGAAGTGACACCATCTCATTTCTAAGGGTGTTTCTTGGTGATCTGCAACTATAGTAGTTGCAAACCTGCCTGTTTCCACACCAGGACAAATACGACAAAATTTTGAAGCCTATCTTCTGCCATAAAAGAAATGTTCCTGTTTAGGGTTTCAGTCAGCCATTCCCTCCAAGCAAGATTTTTCACTCGCCTCTCTATCCCACCAGTATTCCTTTTACTTTTCCAATTGTTCGTTTTCAATTTTGTTGCTACTGAGCATGCTCCGTCCTGTTTTGGCTGTTTTTTGGGGTGGTTGGGTGTGGATTGCCCCAACATGGTTTTATTCTTTCTTTTTTTGTACTAAGCAATTGATTCTCAGTGGCCCCATTTTGGCTACAGTCCTGTCAGCACTGGCCACCTGAGTTTACCATTATTGAGCAGTCTCCAATCGCTAGGAAAGTTTGGTGTGAAGATGAGTGAGAAAGAGATGATGCTAAGAGGCTTACCCTTTTGTGCACTGAGGGAGATTTAAAGCCTTGCTTTGGGTTACTATGACAACATATCAGCCAGCTGATAAATCCTAAACAACCCTGTTCCTTGTGGCAGCTGCAACTGTATTGTTGGCAGCTAGTACCAACTAGCCCCCATTCTGATGCTTTCATCCTGGTGTTTTTAATGATTCCCCAAACCATAAGCACCCTCTGCAGGCTCACTGTTGACCTAAAAGAAATCAGTTGTAATCTTAAAGTACCAAGAAGATTCACAATGCATAATCATTAACAAAGACAGGAAAGGAAGCGGGAAATATTCATATGTATACAATCTTCTATCTGTAGGCCATTCCACCTCTTCTCCAACATTCTACAATACTGAACACAAGTTTGCACCTATTAACATTTTATTTTTCCCATTATACCTTTCCCAAAACTGAAGTTTTCCTGGTCCTTTTAACCACTCCAGTGTTGTAACTCCCTCACAAAATATCTGAATTGTACAAGATATATCAACAGTAGCTTAAACATAGTGCCATGTGCTTTCTGCAGCCAGATTACTTAAACATCGTTGCTTACTACATTCTCTTACAAAACAACTTTGCCTATGAAAATATTAAAAATGCATGCCACTTTGTTTTTCATATATATAAATATTTTGAATGAGTATTTTGTTCCTTCCAGTTCAAGTGTGTGTGTGTGTGGGAAACCCTTATGCCCTCTTAATAGTCACATTTTCTCAGCTCATCATTAGGTCTGGTTGAATTGTTTCTTTCAACTACCTATAAAAATAGGAATAAATTTGACCAGGACATAATATCCAGTGCTTCCTGTTATGTACTGAAGTTCTCACCCTGGGCCAGCAGGGGGATACTGTATATAGTTATGCAAACGAAGGATCGAAAGTGACGTTCAGTGATTGGATAGTTTTAGAAAGTTGCAACAGTTACACTGTTCTGGAGCTCTATATAGGCAGGCTGACTGAGCTTTTCAGTTCAGTTCTGTTCTGGCCTCTGAAATAAACAAGAGCTGTTTGAAGAATCACTGTGTCATCTGATATGTTCGCCCACAACTTAACACTTCCTGCTCTTACAGTAAAGGAGGAAGGATTACTGAGCAGACAGGTTCCTACTGCTATTCAACTTTGATGTGAACATGAGAAGGGGAAACTACTAGTCCTCACACCACTTTCAGCACTGCTTGCATAGTCCGCTACAAAGCCAAAGGTCCTGTTGTTACCTGGCTGCTCATCAAATATTGGCCTGCCTTGTGCCTGAGAAATTGCACGTTACGGCATTATTCTGTGCACTCACAGGACAGAACACTTTGTCATTATTTGTGGGCATTATTTTACAAAAGTGAAGGATAATTATCCAAGCCACTGCTTGTTATACCATTCTCAATCAGCCGTGCAAACACATACATGTGCAATGTCACATGCTAGAAAAATCTAGAATGGATGATTTATGTATTAGCACACACATAGTACAAAGATTTACAAACTACAGGGTGAAAAAGCTCTGCAAACAGTGCACAATGGCAAATGTAGTTAAAAACATAGTTAAAATCCAGAAACCAATTAAAAGACAAATAAGTTTGGGGCTTTTAAGGAAAAAGTGCATGATTGGTTGGCTATGCATTAACACATCCATTATTCCAGATGATGTGTAAAACATGCATTTTCTAGAAACAGAATTTGGTAGTGACAGCAAATCTTGGAAACATCTTATTTCCCTTAAAAGACAGGCAACTTTCAATTTGGGAGGCAGGGTTCTTTGTGGCAGAGATGACCATTTGCTACTTGAAGGTTCCCTAGGCGCTGCTCAGGAGGAGCTCCAGTGGCAGGATCTTACTCAGCACAAGCCCAGTTCCTCCCATGTTCCATACATCTGTTGCCTTGCAGCTTTCTAAGCCACAATAATCCTTCCCCAATTATTGACTAAGAAAGCCTTAAAAATAGATTGCAAAATTCTGCAAAACTAATTCATACAAGCAAATTAAGCATGCATGCTAAGTCTTTTTACATAGTTTGCACTGCTGTTTTAAGCTGCTGGCCAATATGCGACACTACAGAAAGATGCTTTTCCCAAAACAATTTTCATCACCAAGACACAATCTGAATCCTTTTAGGAGGCAAGGCAGCAGGATCTATCATATTTAAACTTGATTAGGCATTTGGTTAGACTAACCTGAATCCCTTTTATATAACTTGTCAGGAAAACACACCAGCTATTTTTTCACTGGGAAATTCCCCTCCACTTCCTTCTCCCTCTGAGAACTCAATAACAAACCCATGAAATTATTTCTTGCTTTTTTATTTTTAAAAATGAAAACTCATTAACCTTTCCAGCTCTGCACCCACAGAGCCTCTTTTAAATGGATAAATCTGAGCTTTATCTGCTTTGCCTGAAATTCTGTTTCACTGATCTCAGATTATTGCTCCATTTCACTCTACTAAACCTCCAAACAAAATATATTTTAGAATGATCTGGTCTGAGGTTGCGTTTGTTTGTTTTTTGCAGTCACTTGAGAAACCTTCTATCTTCCTTCTGGGGCAAATAGAGTGCCAAAGATGTCTGATATAATTCCATCTGTGGGTCTGGTCACTGGCTGGGAATCCAATCTCAGCTAGTTTGCAGAATGGAAGCCATATAAATACAGCACAAAATAAATAAAATGAGTAATGCAAGGAGGGTGAGCAATTTCCAGAAATAAACAGGGGTGTTGCTTTCTCGGCTTTGGGAAGGATTGCCCTGGTGATTTGGGTTTAAGTTCTACTGATAAACACAGGATTATAGATAGGATTTTCAGAGTCTGAAGTATGGTTATAGAGCCATGCCCTGACCATTCTCACAAAGGGACAAGTTATTATGAATTTCTGCCTTTCTTACAGTGTTCCTCTTAGGCCTGCTTCACACAATCATTTTTCCCTATACAGAGATTTAGATTAGGTTAATATCCAGCCATTATCTGTAGTCTCCACCAATCCCTTTGGCAGAAGCTATGTTAAGTCTTCTCACTGCTTCCACCTTCCCTAGCACCTGGGGTGAACAGAAACTGACCCCTGCCCTCACCCAAATCTTCTAAATGCTCAAGGGAGTGCATGTATATGTCTGAGATCTGGCAATCAAATATGTGTTGCCCTTGTATATGGGGTTGGCCTTGTTGCATATCAAATTAAACCATAGTTAATCACAAGCAATGATTTAATATGAACACACAGTCTGCTACTGAACGCTGCTCAAAATTCTCACTCTACTACTCACCTACTCTGCTGCTGGGAAGCAAGCCAGAGTTTGGTGTGTCATGTGAATCTGGGTTGGCTGTTTGTTACCCCTGAGCAAATCATGAGTGGTAAACAAAGCACAAACCCTTGTTACTGCTTGCTGATGATCACAATATGCCAGACTTTAGCTTGTCCCCCCCCCCCCCTGCAATGGCATGGCAGCAGGAGTGGGAGAGGAGCACAGCAAGAACTTCTCTGCAGAATGCTTCACACTTACATAAAACCATAGTTTGTTTTTAACTACAGCTTAATGTGATGTGCAAACCAGGCCACAGTCTCTGTTTTGGAAAAATGACATCATGAAGAAGAGGTCCTAGCGTAAGGTCATCAGGGCCAATTGAGACAAAGGGGAACACAAAAGCTGCAGACCAGGATTCCTAATACTTTATAAATGCTTTTTCAAGGAAAGTTGTCAGTACAACTACACTCACACCTGCAAACCGGACACTTCCATACCATTCCACCAACTATACTGAAGAGAGCTGGCAGTAACTGTTTTACAGGACCCTCAAGTTGAGAGTTGTTGTGCAAGCAGATATAAAGCAGAAGCCATGTGGTGCAGCTTCTCTGGCATCAGCCCTCATATTATGCTGGAAGAGGCTCAAACTGAGCCTCCGTTTCTGTCACCACCCATCATACTGATAAATAGAAGAGCTTCTCATAGCCCAGTTCTGTACATGGAATTAAGTCCTACTGGGTTCAATGAAACTTAGCCCCTAGCAAGTCTGCTATAGATTTCAGAAGGTCTGAAGCCCAGGCTTGAAGCAGTGGCTTAAGTCTTTGGTGTGTGTGTGTGTGTGTGTGAGAGAGAGAGAGAGAGAGAGAGAGCGCAGAAAAAAACAAGGTTTACATTCTTGCCATCTCTTAGGACCCAACCAAATGTGGAGCTCAAGCCACGATGGTTACCACAAAAGGAAGTTGCTTGGCCTTTTTCCACACTGTAACGGCTAGTAGATCTTAACCCCTATTTATATTTCAGGACAGTATGTGTTTCCCTGCCCCTAATCCAGACTGCTGGCTGCCATCGGCATGAAAATGCAGAAAATGCCCAACTTTACCTCTACATCCGACACCTTCATGCGTGTGCCCTCTTTGCCCACAAAGATATCATCGATGTCCACAAGGATGTAGCGATCAAGGGTCAGACATAGACGCTTGCCAGTCAGGTAAGCAATAGCGTCAACAAAGATCAGCTTGTGAAGCCAGAAGTTGAGGTTATTACCAAAAAGGACCCGCTGGATGCCGTCATGCAGACCAAGGTCCTGTACCACGGTAGCATGCAGAGCTCTGTGGGTGGTCAGATGCGGGATTGACTCTGAAGATTTGGTGCTGGCCATCAACACAGGTTCGTAGGTGGTGTGATTTGACTGGAACACTGTCCAGTCATCACCAGGCAGGGGGCCTTGCTCCACTTCATTAGCCTGAGTTACGTACAGGAGCGGGGCACTGGGATTGATGTGATAGTCTCGCAACCCTAGATTGGAATGTAGGAAAAGGGGAAAGCCCTTGAGCTGAGCACTGAGCAAGCTGTTCTCATTTGCTTTGAAGAAGCCAATGATCCCCACTCCATATTCCACACAGTATTTGTCCAAGAGGTCCCTGTTCCAGGTATCCAGGTTCACATATTTAAGGATATTCTCATAGATAATAAGAGCATAGCGGCCATGGTCTTTGTCTGTCAGAGTGGGCATGTCTCCCTTTCCAGGGGCAATCTCTGTCCTGTATTTAAACCGGCTAGATTCCAAGATAGCCACAATCTCCTGACCCAGTTGGGAATAGATGCTTTCCACAAAGACGAGCACCACAGGGTCTGTGCGTGAGTTATCCACTGATTTCATAAGCCTCCAGCTTGCCTGGGGTTGAATAAGAACCCTGTGCTGGTTGCTACAATCGCTGAAGGGCAACGGAGGCGGTTCCTTTATTTTGGGGCTGTTGGTAACGTAGTAAGCCAGGAAGCACATGGAAATCAGGCTGAAAGCAATGAGCAGCAGGATCAATCTGTGGAGCTCCAGCTGTCGCACATGCCTCACTACTTTCCACAGATGAATCATGGTGAGGTGCGTGGCTTATCCCTTCCTCAAGCTTGGCACCAACCAAGCTGCCTTCGGTGTCTCCAACGCCACCACCGGAAGAGCCAGTGGCAGCTCACGGAGAAGAAATGTGGGCTGCAGAGAGGGATAAAGCTTAAGCAAGCAGCTACAAGACTAGATGCCCAGTGATCTGCCATTTATCTCAAGTGACCATGGCCTTCAAGTCCCATTGCTCCTCTGAGTGCTGCTGCCCTCTTCCTTCACTTCTCCACTTGCTCAGAAGAGTCCTAGGAAGGAGGTGGGTCATGTGCAGTTCTGAATTCCTTGGCTTCAGATGCAAATGTCAGGCATCAGGGGTAGGGAAAGCATTCCACAAACTGAAGAGTTGCCTCAGCTGGCTGACTTGCCCGTCACATGATAGTCACCGTCGACTGGCAACCTGCAATTAAGAAAGAAATCACATGTTAAGGGCAGGCGAACTAATGGGCTTTGGGAAGAGGGCAGTGGGACAGTGTGCTTGCGGATTAGAATCACATCATTTTCTTCTGATATACTCGCTAACAAGTGGGATGGGAACCTTGTGGCCTTCAAGATGCTATTGAAATCCAACTCCCATCAGCCCTATTCAGCATGGTCAATAGGTCAATGATGGGGGTTATTGTCCAACAACAACTGGAGGACCACAGACTCCCCATTCCTGCCTGTAACAAAATGTTGCATGTGCAGGCACACCAGTTCAGGGTTCCAGCCAGCCTAGCATACCCTTTTCAGGGGATTTAATTCCATTTCTCCCTCTTTTCCTCTCTCCCTCTCCCATGACATTCTGTGACCACTGAGCATTCTCAGTTCAGACTTAGCTGTTTTGGGTCCTCATCCCTGTTAAGGTTCTCCTTCCTGAAGTTTCTTTTATTCCCTTCTTATTTCTGGTGATGATATTCCCTTCATGTGTCTCAGAAGCCTCATTTTGGGTATATAGCCATCATAACTTAGGATATGAAAAGTAAAGTGTCCTTGGCTCATAGCTCATCTCTACCACGAATCTGCAAGATTCAGCAGGTCAGTTATTGGCTCTTGATCTGGTATTACATTTACAGGGCTATGTGATGAGTCAGGCAAGAAAACAAATTAAAAGACCCTTGTCCCAGAGAAGAATTGAATTTCCCAAGCTGATATTTAATTATTGCATCTTTAGAATACTCTCTCATTCATGTTACCAACATGCAAATATTCACTTCCCAAGTCTGCCACTATGAGTAGAGAAAAAAGAACCTATGGAATTTCATCACTCACTCAGCACTTTGCAATATTCAGCATTGAAGGAGAAGTGCCAAGTTTACATAGATTTTTCATTCTGAAAAAGCAGGATTTTATTAATCCCACCTGGGCACAGGTAAATGGGTCTTGGGGGGAAACCCAAGATAAACCCTTATTACTAGATTAATTTCCCCCTGAAATTATTAAAGTATGTATTGGTAGGAAAGGGTCTCTGCTGGAAAATATTAGACACAAGGAAAAAGAATAGGAATACAAATAATAAATTTAGGTCCATACTTCTTAAAACCGCCCAGTGATTATGGTGCCAAATTTAATATCCCAATTCACAAGGATATAAAGCACACAAAATGCTAGGTGAGATGAAAGGAAACCTAATAGGGTGGGCTCAGGAACACAGGAACATAATATTTCAAGTGGCTACAGGCAGAAAAGTGACTTCAAACAAACAACATAGTGCTGTTCTGGAGACCAGCCCTTATCAAGAATAAATCCTTTTGCTCTCACATCATGTTTCCCACCCTAACGTGGCAGGGTGCAGCAAAACCATTTTAAACAGAGTTGTAAACAGATTAGAAAGAGGAACCCTCCCAGCAACCAGAAACCCTCCCAGCAACCAGGTTGGGAAGCTTTTCCTAAGGGAAGAGAGGTGTTTTTCAGGCCATCTACATACATAAATGACTAGTGTTACATAGAAATTTAATAAATAAGTGATAAAACAGTGTGTGGTGGTGTTTTGGTTTGCTACCATGTTATGTATTTTTTTGTTTTTATATTGTAACCACCCTGTGATCCTCAGATGAAGGACGATATAGAAGAAACAACAACAACAACAACAACAACAGTGTGGGTAGACAGGCAAGCATCTAAACATTTTATAGGCAAGTCAATTCTGTAGACTTACTTGCTAAGCTAATTTTGTTTTATTTTTTAAGGAGAGGGACTCTTATTACCATCTACCTCATTTGTTTAGTTAAGAGATATTGGTGTCTCGATTATGTGTAATGGAACTTTCCCTCCACAATGAACAAATGCAGCGAGACACCCCATCACTGCTTGGGATCAGGGGGCAGATGTTCTAGATCAGGGGTTGTTAACCTGGTCCCTACTGCCCACTAGTGGGCATTTCAGGATTGTAAGTGGGCGGTAGGGGGTTCTACGGCACAAGCTAAATCCTCCTTCCATCGAGCACTGGTGGGTGGTAAGGAAATTTTACCATCTAGAAAGATGCATTAGTGGGCGGTAGGTATAAAAAGGTTGACTACCCCTGTTCTAGATAAATATAAGCCCAAGCATTTATTCTTTTAGAAATTAAAATATAGCTGCTGTGCATGGCATTTATCTCACCTTAAAAACCCCACTAAAAATAAGGGTCTTGTACTTGACCAACAGAGAATAAATCTTCAACTATAACGACAATAATACACAAATTTTTCACAGAAAATGGTCTAAACCAGTTCTATAATAAACTCTACCATCTCATCATTCTCTTCAGCTTTGAGAGCGTATGTCCCACTGACAATAATTTAACTCTGAGTTCAGTCTCACAGGGATGAGTCTTTGTAAAAAATAAAAATAGGAGCCAGAAGGCAGCATTGGTGTGTGAGCAACAACGTAATTGCAAAGTCTTTGGACCAAAGCTATCAAAGAAATTATGTGAAGCTGAACTGCACTAAATACTATACAAGACACAGGGTGCTCACGGGAACAAACTGTGTCTCTTTGCAACTTTCCTCTCAGCAGCAGTCCAGGAGGTGGCAAATTTTATCATCACCCTAATTTTTCTAGTGCTGAATGTTGCGTCTGGTTTACAAAGAGCGGCACTGACACCACCTGCTAGTATCTGAATGCAAGGGCTCCCGCATGTCCCTTTGTCCCTTTCCGCAGCATGCAGGGTTGGAGTGCCTAAACAATGGCTGAGTGGCATGCAGAAGCAAAGGTCCCTGTGGCACACCGGCGAGAGCCAGGAGAGTGCGCAGAACAAATGCACCATTTGAAGTCTCTGCAAAGCTCTTAACAAGCCTCTGTTTGTTACAAGCATGCAAGCATGAGCACACACACAAATGAAAGGCCTATATCAGATTGCTGCTCAAGAATCTGTCAGCTCTGATCTCTTTAACAAGGCCTCAGTGCCAGAGGGTATGCCAGCTGGCACAAGGTGCATGAAAACAGTTTTGGAACTGTGTCAGCATGGGCCCGGGAATGGGGGGGTAGGGAAGCAGAATGACATGGTGCAGGAGAACACAGTGCCCAGCAACAATCTATATACCTATACTGCCAAACCCAGACAAGTTTCCCCTGCAAAGGATTACAGAACAGACAGCAAGCAGCTTGCTCGCAAAACAAAAGAAGTGACATTGCTCCATCTCACATGATTGAATCTACAGATGACCAGATACAGCATTTCATGTTGTCCATGGAGAAAATTGGCATCTCCGAGCAGTAGGGTGGCCAGAACGGCTTGAGCTCCAGTGGTACAGAGCAGGAAGTCTGAATGAGAGAGGCAGGGACTGCAAATTGAGAAGGCGGAGTGTGGTGTGGCCAGAGTTTTTGGAAGTGGGTTCTCCCTGAACCTCCCTGAGTGGCCTTGAGCGATTCATTACTGCAAGTCTGTGTTGGCTATCCTGAGCCACTTCAAGAAAAGGCAGGGAGAAAATGTAATAAGGAAGCAATACTATCAGGTATGCTCCTGCCAACCTAGCAGTTCGAAAGCACGTCAAAGTGCAAGTAGATCAATAGGTACCGCTCCAGCGGGAAGGTAAACAGCGTTTCCGTGCGCTGCTCTGGTTCGCCAGAAGCGGCTTAGTCATGCTGGCCACATGACCTGGAAGCTGTACGCCGGCTCCCTTGGCCAATAAAGCGAGATGAGCACCGCAACCCCAGAGTTGGCCACGATTGGACATAATGGTCAGGGTCCCTTTACCTTTACTATCAGGTATGATCAGTAATCTCTGTTGCATTGAGACTACAGCTTCTGCCATAACAGCCCCCCCCCCCCCGATATACTGCTGTGTTTATAAATGCTTTAACTATCGTACTGGGCAGTCATGGAAAAGGCACTTCAACGCACTGTTTAAGCAGCCTCCTGCACTTGTATATTCAAAAGCTGGTGGCCTCCCAGAAGCAAAAAAGGACTTCCAGAGCTTGGAAAGTGAGACTCCTGCAGAACTTCTTGTCCCTTTCCGCAGCAAGCAAGAATGGAATTGGGTAAAACAGGCACCAATGTATGCAAAAATGCTTAATGTACATAATTTAACCAGGCAGCAGTATCTGACACTGTGAGGGAAGCAAAGGAACTGTTTTTATGGCAGCCAGGGCAGGTTTAAGCTATATATTTATTCCTCTGACTCCTTTTTAGTAACACATCATTAAGCACTGCCCCCATAAAAACAAAGGCTTCTTTGAAATCTTTGCAGCAACTCAGCTTCCTCCTCCTCTCTGGCTGTGTCATTATTAGAATTTACAATATGGGTGGCAATGGAGATAATTTATGGCCATGAAAATTCATAAGCTGCCTTTATTTGTAAAATGAACTCTAGGCAACTTGTGAACAAAATAGAAAACAAAGTCAAGAGAGCATTGCCATTACTTAGCCACAACATAAGGAAGCGGTAACAAAACCAAATGAGAGGTAACCAAAACAAACCCTTAGTAACAACTTCAATCAATACCAAAAGCCTTATAGAAGAGCATGACGTCTCTTGAGTCAATTTACTCCAGATTAGGTACAATTAAAAAGCGGAAGAGAA